TTTCCTGGGGGATTCCTTTAAAAATTTTCTTTCCACCACAACCTCAAAAGGTTTCCCAAAAAAAAAAGTTTAATTTTCCACAAACCTCCATTTTAAAATTCACCTTAAGGAAATTTTTTCCAAAAAAGGGAAAACAGGACCTGAAAATTATCTAAAAAAATAAATTGGAAATTAGCAGTCCAAGAAGAAGGAATTTTGAACCCCTTGAATATTCATTTTTTAAGCATAAACGGATTATATTAATAGTGAAATAAACAATGAAATTATTTAAAGGAATCTGTCTAAAGATTAGGCAAAAATCTTATAGTTTGATATTAAATTGTGTTCTATTTGAAAAATTTTTTAATGATTATCAATATGAGGGCGGATGAGAAACAGATATAACGAATGACTTGGGCAATTTTTATTGATTTTCATTTCATTTGTGCAAAAAATTTAGATTCTTTTGAATGTTGAATTTTACTTCTCAGATTTCTTCACTTATATATGCCCATCCCTTCAATATGGGAGTATTTTCGAAATTTAATTTCAAAGAATATAGTATTTCTATCAACCTTAATTTAATCCTTTTCTACTTTCTTCTTATAAATTAATATTATAGTTATAAATAAATAATTAAAAATTGATTAATAATTTGTATGAATTTTCGATCAAGCCATTCCAACTAGTATTAAAGGTTTATTACCAAACTTCCGACAAAGTTTTTTCCAAATCTTATACCTGAAATAATAAATAAAACTGGAAAGTAATCAAAAGCAGAAAAAATTGAAGATTTTGTTGAGATTTTTCAAGATTACTTTAAATATTTACTAGGTATAGAAAAAAATGAAGAGGAATTACTGCATTCTGAGAATAACATTGCGAGTTTTGATGATTGCTTGAGCTAATTTGATGAACCCGAAGTTGTTGTGAGGTAATTCTCAATTATATAAAGTTTACCAAACCCAGATTATATATCAGAAGAACCTTAGCTATAATAAAAACAGTATGAAATTGTTGATTAGATTGTACAAGCCTTAGTTCTAGAGTAAAAATCTATTCAGGATAAATTATTTTTAAAAGCGATCGAAATTGCATTCATTTAATTGTCTGATCGTAAGACCTATTCTTTATTTGAGCAAAGAACAAGAGGGTTGGAAACTATTCCAAATGATTAAAGAAATGCAATGAATTTATTAGGAACAAATCAACAAATATTTGATTAAAGTAACTAATTTTGTGGTTTTATTGAAAACAACAATAATAATCGCAATTCATAAGATTTTGGGCTTTGCTAAAGAGAAATTTAGATAAAAAAAGCTGTTAACTAATTTAGGCAAGATTTATTGGAATTAGCATCATAAAACAAATGGAATATTTAAATGACTGCTCAACAAATTTAAATAGATTTTCAAAAAATTCAATAATAATAATAGAAAGCATATAGTTAGGGGGAATATTTAAGATTGATCCAATCTTAATGGAATAAAACTATGAATGAAACATCTGATCTTTTAACATTAGTAAGGAATATTTTAATAGTGTAATTTTCCAGAAAAGGATTTATGGTCAGATCAATTATTTCTGAAGATGGATCAAAAATATATCTCTTGTTATATATGCCTGAATAAATGTTAGAAATAGCTGCTGAAAATTGTTAACTTTCGAAAAAACTGTGTTTTTGTTTCTCCGATTTATTTTCCCTCGAGCCTGTTGATAAATAATTAAGACCCCTACGATTAAATGGCAGATTATGGAAGCCAGACGAATATAGTATTTCTTCATACTTATAATATTTAAGACCATTAATTATTGATTAAATAATGCAAATAAATTTTAAGAGATTAGCTAGAGATGTAGGTTAAAGTAACATAAATAATGAATTATTTGAATATGGAAAAATTAATTTTTATGGAGATCAAGAAGGTCCAACTGATGATGAATGGACGGCATATTACATTTACCTTGTTCATCTTAATAAACAGATTGAAATTTAAAGAAAAAAATATTTTATAGAAAGCGATATTGCTTTAATCTTAGATAAATAAAAGAGTGCAGAAGAATTATTTGCGCTAAGAACTGGATAAAAGCCTAAAGGATATTTTGAATTTACGGAAGAAGAATAAGAGCAAATTTAGATTCTTTTTGAAAAAATTAGAGAGCTATAAGGCCAATAAAATAAAATTTAATTATCCCAAAAGCTTCCAATTCTAAAAAAAATAAAGTTGTTTAAATAATAATAATTAGCTTCTAATTATTACTTAATTTTTTAAGAGGCTTTAAAAGTGGCAAACAGCACAGGATAAACATTAAAAACAATATGGGATAGATATTATTAATAGCCTTTTGAACTTTATATTCCGTTCACCCTTCGATAACATTCTTAATCTATAAAAAATATTGCTAAATCGTAATTAAAATGGTCCAGGTATTTATCAAAAGAAAATCATTAAATAACTTTATTTCCAACCAATGAAAGATTAAAGTTAGCATATTTTGTTCTTTCAACAACAATTCGATTAGATATATTTATCAATATGAAATTGATAAACTCTGTTTTTAGTTTACACAATAATTATGAATTATTTGGAATTAGCAATAACCATTAATAAGAAATCAATTCAGAATTCTATATGTATGAGCAATAACCTTTTGATTTATCTGGCAAATGGAATTTAAATTATTTATATCCTTGGTCTATGCCGATAAGCAAAATTTGCATTTACTTTGGTGAAAAAATAGGATTATACTTTAAATTTTCTTCATATTATATTCAATTTTCTACGATCATGGCAGCACTAGGAGTAATTTTTAATATGATTATGTATTCAACTAACATTTAGCATAATGATATATCCTTAGTGGCTTAATCTATATTTTCAATTTTAATTATCAATTTAAATTGCTTTCTAACAGACTATTGGAATTAAACACAATTTGCTTTTAACATTTAAAATGGTTAAAATAATAATTATAAATATAACTTAATTAGAAGTTCTTTTAAAGGAGAATAAATTAGATCCATTTCAACTGATCAATTAAATTTTACAGGGATAATTCACTTTCAATTTTTTTGGAGAATTAGTATTTCGATTTTTGTTCTTATCTTGATATTTGGATCTGATGTTTGCATAACGATAGGACTTTACTTCTTTAATTTATACCTTGAAAGTATCTTTGCGAGTACAAGTATTTAATTTAGGAATTTTGAAATAATAGTGACAGCAATTTTGAATTATGTGATTTAAATAATTGTAGAATATTATTATGAATCTATTGCAATAGTTTTGACAGATTTTGAGAATTTTTAGACTGTTGAACATTATGAAAACAGCTATTGCCTAAAAAAATATGCTCTTATATGTTTTTCTTAATTATTTCCATTACTGATCTTGTGTTTTTTAAATGGAGAACTGAATCTAAAGTGCTCTCAAAATAATTGTATTGGATAAGCATAATATTTTTTCGGTACCACTGTATTTTTAATTCTAATACACTAAATGTTAAAGTTATTATTAACAATAATTAATGTAAAAAGGAGAATTTAATAAATAAAAGAGAAGAGTTATTCAAGCAAAAATTTGCTGACATTTATTGAAAATTAAGAATCTAAAACTCCTTTTTAGCAAACCCAAGAAAAATATGGTATTATCGATGAATATATGAAATTTTTTTTACTATCAACATTAATCAATATGTTTGGCGGCTTATTTCCATTAAGTTTTACTTTATTTTGGATATGGATGATCTTATAGTTTTAAATTGTAAAATTTAAACTTTTATATTAAATATAAAGGCCTTGGCCGAAAGGAGATAGTTCCTTAGGAATTTGGTTTGAAATACATTAATTTATTAATTTTATTAGTTTACTTAGTAATTGTAGTTTAATATGTGTTTATTATTACAAATATCTTTAGGATGATGTTATTTAGCTATTTGTTACTTTATTATTTTATAATTTCTTTATCAAATATATTACAAACACGACATTTTTAAGTCCTCCATTAATACTTGAGTATATAGTAAAGAGAGGCTAATACATTTATTAGAATAATATTAAAATTCTTACAAATAGAAGTAGTCGAAGAGAATAAGAGAATAAAGTACTATTATAAAGATGCCCGTTATATAAAGTATTTGGATCTAATGGCATGCAAAGAGCAGATTATTTTGAAACAATTAGTTCTGATGATGAAATTTTAGATCATTAGAGAAAAAAAATTTAGTTGATTTCTTAGAGATTAGTAGAACAGGAAACCAATTATCTCATCTCAAAGGCAGAAATAATTTAAAATGAAGATCATGTTAAACAAACATAAAGCCCAATCAACTCAAATTCTTCAAAAATCTCAAATTCTAGCCCTTTGAATTCTGTATCTAGTCCTATATTTACAGTATCTAGTTCAAGGTAGAATAACAGAATGAAAAGTATTATTGATCCTTTTGAGAGTACTACATAGATATAAAATTCAGCAAAAGAAATTTAAAAATTAGGGAAAAGTAAGTTTTAGCTTATGATTACAGAAATAATAAAAAAATTGTAATAAGTAGATAAATTAGACTATTAATTTTTTTATAACTATTATAAAAAGCGTTCAATAAACTGGGCATTTTAAATATAATCTTGTCAATCAGGACCTAAATAGTTAATCAGGGACAGAACAATTATATGGCGATTTTTTTTTCGGCTTCAATTATTATCCTCTTATAATATGCTATGGAATGATTATAGATTGGTTTAAAGTTAATCTTATTTTAGAAGAAAATAAAAAGCATTGCATAATCTAGATTATAAGAGATTTTAAATATTAAAGTAAAGTTTTGAGAATCAAAATAAATACTATAAAGCCTAGGCAGCTTTAAAATTTAGCAAATAATTTAGATAATTTGGAAATTAACTTACATTGGAAGAAAGAAAAGAATATAATGAGCTAGTTTTAAAATATAATAAATTTATTGAAAAAAAATCATGGCTAAATTGTAGAAAAGTAACAATATTCAGATACAAGGGTTTATTTTTTAGAGGATTTCGGAAACAAAGTATAAGAAAATAAGCCATTTAATTTGTTTTAGAATACTACGAAGCAACTAAAAAGTTAGAGGAAGCTCAAAATGGTTCAGATATACATAAAAAATTTAACAATTTAGTTTAATATACGCAGTTAAATTAATATACATTAGAATTGTTTATAGAATTATTTAATAAATTAGAATATGAGTATAAAAATTTGATATTTATATAGGTAAAAAACTAGTTATATATTTCCTTCAGTTAACGGGAGAATTTAATAAAAAAATTATTATCTAAATTCTTTAAAATCAGAAGTGTTTAAAAATATAATCGATAAATCTAAAGACACATATATATTTGAATAATATTCTACAAAACTAGAAGAGTTTGTTTTATAATATTGCTTAGATGAAATGAATTAAATTCCTAATATAACAATGAAAAAGCATCTTCATGATCTTCTCTGGATTGTTGAAGTTGAGGATTAAGAATATTTAATGTAATTTTTCCAAATAAAGCATGGATAATAATTGCAGTTTTTAAAGCATTACAACAATGGATTAGGAGTCTTTGTTAGCGAAAGCAAGAATTACATCAAATTACTCAATATAATTGATTAAATTGATGATTTTTTAATAAAAGCTTATTGTGTATCCTTATACCCTTGTTTAGATTGTAAAACTTTATATTAAGTAATAAAATTTAGAAAAAAGCATTCACTTCATTACACAATAGATTAATTAATGTAATTTTTGTATGCAAATTTAATTATATTATCAAAGGGTATTGTAAACAGCCTTTCAATTTATACGTATGCTTTAAGTAATAATGAATATATGATTTTAAATTCTATTTTACAAGAGGACAATCCGGTATTCTAGTTAGTTCAAGTTATTTTGGAGATGATATTGCTAGACCCAATCGAAGATTTGGGGGAAGTCCTTAAAAACATTGAACACCCTTTATTGTCCTTTTTGATGGATATATTATATAATGATTTAACAGCAAGTTAGGCCTTAGAAAATATGCAAAAATAAGATCCATTCTCAGATATTAATTTTTAGTTTAATCTCAATTTAAAAGACTAATCCTATTAATTCTATATCGAGAATATGAAGCACTAAATCAATTTTCACCTTAGAATGAAATAATTTAAAAAATCAATTTAATTGATTCAGGAAGCAGAAGATTATTTGGCAGCTTAACATAATGTACAAACTATTAACTTTATGGAAAAATTCTTAGATTACATCTCCCGAGAGATACAAACATATATTCTAAAACCCCATGATATTAAGAAGATTTTGGATACATTATTAATATTTTATTTTAAAATATCTGCTCTTTTTGGTTTGAAGCAATAAATAGAACCTGAAAACTCGTAAATTATCGCTGCGATAAAAAAATGCTGTAGTCAACTAAAAATTATTCTAAAATAATTAAGCTTTAATATAAAATTAGAAAATCTATCTGAAGTAGAGCATCGCACAATTTTGAAATAAAAGTTTAAATAAACATAAGATAATTAGTCATCTGTAAGCTCATTTGAAAGATTAAATTTAATTAGTACCTTAAGGAAAAATTCAAAGTATATTTTAATTCTAATTTAATTTCACACTTAGATTTAAAGATACAAAAATCAATTTACTTTAATAAAAGCAATTTATAATTATTTCAATAAAAATTTTATTCTGGCAGATCTTTAATATATTTAAATAATTCAGAGAGAAGAAGAATTGGCCTTTCGGGAACCCATCCCAACCTTTTTGAATGTACCTCTTGATCACACACCAGGTTTAATTAATTTAAAGTAATCTTCTCCATTAGATGAAGACAATGATGACATAGGAAATGAAGAATATTAAACAAAGTCTAAAGGTATCATAGATAGGAACACATTGTATTGCACATAGTTAACATATTTTAAATACCTTCATTTAATTAATTTATATGATAACAGAAATGAAGAGTTTTCAAAATATTACTAATAGTTTAAGCAGATTGAAGGAGCTTATATTCCGGTATATAATTTTTATCTAAATCAACTTAAATTGCTTAACAAAGAAGAAATCCAATAACAAGATTAAGAGTATGAAGAGTAATGTGATGTCGGAAAGTATTTAATAATAAAGTTCAAAAAATGGAAGGAAATTACCAGCCATTAATAAGTGGACTTATTAGAATCAGATGATCTTGAACTCCTGAAATTTTAGATTATGATTTTTTCGAATCTTTAAACAACTTTTAAAAATAGAAAAATTTTATAACATTCAATGTAGTTATTCACTTTCTCAAAGATATGCTGTTATAACTTATTATTTAGAATTAAGTTAATTTAGTTTATATTACATCTTGATAATGTTTAACCTGTTAACCATAATTTATCTACTTAGATCTAAAGAACTACATTTTGCCATTAAAACTAATAATCTTTTATCTAATTATTAAAACAGATTCACTAATAGATTTAACTACAATAAGATTCTTGGTTTTTTCATTCGAGTTTAGAAGAATTATAGGTTTTCTATTATCTTTCAATCTGCTTTGCGTATTCTCCTAAGCATCTTGAAAATCTTGTATTAGAAGAAAATGAAATATCAAAACATGCAACAAATTAAATAAAAAAATTTTAGTTTAAATCAAAATTCTATTGCCAAACACTCAAGTGTACATAAATTAACAACAGAAAAGGATATTAATTGTAATTTGATTCAAATTTAGGTAAATAGTAACAATAATAACTCTTTTGCTAATTTTTAAATTGCAGCTTAAAGTAATATCATAATTTAAGAGGCTCATACCAATAAATTTCAGAGTGTTTAAACGATGATATTGAATCATCAATCTTCGTATTAGCCCTAATTCATAATTATTTGCAACTTTAATAATTTGATCTTGTTGATTTGATGACCTAGTTTTCTTTAAGATTAATTTAATGTGAAGCTCCAATTTTTGATAAAAAGCATTAAGGGTTTGAATAGGATCTTTATGTAGTAGAAAGCTTATATAAAAGCAATCACAATTGCATTCCTTATCCATAAAAGTACCTATTTGAATATACAGACACTTTTTATAATTTTGAAGACATAAAATTTTATGCATAATATATACTTTTCAATATTATGATGAATTAAAATTACTTTTTGATTTAAGAGATTGTCACTAAATTAATTAACACTTTAAAAGGTAATGCAATTTATTGCCGCTTCATACATATATTTGAATATTAGTTAGATGCTATTCAAGCAATGATTGGGAAGATTGATCCAAAAAAATAGCGCAATTACCAAGACTAAGAAAAAATAGAAAGTGACTTGAACCTAAATAATTATTTAGAAAGAACACTCATATATGCTATTTTAGCTCTTTTATAATGCAAATACCATCTTAATTTATTCGATTATGAAAATGCTTTGAAATATTCAGAAAAAGTTTTGAAATATGTGGTCACGTTCTTGAAATAAGAATAGACGATACTATCAATAATTAATCGCCGATTAGTAAGATTTATTTTATTATATAGATATAAGAATATCCAGTACATACATTTTTTAAAGATTTAAAAATTATGGAATATGAGTTTCTAATAGATGAAATTGTAGATTCTGATTACATACATATATTTAATAAAGATTTTATCAATGAAGCTATACTAAATCATATTAGAATCCTAATAAATTTAGGTAAAAATGTTCCTAAAGTAAATATACTATTTTCGTTACAATTAAGCTAAATTCATAAGACTCATCAACCTTATTTACAAATGATTTATGCTATGTATTTTAATTTTTTGTTAAAAGAAAAAGATAATAAATTGATTGAGCATTTACTAGTAGATGAATAAAATTAAATAGGGTAAATTCGGAAAAAAATTAAAGATGAAGAGATGAAATATAATGCTTATAGCTCCCTTAAATTATACACAGAATCAGACGCAGGCTTTATACATCAAAATTTAATTTTCTTAGATTTTCAGCTAAATGTCTTATCAAATTCGAAAAACAAAGTTAATAAAAAATTGATAAATAATTGGATATTATCAAGCACCTAAAAAGCAATAAATGGATATTAAAACATTCAATAAACATTCTCATATTTAGTTCATCCTCATATCTCAATAATATATTTGATACAATATGAATCATATACATTTTTAAACCAGATGTAGAAGGCTTAAGATATGCTTGATCTAACAAATGAAAGTCTTTCTGGATGGTATGAAGATAATAAACACCCTATCAAAGGAATATTTTTATACCACTTAGGAATTCATGATCGTTGGCTCTACTCCTAATACATAAGATGTTTAAAAATTATAATTTCTTTAAACAGATTTGATATAGATGAAATAACAAGAATAGCTTAAGGATTAATTTACTAAGAAAAACAACTGATTGCTATTTTGGATAGCAATACTTAAAATAGAACATTTTAAATAGGAGATTTAATTAATGAATATCTAACTTAAAGGACGGGAAAAAAACAACTCTAGATTTCTGAGATCTCTAAGAACAATTTTGATAGTTAAAGTATCCTTGATGATGTTTTAGAAAAGAGTTCACTTAAAACTTTGAATGGGATCTAAAAATTTTTCGAAGTATTTGTTAATTATTTTTTTTAGGCATTAGCTATATTTTATCAAATAGGTACAGAGCATAATTGTAAGGATTTAATAAAAAGATTAATCGTAGAATCAAATTGATTATTTTTAAAAGTTTTGTTATTTAATTGCATAATTGATATACAGTATTCTTTTATAGATTAATCAAAAATCAAATTTTTTAAATTTATAAAATGCATTAGTAAAATTCATGATTTAACTTAATCAGATATAAATTGCTAGAGCAGGTGAAAAATTTTTATTTTTTATTAAGAATCTTGGGCTTGTATTATAATTCTATTCATTTATGATTTTTAATAGCCAATAAGGCCAAAGCAATAAGATCTTAGAATATTTTTAATCTAGAGAATGTTTTTGAATTCTTTTTAGTCAATCTCTAGATCTAAAATTTCTTTCAACCTTTAAATTATATACTTAGATTTAGTAATTCCATTTTAAGAGATCGAAATTGAATTTTTGTTGATCTATAAGATGGCATTATTTAACTTTTTATTACCTTTAACAACTTTAACGTCAAATAATTATTCAGTTTTTTCATCTTGAGTCCCAAAGATTCTTGACATAAGTGTAATCTCATGTAATTAATTCTAAATTTTTTCATAATAATATTAAATATTAATATGCTAAAATGGTTTAATCTCTTCAATTAAGCCACATTCTTACAAATATATAAAATTTTGTTTGTCACTTAACAAAATGCTAACTAATTTATAGATTTTTTAAATTATTTAATGATTCTCAATCTATTTTACTAAAATATTCTTGTATGTTACTAAGTTAAGATCTTTGCATATAAACTTACTAAATTGTTTTGCAGAGCTAATTATACCGTCTAATATTTTTAGCAAATGCTCTTAATGTTATTATTTTTGAATTAAACTATCGAGAGATATCAGCAATTATTAATTCATCAATTAATGAATACCTAAATTTATTTGTATATCAAGATACTCTGATATTACACACTCATTTGAATAAAGAAAGGAACAAAGCCCTCCTAAATTATGTTCACAAGCAAATATTGCATTAGATTTTATAAAAATAAGATTGCAAATTGCCCTTAAGAGAGATTTAACCCCTTTAACATATTAATCTTTTAGTTATTTCTTATCTATTATCAATTTAAGAATACTTAGGACAATATCGATTAAATTTGGAATAAAATCTCCAAGAACTTGTTTAACTTGATCATTATTATATGTTAAATTTGAAATCAATTAAGACAATGCATCTATTATACAAATTTCAGATGATTAAGATAAGTGAGATTTCATGAATTTTGGTAGCTCTGAATCAACAAACTTAAGCTACAAATACGATTAATTAAAGCAAATTCCAGATAATGCATAATATGAGTTTGCAACAATCTATGGATTTTTGCTTTTGAGATTTAAAAATAATTTTTTTTAGATATCTGTTTCTAAAATTTCATTTTGCGCATTTTAAGATAAACATAATGAACCTATTAATTAAAAGCATTCTTAGTTTGCAACAGTTAAGTATTGTAAAATCCTATCAATAACTTTCTTTTGATATAGAATTTCTGCATAATTGTAGCTGATACAATAAGAGTCCAAACATGTAAATATTTTTTTCAGTATTTTATTGCTGTAATCTGATTTTATATTTAAAATCATATCTATTTTATTTGTAGAGAATAACAATTGTTATAGGCATTTTAAATTTGCATTTTATATTAAAAATTCTAAATTTTCTTCAGTTAATTCATCTAAATACAATAGAGACCAATCAAGGTCTATAAGTTATTAAGTGATATTAGTATTTCTAAAAGAAATAATTTTTGAGAGACAGTAGAGAGAGCCTTTCAAATTGCTTTTTAATAATAATAGATTTGCTAAACCAATTTTCAAAGAGTATTCTGCTATTTGATGATCTACTATATTTTATTCAATCACCCAAAAGTTTTAAAAATTTACATTAACATTCTTTCCATCAACCTTATTGTTCAATTAAAATTAGTTCAATATTTCACATTATTTTACCAATTGATTAACATGATTTTAATAGTCAGTCGTAACTATTGAGTTCCTAGTTGATTTTTCAACAGATATTTTTTTTTAATGCTCATCTATTGAAGAATTTGAGTTAGAAATTCCATCTTTTAGTAGTATTTCATAATTAAATTACAGTTACTAGATTGAACCTACTTCTTTCTGTTCATCTTAATAATTTTCCATTTAATAAAATATAGTTAATCGTATAAATTAAAAATAATAAATGAAACAAATTTTATAATTATATGTGCAAGGAATAGCTCAAATTTTCATTAATTATTATCCGAGTAATATTATAGTTTTTATTATACTATTACCAATCTTTCTGCTAAAGTTTATTTCTAAAAATATAATTTTTAAATTACTTAACAAATTTCTAATTATTGCTTTTCATATAGAATTAGTTTTTCATATTCTTCTAAAAAGGTGAGTTTATGTTCTAGTTTTTCCATCTATAAACTTATTAAAAGATTAATATGATTATTCAATTTCTCTTCTTCCCTTTTCTACAAAGATTTTGCCCTCTCTAAGGTTTCTTAGCTCATTTATATTACTCTTTTTTCTTCTTCAATAACATCTTCATTATTGTTACTGTTTGATTTCACATCATCAAGTTTTAGAAATTATTCTGAATCTCTTTTATTTAAATTATTCAATAGCTTTTTGAAAATGGATAAATGAAAGCTAACAAGGTTTTTTTGGTCACTAAAAACATTGGGCTAAAGTTAAAGTAATATGTACTTCTTCAAAAGCAATTCTACTAGATACATCATTAATTGATAATTTCTCTAGGCATTCTTTTGAATCAATCACTTTATCAATCTCTATTAAATGATCAATAGGATATTAAAGAAAGTGTAGAATTAATTCCTCCTCAGTATGAGAAGTCGAAAATGTTTAATTCAACTGCTAAGCTAATTTTTCCCAATTTGAATCAGAAGTTTCTTGAATAATCGAAATTAGGTAGCTTACTTCTTAGTCGTTTAATATTGATCTAGGTTAATCGGATAAGATATGTAATTATGAAAACTTTTACTCAAGATTAGTTAATTAGAAATCCTCAGATGTTAAACTATTAGGAAAATTATTATTAGAAAAGCACTTCATACATAAATCTAATTTGATTGAATTTTTCTATTTATTTTCAACCTCTTTTACATTCTCTACTTTATCTTAATCTACCTTCTCCTTTTGTGTCTACTCTTTTTCGGCATACCATTATAATCCACATAGTATTCCGCAAAAAGAACAACCAGGTCTAATGTTAATACTGTTTAATACCTATATCTTTTAGAAAATATTTTGATGGCATTAATCAAGGTTATCTCATATTAATTTAAATCACTTTTTTCATCAAGCTCATCTTTTGCATTTAATTACAAGGTTCTATAGAGACTCTTTGTCAAGGCTTATTAAGGAAGTACTTTATTTGGACATGTGTCTGGATCGACAGAATAATTTATCAAACCCCAATATTATAGAAACCCATGAATTCTAGATATTGTGCATGCATCCCCTGCTAAGACCTTTCTACACGCAATGGTTGTTAAATATGTGCTTGGCTAGTTTCTATACAGATTAACAATGAAGTTTCTATATTTTTTATAAAGTTCAGGTGTTTTTGAAACATGTTAATTTGTAAAAAATTCAGAGAAGTGATCCTTTTCAATTTCATTAATACTATCCATCTAAAACCAATTAGCACAGGAAGGAATTATCAGTGAATGTTTTGATAATTATCTTCTTATTTCTTGTTTTTATGATTCTTATGGCTATTATATTGGCAGAGTTATTTATGGTTAAGGTGGCTATTATATTTGAGGTGGAGGTTAATGGATTTAAGGGAGTTGAGGCTAAGCAAACCATTGATTTTAGGGTGGCATTTGCTTAATTTAATGAGGGTTTTAAGGTGCTGGGGAAGGATTCCAAATCAGTTTAGAGGGAATATTTTCCAACTATTATTGAACTAAATTATTTTAAGGGGGCATAGGTGGAGGAAGATTAACAGGTTGAATTTGTGGAGGCATTGCTTATTTGATTTATGAAGGTGGTTTAGAAACAACTTATTTTTAAGTAGGTTTTGGTTGAGTAATTTTTTATTGATCAAGAAATGTTTTTGGAATTTTTATTTTTGTATAAATTTTCTCTTCAACTTAATATCCATCTGGCACTTTTATTAGTGTAATTTTTACAAGTTGATCTTATGGATTCATTTTAATGTTAATTTATTTATTTATATTAATATTTTTATCACCCAAATACTTAAGTATAAATTAAGCCAAGCAAAAACTTTAGAATTTATTTATCATTTAATGACTTAACCAATAATACAATGAAGCTTGGGGTAGTTTAAATATTTCTAAAAAGAAAAGAATTATGAAATTATTTCAATTAATATTTTGAATTACTCTTAAAATAGTTGATAAAATATTTGAAATTTCGAATTCGATTTCAATATTTTTCATCAATACTCACTTTGATATTCGTTTTAATAATTTAAAATGTTTTTTATTTATATAATTTTATATAATATGCAATTTGATGACTATTTAGTTGATAATTCTGAACCTTTTTCCTTAAATTAAGTGCATAATATAATATGACTTCTATTTTTAAGAAAAAAAAGACTTCTTTTCTTAATTAAATAATTATTTATTATTTACGTCAGCGAATTTAATAATGGGAAACTCAGTATGTTATAGTCAGGATGACATTAGAAAAAAAGAAAGTATGCCCTTAAGAACAAAAAGAGCTATGGAAATAAAAAAAAAGCTTAAAAATATTGTGCTTAAAGGAGCAAAGGAACTGGAAAATGGATCTGAAAAAACTGAAATGCTAGATTATTTCCTTGACTTTTTTTAAGTAATATTGAAATTGATTAATAGAATAAACTTCTTAAAGTAATTTAAAAGTACGAGTTTCCAAAGCCAGGCAAAGACTTTTTATAATCTGGTTATGTATTATCGTTTGCAAATATTACGGATATTACCCAGCAGATTCATAAAGAAGATGGTGATGTAGACTCTCAATTGTTAAAAAGTTTAATGGACGATATCGATGAGTTAAAAGAAAAGTCTCTTTTTTATCTAATTCTCAAAGAATTCGACAGATTCTACAAATAATTGGTGTTATCAAAAAAAGACAAATTAGATGATATAACAATATCTCCTAATTTGCATCATATGTCAGATACTAAGAGTTTTATAAAAACTCAATTGCCTCTAGAAATTTAAGAAAAATAATAAACTACTGAATTTGAAGACTGTTTTTTTTCTAAAAGGAAATTAAGTGCTCTTATGAAAGAGGATAAATGTTTGATCGATTACCTAATTATTAGTATAATTAATCTGTTTGAATTTTTGAAGTAGATAATCTGTTTGACATATTAAGACATTATAAAAGAATTCATTTCTTTAAATGATATTTAAAAATATCTCCAGAATAGTTTGTTTTTCTAAAAGTTAATTCAACATTACATATATGATAAAGAATTGTGCATTGGTTAACTAATTGAGAAGATGATTCCGTTAAAATATTAAAATTAATAGATTTAATATGAAGGTCAAATATTAGAAAGATAATAAACTTTGGATATATCATTATATCCTGAACCTGGATAGTAAACAATGATTAAGGAATTCGAAGAGGATATGTTTGCTCATGATTTTGGAAGATCAAGATAAGAATAGTATTTTAGAAATAGTTCAAGGATGTCAATTATTGAGATGCAGACTAAAATTATGAATGCAATTGAATAAATTGAAAAAGAGAATCTCCCTTACAAAGAAATGTTTATTATTTTGAAACAAATGTTAGAGGAAGTTAAACCATATAGAATATTTCTATTGATATAAAAGTTGTCGGATGACATTGTTGACATTTACTTATAGTCCAGACCTTAAGATTAATAAAATAAATATCGTGAGCTTATTCTTGCTGAGGATAATAAGCTTTCAATTATTTTGTTTTTACTTCATAAATTTTAAGAGTCAAGTTAATGTAATTTAAACAGATTATTTTATAAATTAAGATTTATGATGGATTATAATTAAGTTCTTGATAATAGAATAAAATATGAAATGGATTAATCATTCGTTAGATTTTATGCTTGTCTAGAGATGATTATTTAAACTCCTTGATTTTTATTCTATTTAACTTTAAAAGCAAAGTTACCTTGACTTTATTTGTTTATTTATTTAAAATATACCATTGTTATTTCATCATAATAATAGTATCCGATTTTACTTGCTCTTATAGATTTTCATCCTCTAATTGGTTCATCTTTGTTTATCTTAATTTATACTTCAGTTTCTTCTATTTTGATGAAGCAATATGATTAGAATAAGTTAAATTTTGATGATATAAAAATTAAATTATTTAAAGTTATTATATTTTCATATATCTTCTTAATGAACTTTAATTAACGAGTAAAAAAGTGATAGAGGAATAAAGTCTTCCTTATCCTTTAATGCATCCTTTGAGAAAATTAGTTTTATTTTTTCATTTTTTAAACACTGAAAAGATTCTATAATCTTGCACTGCTCTGATTTCTCGAATTAGGAATTATTCAAAGTTTTGTCAATTTTCTAATAAGTTTCATAGAGTTTAGATAATGAATTATCATTGGATTAAAGAAATTGATGGCTGAATACTTCATCCTTCATTTTATAATCAAATTTTCCATTTAAATACTTTATCATCATATCTAACACCAAGTTTGTTGATCGAAATAAAAATCTAAGAGGCAAAATTGTTAGTAATATAATAATAATGTCTACCAAAATAGCATATAGACTCATATTCGCATACCAAGATACTATTTTCTAAATTTAGCCATCCAATACTGACGCTATTTCTTATTCATAAGTATTATTTTATAAACTAAATACATTTGCTATAATTACGTTAATGCTATTAACTCCGTCTAAGGTAATTATGAAGCTTTAATATATACGTTTTATTTTAATAAACTATTGTATTTGTAGATTGGGTAAGTAGTTTGATTTATGGACTTTTTTATCTCCTCCCAATCAGTGATATTAAATCCTGTTAAAGTTTCATTATAAATGAAATCAGTTTTGTTTTCCATTTGATGATCAATATAGCTTTTGGAATACACGAGGGTTCCTTTTTCATCCAGAACCATCAAACTTAATTGATCCATATACAAAAAGTTTTGTAATTTAGGAAAATTGATTAATAAAGATGCAATACCTGTTACTTGTAGTTTTGGATTAAAGAGAATATTAGAATATGCAGCCAATAAGTAATTGTAGTTGGACATTTAAAACAGCTTACTGATTTTATATGGAATAAATGTTTTTGTTGATTTTAGCTCCTGAGTGTAATTTGTGAACCATTATTACTGATAGGCCTCAACAGTTTCATTAAGAGGTTTCGTTGGGTAATAAACAGTAAATAAATTGTCTACAATAGAAATTAAATATATTTATTGAGAAACAATGTAGAAATCAAAGGTAAATTAGTGAATATGCATAAGATTGACCAATTTTTCAAAAGGTTTCATATCTGCCCCTTAGAGGCTAAAGTTACCAATAGTAGTAAAGCAATTACTTGAAATTTAGATTTATTGATTTAATTGTTGCATGATGTTGCAATGTTGGAGTTCTTACACAATCCTAAAATCTACAGTATTCATCCAATAGTTCAAGAACACTAACTTCGACATTTTAGTTGTTATCATATAAAATGCAAACTTTATCACATACATAGCATCATTCGATTAAATTTATAGAGCTCTAGATTTGTGAATTCATAATACTTCTTGTTTTGTAGTGATAATATTTATTGTGAAATCAATTGGACTTAATCAGTAGCCATCGATAATTGAATGTTCTAACATATAATAAGTATTGCTAAACTGATTCCAAGGATGATAAAGGTGTATATTAATAAGATTGTACTCATTCTTAGCTTCGATGTTAATTTTTTCAAACTATTTTAGCAAAGCGAACTGCTTTTTTATGATTCAGATATTGGCATTTCTTAAAATGAATAATTAATTAAGGGAAGTTTGAATATGTTTATAAAATAGGGTCTGAAAGAATATTTTAAGGTAAATTTACTACAATAAAAACTATGAGAATGATCATTTATCAGTTTTAGATTATAAAATTTAGGTATACAATTCTTCTTGAATTTGTAAAGTAATTTAACTAGAATTAAAATTACTGTTTAATAATCTTACTTTATATATATATATATACTTTTTATCTTAATATTCAATATAGAAAGAATAAATAGATTGTAAATTAGAGCTTAACAGATTTTCAGATTTAAAGATTATTTAGAATGCTATATTTTCTAGTTTATTCAAATTAAATGAATCATTTCCAATAGGTTTGTTAAAAAATATTAACAAATGAATATGAAAATACTTTCCTATATTTCTCAAACTGAATAAGAAATAAGTTATTATTTAATTACTTTTTATAATGACTGACAGATCCCGAACTATCAGCCTTAGAAAATAACAGATATTAGAAAAAATTCAATACAATTTCTAAAAAATTGATCCAGCCTTCTAAGTAAAATACTTTATTGGAGAAAATTCAAATTTAGTTGAATATCAGATGAATAAATGGAATCGGCAAAGTAGGCAGAAAACAGTTTATGAATAATAAATTGAGAAAGCGATTAAAACATTACGCCATCCTTTTAGATTGGAGAGCTATGTTGATAAACCGCAATTCATAACTCCTAGTTCAGATAAGAAACATAAAGAAATTAAACAAAATGAGGAGAAATAATAGATTACAAGATCTCCAATAAAAGAAGAAACATTAACTAGAAATTGCGTTGCTACACCATCAAGTCCATTGAAGTTATTTTTTATTTTATATAGGAAGCTTTTCACCTAATATTAAGATTTAGTAAAGGTTTAATATATTTCATCTTCCGAATAGATGAAAAAGTTAATTTAACAATATTCAGATTCTGAAAAACCAATGTCATCTTATAGAAATCCAGAATTTACTCCCTCAAGACAGTTAAACTCAAAAAGAAAAAAAAAGGGGATAAATTAATTTTCTTTGATTCCACCATCTCCTATTCCAAGAAATCGGGAGTATTTGTTATAGAAAAACACAAACAATCTAATCCTTTTAGATGAATTACAAGATGATTTAGAGAGTTTTAGAAAATCATTAGGAGAAATGTAGAAATTTAAAAATCTGTTCCCAAAAAGATAATAAAAGAAATCTAAATAAGACTTATTATTTTGATCTTAAATTGTATGTAATTTAATTGAATTTATTTCAGAGATTTAGATTTGAATATCATTTCTTTTAGTGTTTGAATTAAATTTCATAAGGCTATCCTTAATTTAGTAAATTCCTAAGACTCACTTATTTAAACTGACATTTATGTAATAATTTTAAAGAATAGATTTTATTGAATCAAGAAAGATTAAATAATAAATAACAAATTATTTATTATACGCATAGAACCTTTTTATTAGATTAATTTAGTTATTTAAAAACATCTTATTCTTTAATGAAATTATCAACTCTCACATATTTGATTCGATATACTCTAATGGTCTTTCTGATTATCCTAATACTGTGTTCAGCTATTAAGGCTTTAAGAGAATTATCTAAAACTCTTCTTATTTCTTTTGATAATATAAAGTATCTATTTACTTTCAATTAAGTCAAATCCTAAAATTTAGGAGAAGAATCGGGGGATCTCATCTCGTATTTGTTTCTAATTAACTAAATATATAATTCGTATTCTTTATTTTGTTCACTGTTTATTTCAAAAATTTATGGAAATTCTAGTTTATCTTTTATTTCTGCTAAATTTGCTAATTAAAATAACTTAATTATCCAATAATTCACTTATATCAAATCCACATACAATTAATACATTAGCATATTTGCGGTGTTATCTGGAGACGGTTCCAGGATACGATCTAAATTAGTAAAAATTTCACAAGCCACATTGATTTTATAAAACAAAATTACGCTATAAATTCATATAAATTCTTAGCATCATTTAGTATCAACATTATAAGATTTTATATTAAACTGTTTGATTTTTTTACTAAAATATTCTCAATATATGGAATAAACTAAATTATGAGGAATATTTTACTAATTTAAGTTTCTTCAATAAACAAACAATTACAATTTATGATGCTAATTAATTTTTGAAATCCATTTGATAAAAGTCATTAATTTTCCCTGAGCACAACAAAAAATATTGGTTTCTTTCTGCAATCCCTTTCAGATAGTCTCGATATTAAAAAATTAAATTCTAATATAATTATTGTAAAATAGGGAGTTATTAAATTGGCTGTCTGTAATAGGATAAAACCTAATCTAAATCAATATGGTCAGCAAAATCCCTACATGACAATAGAAGTCTGTGAATAATTATTAATATTTTGAGGGAAGCAACATCATTCCTGCATGATTTAAAATGTTTATATAAAATCTTAAAGGATTGTTGAACATGTAATTCTTCTATTTATCCGTTGAATCCCTCCTATAGAACTTAGTATTTTAGTTCATTTACTAGTTGTACTTTAGAACTCTCTAAAATTCTTCTCAATACCTATTATTGAATATCTAAATACAATCTCAAACTCAGTCTAGGACTAAAAATCCTTAAAGTATTTTATTATCTTCTTCATTTCAAATAAGTAAATAATTAATGTAATTATTAAAGTAGTGCAAAAATTACATTTTTGATTGTTACTTTCTTATATTAATTAATTCAAATAAATAAAGTAATGATAAATAAATCAATTATTCAAAGAATACCCCCAGGCAATTAATACTCAAATTATTTTGGTATTAATTGTCAACAAACAGTTACAACTTGAAAAAATTGAAGAAAAATAGAGAACAATCATATATACTGTTTGACACTCTTAATTATATGAGATTAAGCTTACATAGATTTATATTTATAATTAATAAGGCTTGCAAATAATAATTAAACCTGAATTTGAGGTAATAGATAATCCGGAATAATTATATATTTTGTTTCATTTATACTTCTTCTGCTACTATTAAATTTTTACTATCTTTTGTTAAAGAATTTTAATAACGCTATCCCAAGACCAATTGATTTCATTGGAAAAATTTTTAAATTCTATATATTTTTTTACTGCCCCATTTTTTAAAAAATAACTTAATTTGATGCCAAATTTGATATTACCTAAATAAGTTATCAGCTCAAAATTAGGTTCTATTATAATCATCATTCTTTCTAATTTAAAAAGCTTAAAAATGCAAATATTCTGAGTTTTTTAAATTTAATATAGTTTGAAATAATTAAAAATAGTGAACTAAATTTATAAATTCAATTACGTTTATCGGTTTTGTTTCTCAGGCTATTTTTAATAGCTTGAATTCGTAAGTTGCTTCATGATATTTTTAGTATTAGCTCGATTAGTACGATTATTGTCATAAGGTTCAGTCAATTTGAAAGCTTGATTTAAATATATGATCGAAAAAGCAATTGCTTAAATTATTTCATAAATTGTCTTTGGTTTTAAGTACTTACACAAGGTGAAATAGTAATTTTATTCCTTATTTTAGAAAGGAGCTAAAATCAAAATTAATTAATAATAACAATATGTAACAAAAGTAATTTTGTCATGCTTTTTTTTTATAGAGAGATGATGAAATTTAAACAAGTAATTAAATATTTGATTTCACTGAATAACTTAATCACTCATTGTTTTAAATCAAAATAAAATATTTGAATTCGTTAAACAGTAGGGAGAATGGTATGAGTTTGTTGGCAAATTAATTAAACCTTAAATCTCGTAATTTATCAATGATTACGATTAAATTTTAGAAAAGTAATATCTTTTCTTTAATATTAAGTTATTCAAGTTATGATAGATATTTTCTGATATCATTAAAAGCATCAAAACATTAATAAAATATTTATATGGAAGTTGAATAATAGTAATAGCCAGTTAGTATTAGAGGACTTAATCTTTCTAGAATATCTTAATCGAGCATATAAATGAATGATGAAGAAGATTTCTACGGAGGCCATTCAGGAAGGTCAATAGAATTGAGTATAAGAGAATGTCAGGAAGTGAATGAATTTAAAAAAAAAAGTCTCTAAATTGAGTTGTCAATAGTTGACTATTTAAGTTCAATGAATATTAAAATGAAAACAGATCCAAAAGCTAAATAAGATCGTTACTATTCTAACTTAAGGAATAATAATAAAAGAAGAGCATATACTACTCTGGAGATAGAAAGAGATTTTTCAGACAATACACCAGATTCAACCATCAAATCATCTTAATTGTCATTAAAGGTAAATTCACTACTTGAGAGAAGAAAGACTCAGGTGAGTTTTGCAAGCACCAATTAAAGTATTTCCAGTTTATAAGCCATTTCATATACAAAATTAGAAAGAAAAGTATTTAAAAAGTCAAAATAATACGAATGTGAAGAAATCGATAGCATAATTTCCAATTAGTCTCCTTATTGAAATGAACATTTGATTGAGTTATTTAGTTTACTAATCCTTCATCAAAATTATAACTATATATCAAATTTGTTTTTAAATCTATGATCTTATAAAACCAACGAGATTTTTCTTCTATTAAGCTTCTCATATTGTTGATCTATATCAAAGTTCTAATAAAGATATTTTTATAAACCAAAACTACCTTTAATATTAGACGAAATTTGTGAAATAACTCTTCAATCAAGAAAACGAATACAAATTTTATCAACATATAATTAGTGATTTGATAACTCAATCCTAGACGGTTATTTATTTAACAACACTAATTACATGTTTCATACTTCTATATTACTTTATAGTTTACTTTTTATATGAATTTTGAGGTTTTATTTTGCAAATAAGGAAATTTTGTAAATTATGCTATTTCGACTTATAATATAAAAACTTGATTTTCCATAATTAATGATATTTTTTTATTTGATTGGAATTGTATAAGGGCTTATTCCCGATAACTGCAAATGGACAGATCCAGACGGGTTTCATTTTGATATCAATCATCTGAAAAAGAAAGACAATTATAAAGTGACTTCATTTAGTGGGGCAATGTCATTCGAATTTAATTTTTGTACATATGGTGTTTAATGCAATCACAGAGAGGTAAAGAATGTTGAGTATTAAGGGTTGCTGCGTTTTAATTATTTCATAATAAATGCTACACAATAGGCTTAAGATCTGAATCAGATATTTGGTATGATAGTTTTGGTTTAAATCTAAAATATAAAAATGGTATGGAGTATTGAATGATGATAGGTGATTTATGTGGAGAAACCTTACAATACTCTGTTTAGTTTTAGATATAATGCGGAGATGAAACACCATTTAAATAAATAATGACAGATTCCCCATGCAATATTATGCTTTAGACAACGCATCCTATGGCATGCAGAAAAAAAGAGAGTTACTTCAATTATTACGTGTTTTTGATTGTTTTAATAGTTGCTGGTTTATTCCTAATGAAGAGAAAGAAAAAGCAAGAACAAGGATATGTGTTAGTTTGATTGTATAATAATAATGAGATAAACATCTATTCTGTATTCACTTCCGACATATGTTATTATTTTATATATTTCCCAATTATTTCATCATGTCTTATATACTTTTGAAATCACCCAATTTTTAAAGTATGTTTGGATCTTTCGACATATCTTCTAATAATTTTGATGAAAATTCTTTGTTCGCTAAAATCACTACTCAATTATACTTAATTCTTTAAAATTGTGTTTAGGAGGAGTGTGTGAGGTTTTTATGAATGATTTATAGATTTTTAATAAATTATTGACTTGTTCAATTGTTGTCCCTGAACCTTTAGCTATTCGAATAATTCTAGAATTCGATAAAGTTACTACAACACTTACTATAATGAAATACCTTGTCCATCTAATTCTTTTGATGTCATTGAATTCAAAATATAAAGATATCTTTTCATCTACTATGTTTACTCTTTTTCATTTACATTAATACTTGGAATTCCCATCAAGCATTTCGAAAAGAAATAATTAATTGATCCAAATTTTAACAGTTTTTTTACTTCTGATTCCAAATCTCTTAATGTAAACTATTTTTCCTTAGGTCCAATTGAAACAAAGCTGTTTAATTTATTTAGTAACCCCTTAAGATCTTCAAATCCTAATAGTTTGCTAATAAACTATGAAGATTAAAATTCTAATAAATCTTCATGACCTTCTCCATTACATATAAAGTCAATAGGCGTGTTGGTAGCTACAACAGCAGAAATCGCACCTCCACCTTTTGAATGACGATCCACTTTTGTAATTATTATTGATCCTTAATTAAAAGCACTTTTGAAAACAAATACTTAATCTTAACAAATTTATCCAATTGATGAATCCATCACAAAAATAATATTATCTGGTTATATCATGTACTCCATTTATTTCATTTCTTTACATAAATCAGTTTCTTTTTCATACTTTCCTACCGTGTCTATAAGTATTATATCAATTCCCTCCTTTTTGAAAATTTAAACTCCATCCTAGGTAGCGTTAACTGGATCTGATTCAAAATAAGAACTTTATATTTTATTTGAAATTACCCATAGAATAGAACTTTAATCTTTTTAGCTTACTGTTTTACCCAATCTATCTCTTATAATTAAGATGAACCAGCACAAATAATCCCAACCTTCCATCCTCTTTTTTAAAAGTAGTACGCATATTTAAAGCAAGTACTCGTTTTACCAGATCCTTTTAAACCTATAAGCATCATAACATTAGGTTATCCTTTAATTCAAAGTATAATATACCTTTCTTTGGTTGAAATGACATAATATCATTTTAAAGTAATTTTGTCAATTCTTCAATTATTGATTTTTAAAGAAGTCGTTAGAGATTTATAAATTCTAATAAGTGTAATTTGAACTCCAATCTAATATTTTCTCTCAACTCTTATATTAAACTCTCATTTACATCTGTTTTCTATAAGGCAATAGATATTTCATTTAGAATTTAATCAACAACTACTTCATTAATTTGTTAAGGTTAATTTAATTTATTAAGAACTCCTTTAATTGATTATCCAAGTTCTGTTAACACCATCGATTAATATCAAAAAATATCAAACTAATATTATCCTCTAATTATCTTATAACACCCATTAAATTTCATAAATTCACTATTACTTTGACACGTATTCATAAATCAATTGAGGACTGATTTAGAATTAAAATTATATTTATTAAATATTTACATATCTAATTTAGAATCCATTATTATAATAAAGATTACCCCTTTACTTAAGTAAATAAAGGAACTATATATAATATATCCAATTCACACCAAAACTGATGATAAAGCAAATTATATGTTATGCCTTTGTTTACAAATTGCGATTAAAGAATGATGAGTAATAATTAAGAACGGCTGATGTCTAAATATATTTGATTATGTGTAATTTATAACGTTGTTGCTTTTTTCTGTTACTCTATACCAATTAAAATACAATTTAGATCATCATTATGGGTTTTAATTAAAGTGATGCGTAAATAATAGCATTTCTTGATTAAATTTTATGTATAAATTATATATTATATTATATTGCAAGCTATTTTAAACAACTTGTACATGTTTTTTGCATGAAATAAATTCAAAAGAAATCATCTAAATTAAATTATGGAGTTTAGTAGACTTAATCATCTTCATCATAGATCATAAGTTGGACCATATTTCTATTGAGAGATTCTTCATCCATTTACAAGTTTAAATCGTCTTATAAAGTTGACTAAGTTTGTTTTTACACTTTTTAAGTCTTTCTCTGAACTAATGGCGATTAGGGGTTAAACTTTTAGTGATGTGATCTAATGTAAATATAGATAATACCTGCATTGACTGGGTGATCGAGTTCCAATAACCTCGCTCATTGACTTGAATATTTTATTATTTTTCTTTATGTCAGAATGATCCTCTAGGAAGTACAAATATTTTTCATGTTCTTCCTTCGTCCAATGGCCAACATTTTTTTTAGGGGAAATCAATTCAAACTTCTTTATTCTTTTGGATTTAGGTGATTATGAGAAAGGAGATTCACAAGAATCATCTAAATCCAGTTATTATTCACAAGAATTCAAAGACATTATTTTTATTAAAAAACCAAAATAATTTATTATTACTTTAAGTATATTGTTCTCAATTTAAAGATTTTGTTTAATATAATTAGTGTTAATTTCATCTCCTGTTATTTCTAATTATCTACTCAAGGTTTTAATTTTACAAAAGTTATTATTTAATAATCAAATTTATTAAATACCATGATAGCTAAAAAGAATATTATAACTTAAACGATCTATTATATTGACTAATTATTGTTACATTTTAATTTATAAATAATTGATTCATTTCTTTTAAAGAATTGTGTAATCAATTTACAAAGCAATATCTGTGTAAAATCTCACTTAATAACATTCTCCTCTGATTACTTTAAAAAAAATAAAACTATCATAAATACTGTGTTGATAATTTGAGCTTTAACTTTTTTATAAAAAAATTATTATTGATTCTTTACGAAAATACATTTTAATAAATTGAATAGAATTCTTTGTATTATCATATATAATCAATTTAGAATAAGTTCATTTTTATATTTGATTTTTCCAAAAGAATTTAATTAAATTATTTATGAAACATTTCGAGCAACATATTATGATTTTAAAATTATATTTATTACAAACTAATTCTTATTAATTGCTTATGTTCATTTTTCAATATTCTCTTTCAATTTAATTTTAGTTGTGAAAATCTTGATAAATAGATATTTTTATATAGTTATTAATGTTCTCTTTTATAATTATGTAGAAATCATACTCAAATCTGTATAATTGGGTACCATGAACAATATTCAATAATTTAGTAAGTTAATAATTTTTAGATATTATCATAATTTATTATTTAACTGATATAATTATAATGAGAAAATAACCACTTTCAAGTAGATCAAGCTTTTCTTGTAATCCAAAGGGAAGAGATAAACCACTTAATGAGTCACAAGTTAGCAATTTAGTAACAGAAAATTAAAAGCTGCTTTAACAAAATGATAAGCTGATATAATAATTGGAACATTTAAGACAAGAATACGAGTCGTTAGCTACAAGTGGAATCCAAAGTATTAAGAGTCAAAGGAGTAAAAAAATAGAATTTGAATAATCATCAGAGGAAATGAGTAAACTGAAAATATAAAAGGAAAAACTGATTGTGGATAATGAGTGTTTAAGAAGAACAATAACTAAATTATAATATTAATTGGATGAATAGAACAAATATATTGAAAATTTGTAAAGATCATAAAATGACTATGAATAATTAAAATAACGTTTAGAAGAAACAGTTTAAGTAGTTAATGACTTAGAGATATAATTACAAGAGTAATACTAATAATAAAAATAATTTGAATATAACTAAAAAGTAATAACACTAAGTAATCAGGATACACAAGATCATCTATCATCTCACCAAAAGATGAATGAAATACAAATCAGTTAGCTTAAAGAACAAAACAATAAACTCAATAAGTTACTTGAGGAAAGGTTGGTTTAGTTAGAGAATCTAACAAAATTATTAAACTAACGAAATGAAGCCTACAATAAATTACAAGAAAGTTATGATCAAGATATCACCGATATGAGATAACATAATTCTAAATAGAAATCCCATTCCTCTGATTTTGAGAGGAAAGCCTTGCAGATTTAAGTACATTAGTTGAAATAATAAGTTGAAAAATGTCAATAAAATAATTGTCAGCACAAGTCAAAGGTCTAATAAAAGAATGATGAAGAATAACAAAAAATAATTTAGGATCTTTAGTCAATGTTAAAATAGAAAGAACATCAAATTAAAGTTCTTGAATAATAATAAGAAGAACTCTCATAGAATGCTAAATAAATTTAAACTGCAATTGCCTCAAATAATTTTGCTAATAATTAGAATTAGTAGATTTTGCAATAATAAGTATAAACACTGATTAAGGAATTAGAGGGGCAAAAATAGCAGAATCATAAAATTATTTATGATTACAATTAATTGAGAAATCTGAATTAGTAATTGAATGAGAAATTGAACTTCTATAGTTAAAGTTAATAGAAAATGATTCATAATTATTCTCATTCATTTGTCTCATCTCCTGGAAGATTAGACACTTATCCAATTAAGACTACTTCAGCCTTAACAAATAGAACCAATTTTATGTAAAACGCTCCTGATTCCCCATTCAGAAAATAGAAACTTCATTTATTATTTACGGATGATTAGTAAAAATTAGCACCCAATTTGTCTACAAAAAGTAAATTAGTTTATTAATCTATTTTAGAAATCGTTCAAGTGGCATCAAAACTATTTGAAGGAGATTAAAACTAATAGCCAAACAAAGATAGATTTATACTACATGACTGAACACAATATTAATTTTATATGTATTGCTATATAAGAATATGTACTTATATTCTTCTTTTCTAATGTAGAAAGAATTAAGAAGATAAATACAATCAGAAACTTAGAAAATAAAACAGAAACAAATTTTTCAAATATTTTTTTATTTTTGCTGTTATGAATATTTTAAAGGTGACTTCTCAGAGCTATATGAAATGGATTTAAAAATGAAATCGGTTATTCTAAAATTAGAAAAGTATATTTATAATTATATTTAATTTTAATGATTTGCCCTTATAAATGTGATGAAGATTGTATAGAAACCCTCCTGACCGATGGGTTATTGCTGTCTATAGGATGTGTGGTGATCTCTTTAATGATATCATTGTATTTAATTATTAGACACCTAATGAATTTCAATATGCCCTTTTTTCAAAGTAAAATCATAAGTACCAAAATAATCTTTATACTATTAGTTATACTCATGATGGCACCTTTTTATGGATTAATTTCAATAATGTCGATGGAATTTCATGTAAGAATAAATTCAAATATAGTAGTAAACAGGGTTTAGCATCCTATTTCGAATTGGTTCGTGATATTTATTTGGCTTTTCTGTTGTTCACATTTTTCTACCTTATGTTCTCTTATATGGCATATAATCCAGAGGATAAACAATTATACGATGATCGCGTTTATCAAACAATGATTGAACATGAAAAAGAAATACATCATTTGTGGCCGGTTAATTACTGTACTGAAAGATACCTATTAACTACGTATAATATTAATTTAATTCATTAGGAAGGCTAAAGCTAAGTATTTCACTTATAGATGCAAGAAATTTGTTCTTTAGTATTGTGTTGTGAAACCTGTTCTCACTATTTTAATCATAGTTTTGCACCCATTTCATCATAAGTTATACGCAGTATTTTTATATTTCATATTTAAAGTAAAGATTGATGTCAAGCTTTGAATTTATCATCATAACGAGTGAAACATTCTCACTCTATTACCTAATTTTGTTTTATTATGCACTAAAGCATCCTTTACAACCATACAAGTACAAATTTATATTAATTCTATAGACCATTACTCAAATTCTTGATTATAAAAGTAACGTTATTTTTTACCTTCTGGTAATCGTTAACCCTATCAATTTTTGAAGAAGAAATTTCAAGCTGTTTTGAACCAGATGAAGCAAAATATAGCAGTGCTACAATCATAAGTGCCATAGAAGTAAATAATCAAAAATAATTAACAAGAACACTCTAGTTTGTGTAGAAATGCTTTGCATGACTCTTGCAAGTATTTTTGCCTTTGCTTACAGAGATTTTATATCTGAAGATGAAAATAAAGTTGGAACGCTTGGCTAAGTATTAACAGATAATTGGAAAGCATTCTAACATGATTTTAGATTAATAAAACCAAAGAAATTTGGGTATTTAATTTGAATTATTTAATATAGATTTATATCAAAAGTGCATGAAATTGAAATGTATAACAAAAGAACTTCAGAAAATTAAGAATTTGAAGTCACATTTACAGGCGATTACCAAAGATTAAGCAAGGCAATAGATGTTCAATATATATGAATTATTAAATAATTATATTTAAAATGTTGATTTGACAATTATAATTGCAGATAGACAATCTCTCTATGAATTATCTAATACTTATTTAAAATATTATTTGAATGATAAACAATAATAACATTCTTCCACCACAATACGAAAATTTCTTTAAAGTTCAACAATTGTCAAAGAAATAAGGATAGAGAAGGCTAAAAAAGGAATTAAATATTTTATTTATAGAATTTTAACATAATTGTCTAAAGCTTCTATCATGATTTGTTAATGAATCCAAATAATCCTCCTTTCTTTGGTTATGCACCTTATTATTAATTTTATTATTATGTCTAATCATCTACTTTTAATTAATTTGAAGTGGCGTTCTAATTATAACTAAAATTTATACAATCGCAGCTTGTTTTGCAGCATCACTAGTGGCAACTTATTATCCTACTTTTTCGGCAGCACCTAAAGCCCAATCTGGAGCCCCTGGAATTTAACTTTTTACAGCTGCTTTGGCTGCTTAACCTCCAGCATTTTTCATTTATTCTTTTACTCTTTCATCTTCATAAAATGCTGCAACATTTTTATCAACCTATTAATTGTATTATTATGTTAATGTTTAAGATGAAGATGGCTTATTTGCTTGTAAAGGGTTAGCGTTTTATTATGGCACTTATGGTTAGGGAGTTTTTGATGCGCCTCCAAATAGATTTGTTTGTTATTTTGATTGTTATTATTAAGTCTGTTATTGGTTTTGTTATTACTATTATTATTATTGCTATTATTATGATTATTACTATTATTATTTTTATTATTGTGCATCAGACATTGAATTTTTAGAAGTATCATTAGATGTTTGAACGATAGGAGCTTTGTTTGGTTCTTATTTCTAAGTGTTGGCTTAAGTCTTTGGATCTTATTTTTATTGTTATTATTACTATTATTAAGGCTTATTTTACTAGAGTTATTACTATTATTATTATTATTATTATTCAGCAGCCAAATCTTCTTAAGCAGATAAGATATATTCGGAGAGACTATTATAATATTATATGATACTCAGGATCTCTTTTAATGATTTTTTATGCATTTCTAAAAGTCTCAACTTCTTTATTTAATTTTTTTCTCTCTTCTACTATATTTTAATCTTCACTTATTGCTTAGAGCAGATATTGGTTTTACATTAAATTTTATTGTAATTACATAAGCATTTTAGTCTATGATTAATAATGGATAATTACTTAGCATCCCTTCACTAAAAAGTAACCAACTAATTTAGGAATATTATCCCTTGTTGATCTAACAACTAATTTAAAATAATGTTCAATTTTATTTTTTAATTCGGCCACCATATACTATCCTTTAACAGGTTAAGCTTCTTTGGCAGGTTTACCAAATCTAATATACTATTTGCCAGCCAAATAATTAAAGTCATTTGTGAAGACATAGTTCATTTCAGCATCCAAAATATCCTACACAGAGTTTTAGGCATTTTATTTGCACTCTTAGATAATTTCAAGAACCTATTCCTCCAACATTTTAAGCACAGATGGAATTCTAAATAATGAAATATTAAATTACGTTTATAATTAATCATCCAAGATTGCTATTGCGTATTCTTCAAGAATTGAATAAGCTTCGTCAATAATGTTGAAGGCTGGTTATTGCAATCTTTTTAATTCTGGATTCAATAGTGCATAAAATGCATCAACAGGAAGAAATCCAGGAATAGTTAATGCTGAATATTTCTGGATAACTTATGTAATATCATCTTCAGAATATTTCTTTAATGCTAGGTAATCAAGGTCATTAAACTCATCATATAATTCTTAAAATAAGAGTTTTATTTTGGCTCCAGCAGGAACTTGGAAGAAATCATTTTTCCTTGCTGATTTAACCTTTTAATAAGATCCTGTAATTGAGTTTCTAAATCTAACTGAGAACTCATGTATTAACTTCCAAATATAATGCATTTTATCCTAAAATGATAGAATTTAAATTTACAGAATCTTCGATTGGCAGACCTGGACCCAAGACATCTAATCTAACTTAGATTTTGCCAACTCTATTATTTATCTCTTTCATTAACTCTGGAAGGAAACTTCTAATTCTTCTGTAGAGAATTGTAGTTAATTTTCTAGTCAGAACCTGAGTTCCAAAGATTTCTCCTGGTATAGTGGAATACACAGGATGGTTTGCAAAAAAGTTTTTTTCTCTAAGAACAGCTTAGATAATAGGAATATTATCATTGATTTCTTATTAGGATCTCAATTTCACTCCAACGTACCCATATTTTAATGGCACTTCTTCTCCTTTAAGCATTTTGAATGCATTCGTTCCCTAATCCATAATATCAATTTTAGTCAAGACTCCGATTGTTCGAACACCTTTGATAATTAAGTTTGAATAATACCATCTGGATCTAATTTCTTGGCCAACAACAATGCATCAGATGTAGTCATATCAGCATTCGCAGCAACAACACATAATATGATGGCTGATTTGTCTTCACAATATCTTTTAGCCATATTGGTTGTTATTTCTTCAATATTTGTGGGCTAACCTGCAATTGGTATACGAGTGATTCCTGGAAGATCTAATTTAAAAATTTAAGATTTTTCGATACCTACTAAAGTTAGATCAGGACAATTAGGTCCTTGGACTGCTAAAATTATAGGCTTGTCTATAATGTTTTTAGCCTATCCGCATACCTTATCAGTCAACTCGTTTATTTATTTCCGAACTTCTTCAAAATTAGTGAACTTTTTGCCCTTGATTTCTTCAACAAACTCTGCTGTTGGTGTGGGACAAACGCTAGCTGGAGCATTAGATAAACGCAATTCTAATGGTCTTCTTGTTACAACACCCTAAATTCAATAACAAAAGAATTACAGATCCTCTAGGGAGAAAATCTATTCCAACTATATGTTCTAGTAAAGAAGACTTTCCTGCAGATTGAATACCCAAAACAACAATTCTTGGCAATTTGATATAATCATTTAAACCAATATCTCTTAATTGATCCACTAATGTGATAACTTTTCTTAAATTTTCTAATAAGCTCACACCTTCTGAATTTGACATAAAAATTAATATTTAATATCATATTATTTTAAATTACCCTTATATCATCTTTTTTTATAATCTATATTTTTTCTAATTAGATCAACAAACTCAAGGGTTAGCTCTCTTGTAGCACTATAACAATGTCAAATCAATCCTCCATTCAATTAAAAAAAAATTATTGATAAAGAGAGTGAAAAGACTCCGTATTCAAAATTTAATGCATTTATAGGATAGTAATTATAATACTCTGTTCATTTACTGAGATAGAGTCAAAATTAAAAACTCGATAATATTAAAATTTATCTCATTCAATATTCTAATTAGGAACATAATATTTATTAATCCTATAATTTATATCAAAATGAAATCTTTACGATTATAAAATTAGATCAAAATTAAATAATATGTCCCTTTCAAATAGTGCTAATTTTTTTCAAAAAGTACTTATTTGATCATAAAAAACAATTGTTTTTATTTGATTCGCAGAAAGACGTGTATTTTTAAATATACATTGAATAACTTTTTAAGGTTTTTAAGAAATCTAATTAGGTAAGATTCTTTAAATATTTTATTTGTAATAGTTGCAGATCTATTTGGGATTAGTCAGAGAAAAATTATGACATATTTTATTGCCTTAATTAAAAGATAATTGCATATATGTGATCTAATTCAATAAATTCACTATTAATAACTTTATTGATAAATTATTCTAAATTTCCTACAGTATATAAACTAAATTATTGAGATATTTTGTGATGTATAAATTTTATTTATCATTATTGTTGATTACATTCCTAATATCTTAATCATATAGCTAGGTTTATGGTTGCTAAAGAGTAAAGTAGCTCAAATCCATTCTGAGAGGCAATAACAAAAATGTTATAAGTTATGAGAATGGCTCTTTGTTGGCAAGTAGAAAATAAAACTTATTTAACGGATCGGGAAAATCGACAGGAATACTTTTTAGAAATGAGATTTATGAAAATTCACTTGATCTAAAAGGTACTTATTGCAGCATTAGTTATTCCTTAATAATAAATTTGAGATAAAATTATGAATTGAATAATCTTATTTTATGGCTATGGGATGGAGAAACACGATATTACAATCTTATCGTATATGCTATATACTCTGAAAAGGAGACAATTATTTTTGATTCAGTGTCTGCATCAGCAATCGTTCATATTAAATTTCCTGTTCAGATTGTTTAGCTATTTAGAATATATAACAGAAACGGAAACACTTCTTCATAATCAACAAATATAGTTAAAGTAGAGGCCTTTTATAGAGTTTGAAAACATAGAATATAATGATATTATTACTTTTGAAAAATCATATATATTTAAAAACTAGTCATTAAAATCAATATAATTTAATATAAGAAATGGAATAAATTACAGGTTTATGAGTAGTAAGTAATTCTAAGCCTGGAAGAACTTGACGTTTCAAAGATATTGAAGATTTGGTGAAAATGCTTTTAACAGTAGTGAAGATTAAATTATTCTAGCTAAAATATAATTATGGAAGCCTTAATCTAGATGAAATCCATATTTAGTTTTATAAAATATTTATGAATAAATATTTATGAAATAAATAATTATAAGTATTATAGAAATATGATTGTATAATTAAATATAAAATTGATTGATATGAATTAAAAAATCAAAAAGCACCATGAAGTTTAATCTTCGGCTGCAAATCAGCATAATCAATATTTAGACGCAGATGAAGTTGCTGAATTGATAAGGAATGTGAATCCCTCTAATTTAATTCTTCCTTTTAGTATATTAACTTCAACGTTAGAGTGGTATGTCAGAACAATATCAGATGAGATTTATAAATTAAGCTTTTTGAACCAAAAAAAGTTTAATAGAGCAAAAATATTTTGGCCAAGTTAGTATGAAAATCAAAATGACCTAATATTATAATATCTAAATTAATTTGATGGACATGATTTAGAGGACTACTTTGATGTTATTATTAAGATTTAAATGACAAATGAAAAAGCATTGATTTTGAACTGCTTTTTAAATAGTTTTACATTCTAAGTTGAAGAAAAAGAAAGAAATAATTTTTCTAATTAAAAAGGATTAGAATTGTTTTATGAGAGAAAAGAAGTAATTATGATTGGCTGTGAAAATGATTTAAGTGCCTTGGTAGATTTGACAAATCTTCTTTGCGAAAAATATATATACTAGAGTCATTATTAGGAATAGCGGGAGATTATTAAATTCTCTTAATAAGAATTATATAAAAGATTGATTCCCATATTGCAAGAAGAGACTTTAGTTGTTTTATATGAGCTATATAAAGATTTATGAGAATTTTGTTCAATATTTCTGTATTTTTCTTTAAAGAAAATCTTAGAAACCCAAAAATTGAATTAAATTTTATTGAATGAATGATTTATGTCCTCTAAAGCAAAACTTAGGTATAATCCAGAATAATTATTTCTCAATTTGAGAGGATTATCAAGAAATAAAAATTGTTTTTGATATAGAGCTAGAGATACTTTAATAATAAAAAGTATATTTTTATTTACTATTCCAGGTAGAAATAGTAATGAATTTAAAGCAGAAATGCTAAAGTTTATAGTTAACTAGTATAAGTTTAATATTTAAATAAACTTCTCATATTAATTGAAATATGAATATTACCCTATGGCATTTGCCATGCGAAAAATCTAAACAAATTTTATGATATCAGGATCTTCAGTTTTGATCCAAGCGCCTTCTAGTGTTATTCACTAAAACTGAACAATTTACCTCATACACGTCATGAGGATCTCAAGTTTGTAATAGGTTTACATAAAATTTTAATAATTATTCAAATTTTGATTTTTATTCAATATAAAGTTTATTATTATAACAGGGTATCAAGAATCATTCAAGATCAAATATTTGATAAATAATTAATATAATTTTAATAATGTCATAGTTATCTGAATCCTCAGAATTATTTGTAAATTGTGATGAAGAAGTTACTGTAATCTGTAAAAAGCTGCAACAAATTCTTACTACTATTGATATTCAAGAAGATAAAAATTTTGCATTGAAGGAAGCACAAAGTTGTATTGATTCAGCAAATGAAAATGTAAATATTATGATAATCAAAGTTAAAATAAATGGAAGTGGAACTATAAGGTTATGCAAAGAATATTAAAGATAATTTAAAATAGTAATTTATTTTGCAAAAAAGAAAATTGGATGAAATGAATAAGGTTTATACTTAAATGAAATCTAAGTATGAAACTTAAACATCCAAAGAACTCTTATTTGGTAAGGATTACTAAAGGTAAAAACTTCTTAAAGAGCAAGAATAATTATATGATTAAAATATGAAATTATAAGATGCTAAGATGGTTATTTATGGAGTAGAAAAGGAAGCAAATGACATTTAACTTAATCTTCGTAGACAAACAGATAAGTTATCTAATAATATCGAAAAATAATAGCGTAGATATATCTATAATAATTTTAGCTATTAGAGATGCATTAAGTAATTCATATGCATTAATTAAAACAATGTAAAATCGAATAAGGAATAACAAATTAGTATTATTTGTTGTGTGTGGAATCATTTTATTAGCAATTCTAATAATTCTTTTTATGCATATGTGAAACATTTGACTTAGCTAGAATTGTTATGATTATATCATGCTATTATATTATTAGTAAATAGTAAAATTTTCGATTCTTCATGCATCAAATAATAATTTTATATATATCTAATTAACAAAAATATTGAATTCAAAAAAAAAATTGAAGAGTAGATATGAAAATTATTTCTTATATCTTCACTAAATATCTAAAAGAATTTTGAAGGTGCATTAAGATGTGAGATTGTATGCAAATCATTGTAACTCTTTAGTTAATTATTATTAGTAATCTTTTATATGGGTTTACTGGGTGAAGATTCAAAATTAGAGAAACAGATTATTAAGACCCTTGGAAAAATTGCAGATCATTAAAGATTTTCCTCCTGATTTTATTTTTATTTATAAAAAATACACATTATTTTAATTTCAAAATTTGCAAATGAAGGAAGCAACTAATATTAGCGACGAAAAAAGACCTTTGGCATCTATTCCATTATAGACTTTCCTTTATTTTGATTATATTTTTACAGTATACAAATCATATTCATATTTAGTACATCTATTTCATAATCGAAATAATTGTCTTTATTTACAAAGGTTATGGTTTATTTTATCCTCCAAATAAAATAGGAATAGAAATATTTTTGCAGTTTCTATTAGCATTTTGCCAATTTCCTCGATTGATATTAGGATCAATAGGCAATAAAACAGAATCTCCATCCTAAATTTTATGGTATTAGGATATTTCTATTTTAGGTTTGTTTTACTAATTTTCCCTTGCATATTCTTTTACATATTTTTTATAGTGTTGTAAACCTATGTGGTTATTTTGGAAATAATAATAAATGTGATTGGTTTGATATTTATCATCTTTGAATTGCTATTCAGCTTATCAGCATTTTTAACTTTCAAAAATTACGAGAAGCAGCAATGATTTTGAAATTAATGATATTTTTATATAGTTAATTAGCAATGATAAATTTCCATTATAAATTTAATATTATAAAATGGAGGATGACAGCAGAATAATCAATGATGATGAATCGTGCATCACTAATGATTGTTAAGTGAACGAGACTTAAATTAAATAATATAAAAAGGTTAAATTGTTGGGAGTTGGAGCATATGGTAAAGCCTATCTTGTTTCATCTGATGATTAAGATGAAATCAAATATGTTATGAAAGTAGTACCTTAATCAGTTTCGGCAAATACAGAAGCATCAATATTATAAAATCTAAGACATGATAACATCATCTAATATGTAGAAACCTTCATAGATAATAAGGATAGATTATGTTTAATTATGGAATATGCAAATAGTAATATACTTTAATAGTAATTTATTAGATGGTACCCTAGGCTAATATCTAAAATCAAGAACACAGCCTTTGCCTGAAGCATAAATAGTTGATTGGTTTACATAATTATGTTTAGCTTTGCAATGCGTACATTCTTAAAAGATAATTCATAGAGATATAAAATCTGAAAATGTTTTTTTACATGAAGACAAAATCAAATTGGGAGATTTTGGAATTGCTAGATCAGTGGAATAAGATTTGGCAACCACATTTATAGGAACCCCCTATTATATTTCTCCAGAAATAATACAAAATTAACCTTATTCATATAAAAGTGACATATGGTCTTTGGGAGTACTTCTCTATGAAATGTGTACATTTAAATATCCATTTACTGCTGATTCATTACCAGCTCTAGCCAATAAGATCATGAAAGCAAAAATATAACCAATAAGTGCTTAGTAATATTCATAAAATATGAAAAATTTAATATAATAGCTTTTGTAATTGGATGCAAATAAGAGACCAACTATAGAATAAATCTTATGTATATCATTTAATCATAATTTAGAAAATGCTTTAATCCAAAATAGAATTAAATAATTAAACATTAAGTAACAACAAATCGTAAAAATACCTGTTTAACCTATGCAAAGTAAAGATAATTGTAAAATTAGAGAAACAATAACATTAAGTTGTTATAAAAAATGATGAATACACTTAAAATAAAAAATTATCTCGAGAGGAATAATAGAAATTCATGAGAGAAGATATTTAAAAGAAAGTAATATTATTTCTAATATAGAAATGCCAACAAAAACCTTAAGAAGTAGTGATAGAATTATTTGGTTAACCGAAAGTAAAATAAGATTAGCCTTAATAGTAAATTAATTAAATAGATAAAAAATTACCAAAAAGAAGAGATATTCCGGTTGAGATTTATTTGCCTTTTATATCCAGATCTGAGTTTTTAGATCAATAATAATAATAATAATAATAATAATAATAATAATAATAATAATAATAATAATAATAATAATAATAATAATAATAACTAACTTAGCAGAGTTAATCTCTAGATGTAGTGACTAACAATAATAATAATGAATTACAATTAGAAAGATAAACATCTGAAAACTCATTAAATTAAGATTTACCAAATTAAAAGTTAGAAAAATAGTTCTCCAAAAAATAAGAAAACCTCAAATGTGTTCCCTAAGACACATAAGTTGCATAGAAACCAATTATCAAATTAAGTTTTGAAAGGGCAGAAAAAATAAGAATGAATTTGGAATAGGCCTTCGGAACTGATTCATTCTTAAAGGTATACCAAATTTTTAGAGGATTGAGAGAGCAATTGAGTGTAGATGAAATCTATCAGCAATATGGACCTACCTATGAGAGTTTGATTCCAGATATTAATTAGCAATGTATGTAGGAGTAATTATCAAATTTATTTATATTACTTGAATTTGATTTGGAGCAATGAAATTTATATTCAAAGGCTTTATGTATGAATTTTAGATATTAATAATTAATTATGTAAAAGACTATCTTGATTATTTATCTATTATTTGTTATCGCCAACTCCGCCACAACCTACTCTGATTAAGATTTGATGATTTTGATTGAAAGGTCACAAATTCGAGGAGACTACTAGGATGTTGTAAATGAAAGAAGTGGAGCTTTGATTTCAAATGCTAGACAGTTAACATTTTATGGAGATCAATTTAATAACAGTCCATTAAGAGATGCCATCTATGATATTGCTGCCGGTAGCAAAGGTTATGTTTTAGCACCTGTGAACGGAAAAATATAGCTTGACTTATTGTAAGAATACGAAATTAATACTATTGTAATCTGGTTTTATGATCTTACAGTAATTACCTATAAGTTTAAAGTAACACTAATTTACCCTGATGACAGTTAAGCAATTATTTACACTAATAGTTCAGCAGTTGGTGGAATTTATAGAATACCATTTGATGATTCTTTAGTGAAATCATTTTTAATCACCGATATTTCAGGAACCTAGCCCTTGTAGGTCATTAAGATTCAGGCATTCTATGCATTTTGATGAAATAAATTATATATATAAAGAGAATAATTATGTCATAATATTATTTATTCATAATAGATAATTTTTATAATAATGTATATGGATTAATAAGACTAGTCTTCCAATGACAAAAATAAAATTAAAACTTTTCTTTAATAAGTCTAATTATTTAAAAGAACAACAGGGATCTTTTTATAATGGGATTTACTCTATTTTCAAAAATTTTTAAATTGCTACATTAATAATATAAATTATAACATTAATACATAATCTTTATCTTAATTAATGCAGGGATAAGTATTGTAATTCTTATATTATATCGACATTAAATAGCATTTTTAAGAAAATTCTTATGGGAAGATGTAGTCTCTTTAATGGCTATAAAATAAATCAATAATTCGCACTACAAGATTTCTTTTTCTTTAATTTTTCAAATTATAATATTTTATAAAAATTCATGGATTTGGATCGCTATAACTATCTTCAGAGGAGAGATATTAAATTGGCAGAAATTATACCTGATTAAATGCTTGAGCTGATGGAGATGCTCATTCATTGGATCTTTTAGGTTTGTTATTTGGTTTAATCTTAGGTTGGCGAGTAAAATAATTTGGAAATTAAAACAATCGAATTGGCTGCCATTTTAAGTAAATTATATCTTTCAAAATAACTCATCGATTCCGATAGAGTTTATCTGATAGGAATAGTTTCATTAATGATTGCAGTAAAAGTAAGAATATGTATATATTTCTTTAGTTTAATGAATGCCAAAACAAAATTCAGATGAATATTCAAGACTGTGTTAACTAATGTCAATCTAAATATAGTTCTAAAGAAATAACAGATATGGAAATGAGTCTTCTATCTCTTATTGAGTATGACGCAAATATTACCACTATAACTGATTATTATGATGGTGAGGCCGTCTAAATTGACTTGGTTTTGTTTGTAACTCTTGATTCTGAATTTCTCTACTTTCAAAAATATGAATTGTATGAGGCAATTAGAAATTTTTACTCAAAAGATACATCAAACTTATCTGAAAATACAAAAAATGTATTTAAATCAAATAGTGTTAGATAATAAAGAGGATTAGTGCTAAAATTAACCAATTGACTGCTAATGATGAAAATAATACTCCAAAAATTAAAAGGAAAACAATAAAGAAAAAGAAATTCAGAAGATCAAGATTTTATAGTTAATAAAGCATAACTCTATGAAATAGAATGATTTCAATTTAATTTAATGATTATAACCACTGTTTAAACAGTGGACATTTAAATATGTTTTTTTCTTCTGTACTAAATCCAATCCTAATCGAAGTTACAATCGTCATGCTGATTATTATTTTAAATTTTGGAGGGAAACCAAGGAATAAAGTGAGATTTAAATTTGAATTATTATTCATTATATATAAAATTCATTGAAGATTTATGCATTATTAAGTTTTTAAATATTTTCATTAATACTAAATTACATTGATATGATAAAGTGTCAAAATTTTATCAATAAATGTAAGGACTTAAAAGAAATGATTTTTCTTAAAGAAAATGTATCAATGGAACTGTAAAAACAATATATTATTAAGAAATATATACTTGAAAATGATGAAGAATTTTTGAATTAAAATCTTTTATTTTTAATTAAAATATGGTTGTCAAGTCACTTGCTCATAAAAGAATTGTTCACAAGAGAACAAAGAGATTTGTTAGATTTGAATCAGAAGACTATCCTCACAAATTAAGACCAAGCTGGAGAAGACCAAGAGGTATTGATAACAGAGTCAGAAGAAGATTCAGAGGAAATAGACCTATGCCAAAAGCTGGTTATAGAGGTGATAAAAAGACAAGGTATTGTGAAATCAAATGACTTTTTAGATACTTGGATTAAACTGGTTTCAGAAAATTGTTAATTACCAATGAAAAAGATCTTGAATTATTGCTAACAAATAATAGAAGTTTTGCAGGTGAATTAGCACACAACCTTTCAGCTAGAAAAAGAGCTACTCTCGTTAGAAGAGCTGCTGAACTTAATGTCAGATTAACAAATGGAAAAGGTAAAATTAGAGCAGAAGAGAAAAAGGAATGATTAATTTCTGTTGTACAATATAAATAAATATATGCATTTTCTTTTAAGGCTGTCATTGAATTCATAATCAAATAAATATTGCTAGCATTTATTTCATAGCAAATACTACTTAATCACAAATATAATAAAACTAATATTTTTGTTTGTTTTTTTCAATCAACGGGTAGAATTATGAAATTACATAAAATTTAGATGTTATATTATATTAGGAGAGGTTAAGTAAAGAAAAATATTAATTTTACTGTTAGCAGATTTCTTTCACGTTTTTCAAGAGTTTTAATATTGTATAAAATATCTAAATACAATCTAAATGAATGATTCAATCTAGATTAGATTATATTATTTTAATATAATTAAGTTTCGTAATTGTGTTGATACAAATAATTTCTAAATTTATTACGTAATCTCCTTCAAAAAGCATAAAATGCTTAAATTTTTAATAGGATTAACCACTAATCTATTGTACTTCCGCCTCTATTCTTAATCTTTATCTGTTTAATCTGAGTGTCTGGAAACTTAATGGTTGTGAGACTCTTGGAAATGTTGCTCTCATAAATCAATTAGTCATTTGTATCAGAGCTTGATATAAATAACTACATATCATAAGTTCTTATAAATGTAGGATCTCTATCATATAACCAAACTTTTATAGTATTGAGTTAGTAGGTCTAGAGCAAGTCTATTATAATGAATTAAGACATTCCAGCATAGCAATACCCCCCAGATATTATATAATAAATTGCATCTCTCAACGGGCTACTATTCTTTTATCCTCCAACATATCCAACGGTTCTACTATTAAAAACAATGGCTCCTGCTGATTCTTGAGCAACATCTTTGTACTCACCTCTTATAACCGATTTCTATTTTATTTCATCCAATTGAGTGAGGGTGTATTTAGCAAAAGAATTCATCGTTTCTACATTATGAATAACGAGGCAAAGGAAAAGATAAATCAATTTCATTTAATTTTGAATATTATCATGTTTTATTTTTTACAAGATAAATAAGCAATTAAAATCTAAAAATATAAGATACAAACTAAATCGTAGTAATTTTATTAAGAATGTATAAATTCTCAATTTAAGAAATGATTTATATTAAAGATTTATAACAGTATTTTTAATAAAATAAATTAATAAATCATGAATCTTACTTCAAAAATAATAATAGGTTTAAACATAGATGAATGTACACAAATTTTACCTAAGAATGAGCACTAGTCTATTTCATAATTCAATTTATCTCCTATACAATCAAACTGAAATAATTATGCTCAGTGAAAACAAATTAAAAATTCCATTTAGATCTAAAGAATAAAGAAGGAAGAGGGTAAATTGTTTAAAATATTTGAAAATATTAAGTAATTGATTTACTAAAATAATAAAATAATAATTTGCATATATGAGGGAGATTTAACTTTCAACACTTTGATTTAAGGTCTACATTAAAGGCGATAATAATATAAAATCGTTTTCTGAAGTTCTTGTGGAATTATTATTGATATAGAATGGTAAGGTAAGTTAAGTTAATATTATCTTACGTTTATTAAGGCTAAATTCTTTTTTTAATTATGACTTAAAAAATGAATTATAAAAATATTTTATATTGGAATGTTCTTATAATTTGATTTAGTTTATCTAAATATAATAAAAAATAATGCCATTGAGATAATTTGATTAAAAAGATAAATATGAATCTAAAAGATGAATTCTGAAAAAAGTGATAATTGTTATACAATTATTAAAATATAACCTAATCATTATTCCTCCTCTTATTACTCTTTATCTTCTTTTGATTAACTTTTAGGAGAATCTAATATGTTTGGAATTTCATTTTAATTGTTCTATTAATTTTAATTTCCTTCTTCCTCATGTACAGACTTTTAGTCATTTTAGTCATCTTATTTATTTTCAGGTTCCTTGATTCCTTAATTTTAGTTATCAGTTTAATCCCCATTATCATCCTTATTAGAATCATTTTGTATATTTGGTTCATGTATTTCATTGATTTGTTCTATAGATATTTTAGAAGATTGATCCTTATCAGATTCATCCATATTTGGACGATCTTAATGTTTTTGAATTCCATCCTCATCTGTATTAAAATTTGAAAGATCTTTATTTTAATCTCTAAATATAGTTATATTTTTAATACTCTTTTTATTTTGGTTGAAGATATTTTTCTGCAAATTCCTTAGCTGTCATCGTTAAGGCTGATTCCAATTCTTCGAAAGCTGTTTTTTACATTTATTAAGTGTTTTATAACTTTTATAATAAATCCATTTCATATGTTTCAATTTGTTCAATCTCTAAAAATTATTGCTTTTTTGAGTACCTTTTTATTTCCCATCTTTTAACTTTTGCTCAAATTCTAATTTCTTTCCTAATTATTCTCTTATCGCTTCCCTTTTTTCTATTACAATTCTTTCCTTTACTCTATTGAGATCTCTTGATTCTCTGATTATCTGATTTTTTTATTTAAGAGTAGTTAAAGATTATTTTTGAGAGCTCATTTTCCTAACTTCATTATGTCTGGTTTATTATTTGATTATAAAAGCTTTTTATACTTTATCATTTCTATGTTTTTCAATTAATAATTTATGCTCTCTCTCTTGCTATTTTCGAATTTATTATTATTGCTCTTATTTCTTCTGCAATTGTTCTTTTTCCTCTTCTCTCTAAAACATTCAATAAACTAGATTTACTTTTTTCAGTTTTTCTTCATTCTTTTTTTTAAGATAATAGATTTCCAAAGCCTTTTTACGGGTCTCTTCTATCTTTTTTAGTGTTCTGATTTCCTCCTATTTCAACAATGCTACTCTGTTGTCAAGTAATTGTTTATGCGCTTCAATAGTTTTTCTTTCCCTCTTTGCAGTGTTGTATTATTTAATTAAATCCTTGTCATCATCAAGTTCATTGTCATTTGTGAATAGGTCATCGATGTAGGCTTACTATTTTGGAATGATGTCGTACCTTTTATACACTTTTTCGTTAAGAATGAACATCTGCCATTTATTACAAACAAATAATTATTAAATACAATATAAGTTCAAACTCAATAAAATTAATCAAGAACTCTTTGCAGATCTTGCCATAAACATCCCTAAAAGTTATTAGAAACATTGAATAACCAATTAACAGTGATATTTATTCTTATCGCTTAAAAAAATGGAGCTTTTTCAAAATTTGAATTAAAGGAAGCAGACTAAAAATATTTCAATTCACATCAAAATATTGAAGCAAGGTTTTTGAAGATGGAATCAAATATTTTATTTGAATGATTCAATATATTTTATACGTTTTGCATTTGCAAACCTTTCCCTTCTTATTCCATCCAGTTCCATTGCACTTTAAGCAGACTCCCATAGCCCACAAACAATCCTTGCATTGCTTTCTTCTACATTTCTTCATATAGAAACCAGTGCCTCCACATCTGATGTTTATATAAAATTATACAAATAGCAATTAGGTCTTATTTTTATTTAAACATTTCCTCCTGCATAACCATATTATCCTTATGGAATAACTATTGCTGTTGCTGGGTATTAACCAGGATATCTAATTTATTATAGATGGTGTACTGTTAAGGTGGGTATTGTTAAGGATAATTAGGAGGGGGAACATAGCCTGGTTAGGGAGGAGGATAACCAGCTGGAGGATAGCCAGCAGGGGGATATCCAGGAGTAGGGGGATAACCAGGAGTAGGAGGATAACCAGGTGTAGGAGGGTACCCTTGTTATGGATATCCACCAACTGGAGGAGGATAGCCAGGAGTTGGAGGATAAGGGTAACCAGCAGGAGGAGGTGGTGGTTGTTAATAACCTGGTTGTTGAGGGTAGGGAGTTTGTCCGTAGGCAGGAGGAGGAGGTGGAGGATATTGTCCTTGAGGATAGCCACCGTAGGGTGGAGGAGGGGGTGTTTACATAAATAATATTAATATTAATAATTAGATTTGAATTATAATGAATAATAATTTTACGATTAATAATCGATTTAAGTATGATGGAGTTTTATACTTAATTAAATTTATAATATGTAAAGAATTGCCTTATTACATACTAATTTCTGTTCTTACGAAAAAGTTATTGTTGAAAGATTGGAATAGGAGCAAATTGGTTTGATATACTTGAATTCTCCAAATGATCTAAATTCTTTGTCTGAACCAATGAAAAGAGACCTTGCTTTGGCGATCTAGGAATTGGATTCAGATAGCAATATTAAGGTAGGATTGTTTTGTTATCAAGGTTTTAATTTTATTGTCCAAGTTGGAAAAGCTATTTTGTGCTGGAGCCAACATTAAGGATATTTCAAAGATTAGCTTGGAATCTCAATTGAAAGGAGACATCTTTTAGAATATATTTTAAGTGTTAGAATCAATAAGAAAGCCATTAATAGTGGGAATCAACGGAGTAGCTCTGGGAGGAGGTCTTGAACTTGCTTTGAATGGGGATATACTTGTAGCAACAGAGGAGTGTAAATTGGGTCTGCCAGAACTCAAGTTAGGTTTTATTCCAGGATTAGGGGGAACTTAAAGATTAGCAAAACTTATTGGAAAGACCAACGCTATGAAATACATCTTAACTTCTGACAGTATTTCAGCTTAGGAAGCTTATTAAAGAGGATTAGTCAATTCTGTTGTCAAAAAGGAGTAATTAAGAGAGGAATGCATTAATATTGCTAGGAAAATAAGTGAGAAATCATTATACACACTTATTGCAGCAAAGGCTGCCATCAAGAATGCTGAAGAGATGCCAATTAGTTAAGCCAATAAAGTGGAGAGATAAATATTTAACAGTCTTTTAAACACTAAAGCTGCGAAGGAAGGAGTCACTGCTTTTGTAGAAAAGAGAAAGCCTAATTTTAGAAATATTTGAATGAGTGTTATATCCATTATAATAATGTTATCATAATAATAAAATGTTATAAATCACTTGTTTTCTATTGTAACAGGAGAAGGCCAAAATTTATTTTTATAGGATTTGCCATTCTTGATGCTTTCATTTGATATTTCTGACCAATAAGTTTTGAGTTCAATTGGTCCATCACCGACCTAGCCATCAAATTAAAATGCCAACCAAGTGAAGTCAATTTTATCTCTAAAAGAATTTGGTACTAAATTTTATATAAATATAATTACTTGATGGCAATCTATATTGAACAAGAGGATAGTCTAATTCATATACGTATATAGTAACAACAGGATTAGATTCAATCCAATCTTAAACGTTTACTACTTTTTCATCCAATGCTTAGGTTCTCTCCATGAATCTTTTAACAAAAATCAAATAAGTAAAAGGTTGTATTTAATCGATAGTTAAAATTTCAATATGTTAATCTCTCTCGTTTTTAGTTTATAAACTCATTCCACCACAAGATTTAGAAATAGACCCTGTTAAACAAATAAAGTTTTCTCCTTTGAATTAACCATATAAATCCAAATTAAGACTTTTTGATGTCCATTCTAAAGTAATCTTCATTGAATGCTTTTTCACTTCTTTCACCATTCTAACATAGATATTTGTTTTTGGAGATTGTTCTGTTAAATCAACAAGAGCACAGGCATTTTTATATCCTGCTTTCTTGACTAATAATGTATACACTTATTTAGTAGCTACTCTAAAATAATTAAGTTATCCGTTGAGGTCAGATATGGCTGATAAAAATGGAGATTCAACTTAATCCATAACCTAACATGTAGTATAAACAAACTTTCCATAGAATAGTTTTCCATCAGCATCAGCTATTGATGTAAAATCCTCGCTATTCTAAACGTTTGCAGTTATTTACAAATAAGGTACAATTTTACTAAATTATTATTACAATTATGGATCAATGCTTAATACTCTGTTTTTCTTATCATTCTCCATTTCATAAAACTCTTATAAGATGGTGAAATCAGCAGTTTCAGGTTCATCAGAACAAAATTATAAACATGATCCGATAAAATGACTTACAGAAGCCAGAGATCCTTCAACAATGATAACATCCTATCCTGGTTTATTAGCTTTAGGGAATGCTTTAGTGATTAATTCATCGGTTGTCAAAATCTTGAAATCGTTTAAATTAATTTCGTTATTTATTAGAAATGAACCTCCCATACCTTAAATTCCAAGTAAGATACTAGAATAGAAAAATCATTTTACCCAGGTTTCTTAAAATCATCTTTAGGTTATAAATTAACTTTTGTAAGCATCAAATTTGTGGCTAATTCACAAATATCAGTGCTTGACATCTAAGAACCAAAAGTTTTCTGTGGTTTGAAATACTTATATGTCGGCGCATCAAGAACTGTTAGTTAATTCAAAAGCAAAGGCTAGCTATATGAAATATCATTATAATACTTACGATACGACTTAATCTTGTAATTATAATTATTAAGGTGAAATAGAATTGTAGATTGCAATTATTCCAAAGAATAATCCAAAAAATAGCAATAACATGAGCAAATCTGTGAGTACATTTTATTCCTTATTGCCAACATCAAATTTTGAAAGCATAGCTGTATTAAATGCCTAAATTATTCCAATAGCAACTATAATGTTAACCCAAACAGTTAAATGATATAGAGGTTTACTAAGAAAATCTTTGAGCGAGTCACAACAATCCAAATTAATGCATGCGATTTAATCCATATTTGATTCCCACAGATATGATTGATTTTCTTAAGGACATGGCAAATATGGTGATTGTCGTTCATTTAAGTACTTTTCTGAACATGTTAAAAATTATTTAACTGTCTAAACTCCAAGACTTTGAAGCGCATATCTACAGCCTTTCTAAGTGGATAAATCATTCTGTAGTATTGAGTATTGTCGGATCATCATTCCGTTAGCAGTGGCAGCTATGAATAGGGCAGCTACTATCAGGAAGGCTACAATCAAGAAATAGTTTTAAACTCTGAAAATGAGGATAACGCTGATTAAGATTGTGGCCATTAATAAAGCAAATAAACCATATTGCATGAACAAAACAATGGTGTTGTTGTGGTCTAGGGTAAAGACTTGGTTGTTTATTAGATAGACTAACTATTAAATAAAATTGATATGTTACGAATTTGAAATTGGTTGCAGCAAACAACAAAAACAAAATGTTTAATAAAACTGAGAATGCTAATGTGAATCTATGAATTCCATTTTATTTTTTGCTAAATTATTTTGTTTTATTGATCAAATAGACCAAAAACACCAATTTGAATATTTAAAGTCCAACAAACCAAATGTTAGCCAAGTGATTCTTGTATTGAATTATAGTGATAATGATTCCCAAGATAATTGCTGTAATACTTTGCAATCCAAATTATATTATATATGATGTATTATTCTCTTGAGGATTACCAAATTCGTCGAGTTGGAGAGTGAAAACAAAGTATAATGTTAATATCAAAATGGGAATAAGAATAATCTGAATATGATAGATAGTATATTTACATCAAAGATTGCTAAAATAAGAAATTCAAAATTGTTATTTTTAAAATAGCCTAAGAAGGCAAAGATTGCTGATACGATTGAAAGTGCTATCAATATAGGAGCAGTGCATTTGATTGTGGATAGCCTTTTCATAAACATGGTATTGGATGGGGATTGTGGTTGATCCATAAAAATTAAAATAAATATAATTTACAAGAAATGTTTATTTGCCCCAAAATTTGTAATTATATAACTGCTAAAATGAATTGATAAAATATTGAAATTAATTTATTCAATTTGATGAACTTATTATTATTACAGTTTTCGAATTTAGTACTTATTGCGTATGGACAATACTCAAGGTAACATTTTTGATTAAGAGAGTAAAGCCAGAAGGTGCAGGTTGGTTGCCTGAAAAAGACAGCATCTGGATGCTCAGAACTATGTGTTTTGGGTGTTGAAGATTGCAGCACCGTTCCTCCGAAATGTGAGTATGGTTACTTTTTATTTACACTGGGAGCTTCAGATACTAAGCCACCTTAATGTGTTTAGTGGTATGTTAGTAATAAATATCATAGCCCTTATTATCAGGTGAATATTAATTCAGACTTAGTGAATTATTGCATGGATTGCTTCGAGGATCCTTACGGTTGGGAGTTCAGTAGGAAGTGCACCTATGATTACGAGGTGGGGAATGGTAAAATTGGACAAGGAACATACCAAAAAATAGAGAGAGATTATCCTGAATTGTTTTTTGTTGGTAATTCGATTTAATTGGGAACTTGGACAGGGACGATCACTAGATCGAGACAATTGAAATATGCTGTGTATATCTGCACAGGATGCAAAGATTTTTGCACAACACCTGACGAAACTACTTGCTATACATTCGATCATGATTACAAGAAAGTTGATATTGATAAGGTTGCAGTAGAATGCATTGAAGGATATTATCTAAAGATGAATACATGCGAAAGTTGTTCAATCAAGTATTGCAGCAAATGTGGTACTCTTGTTTCTGGGTCTGGTGGTACAGATTTGTGTGAACAATGTTAGGATGGGTATCGATGGAGTGCTTAAACTAAAAGTTGTGTTTTGTGCACCAACAATTGCAGCAAATGCGTCACAGTAACTGTAGCTAGCACTGAAATTTAACAGTGTAAAGCTTGTAACTCTGGTTATATACCTAGTCTGGATTTGAGGACTTGCGAAGGATGTGATTCGAATTGTTTGAGATGCGAATATATTGCAATATAAACGATGGAAATCATGTACCCATCAAGATCTTTTTTGTCGATAGGTGAGGATATAAAAGATTGGTATGTCAAAATTTGTAGACAATGTCAATAAAGCAACGATATCCTAAATTATGATGGATAATCATGTGTTCCTACTCAGGTTTCTAATTGTGATGTAGGATACTACCAAATTTCTCTATTAAGCGATACCTCATCTACAAGATCCTCTCTTGATCTAGATTTCATACCTTATAGGAGGGATTACGATTCAGATCCTGTAAGCATGTGTTTATATTGTAAAACTGACTTTGTTTTATCGGCCGATGGCACCAGTTGCGTAGCTGTCGATAATGCCAAAAAATTGGCAAATTGCATTTCTCATTAGATTAGTGGTGCTAATTACATATGCATTAAATGCTCATCAGTATAAAATTAATTTCATTATTATAGGGATATTCCTTAGATACTAAACAGGGATCATGCTTTGTTGGATGCAGTGATTAAATTGACAATTGCTTATACTGTTATTCTTATGACAGTCCCAGTGATGATATTGTAAGCTATTACGATTCATCTGGAATTCTACTTAAAGGAGACACTTAAAAGGTTTACTCGTGCTTAATTTGTGATGATGGCTATTATGCTGATTTCTTTTCGAATTCTTGCTTGCCTTGTCCGGCTTATTGCTCTTCATGTTCATAATATAACCAAGACTATAATTTTACTAGTTACGCATAACAGAGAGTTATTTTGGACACATTCAAGAAGTCTAAGTACTTAACTACTAGTCTCGAGGAACCCTATTGCTCTAAATGTACCACAGGTTTTACGAAGTATGGAAACTCTTGTTAAGGCTGTACTAAAAATTGTGTTATCTCAAATCCAAGTCAAGTCCCAACTAATCCATTGTCTTTCTTATTGGATGCATGTGAGTATCAAAGCAATGGAGCTTTTTGTGGCCAATGCTTCAATTATTACAGGGATAGATCAATTAATTCAGAAGAGTCGGAATGTCAAACGTGTCCCTATCGATGTATGGCTTGTAGGGATAGAACTTAGGAGGAACTCAACAGAGTTAACTATTACTTTTCACCTTCAAACTCCATTTTGGAAAAATACAGTAGATTATGCTATGCATTTGATGAAAATATATCATCCAGTTAAAAAGTCACTTATGATACTTATTTGAATATGCCACTTGAATGCGATTAGGCAGCTCAATAAACTGGAAAATGTGTTGAATAGGCTCAAATTGATATCAAGTTGTTTTGTAAAAGTAGTGAGTACACTACGGAGTATAATGCTGCTCCTATTTTTGACAGAGGTTATTTATTTAGTCTAAATTATTTCTACTCAACATCATCATCGTCTACTTATGCCACCAATATTACTTTGGATGGCATTGAAACTCTGACCTTTTATAAATAACTTAATGAAAAAGTAATATCATCTCTCATTTTGAACATTTATTTAAAGAGTGGAGAGAAACAGTGCGATTTTACTTAGAGTACTAACTTTCTATTCAATTTCCAAAAGAATGTATTTTCTATTAGATACTTTTATGTTAATATTATCGGAGAACCAGATTCAACTCAAGACCCTCTAGTTATTAAGCTAGATGGGCTATTGAATATCCCATGGTCTGACTATTTGAGCATTAAAGGAATTGAGATCAAAGCCTTAAAATCTAATAGTACACACGATTATACAGGATTGAATATTTCTTAGAATGTGAAAACCAAATTAACATTGGAGAACTTTAAAATAACAAAAGAGTATGATGGTACAAAAATGGTATTTTTGGCAGAAAACGTTGATATTCTTAATTGGAAAAAGGTTGTATTTAGTGGTTTTAAATCAGATGATGTTTTCTCACTTCCTTATCCCTTAGAAAATATTGACACTGTATCCTACATGTTTGATGATGTCACATTTTATTAATGCATTTTTAAAGATGCTGTCCTCTTTTCACCCACAATCAATACTAATGTGAAATCTATTATACAAGGCATTGGATCTTAAGGAATGACTTTCCATAAATGCAAATTAACCAATGTTGTTATTTTTGGTGAGCCAGAGGGTTCAGCAATTAATAGCGGTTTAATTAATTTTGGGAAAGTGGTTTTCAAATTTACTGTATTTACGAATAGTTGGTTTATAAATTTGAAATCTTAGAACAAAACTATGTTGAACAATGTAGATATCATTAGATGTAATTTCACTGAGGGTTCAAAGCTAGTCTAATCTAATTCATTTTTTTTGAAAAACGTCTATTCATTAAACTCGACCTTTTATACGGAGGGTCGACTCTTTTAGAATAGTTATAAGGTAATAGACGATTTATAGGCATCTAACGCCTTGCATTTCTATTCATTTAGCAATGTTAAAATAGTTTAATCCTTATGTTTGACTCCTATCTGTTTTATTAAAATCTCAACTCCAATTAATAATTATCAATATAATACGAATGTATCTCTGGTAGATTTTTACATTGAATAAACAAACTCAATGAAATTAACTGACAAGGAATCCAATTCAGTATTTTCAGCTTTAATATTTTTTACTTCTGTTTAAAAAATTGTAATTTCTAATTTCTAATCGCTAAACAATCTTGGAATAACCTAATTAGCAGCTAATAACATACAATCATTTCAATTGGTTGATGGATTATATGATTGGACTCAAAGCTAATATATCGATTCATAATTGAATCCTTCAAACAATAAGATACCCACCAGTAAGGATTGTGCAGATAGAAAAACTGAATTTAAGAGTTACAATGAGCATTTCCTCTACATTTCAGATTTTGAAATTGGAGTCAAGATTGAAAATGTAGTGATTAGAAGATTATTGTCGATAGATACAAACTTTATCCAATTAAACTCTTGGGATGTTGAACAATACAACACAACCAGCGATACAGTAATATAAGATTACGGTTAATTTTATGATAATACCACCAGAGAATTAATCATCCTAAAAAATATCAAAGTTATAGGAAATTCTTTGGTGATTACAGAATCAGGAACGGCTATCGGTTCGATTTATATTCAATCCAATTAAGATTAGGATATCCTGATACAAGATTGCGAATTCTCACAAAATCATTTGCACTCCTTAGTTAGTGATTAATTGAACCCATCCTCTCCAGTTTTCATAATTTAAGCTCCTCTATCCTATCTTGTTTTGAAAAATACTATTTTTGACAACAACAGGGCCACTAGAGTTCACAATAGTGTAATTTATGTTGTAACCTACTCCCTTGAGATATTGAATTGCTAATTTACAAATACAAATATTAGACAAAAAGATTGGATATATAGATTGGAAGAATAATAAATAGTAAATTCTACTTCTGGGTAAAAAGATGAGAAATTGATCATCATAACTCTAGAGTAATTCTTCCCAATCTACAGTTAAGGAGGAAACATTTTCATTAAATCAGCCTTCACTAACATTGAGAATTCGATCTTCGATAAGGGCTAAGCAATTAGAGGTTCAGGCTTAGTCGTAGAGACAATCGATAGTGGCTTCATCAATATAATTAATACACAAATTACAAGACAGTATAATAGCTTATTGAATTAATACTCTTCAAATGGAGGTTGCTTGTATGTGGACTCCTCAAACTCAAAATTACAATTAAACATTGAAAGAGTCATAATGTCAGAATGTGTGACTAGATTAGATGGTGGCTGTATATATGTAAGTCCTTCAACCCAGCAATCATCAGTTGCCATCAGCGATTCCAAATTTACTAATTGCATGGGCCTTAAAACTTCCGCCATCTATATACCATTTTCGACTTCCTCTCCAATGCTGCCCAGTCTCTCTATAACTTAATCATCGTTTTCTTAGAATAATATGGTAAATTTCTTAAGAAATATTCCGGATATATCTACAATAGATACTGAATATATGTTTACCAGATCCTCTGTTTTTTATTAGAGTTACGGTAGATTTACTCTAACTTCTACGACGTTTAAGGAATTTCAATTTGTTTCTGTGATGATTTTGGAAGAGATGGTTGAAGTGGAAATCAATGATGTAACAGTTTCAAATAATACCATCTTTATAAACAGCATACTTGCCATTACTTTATATGAAATTTCAGGAGTAATAACTTTAACATCCACAAAGATTATAGATCATTATCAATATGATCCACCTTCATCTACTAGTTGTGGAAATCTCGATAGTTACTATGTGAGTTATGTTTCTAAGAATGTTTTATCTGAATAAACTTGCTTAGCTGTGGAGGATCTAGATTCTAATTTTAAATCTGATGGTTTGGCCATCATCATAAACTAAGTTGGTGACGATGGGAATTATCCAATTTATTTCCAGTCTTTGGATGATTTATATACTTCATTAACTGACTTAATGAAGTATTAAGTAATTAAAGCTAATTATAACTAAGAAGTCATACATAAAATATTGGACAATATCGAATTAAATTTAATTTTTCCAATTTTTACTACTTTTTCGATTGATGAAAACTCTGTATTTATTGGTTGCTATCTATCTACAATCTTATAGGGATATGTTGAGCAATTTTAAAAAATCCCAACAGGGTTATTTAAATTGAGCTCAGTTACATCCAAATAATATTTAACCATTGAATAAATCCTAATTTAAAATAATAAATGTCTAAGATGTGTGAATGGATTAGTTTAAATCTTATAGGTTCATTAGGAAACATATCCTGTGATTGAACTCAAAGATTTTTTCTGTCTCTCTAACATTGCTGGTTATTATGGCTGTCTAGTGCTAACTTATGACGATGTCCTTAATGATGCTGAATAATCAATTCCATTAACTGATTATGAACTATCCAATTCTAGAAGAATGTTAGGCGTTGTAGAAGATTTGGCCCAATAAAAAAATGTGGTCATCATATCAAAATCTAAATTTATCGGCAACTCAGCTAAAGTGGGTGGAGGAATCGCCATAATCGGTTTGGATTCTTTGATAATCCGTTCGGAATTCACTGATAATTATGCCAGTCTGATGGGAGGAGCCCTCTATTATAAGAGTGTGGTTTATAAAACCGATTCCACATTATTAAATATTGCTGATAATACGGTTGAAGGAAATGTTGCTTAATTGGCAGGAGGTATGTTTATTTCAGGAGGTTCAATTGGAAATGTATCTTCAATTGAGGTATTCTTTCAGAACAATTAAGGACAATTAAGGGGAGACAATCTGGAAGAATATCCTTAAAGTCTAACCTTATCAATGAAGAATAATGAGCTCATGAAAACTATTACTTTTGAGGAGTATGATGGTGATGTGAATGGCGATGGGTATATTGACAGTTCTAAAAGCACAATCATTGACATCATCTCTTTGGATCCATATGAACTGTACAATTATAAGAACACTACTACTTATTTATTACTGCCATCAGGTTAGGCTATTGACTCATATAAATATTACTACTCTGACACTGATGAATAAGTGCCATATGATTGGAAATTCAGAATAATCAATTTGGATAGATTTAAATAACCTATGTCCAACATCAACTCCACAGAATCATGTACGTTAACAGGTAGAATTATGGACACTAATAATTATAATACAAGCAAAGAATTTTTATCGAACTTTACCAATACTTAAGTGTTCTATTATGACTAAACAGCTGGAGCTTTTGATCTGGATGCTTTGGTTGTTACTTTTGACCCCTATTTAGAGGATAACCTATATTTATAATTAAGATGTAAATTTATTCATTTCTATTTACTTAGTTGTGTGTACACCAATTAAAATTCCAGTTTATCAAACCGTATCCCCATTCAAGATTTAATCGTACAATCAAAACTATGCTCTTTATGTTAATGTCAAAACACTGCCTTGTCAACTAGGAGAAGCCTACTCTTTATAACAATGCAAAGCATGTACAAAGGCCGATAAGACTTATTCAGTCAGTGAAAAGCAAACTTAGTGTTAAGCTATGGACAGTTCTACTATGGATGATGTGAGTCCAGTAGGTATTAAACTAAAGGAAGGATATTGGAGACCAGAATTTGACAGTGAAATAATTACATATTGTTTGAATCTCCCATTAAATTGTAATGGAGGTTGGACACCTGGTAGCCCCTCATGCTATACTGGTCATATGGGAGCGTTGTGTGAATCTTGTGACATTTATGGAGTGAGAGATGAATCCTATTCCACTTCAGCCAAATACAAATGTGGTCCTTGTGCTAACACATATGCTGTAAATGCTGTAGTAATTACGGCCTTGTCCTTTGTCACTCTCTTTTCAATGATTTTATCTGTAAAAGGGAACTACTAAATGCTTGAAGACTTTGTTAAAACTTAGAACAGAATTGCTATGGGTATTTTGGTATCTCCCTCCCAAAGTAATCTAGCCATTCTTATTAAATTGTTTACAAACTATTTCCAAATTCTCTCTGCTATTTCAACATTCCAAATAAACTTAAGCGAAGGAATCACCAATGCCACTTAAGTTATGGGAAATCCAACTCAATCTATGGCCTACTCTCTTGACTGCTTTTTAGTCGATATGACTAGCATTGATATACTATATTTCAGACTAATTTGGGCATTACTCATGCCTATCATCTACTTAGCTGTTTTTCTTTTTGGGTACTTTTTGGCAGTTCTACTAAAATAGGTCGATTTCAAGGAAGGTATCATATATACTGCATTCATCTATATGTTTTTATATCTACAACCTACCTTAGTTGGAGGTTTCATTGCATTGGCTTCCTCCAGAGAAATAGGAGGAATTGGATGGGTCTAAGCGGATGTATTATATTAATATGACACTGACACTCATTATATCTGGCTGGCGGGATTTGTTGCTCCAATGCTTATCTGTTGGGCATTCCTATTTCCTTGCATCTTCATGTATTTAGTGTACAAATTGAGAAACAAATTGGATGACTTTGAAAGTAGAAAAAAACTAGGTTATTTCTATAATGAATACACCAAGGAGGGTTATCTCTGGGAATTTGTGAAAATTTTTGAAAAAGAACTTATAATTATTTTCCTAACATTTTATGAAGATAGAGTTGTTGTTAAGGGGTTAATTATATTCTTAATTGTATTCTTTTATGGGGGATTCACAATCAGATTCCAACCTTATTCAAGCAAAAGACTCAATTTCATCGATAGATTATCGACTGCCATTTGTGCAGCTTCTCTATGTTTGGGGGTTTTGATTTACTCTGCAATTAAAGAAGATCTTGTATACTTAGAAATCATTATGATCGTCATTGTTGGTGCTATTAATTTTGCTTTCATCCTTCTAATGGTCTATTATTTATTCGAAGGATATCTGATTAAATTCTAACCTCAACTCGATAAAATTAGGGATGAATTAAGAATACACCATCCAGAAATTTAAGAGAAGTATCCTTGGAGTAGAAAAATGCTGTATAATTAAGCAAAAATGAATGAGAAGGTGAAAAAGCTATGGGCTACTTTGAGATATTAAACTAGAAGAGGAATATAAAGGAAAAGGAAAGATCCATAAGCACCTTTATTTGTTAATGAGAATAGTGAATAACCAGTCTTAATGCCCTTCTTTGTCCCTGAAGAAATAAAACAATGTATAAATTTATAATATTCTATTAGAAAAAACAATCAACTAACAAGATTCACCAAATTATCAAAAAATATATCCTGAATAAGATGGTTTGTAATCGGAAGAAATTAATTTGAACCAACGCAATCAAGAATGATTTATTATTAAAAATGTCATAATCAATTTAATTATTTTATCAATTAGATGTTGTATTGATCTGTAATCACTTCAATAGGAACCAAGGTCAATCCTAATCTTAAATGGATAAAATTATCATCTGTTAGATCCAATAATCGATAATAAAAAAAGGCGAATAGAACTAATAATGCCGATCCTATCAATCCATAATAAATAGTAATAAGTTTCAAGTACTCATCCAATATTATTTCATTTGAAGACAGTATGATTTCTAGCATCTATTATGTAGTCTCTTTCGTTGAACTGTAATGCTCTAAGATTATATTCGTAAATTCCTTTGTTTTGTATAAGTCACTAAGTTCGTTCATATCTGTGGCATATTCAATGGTAGCGATTTCATAATCATAATTTGTTTTCATAAAATAACTAATGCTACTTGTAATCCCCACAAGACCATTTTCAAGGTAATCACGATTATTGTCTTAATAAGAATATTAAGAATATTTTTAAATAAAATTCAACTCTCCTAATTATTCATATTAACAAAATGGAATTTTCTCGGTTATCATTTAGCAAATATCACTTTCATACAATCCTAATAATAGTTCTTTCTTTGTATCATCAATGTCTTTTGAAAATAAAATACCTTCATAGATTTCTGTTAAGTTTTAATCGTAAGTCTCATAAACATCCAAAAACATGTGAAACAATTATTTTAATGGATCCCTATATCTATTAAACTGAGCTTGAGTATAAAATTTATGTGCAATAAGTCCAGGATACACTTAAGGTTAAGTTTTAAGGACCAAACCAGTTGTTATTAGAGTGTCAAGGTAAGATGAAAATCTAACAAAGTTTAAAGTTAATTTTTATTAAGGAATAAGATTATTCATTAATGAACTTTAATAGAAATAGCCTCCTAATAAGAAACTAGCTATTATCAGGAAAACTACCAAATTATAACAAATATATTTCTTAATGGAATAAGATGTGTCTCTTAATCTGGAATTGAGCATACCAACTTATCCTTTTTTTTTATTTTAGTCATTTTTAGTCTTATTAAGCTAATTGTATCTTTAATCTAAATACTATTATTTGGCTTCTTAATTATCCATAGTTTACTAAAATATCAAGCAAACTTGTTATTTTTTCCAATTATTCTTTTTTAAATCTGTTGATTACAATATGGATTTGATATTTAGATGCCTATAGATCAGATCATTTACGGAATTCTCTTAAAGCCTTCCATTTATTAATAGAATTTATTGTTTCTAACTCTCAGTCTTATTCCAAAAAAACAATGACACAAAGTGGATAAAAAAGATAAAACATATTTCTGCTATTGTTAGTGATTACAATTCTTTTCCTCCATCTTTAATAATGTTCTAACTCATAAGATCCAATGATTGAATTAATTCCTTATTCATATCGAATACATATTTTAAATTATATCTAAGTGTGATAACAGAATTAATATAATCTATATCTAAGACTTAATCAGTGGCTTCATCTGAAAAATATTTGATCTAAAAAAAGTATTAAAGCGTGTTTTATATGCTGTTAATAAATTCTGTGTAAGAGACAGTTTTTCTTGGAAAACCGAGCAGCTAAATGCTGATGTTATTTAATAATCCCATATTTTCAATCTCAATGAATTTGGGGTACATAACGCCCAGATTTTCGAATGTTTCATTTCCCTAATGCTTAAGAGTTGAGAAAGTTTGATTAATTAGAAAATCACTATGCTTTACAATTTTAAGTCCATTCATAAGTAAGGTCCATGATAAAGCATAACTTTAAAAGAAATACCTATTGAAAAATAGTGGAGCATTGAGTGAATAACTACTATCTACGATCTCTGAGATTTGTTATTTTATGACTTAAGTATTGATGACAATGGTCGACAAGGCACAAAGGAATAGTATTAATGTCAAAGTTAAAATGATTTTTAGACTGGTGATCATAATTTTAGAGTGTTGAAAGTTTTTTATTATGGATATGTACTATGTTTTTGAAGTTCCTGAGGTTTTGCTAGAATAGGATTAATGATCATCCCTCTCTTTGATAATGCCTTTGTCTTTGTAGGTTGTTAACAATTTCAGCATTTTATAACTCTTATCTTAACGTTTTTCGCTGCTTGACTTCTATGGTTTATTTGATTTGGATTCATTATTGTAATCCTCCTCTTCTTTCTCCTCTCCCGCATATTATTGTACCATAGCCCCACCATTAAAACTAACTCTAATGTCTTAAAACTCAAGTTCTAATTTTCTTAATTCATCATCTAAATTATGTTATCGAGGAGATATAAAGTTTGCTCTTTAAGAGAGTGGACCAAAACTCTAACTCTCTTAAAACGATTAATTCAGCACTCCAAACAACTACTCTCTGTCACTCAATAAATGATTAAAACTATTCCCAATGATTTCCTAAATAAAAACATATCTTACATTAGGTCTATATTCATCCTTTTGGACTATTCTCTCGCTCGTTGTAATATCTGTTAGTACACTACTAAAATCTAATTACATTTATATTAAGATTACTCTTATTATTATATATGCTGTCAAATTGCTTTGAAATCACTGAGGAGGTTGCATTTGCAACTTTTTTCCTATAATCTAAAATCTCAATTATAAAATATGATCTCTAGGCTGACTTTTTGCCTATAGTTCTATATTATAATGATATTTTAGAATGATACTAAACAGATGAGAATTTCTAAATATGTTTAGAATATACATTAAATTATTGCAGAAGTTCTGACACCTAAGTTCTAAACTAGGAACAAAATAATTAGATATCATCAGATATTTTCACACTATTGTTTACATAATACCTTCCGGTTTAAATATTTTCTCTTTATTTCTTAGTTGTGTATGTCTTAGTCTATGACATAAGCGCAGTTTTTTACATACTCTTTCTTAATGAATATGCTAATGAGGTTGTGTTGGATAATTTATTTTCACAAAAGAATTAGATTATTTTGGATAAATCTTCAAAAATGGTTATAGTGGTCATAAGCTCTACTTAAAGAAACTCTGATAAATTGATATTATCCTTTTACTAATCTAAAATAGAAAATATATTTATAAAAAATAAGAATATGTAAGCCTAATTTATTGTTTAAGCAGTTAATTCTTCTTGAAATGCTGGTTAAATTATATCTGTATAAAATCCTTAAGTCACTGAGAGAACCTTGCCATTTTCATCGAATAATACAAACTCTGATGTTTCTTTCACTTTCGATAAACATCCTGTGACAACGTAATCATCGTAAAAATCAAAGTTATTTTCTAATTTTAATTATTATGGCTAAACAAATTCATTCTTAAATTTACTAAATACAATTTAATATTAATTAAATAGTGGTGACTATGCTGTTTCTAAGTAAGACTATAGAAATTATTCATGGATATCAGCAATAAATTGAGGAATGAATAAATTAATATGATTTATGCTTTCTACTTCTTTAACATCTAATCCGAAGTAATTGGCAATATAATTCTTTTTAGTATTCTTGATATATCCTCTGTTCTTCACCATGCTAACCATTATTAAACATAAGTTATCTTATAGGATGTCAATGTTACTAATCACATCATTTGGAAGCGAATTCTCCATTGCCAATACTTCAGATATTTATTATTCACATTAAAGGGAACTATAGAAATCATTTAGAATTATCAAGTGAAATATTGATGCAACCCTCAATTCGATGACATTTCTAGCCTTTTAGATTTAATTGAAATTCAGCAAATCTAATTACAACCTTTGTTCCAATAAATCTTAACAACTTAATATTTTACTGGAATAATTTACAATCAATTATTCTAAATCATAAATAGAATCTAAGCCATTTATCTATTCATTCCAAATTCTTATTTTCTGATCTATAAGTTCAATTATTTTTGGTAACATGTATTCTTCTATTGAATACGCCTATATGATATCCTTAATTTCAAGGGAGTTTTCTTCAAAATTATGATGATTTGAATGAAATTACACTCTTGTGTCAAGAATGATTTTTTTAAGCTCCTCAAAAAAGTAAGAAATTGTATTTTTAAAATAAAACGATGGCTTTGAATTTTGTAATTAGTAGACTTTCAATTCGACAAATGACAATAGAGGTTGTTTTTTGATTTTATTTAAAAAATCTGCATAGTATATCTCAAATTATTCATACTCAGACCTAGAGACCATTTTTAAAACTCCAAGATGTTCCTTTATTATGCAATACAGTACATTAGTAAATACAAATTTAGAAGCAACCTTATTCTTGCTTTATCTAATCTTTTAACAGTTTAGGCATTATTTTTCATGGTTTTGAATAAAAATACAATAAATAAATCGATTCTAAATTTTGAAATCTTTATTTGTTAATTCTGGCATCATATAATAAACGTATTGGACAAACTCCTATAGTTCAAAGACATTTGTTTGTTTGAAAAGCAGTTTAATTTATTTCCTGTCATTTAATATTGTGCTTATTGAAACCGAAAAAGTCATAAAAATCAACCACATTATTAATATTTGTTCTTCTGATATCAGATTGTTTGATGATGCTAAATTTATTGTTATAACTATGAGAAGGCTTTGGCACGAGGAAATCAATATTAGACAGAATTTGGATAAGTGGGGAGGGAAGGTTCCCACATAAAATGCGTTGATGAATTAGGATAAGTAATAGAGATGCATCATTAATAATTGTACCACATTATTGAACGCGCTTCTATTTTGAAAATACAAACAAGTAATAATGACGTTGAGACATTATTCAATAAATAAGAGCATACTAAATTTTTATATTAATCCATTATCTTGTTGCAATTTGGTGCTTCGAATAAAGTAGCTACTAAAAAAACAAAAGAAAGACACAATTAATAATCCTACTCCACTTATAGGCAAAAATGCATGAAATTAAAATTCTGAATACAATAGAGCTCTTTAACTAAAGGATAGAGATCCTATAAATATGAACAACTGAGGCATAAAAAACAGTTTAGGTACAATAACTAAATACCAATATGTGAAAGTTAGCATAAATGAAAGTTTATTTTTAAATTTGGCAATCAAAAATATTGTTAACAGCATGAAAATGTTAAATAAAGAGAATAGTAGTGTCAAAACATAGATTAATGTTGATGATTTAACCTCATTGACATATGGAAAAATTAAGAACATGTTTAATAAATTTTTGGTCATCCTAAAAGCTCCATCCTTATAAGTCCATAAATTCCAACCATCCAATGGAAAAGCTAAAGTTAGTGTTTGGCAATAATATATTAGCAATACTAATCTTTATATCTTTATGTTTAAAGTAAAGCTTGGCTAATACATTGAAACAAAGCAAAATCCCTATAGCATTTTTAATATTATATCCAACAATAAATAAAAACATTATTATTCAAACAATAGTGAAATTTAAATACATAAATATTGTTAGTCATGTTAAATCTGCTTCTAATTTAAATACTTTTTAATTAATTTCTTCCCAGATTAAACTCCTCTGTAAGTCATAAATCCATTAATATACCATGATTATCGTCAAAAAAAATCACTTTTGTACATCCACTTTGAATCCGAGATGAGAAACTCCATATGATTTATTCTAAATAAGTGATTTATTACTTATGATCTCAATAATTTTCAAAAAGGCATTATAATATTAATTACATTTTATTTTTATTAACATATCAAAAGAGGTTTGTTATTATCAAGTATCTTAATACAATTTGACAAGATCATTGAAATATTATTATTATTGGATTAAATAATTAAATTTCAATTTTAAATTACCAAACTAAATTCTGCATGATTTTTTATTTTATATAATAATACATTTTATTTAAATCAATTAATAGTGTGTATTTAGACATAAAGATATCTTATAAATATAATATCTAATTCACTTCATATGCATAATTCTTCTATTGCTCTGTATCCTTATTATATTATCCATAACTCATGAGGCACTAAATCAAAGAAGCATTCCCTGATTTCATGGCTAAAATATGTATAACTAATACTTTAAAACTACCCTTTGAGATTTCTCTTACAATAATTTGTAACTCACCCATAGTGCTTATATAGGTTAATAATGTACTTTAAGGATCATGCGTCGTTTATTTCTTATTTTTTAATAGGTTGATTTAGTCGGTTAACAAATTAAAAGTGAATTTAACTTTCGGAAACTTTTCAGCCTTCAAATATCTAAACTTAATGCAGTTTTTTTGATCCTCCCATTCTTATAATAACGATTCGAATCCTTTGCTGTATTAATTTATTTATTCCTTAGAAAACAAATTTAATTCAATGGCCATTTCAGCAAATCTTGGAAGCGTGATCATTTTATTTTTGGACAGCTCCTCTATATAGTCAGCATAACTTATGAATTACTCCAAAGCCACATTTTTATCATATATATTAGGATGTATTGCTTTGTATAAGTTTTTGAACTAAATAATATAAGACAAAGTAATACTTCTGAGAATTCAATCAAGTTATTACCATCTAAATCTGCTGCCTGAAAAATTAATTTCAAAATGTCTTGGCACTGTCTTTTTTTTTAAAAATACAGGTTCATCACTTAAATCATTATATTTTCAAATATGATATCTTAAAAATTCAATTACAATTACACTTATTAGTATTTTACTTAAGTTGTTGTAACAGTTAAGTAATGTATTGTGAACCTAGTAGCTATTGCAGAAACTCATTGCAATATTCAATGAGTTATTCGTGTGTTAAATTTATCTCAGGTTTATTCAATTGTATTTCTCTAAATAAATTAATTACTTACTTAGTATGGAAATACTTGATTGATTCAACAATTAATTTATAAACAGCCTCATCCATTTCATCATCCATGTAACATAATCGAGAGATCAAGCATAATTTTGGATATTAGCTTTTCTTGTGAAAGATAAATTGTAGTAACTAAATTAGTAAACATAATTCAGGATACTTATTTGATTTTTTTTTCAGCAACATTTTTAAACCCATACTTTTTGAGGAAGAAATCATAAATGCTGACATGTAATGGAATTTTGTATCCTTCTTAATTTTTGGCAGTATCAGAGATGATGGTGTTAAATATTTTGATAATCGAGGAAATTGGTATTATTGAATCCTTATGTTTTTTGAGTTTAACATTCATAACTTCATGTAATAATTAATTTGCAGCATCTGTATTTTGACTATAAACCCTTTTGACTCTTCTCTCCTTTTTTTAATCAGATAATAAAGATAATTTAAATGCCATTGGTTTTGTGAACCTTCTTTTCTAAATGTTGACTCCTCCATACTATGATACTAGGCTTCTTATTTTCTTAATCTCATCATCCTTTGTTTTTTCTGATAAGTCATCACTAGAAATTAATGATAGATTTTCACTATCATTAACATCGCTTGATTAATCAAGAGCATTTAAAGTGCTATTAGATTGTTATTGTGATTATTTTATAACTTTAGAATGCTTTCTTTTCAAATATTACTATTTAGGTTCATCATCTAAATCTTTAATAACTGATAAGCTCCTTATTTATATGGATTTTTTATTTTGAGAATTTTTTATAGGAGATATAGTTTTCTATACCTAATTCTAAGATTCTACCTCTTCAATGTTTTATTTACTTTAACTTCTTTTACTAAATTTTCTCCTAATGCTACTGTTTATATTTTTCTTATTTTAAGAATGCTAAGTATTTGGTTCTTACAGTTGATTGATTTCATTATTATCCACCTAATCCTTCAAATTACCAGATTCTTAAATTTAATTGTCCTATATGTCTGGATTAGATGGATAATCTTCCTCTTATATATTATTCTTAATAAGGCTAAGTTCCTCTTTAATTGCATTTTATTATTAATTATTAAATTGATCTTAATCAAAGTTTGATTCTTTATAATTTTCTTATTATTATTAATTATGAATAATTGAATCTTCTTCATTTTATTCATCACTTTCAATAATATCCTCCTATAAAGCAGCTTATTAATTTATGATTATAGAGTTTCTAAATGAAGGAGCCTTCATTTCAGATTAAGTGATAAGTGTTTATGGCATATCTTATTTAGGAGAACCACTTTCACTTTGCACTTGAAAAAAATACTATTTAATTTTACTTGAATTTAAACGATTTTACAGTTAAGTTTAGCTTTTCTTGAGTTTCTTTATTTTCTATTTTTTTTTTTTAAGTAGTTCTATGAATTCTTGAGTTGCTTCTTACAAAGTTTGTTCATAATACTTAGCATTGACCTTATGTTCTTGCAATTCTAACATTTATTCAATAAATTTGTTTTTTAATTCTACTTCTTGTTCCCTCTAATTATTATTACAGAGGTGTAATACTTGGATTAACTTTTCTTTATAATTCTACATTATCTAATTTTTGGAATTCTGACTAAAATGTGGTAATAATTATTACTTATCTGATTAATTATCAGTCTATGTTTGATTAAATAAATCTTCAATCTGATCTTTTAAGAACGAAAATGATTAATCAGTTTAAACATCCTCTATAATAATGTTAATTATAAATAAATACTATCTTCTGTAATAATAGGGATTATCGCCTTTGATTGTTATTTCAACATGTTTTAGTATTAAAATGTAGAATTCAATTAATCGATATCTGTTTTGGATAGTCCTGACTTAAAATATTCTTCATCCTCTCTTAGTTATTCAACTTTCTCAAATTGAATAGAGGTTTTCTTTTGTAATTTAGAATACATTGTGTTTTTCATTGATAACAGATGTGCTACGACTGATTAGCCTTCTTGAATTCCAATTTTAATTTTTGTGGTGGCTTAAGTTTAGAGGGAGGAGTTAGTTTCTATTTGTAATTTAGTTTGAAGTAACTCATTGGAAACCTTGTTATGAACATAAGTCATTTCATCCAATTCAGTGCTCAAAATTTTGATTTCATTTGTCAATTATAAGTTCTTTTTTGCTAGATATATATTTTTATTGCTCAAATCTGACTTTTCAACCTCTAATTATTCTATTTATTATTTTAATTGATTAATTTCTTATTGCAATTGTTATACTAAAGTTTAATGGGTCCTCTAGATTCTTTAGACAGTGTTTATTTATGATGTTTCCATTTCTTCAAAATTCACAGCTACATTATTTATTAGCATTTCAATAAAAGATACAAATGAATTCCAGATGATTAATAATAAAGTTCCTCTTTCTTTGCACTCAAATGATACTTGTCTGGCTAATTCATGTATGCAAGTTTAGTAGACTAATTATAATTAATTTGTTAAGTCTGTTATTAATAATAAATTTTCAGTGTTCAAAGTTTAAATCATTTTATCAAACCACATCAATAGATCAATAGCTTGCTATCGATTCGGAGGGCATTTAGAATCAAAGATAGTTTTGCATTCTTATTGTAAAATTGACTATAGATAGTATTTAAATTAATGTATCTTGATGTTTTGGAGTAAAGGAGAAAAATCAATTGTTTTATCATTCATTTTTAATTCTGTAGGATTCTCTATAAAGGTCCCTTTTACATTTTCTTTAATAATTGATGCATATATGTTGGTTTTGCTAGCTTAGTTATGCTACAATAAAACCGATAATTTTACAAATTCGTATAATTACGGATCCCTTGCAATATTGCTTAAGGGTACTGTTGTTGTCGAGGAAGAATGTTTGTGCGAGGGAATATTTCTGAAATTGAGATACGAAACATCAGAATAGGTTTTAACTCTATCTGATTGTGGCAATTGCAAGTGTGATTTCCTTTGAGTTGTTGTTCGAAATGTTGATATGTCTTGTGGAGAATCCTTGATATTTAAATTCAAGGTAAGTGATTTTTATTTCCCTTTCGTCTCAGGTCTCTTTGGAGATTGCAAATAAGGAAGTTTTTACGTATTCATAATTTAGTATTATTTTTATTAATTTACTGATATCTCTTTTAGACCAATTATTATATAAATAAGAATTAATCGCATTTGCATAAATTATACTACATTGGAGAGTATGGCTATTTTTTACTTCTGTGATGAAAATATATAAAAAATAATTAAATTTTGGGTAAAATATTTGGTCTGATAAAGAGTATTATCTATTTTATTTAATATAATTAGTTGCCTTTATCTACAAAAGGTATTCCATAAATTGAAAAATAAAGGATTAGTCATAAATTATAATCATTTTTATTACTAAATTGATGTTCTTAATAGTTGATAAATAATTTGAATATTTATTTAGATTAATACAATAAAAATAAATCAAATTTTTAACATTCATGTATATATAGAAATAGTAATGAAGCATTTAATAATTATATATAATATTTTGAATTAATTTAGTAGACAAGTAAAGCAATTAAGAATTGCACTTAATTTAGAGAGGAATGGCAAATTTGAATAAAAAAAAGGAGTTGAATATCTAAATTTATATTAAATATAAAGCAAAATTTAAATAAAAATATATGGGAAAAGGAAAAAAATAATCAAGGTCGAGGACCCCCAAAAAGAAGAATAGATCTAAATCTAAGGAGAAGCAAAGATCAAGATCAAAAGAGAAAAAATAATCGAAATCAAAAGAAAGAGATAGAAAGAAGGTAGAGACTGGCTTAGGGAGATCAACAGGTTGGGGAGTAGCTTCATAACCCAAAACAGGAAATACAGATGATTTTTTGAGAGATATGTACAATAATCCAAAAACTTCTGCAACACCACAAAGTAGAAGATATTAAAATATTTTAGCTGCTCAAGCTTTGATTGTCCCATAGTCCCATACGATGTAAACATAGATGCAATACACATTTGTAAGAGTAAATAGTTATGTAAGGTACCTGGTATGAATCCGACAATATTAAAAATGCTTAATGACCCAACAAAAGTAAGAAGAAAGATTAAGATTCCTCCTGATCTGTCATTCAATTATATTGGTCTGATTATTGGACCCAAGGGAGTGAGTCAAAAAAAATTGGAAGAAGAAACAGGAGCCAAAATATTGGTTAGAGGCAGAGGATCTTAAAAGCCGGAATAGCCTCCTCAACCTGATGATGATGAAGATTTGCATGTTTTAGTGGTTGCAGAAACTCCATAATAAGCAGCAAATGCATGTGATAGAATAGAAAGAATATTATTGGCTGATGCTGACGAATGTAAGAATGATATTAGATTAATAGTACAAAGATATAGATAGGAATAAATGAAATTAATTGCTTAATCGTAATAGACTCCAACGACAGCTCAACCGATAGCATAAACTGGAGGTGGGGATCCAAGTGATTTATCTATGACAACTCCCTATGGACCCCCTAGCAAGGATGCTTATGTTTATCCAGTGCCGAATGAGTTTGTAGGATTAGTGATTGGAGTAAAAGGAGAAACAATTTAATAATTGAAAGAGAAATCTGGATGCAAGAATGTATAAGTGGCTGCTGATTCTGCTCCTGGGTCTCAAACAAGAAATGTATTTATTGTTGGTGATCCCGATTGTGTGAAAAAATGCTAGGGTTTGTTATAAGAAATTATTGATACTCAGAGAAAAGTCAGGACTGCTCCTGGTGCTAAGAAAATTGAATTCCAAGTACATGATTAATTTGTAGCACTAATCATCGGCAAAAAAGGAGTGACTATCAAAGCAATCAGCGAAAGAAGTGGTGCCTTTGTTGCCATCACTTAAAGTCCTGATTATCAAGTCAGACCAGATCACAAGGCATTTGTTTTAAGTGGTACTGAGGAATAACTGAACATTGCCATCAGAGAAATCGAAACACTATTAGAAGGAGCTAAAAAGTAATTAATTTGTGATAATAAATAGAGCTTACTTTGCTAAAACTTGTGTAGATCCCAGCACCATCAATATACCAACGTAAACTAAAATATTTAACTTAGACCCTTGTTGATCAACCCTCCGAATGCTTTAGCTAATTATTAAATAACCAACAATGAAATGGCTCCCTAGTAAACTATGCCAGAGTTTAGAACTCCAGATGAATAAGGTAAATTTAACTCTTATACTAATTATCTTTTCCTTATTTATAGTGGCTTATTAAAGATAACTGTAAATGCAAACTATGCAAATGCAATACTACATGATGATACCAGCATAACAGGCAGTTGTAGAAGAAAGAGTTATTACAAAGGATAATCGATAAAGATGATTATGAGTGGACCCAAAAATATTATCATTTAAAATATATGTACGTGTATTTATTCATTCTTCTAACTATCATTTCTCCTTAAGACTATTACAAATTACTAGAATTGTCACCAGAAGCCAGTGACAATGATATCAAGAAGGCCTTTAGAAAGCTCTCTGTAACATATAATCCAGATAAAAATCCAGGAGACAAGCAAGCCACCAAAAGATTCTAAGACATCAACAAAGCCTATGAAATACTAACAGATCCTGAAAAAAAAATGATCTATGATTTGTAAGTCTCTCTAGCTACGGCGAAGAAGGTCTTACGAATCCACAATACTAATAGACCTAAGGGTCCTAATGGTTAAGCAGAAAATCAAGTCACCCTAGAAGAATTGTATAATGGTACTGATAGAGAATTTACTTTACAAAAGAAAATTTATGCAAATAGTGTAAAGAAACTGGATCAAAAGATGGAACATTGAAAATTTGCAAGCATTGTAATGGTAGAGGTTAAAGAATGCAAAATGTCAATATGGGTATAGGATTCGCTGTCTAAATGCAAACTACATGCGATAAATGTGGAGGCAGATGCAAAATTAGTTCAGGGAATTGAGCCAATTGCAGAGGAAATAGAGTCTAATAAACATCTAAGACTCTCTAAATTGAAGTCGAAAAAGACATGACTGATGGATAAACCATTGTTTTCAAAGAGAAAGCGAATAAAGTCCTGATTATTTCCCAGGAGATGTCATCTTTTATTTAAGATAAATGAAACATCCTCTATTTGAAAGAAAGGGCATCGATTTATACATGGATATGGAAATTTTCTTAAAAGAGTTAAGCATTTGGACAATCATTATGTTGAAGTTGAAAAAAGCAGAAAATCATCCAACCATTTGAAGTATTTCATTATTTTTCACCTCGATTAGGTCAAATAAATAGCTCAGGAGGGTATGCCTATTCATCAACTCCCAAGTGTTAAATGTGATTTGTACATAAAATTCATTGTAAAAATGCCTGTCAAATTGAATGAATAGGAACGGGAATTTATAAGGAAAATATATGCTTGAAAATATTATGTTATTTGTTATATAAACTTTTATTTATGTTATTTATTTGAAATTACTAAGAATGAAACATGCTGAATTTTTAATTAATGCTTTTTGTCAAATTATGATTTAATTTTTGAATTGCTTCAGTATTATAATATACAACTTAAATTTTGATTCGTTAGGGTCTTACTCCTAAGTTGAGGTATCGCTTAGTCCATCTATAATGAAGGGCTTAGAATGAAAGAATATGGAAAAACAAAATTTATTTGTAAAAGAATATTACAATGATGTCATATTTAATTAAGATTCTAAACTGAGGAATTTAACCTTCCAGTTATTAATATTTTAATAAAATGGGGTGCAGTATCAGTGTTGAAGTGAAAGAATAAGAAAATGCTCTTGATACATTAAGTCATGAAAGAGCTTGTGAATCCATCTAAATTCAAAAGTACAAGCTTAAAAAAAAATATGGGAGGACAAGAGAAGTTTCAATCATATTACAAGAGGAGAAATGCAAAAATTTATCTAATGAAATTACTCACCTTGTTCCGCAATTGGAAATCTAGGCCAATTCTATTCTAAGATCTAGAAAATAACCTCATGAAAGGGAAATCAATTGATTGTATTATCTATTCTTTAATATTATATAAACATTCAGTATTTTTGTTTAGTATTAATAAAGAAACCTTATGTATTCAGAGATAGCAGAAATTCAGATTCTAATACTCTCTAGTTAAGTTTATTCTTGGGCTAGAGTATTTTAATTTGCTTTCAAAAAGAGGGAACATTCGAATTCATTTATAAAAAATGATATAAACTTTTTAATAATTCATATATTTTTTATTCTAAGGTAATTAAGTTAAATACTAGTTTAAAGTTTCTTATGATTCTCAAAATTAAAGATAATAAGTCTTCTTGTCTGAATTTGTATTTTTCATTAGAGAAACATTATGGCCATTAAAAAAATATTAAATTTTGTTGTTCAAATTAATATCCCGGTAAGTTATCATTTTGATAAAAAATTAAGAAAATTTTATTGACATGATGTGATAAGAAATCAAATATTTGAACTTTATAAAAAGTGATCTTCTACCACATTCGCTTTAATTTAAAAATATAAATAATTCCTGAAATAAGAGTGCTAAAAATTCCTTCTTTTTGGTTGCTTTTTGAGGAAACTTAAATAAATCACTGGAATACTGGTGCTTGAGAAAAATGTTAATATTAATATTTCTGATATTATAAATTCCAAATATAATAATGAAACCGATATTAATATTTAAACTTTTAGTAATTGATCATTAATAAAAAGATTAGGATCCCTTTTTGTTTATTTTTGATTTATCAAGAGTATGTTCATGTTCACTTTTCACTCTTGCTTGTCTATTTTCAAAGTCTTGAATCCACATTTCTACTTAGTCCTTAACTAATCTTTATTTTTGAGTGTATTTTGTAGCCAGTTATTTTCTTTCGTTTTCCATTTGAAACAGTCTCTCTTTGGCTGAAGGGAACATAATAGCAATCAATGGAGATCTGGCTTTGATGGCTGCACACCTAGTTGATTTTATAAAGAAAGGTTTTAAATTTGATTTTTCAACCATCATTTCTCTATCTATGCTCTACGATATTAGATTTTAATACTTTTGGCATACCCTTTCTTGTTAAAATTCTTTGTATTAACTCATTCTTTGACAAATCATCATCCGGATTGAAGTCGTGCTTGACACCTTTATAATCTCTTGCCCCATAATGTCTTTGCTCTATTTTCTCGTTTATGTGTTTTCTCTTTAATAAATTGAATGGATTGGTTCTAAAAATCCTATTGATCTCTTCCTCTATATATTTATACTCACTTTTATCAAAGACTTCCTTTAATACCTAATTGATGTTGATTTTATTTTACTTGTGTAATAAAATAAATTAAGGTCTCAAAGAATTTTTAATCCTTGATGATGATATTATAACTTCCTTTTTTTAAAAGTATTCTAGAGTAGATTTCAGATATCTCCTTTAATTTTTAATTAATTTTGTCTGTTTCAGATGATAACAATTTGGGGGCTATTCCAGTTCGTTCTTTGCTTTATTAATCTAAAATGGATTATTTCTTTTCTAATTTGTGTAGTTCTACACAATAATCATAGATTGTAAGTAAAAAATCCATAAATAATCTTTCAGTAATGAATTTGCTAAAATCCTTAGGCAAAAGTAAATTCGGATTATCAGCTTTGGTTCTTTACATGAGTTCATACTTATCCTCAATAATTTTTCTGAATAAATCATCAATTTCATATTTCGAATGTAGCTACCCAAGCATATTTATAATTATATTAATAATAATATAATAATACGAAGATAAAAAAGGAGAATAACTCTCTTGTATTCTTAAATTCTGAAATTTGGACCGTAAAACCACTGAATATTTGATATATGAATAAAGAAAAAATAAATTTTAAAATAACTATGATAAAATTTATTTCTCTTATTCATAAATAAATTTATGCAATTGCCATCACAACAAGTTGGAGTATACACTTACTACTCTGATTAATTTGAACCCTAGTGTCCTCTATGTCAATCTGGAGAACATTCTTCATAAACAGAATCTAATTTTGTTTAGCAAACTCATGCAATGGCAGGATAATAAGTTCGAGGAAGAGGTAAGCAATATTAATAATTGTTAGTTGTGTATACTACTCCCGAGAGAATAGTCTCTCAAAAAGTAATAGAAGGTGTTGCTTTATCACCTATGTAATTAAGGCAACAATAAGCAATAACTCCTCCTAGAGTAATGCCAATAGCTCCTTAAGTCATCAATACCCCCCCAATAATTTAGTAGAAATCACCAATATTGGTTCAGCAGTCCCCAGTGATTTTCTAGCAAGCTCCTGTTCAACAGTAACAATCTCCTATCGCTATCAATTCTCAATCTAATGTCATACAGTAGGCAATTTACTAATAACAAATTCCACCTATTTAATAGTAATATCAATTTCAACCTTAAATTTAACAAGCTCAAATCAATTAAACAAACATTAGCGCATAATTAAATTAATAACTGTAATAATCTCAGCTAGTCTAACAAGAATTACTATTGAAATAAAAAGAATGGGCTGAAAAGTATTATAAACAAACTGAGGAAATGCAACAACACAATTTAGCCTATTCGTAATTACAAGCCTAATACTAAGAGTAAATGGAACAATATGAAGCGTTGAAATAAGCCTACTCTCTATAAACTCAATATTCAGCTTAAAATTTTATTCCATCATTCTTATAAACTGTTTAATATAAGGTAGTAAACAAAGATGGGAAATCCTAATACAGTTAGGAGGAAATTGAGCTATATTGGAGACATCAAGTTTTTCAATTAGAATAGAAAATGTATTAATTATGGGAGAAAATTAATGAAAAAAAACAAAGGAAGGATTTGCCTACGAAATCAGAAGACACTCAAAAAGTAATAATTTATTATTAAGTTTAGATTGAATAATTGCAATTGGAAGTTGGACATTTAGAACACATTTAAAGAATGAAAATGAATTCTGTAGTAATTCTGAGAAATAAACTGAATGATCTCATGTACTAACATGATCCAGCTACAGAAGCTACGAGAGAATATGATTTATAATTATAACAACTCAGATAAAAAGTGATGCAATTGAATTCGAGAATAACTGATATCCAGGACGAAACATAAATGGCAGAAGCTTAGAATGAAGCAATCAGGAGTGGAAAAGGATTTAAATTTGTTTCTGTCAAATAAACTACTAGCTAAGTTCGATAAGTTACAAACTCTGTAAGATCTAATTAGGTTTAAGATTATTAAGTTTCTTGATTATAATGATATTTAATATTAATTACAATTATTGCTTAATTTTAGGTCTTAATTTTATTAAACATAAATAGATAAATTTTATAAATATTCGATGAAGAATTAATTATAAACAACACCAGAAATTAATGAAAGATTAGAAGAATTGATTCGTAGTACACATCCACCAAAAATATAAAATGTTGTATCCACTGTAGATCTTGGAACAGAGTTAAATTTAGTAGTAATATCAAATGGAGCAAGAATGGCCGAGTATAGTAATCTATTATAATATTCAAGATCCTAAGCGATTCTCAGCAGTCATTATGAGATTAAACAACCCTAGTACTACTGCTCTAATCTTTTAATCTGGAAAAATGGTATGTACAGGAGCAAAATCAGAAGATTAATCTTTAGTTGCAGCTAGAAAATATGCAAAGATTATACAAAAATTAGGATTTCCAGCTGTGTTCAAAAATTTCACAATATAGAACATTGTAGCTAGTTTCGACTTTAGAAAGCCTATTAAATTAGATGAATTCACCAAAGATCAATAGTATCGACCTGTCGTATAATATGAACCAGAGATATTCCCTGGATTGATATTTAGGAAGATCACAGACCAGAAGAAAATAACTCTGTTAATATTTGTAAGTGGTAGATGTGTGATCACTGGAGGCAAAAAGACAGAAGACCTAAATAATGTATTTAAATTTATATTGCCGATTCTGGACTAATTCAAAAAAAGAGATCTAGAATATTGAAAAATTAATTTTAGTTATTTATTTTTATGTAATTTAATGCTAAAGATAAGTAGATTATGAAAGATATAGATATCATTGTTTGACTCTGACATGAGGTTGGGATTGAAGAGTTTCTACTTTCTAATTCAATTTTATAAGGCTCTCATAATGTTAACTCTGACACAAAGCTGTTGTTTATAAGGAGCTTTGTCTAGTATGGTGTTTCGATTAGCTTATCTTAATTTTATCCTCAAAGTCTTCTAGTTCATTTTGGATTTAATCTACAGAACTTTGTAATAGACTTAAATCTAGTTCCACCTATTATATGTATTCTCGTTATTCTCTTTCATATGTGCTTAATGTGTAGAACTGAATTAATTTATTATACTATTTCTTGAAGTGTTTCTTTAGATATTTGTATTTTACACCCATTACGTCATCAAAGCTACTTAAAATAGATAAGAAGTGTTAATAATGATTTAGAAAGGTATCATTATTATTTTAAGAACTCTTAATATTATGTTTCATTCGCTACAATAAATTACTAGAATTATAGTTGATTCTTACTAATGAGCTACATCATAAAATAAATTCAAACAGTCTTCTTCTATATTATTTATAAGTTAAAATAGTTCTATTTATTATCTTTTGTATTCTTCTAAATTATAAAATTAAGATAACTGTTAATAAAACTAGCTCTGTGCATTATTTCTAATCTAATTTAATGTAGAAAGCAAAGAATTCTATTGGAAATGATTGGAGCTAGAACACAATTTCTAAATTTCTAATATATATTATTCTTAAATGTCCTTTTTGCTATATTCTATTTACTTTTTAAACGCATTCATAAATCTAAAAATAAGTTAAACGTTTACATCAAATCGTAATTCTCCTCTTAAAAATTTGATTGTTTTAAATAATTTACTACTGATAAAACAGTCAGAATATCCACTTCTATATCTCTGTATGTTTTTTTATTGAGACTCATTAAGGTTTCCTCCTGCCATAATCTTATTGTATCCTTCGATGATCTCTCATTACTGTATACCTTCTCCTATAAGTAATTTTCATAGAGGTTGACGTATCTAACTTCCTCAAAATCAAAATAGATTGGAGATGTTATTGTAAATAGAAGATTGAAAACATCTATCGAATCCCCAAATCCATGATTCTTTAGTTATTTTATGATCTCAACTTCTTCCTGATTCCAATTTTCAATTATCACTACTATTTTGCTAGCTAATTAACTAACAACAAATAGAAGTGCATTATTTTCATCCTCTTGTCGACCCAAAATGCATTAAAATTAATAGACGTTTATAGATTTATGATCTATATAATGAATATGATCCCAAACATGAATGCCAATAGATAAGGTAGTATCGATTAGTGGAACTTTTATTTCAGTTCTTAATAGAGGATCGAAGAAATTATCTTAACACTCTTTATTTTTATAGATATAGAAAATGAATGAAGAAGCCCCTGTTCTCAGTAATGATTTCTATAAAGCTAACACATTAAAATTACATATTTTTCAACCTCTCCAAGGTTTAACTTGTTCTTTTTTTCTTAATTTACAAAGAGAAATTTAATTGGCCTGACCCGCTTTTCCTCTTCTTTTATGTGTTTTCTAATTATTGTGGTTAAAGATTTTGAGCTTCTTTAGAAATTCTCAGGAATTAATTACAAAGAGCCTAAGCTTTTTTAATTTATCATAAAAAATATAATTTCAGATTTCATTACAAGTACAGATATATATTGTATCTATCATCTGAGTAGTAAGCAAGTCGAATAATCGTATAATACTTTAGAAAAATAGTTTTAAACTATTTTATTGTCTATTCCTTGTGGCTTAAATAATGATGAAGAACCATAATTACGATTGCATATTTTGTGTTTTCTTTCTGTATAAGCGTTCATTGACTAGTTAATATCATGATTAAAATGAGTTTATTAATTAATTAATTAAACATATGTAAGCTTTTTAATTAATTTTATTATTTTTGATTTATTAGAAATATCAATTTATTAATAAAACAAAAATTAAAAAAACATGATCACGGCCAGTCTCGAACTGGCGGCCTCGTCCTTGTTAGGGACGCGTGATAACCCCTACACCACGCGATCAATGGATAATAACTAGAGCTGTTAGGGCTTATTAAAGGGATAATATTTTTCTATTTAATGAATTTTCTAATAATCTATTTCAAGTTCTTCAATTCCTTTTACGACGCAGAAAGGGTAGTGATGTAATCTTAGATTTATTACTATATGTAAAAGGGAACTTCCAATTATAGATGTCATTTTATATATTAAATTTTATCTCAATAATAGTAATATAATAGTTGGATCATCTTAGCCTTCAAACAGGGGGGAATGCAAGTATATTTATGGTGCTTTGAGTTTTAAGCAATTTGAGAAAGTTAAGAAAAAAGAGGCTAGTATTTTTAAATTAAATTTAGTCGAGCACCTGGTGTTTTTAGAATTAGGGGAGAGGGCTCATATTAAGATGGATTACGGTAGACAGAATCCACATATCTTAATATGGCCTTAGAATGGAGGACAATCTGAAGAGAAACCTTTTTAAATAAATGATTTGAGAAGGCTTTTAGACAACAATTCATAATAGGTAATGAAAAAAAAATCAACAGGTTGGTGTTTCTAATAGGGTTTTGAATGGGAAAATAATTCTTTAAGATGAAAATTATTAATACAGAATTTGAGATTTCCATTTAGCAGTGTAAATGTTGGTTGAATAAAAATAAAGGAGAAATTATAAGTTTATTAAGGTTATAACAGAAAGAAGGCTTTTCCTTAAAATTAAATTTGATAATTAATCATTTTGTCAAGGCAGATCAATTTAATAGATGGAATATAATTTTTTAATTTATATTAAATTATATCCCAATGGAATGATTTTGTAAGCAAATTTAAAATAATTGGAATATTTTTCAATAATTATGAAGTTGAGTTTCTTGTCAATAAAAGACGTCATCCAAGCATTTAGCAGTGAGATTTAAGGAGACATTGCCAGTAAGGTATTTGATTTGTTAAATTAGTACTGATTTTTGAAATCTATTTTCATCTATGGATAAAATGGAAGTCTGTTGTGTTCGTTTGGAAATGTTGATAAAAATTAAAATCTTCTATCACATCTAAGTCAAACAATTAGATTTTTAAATTTTACTTTAACATATTTCATGTTTTTATAAATATAAATAAAAATTTGGTCCAGAGTTGATGGAAAAAACAAAAGGTTGGTGATGTCATACTATTTCAGTGATATAATATAACCTAATATCATTTTATTTTTATTAATAAATCATCTCATAATTATTTGCAATGAATAGAGAGAGCAACAATAACTTTATTTCGTTATTTGATGAGCCCAACAAACCGTTATGGTAAAAATCTAAACCCGACTTTAAAATATATCAAATATCAAGCGTATTGACAATGAAAAAAACAAATTCTTAATCAATAAAAAAAGGAAAGTTTTTCATATCTAATGAATATTTGGTAGAGTTTGATAATACTTACAAAAGGCATATTGATCTCAACAACATTATTTTAGAATAAACTAACTAGCCATTTACATTTAGACTAAGCAGAAATAAAAAATAAATCGAATTTACTACTAATGAATAAGAATACTAAATATGGTTTTAGTTGATCAAGAAATACGCTATTTAAAGATCTTTTAATGAAGATTATAAACTATTGAAAGTTTAAGGATAAGGAAATTTTGCTAAAGTAAACTAATTGTTTTTGATTCTTAGGTCTACAAGGCAATCGGAAGGGACAGTTTCGCATATGCTGTGAAGTCATTCGAGAAGAAAAGCTTCAAAAACCTCACCCTGGAGAGAGTAATTTTGGTTTTTATAAAATTTTAGGATGCTCTAAAATTAGAGATCAGCATCATGAGGAAAATCCAATTCCCAGGGATCATCAGATTATACGAAGTTTATGAGACTGAACATCATATATGGTTGGTGACAGATTATTTAGAAGGTGGGGAATTATTTCAGTATCTTCGAAATTAACCCTAGGGGTTTAACGAAATTCAAGTGGCATTGTTAATGCATAACTTACTTAATTCTTTAGATTATCTACACTCCCAAGGCATTATTCATAGAGATATAAAAGTATGATGTTTAAAGATAAAATAAGCCAGAAAATTTAATTCTTCGTTCCCCACTCAATGCTTCTGATGTAAATATTGCAGATTTCGGTTTGGCTGACTATTACAATCCAGAGGGCAAATACTTATTCAAACGATGTGGAACACCAGGCTACGTAGCTCCTGAGATATTGCAAGAGAAAAACTATGATTACAAAGTCGACGTGTTCAGTGCAGGAATTTTAATGTTTATAATGTAAGTGAAGATTTATAAATATAAGGTTGAGTGGACAATCTCCATTTCAAACTAAATCAAAAAACGAACTTGTCATCAAAAATTACAATTGCGAGATAGATTACACCATCAATAATTTATAATAGAAGATTAGTCCTGAAGGTGCATTTTTTAAATTAACTTTAGCTTTGCAGCTTTTGATGATAATGTTATCCCCAAATCCATAATCTAGGTATACTGCTAAACAAGCTCTATGTCACCCTTGGTTTATGAAGTGTTTCACTCCTGTCTATCAGATGAGCCCTCCTTAATTATATATGCCAACCAGCATGATTCCATAATTTCAGCACTACCCTGACATCTTTGCAAGGAGCCCAATAATGAATTAACTGCTAAACCAATCTATTTCAAATCTTTCTTTATCCGGATCATCAAGTATTTTATATAATCCACCCTTAGATGTTACACCTTAAAGAACTCAATCAAATTCCTTACAAGTACAAAACCCATGCAAAATTGCAATTGAAGAAGATCACTAAGATTTCGAAGTTATTTAGGAAGAAATTTGTTAGATTCATGAAGTCAATAAATATTCAATCAATAATCAACGAAAATAAACGCCAGCTTAATAAAATAAATTCACTTAATGATAATAATCAATCTTTAATAATTTATTGGTGTTTTAAAATTAATTAATTCGAAGATTTATCAATATATTTTTCATTTTTTGATTCTCCAATTCATAGCTGCTTATTCTATTATACAAAAGATGCTGTTTGGCTCTTCGATTAAGAATATATTATTTCTTACTCCACCTCTTACAACTCCTCCTCTGTCACCTTGTAATCAGTAGTGAAAATATCCAAAAATTCCATGAATTCGCAATAATTGTATTTTCTACTGTACACTTCTGCTAGTTTCTTCGTATTAACTTTATTCTTGTACAATGCGATAAACGGAACACCCCTGCGTAATTAATCAAGTGAAATAAAGAGAGTGGGATAGTTGACATCCTTGATTTTCTATGGAGCATCTGAATCCATCAAAGCCTTAAAAAGTGACAAGTAATGATAAACATCTTGTCTTGATAAATTCTTTTCTAAGACTATTTTCTCCACATTAATTAATTGCAAGATCTCCCTAAACTTCTAGTTATCTTTGGCTCTGAGAGATTCAAAAGGGTCGTCAACTGATGTTATTTATTTAGACTTCTTTTTAAATATATGTGTATTTTAAGGAAATATATGATCATAAGCATCCTCCTTAATTTCTTCTATTGATTTTTCATCCTCATACAATAATTTCCTCTCAAAATGCTCTTCCTCCTCAGGTCTAATAAATTTTTTCTTATATATTTAAATTAAAGTACTGTCTTCAGTTTGATATGGATAGACTATCTCCTCATGGCTTTGATCTTCTTTAATCGCTATCTCATGTTCTCCTCTAAATTCTTTAATTTATTCGAATATTTTGATTTATTCGAATGAATGTATTGTTACAATACTTTTAAATAAGTGTCTTATTCCTTTTCGTTCATCTAGATGATTGATTATTCGAACATCTCCTCATCAGGTTCTCTAATATTATTTTCTATTTCAATATAATATTGAGAAGGAATTGAAGTTTAACTACCCACTTGAAGTTATCGAAAATAAAATGGCAACAAATTTTCCCTTTTACTGAAAAATCTGCGAACTTCCTCTTTATTCCTAAGATCTAATAATTTGATGGCCAATTTTGGATATTTATCAACTTAAAACTCACCAGATAGACTTAATTGTTATTTCATAATACTCCAAAAATCAAATTAACCCTATCTATTAATTCAATCATTACTTATAGTTGGATATACAAAAACTTTTCATAAGTTGGGATTTAATTTAATGCTGAAATCTCAATGCCATCTAAAGTAAAGGTTCTGGCCTTAGGAATGTAGCTTTTGTAATGAAGAATATCAAGAAAATAGGAGAACCATTCTTTGTAATTTTCACTAATTTCTTTTTCATTAATTATCTTCTCATAAACTGGTGTGAAATAGGGGAATACACTTAATTCCACTTCATTTGTTCTACATAATAGGTATGGGTAATAATTACATTTATTTGGCTTCAGTTTAGGAACTTCTCAAATGAATATTCGAATGCGGTAAATAGATTAAAATGAAAATAGATCTTAACCCTTTCTTTGTGTTTAATCCCACTTGAACTATTTTTTATTGTAATGTTTATTAGACTACATCGATCTTCCATTAAGTCTTAAAGCGTTCTAAATGATGGATTTCTTTTTTAATTTCGTAAGCTTTATTAATTCGATTTATTTTGTTGTTAACTTACCATAACTAACTTTCAATATCTGGGCTTAAACTCCTAAATTTGAATGAGTCTGACCTTGGAGAAGCACTATAATTGTCTCTAGCAAGAGTGGTTAGTTCGGTTATTATGGGTTTGTTGCAAGAATTCTTTGAAGCCTAAGTATACATTTTTTGGGTGGATTTATCCCTTTCAGTTTTTCTGGGTCTGGTTGTTTTAATATTCATTGTAATTGGAGGTTAATCATTCTCAAAGTTCAATTAAGCCAATTAATGTTTTCTCAATTTAATCATATCATCTTTGGTTTTTTAGAGAATGTTTGGGAAAACAATGGGCTTGAGGCCATTCGGGATAATATTTTTAATGGGGGAGGTTCTTGAGTTTATGATTTGGGTACTGATTTTGTTTGTTTGAATTACGGATTCAATTAAAGGCAGTCTAAATAGGAAAATATATAAATATGTTAATACTTTTCTTCTGTAAATTCCGTTTCAAATTTCTATTATTTAATCTTATCTTCAATTAAAACTATTGGAATATATTCTTTTTATTATTACATATTGATTAAATATTTAATATTATATAAATTTTACTTAGATTACAATCATTCTAAATCATCTAGGATTTCCACTTTCTCTCCAGAATAACACATATTGACACAGAAATGAATATCATCATTGTCTGGATTATCAAATGTCAAATTTATAGCTTGAGTTTCATTTGGTTTATTTTTACATGTAAATTTGAGTGTCTAAATTTGAGAAAGATTCTACCTTATTCTCCAACATGATTTCTACAATAATAATATCACCAGTTGTAAAATTGAAGGCTTTCTAGACCATATTCTCTTCTTTCTTAGAATGAGACCAAGTGTGTGCATTTGAAGAAATCATGTAAGAGCCGTGTCCCAAATTTTGATGATCAAATTTCATACTTAAAAGTTATAATACTTTTTTTACTTCTTCCCCAAAAGTACATTTTTATACGCAATTCCTATTCCAATGAAGTTGCTTAGATTTGAAATCTTAATGGCAATTTTACATGATTCTACTATTTGAGGTTCAATTAGAATGAACCTGTTTTCGCTATTCTGATTTGCAGTTTGATGAGCAATCTTTTACTCTGTAATATTTATGGTTGGAGATTTAAGAACAGTGCTGAATGTAAAATTGGTGGAATTTGATGCTTGTAATGGTACAGTGTATTTTTCAATAGGTTTAAATATTTTGTAAAGCGATTATTTGAATTACGTAAGCAATTAATTAAATTGACTGATTGATTCTTAAGACTAAAATATATAGTGTTAATTAGATTACAGCTTTTTAATATTAATCATATAATTTCTATGGTTTGAAGTCAATCTCAATTTTTCCAGCCTACAATTAACTAACGTTATCTATAATCTTTCTCACATCCTATTTGAGTTGATCAACATTTTTGTATTGACTATTGAGAATTTACTAAAATATCTATGGGAAATTCATTTATGTTTAATTTTATTCCAACAATCGTTGTCTAGTATTCTTGTGACTCAAATTAATTTAATCTTCCAGTATTTTTATTTATCTTATAGTAGTATTATATTATATACAAAACCATTTTCTGCACAGTCTCCTTGAGAGTTGATAACAATCTGGCACGCGTTTAATCAAGCTGAGTCAATAAGGAGTCAATAGAATTTTAATTCTGTTTTCCATTCACGTTAACAGAAATGTCTGCAAGGAATATCTTTAATGGAATCACTTTATGTTTCGCATGTTTTTATGATCTACAAACTGGACATATGAGACCCATTTCTTTGCAAGTCGAATCAATACAAACAAAATTCAATTGCTCTCCTTCATGCATATCTCCAAGTGGACAATTCAAATAGTTTAATGCTCTTGTCTTAATATCCTCTGACATTTATTAATGATATTTAAATATAAACAAAGAAAATGAACATCAGGTGGGGGGTAGTAATTAATAATAATACTCAAAAGTAATTAATTCATATTAATGAGCATTCTTCTCAGAAAAACCAATAAGTAGACGAGTTCTCTCAAGTCCTTGAGATCAACTCAATAGAAATAGAAGCTGCCCTAAGTTTCTAAGTACCGTTACACCAGCAAAAAGTTCCATCCGCTGAAAACAGAACCAGATTACATAAATGATTGTGTTAAATTCTTCACAATAAGGTAACTAAGCACCTCATCTTATTTAGAACACTCCAAGGGATAGACAACAACATCGATAATAATTAAGACTGCATATTCTATTCTACTAATTATAATGACAATGAAGATCAGTATTTGTTCGGCATTTGCGATGGACACGGTCCTGATGGCCATCTCGTTTCCAATTATGTCGCACATTAATACAAAAGAAAATTAAGAATTTCATTGTTTTTTGGAGATCATCAATCCTAAAACATTAAATTGATGAATCAATGCACTTTGGATATTGAAAAAGAAATGCAGTTTAATGATGAGTTCAATCTAATGTTGAGTGGAACAACTTTAATAGCAATATTCATTAATGGTGACAAAATCATATGTTAAAATATTGGCAATTCCAAAGCAGTTTTCTTTTCTAAATCTCTATAGTAATGGTAACATAAAGAGTTATCCTAAGATCATAAATTATCTCACAATTAAGAATGTTTCAGAATACTTAAAAGTGGAGGATAAATCAGATAGTTGAGAAATGAATTTACTAATAAAAAATAAGGACCCTATTACGTCTTTTTGTAGGATCAAAATATACCGTAGTTGTATACTACCAGATCTTTGGGAGATTCAATAGGGAAGAAAATAGGGATAACAGCAGAATCGGGGTTTCAGACATTCTAAATAAAATAGGAAGGATTTCTGATTATTGGGACTTGTGGTTTGTGGGATGTGATGAGTTATTAGGATATCATGGCTTAATTGGATCAGGTTAGACTGATAACTCAATAAAAACAAATTGAAGAGTTGGCAAATTCTATATTGAATTATTGTAAAAGGAAATGGGAAACCTATTATAACAATAATGAAGTGGTTAAAATTGAAGATATCTCCTTCATTTTAATTTATTTATCTTGATTATATTATTTATCTAATTATAATTATGAAACAAAATTTAGATGATGATGGTGATGATATTGATCCCTGTCAATTCATCAAAAACCTTGATACTGGTGATACATATAGTGTTAACAATTTTGGAGAATTGGACATTGAATATTCACAATATACTACTGTAAATGTGAAGAAAAACAGATGGCAGAATTTTTGGAATAAAATTGAAGAAATCAATGAAAAGCTATATGATGCTTGTGAAAAAGGAGAAGAAGATGTGGTTAACATGCTTCTAAAGGACCAAAAAGATCTAAAATAATAGGTTTAATTGTAACTCAAATCGACCACGAACAGCATGATTGGAGACGATTATTAGGAATTTATCGGACTTATCAATATAGATTGCAAAGGACTGGATGATTGGACTGCTCTTCATCATGCTATCAATAATAGAAGAACAAATATAGTCCAACTGTTATTGGAAGCAAAAGCGAATCCTAATTTATGCACTCAAATGAAAAGAGCACCTTTACATTTGGCCTGTCTGAGAGGATCCCTGGAAATCGTTGAATTACTAATTTAGTATAAGGTAAATGTGAATAGTTAAGACTCTGATAATAATACTCCATTGCATATCAGTGCTGAACTGAATCAAATCAAAATTGTAGAATTTCTAGTTGCAAATGGTGCTGATGGTAACCTATTTAAATGAAAGACTTTTAGCTTTGTTGAAGAATTCCCATTTAAAGACACCATTTGACGTCACAATGTCCAATGAAGTAAGAGCAATACTTCAAAGGTTTTAGCCTGAAATAGGAGGATATTCATAGAGATCATAATTTGGGGGTTTTGTTGTCAAGAACTCTCGATCTGATCACATTGAAAGATTGTTGGGAAAAGTAAATGATTTATAGAAAATTGAAATCTTAAAACAGAATCAATAATAATAATAATAAACTAATAATTTAGCAATTCAAATAGAACCAATTGCATCTGCTCCTTTTCAAGAAATTAGTGTGAATGTATCTTAAATTCATTTAATCTCAGGTATGTTCCCCTGAAGGTTACATCTTTCACAAATTGTTAGGTAAAGGAAGCTTTGGAGAAGTCTATTATGCGACCAGAAAATCAGATGGAGAAGGATTCGCAATCAAAACACTGTGTAAGGAAAGGGTATTTTCAAAGAACCTAACTCGTTATGCTCAAACTGAAAAGAATGTACTAAGTGTAATGAGACATCCATTTATTGTGAGATTGCATGCTGCTTTTTAAAATTCTTAAAAGTTGTTCATGGTATTGGATTTCTGTCCAGGAGGAGATCTAGGATAATTATTAACAAAACAAGTTAAATTGAGTGAAGAGATTGCCAGATTTTACATTTGCGAAATTATCTTAGCATTAGAATCACTTCATAAGAACTGCATTATTTTTAGAGATTTGAAACCTGATAATGTTGTTTTGGATTCTAAAGGTCATGCTAGATTAACAGACTTTGGATTATCTAAAGAAGGGATTTATGACAATATCACAAAGAGTTTTTGTGGATCAATTGCTTATTTGTCACCTGAAGTACTTATGAAAAAGGGACATTCAAGAACTGTTGATTGGTATCTGGTTGGGGTTCTGTTATACGAAATGATAGTCGGATTGCCACCTTATTACCATTAAAATAGGGAACAATTGTTTGAGAATATTAAGAAGGGAGTTCTCAAAATTCCAAAACACATGAGTCAGGATGCCAGAGAATTGATTAAAGGACTATTAATTAGAGATCCTGCATAAAGACTTGGATCAAAGAATGATGCTGAAGATTTAAAAAAACATGCTTTTTTTAAGGATGTTAATTGGGATAACATCATGAATAAGGTTGAGGATGGTCCGTTTATTGAAAAGAATAGATCTAAGTAATGGGAAAAGGAGGAAATTGATGTAAATTTAATGTATTATTTATTAATAGATGAAATTTGGAGATCAGCCCTAATCGAACCCTAGATTGGATGATTGGTCATTCATTTAATGAATTTTTAATGTGTTTTTTTTAAGAAAATTAATTTTTTAATTTATGTAAGTCGAGACATTCAAGGATTAACTCTACGCAAAATTACGATAAAAAAGCTCACCTTAAAATGATAAAGGATTAATACTCTTATAGTCCATTGAAAACAACCTTAACCTTGAATAAAGAACTAATCCTACAGCATATATTGCTTAATTGATTAATTTATTGAAATCTACAAAAGATGGTTAAGAAGCGATCATTTTACTGATTTATAAAGTAATCATCCCATATATCAAATATAGATATTGCCATCAGTTCCAATTGTCGTAGTAAGAAAGTTAATTCCTGCTTTATTGGAAGAAATAGGAAAAGTCTAATTAGATAATCTAAGTTTGGGTGTTTTTGGTTAAATTTTGATTCTATCCTCCAAAGATGTATTTTATACTCTCTAATTAAGGACTTAAACTCTCCAAAAATTCATCAATTATTCAATCTATTATTGTAGTAAACAATAAGTGATAAGAAAAAGCTGAGAAAATAGGCAATCAAAACATTATAAGTCTTTTATTAATAAAAAGCTTTGGATATTTAATAAGTTCCTGAAATAAATGAAAGGTTGAGAACTCATTTCAAATCAAATTTACAAGAAAATAATGAATGTGCATAACATTCACTCACACTATTAGCATCTCTTAATAATCTTATTCCTTATTCTATTCTAGTTGATGCCTTGTATATAATAATTGAAGAGATTTAAAATATGGATAGCAAATATTATCCATTTATTTTTCTGTCTTTAGAGGTATATTTAGATTATAAATAATTAGTAAGTACTTTAACAAAATGTTGGAGCAGATTAAGCTGAAAAACTGTTATAATAATTAAATCAAATACAACCAGAAGAAGTTAATGCATAACATGCTTATATTTAATGTATTAGATAGTGTTTACTTACATTGAGTTAGAGTTCTTTGTCATTGGCTGCATCTTATTTACCCTCTACTTTATCTAACATGGCAGAATTACTCTTACAAAATAATTAGAAATTAATGCAACACTGTAGATTAGAGATGATGACCTTAATTGAGAAAATTGGAAAAGCAACTCTCTCTATTAAACAAGATTTGGCCGAAGATATAATGAATTTGGAATTAGAAAGTGCAGGAACATTGCAATAGAAATACATAGCCACTCTAACTTATTTGTTTAGTAATAGATTTGATCATGCTAATATTCTTGATGTTTTTGCTAAATTCTTTGCTACAATTGATGATAAAACATTTGAACATTGCAAAGAAATAGTGAAAGAGTTTGTACATAATAAGAGTAGATGGCCACATGTATATTTTGAGAAGACATTTGGTCAATTATGCGTTGGAGTAAGCATGTCTAACTTATTACGCACATTTCCACTTCAAACAGATGGAGTCAATCCTTTGGATAAAGATTTCGATGAAAAATCTAATTGTTGGATTCTGTATATATTAAGTAAATATGCAAATCCAAAGTTGGAAGAATTCCTTGATTTTCTATTTCCATTAACAAATTTACTATCCTTAGCATCAAATGCAAATCCATCTCATGAATAAAAAATCATTCAAAATATTCTATTCCATGTATTAGAAATAGCATCAAATTCGAAAGCCACTAATGAATCTTAACATCACCAAAAATTGGGTTAGTTTATTGAATTAACATTGAACTATTTGAAAAAGGAGCATGTATTTTTTGAAAAACTCCTATTGATGATTGCCAAATTGTTTTCATAATTAGTCACTTTCCCATCATTATAAAATTTTGCCAAATAATACATTTCCACTTTGGCCAAATTAGTTGAATAAAATAATTGCACTCACACTTTAAATGGCATCAAAGTAATGAGTTTTGCAGCACCAAAATCCTATATCTAAGAAGCCTTCAAGAAAAACATAGAAAAGTTACTATCATCCAAAGATAAATTAGATGATAGAGCTTTAAATAATATGGATATTGTATTGTAAGTCGTAAGTGCCTAATAGATGACTTCAGATCTTTGGGATTATTGCATTAATTTTGCTAAGGAGATGATTAATATACCTATAATCTAGAAGAAGATTTATAAATTCTTAGGAGCAATAATGCCAAAAGTGCATCATACTTTCTTGTCTGAGGTTTACAACTTAGTATTAGAAGCAGAATGTGAGCCTAGTTCTCGATAAAAAAGATTTTAAGTAATTTTACTATTGGAATAATTTGTAACACCTAAATTAGATAGCTATTAAACATTTATCTAGTAGTTCTTACCTGAAATGGTAGTTGCAATTAGAGATAATAATATTAAGACTCGTATTTTGGCTGAAAAGTTGATAGAAAATATTGGGTAGAGATTATTGGGATTGGATCTATTAGACTAATTTATATCAATGGTATTTGCAGGATTGGCAGCATAATCAAATGTAATGAAAGCTGATGCTGTGGCTACAATTTCACTATTAGTTGATAAATTCTACTCAAATTTGAAAGGAGAATTCATAGATGAGATGTCTAAGTTAATTTTATTATTGTTAAAAGAATAAAATAATGAGATTTTTAAATCCATTATATTATATGTGAAGGTATTGATCAAACATAGACATACATTGAATTCATTAGCTTTTCACTTAATTGCTTAATGTGGATGAGGTATCAAGAGACAAGAACATTATAATTTTAAAAAGATTGTTAATGAAACTTAGTAAAGCATATCCTTCATCTGAAAGTTTAATTCCACAAGAGCACATTAAATTATATAAGAATGCTATAAAAATAGAGAGATAATAGAAAAAAAAGAAAAACAAAAGAGACTAGGAGAGAGAATTAAATAAATAGAAATGGTAGGAAAAGAAACAAAAAAAACAAAAGGATTCTGATCTTGAAAGTGATGAAGAATCTGAATAAGAATTAGATGCAAAGCCAAAATAATAGTAAGGTGGCATGGAAACTGAAGCAGAAGTTGAAAACAATCTGTTGTTAAAGTATGATTTTAAGAAAGAATAATTCCATTTTGAGGATGCAATAAAACAAAAAAAGAAAGTGTAAGAGAAGGAATAACAAAAGCAATCTACAGTTTAACCTTTGGTTGAGTATAAGGATGGTAAGGTCATTGTGAATGAATAGAAGGAGGTTTTGGGTTAGAAGCGTAGGAGAGAGGCTGTGAATAGTGATGATGAAGAGCATGCTCAAAAGAAAATAACAAGAAATGATCGAAAAACTAAGGATGTTGTTCATGTGGTAAAAGAAAGTGGATCCACGTTTAAATCTAAATAAAAGGCTGGTGGTGATGTAACTGTAAAAGGAAGACCAGAACCATTTGCTTTCATATAATTAAATCCGAAAGTAATCTAAATTCATATCTCTAATTTTAGGCTCTCAATAAAAGATTCAAGAATCAAGCTAGCAAGGCATTTGAAGAAGTATTTTCAAAGAAGTCAGGTGCCCTCAAAGGCGTTAAGGCACACAAATGAATGTGTTATATATATATATAATATCTAATCAATATAATTAATTAAAATGTTAGCATAAAGCTAACAATTATAGTAGTCTGATCAAAAACCAAAGCTGAGCTCATCGATAGGTATCACAACCTTTCCTCATAAATTCACCATACTATCCATATTATTAATTGTGATTGCATTTAAATTTTAGAGTACAGTTCCCTAAAACCTCCGAGACATCCTTAATCTGATTAAATAGATCAAAGTAGAATATAAAAATAATTGGGCCAAAAAAGATACAAGAATGAAGAATAAGAGGCAAAGCAAAATGGAAAGGTGTCTTTGCCTTCCTTGCCAGGAATAAAGAAACAAGAAATCTCTAATTATGAGCCTTGTACTTAAAAGAAATATTATTGTTTAGAGTAGAAGTTGGTAAACATAGCAAACTATGGAAATGGTCTTAGAATACTAAATAGATTGCCCAAGTTAGATGCAAAGAGTGAAGTTCCAAAATAAAAACATAGTTCCAATGGTCCTTAAGCAAGAAGTCCAAAGCAATTGGATGAAGAGACTCCAAAGCCTCACTATTCTTCAGTAACACCTGAAAGGAGGCAACAATTTAGTCCTGAAAGATAAGTCTTAAACAAAAGAAGATTGATGGCAAAAACATGGTAAGGTGGACTGTTTGCTTCAAAGACCAAAGCTGGGTGTCTACCAAATAAAACATTGAAAACCAATTAGGATGCTGCCATCCTATTTCCCAACAATTTAGAGCAGTAAATTGTTAAGACTATTTAGAAAGTTACAATTGTTCCTTAATTGCAGTATGTGATGGACATGGCACAAATGGACATTTAGTTTCAAACTTAATTAAATAAATATTACCCAAATATATAGAACAATAATTTCAATAGTTAGGAAGAGATATAGAAAGATGTTTAACTGTAGCTTTTGAGAAAACCAATAAAGAAATAAATGAAAGTGAGTTCGATACAACCTTATCTGGATCTACAGCTGTCTCAGTTCTAATAAGAAAAGAGTAATTGTGGACTGCCAATGTCGGTGACAGTAGAGCAATTTTATGTAGAAATTAAGATGGATGGAAAGCAATTTAATTGACAAGAGATCATAAACCATCTGATGAATAAGAGAAGTAAAGAATTATTGAAGCTGGAGGTAGAATTGATAGTTAAAGAGGTTAAAATAAAATGATATATCCTAGATTTTTATGGTAATCAACTAGGACCAGAAAGAGTTTGGTTATAATACATAGATGCTCCTGGATTAGCCATGACAAGAAGCATGGGTGACAAATTAGGAGCATAGGCTGGTGTTATTAGTGTTCCTGAAATACTTGAATATACAATCACTCCTTAAGATCAATTTATAATAGTCGCCTCTGATGGGGTTTGGGAATATCTTACTAATGAGGAAGTATTAGCTTAAAATAATAATTAAGGTGATGAATGTTGTGGTTCCATATATTGAAAAGGATAATATCGATTTAGCTGCTGATAAACTTATGGCTGAGGCTATCAATTCCTGGAAAAAACATAGCTTAGCTCGGGATGACATAACTTGCATTGTTGTTTAATTGAAAAATTAAGCGTGAATATTTATAATTTTAAGTTAAAGTCAGAAACCTTCATAATTTATTTCATAGTAGTCGTACCATTTCTTTTTAGAGTTACGGTTTTCCGAATTGATTTTACTTGAAATCTTTAAAAACTTCATGGTTCAAAGCTTGCTAACAAGAGAATCTAATATATTGATCCATTTCTATGAGATTATTCATTAAATCTATCAATGGATCCTTCTCAGGATTCTTAATTTGAGATAGAGTTTGACTTGGAAGCTTCTAATACATCATTTCGAAAATCAACACTCCCACACTATAACAATCAACCTTAGCTGTATAATTTTGATATTCTTTGATCTCTGGAGCCATATAACCTATTGTACCACAATATTAAGAACTGTTATTTGCCCTTATTGAAATCCCTAAATCAGCCAACTTAATCACATCTTGGCATAACAAGATATTCTCAGGTTTTATGTCCCGATGAATAATCCCCAAATTATGTAAATGATTAATTGCACTTAAAATCTAAAATAGGATATTGATCATTTGTCTTCTAGACAACTTTTAATTTCTTATTAAGCTATGCAATGTCTAGTCACTTAATTCAAGTATTAAAGCTATCTAAAAATAAATATATAAAATACTTATTTGATATCATCAATAACACCGAAGCACTTTAAAATGTTAGAGTGAACCAAATACATTTAGATCTTGATCTCATTGCTAACTAGATTAGCTAATCCTTTACTCTTTATTAAGGATTTCTAAATTATTTTTAGTGCTAAAGCCATCCCAGTCTTTTTATCTATTACAGAATAAACGTCACTCATCTTACCTCTTCCTAGATATTTTATTTTCTTAAATCTATTTAAAACTGATGATTGGTTTTTACTCATCTACATATGCATGGTTGCTTTATCAATGCTCGAACTCCTTAACTTTTCCTTTTACAATACTGTTTTAATTGCATCATCAAATACTTTACTTCCATGTACACTTAAATTCTTAAATTTTGGAGAAGCATCTGAAACCGTATTCAGTTTAGATGAGCTAAATTTTTAGCCTATCTCTTCCTTAACTTCTAAATTTGGTTTTAATAGATCTTTTGGAGATTTGGTTCCAATTATAATTTATTTTATCTTTTCTATTTTCATCCTATTCATTTCAAGCAAAGTGGGGTACTAAGGTTTGTCTTTTGTTTATATTTAATCATTAAAGGTAATTTCAACTTCATTATCAAAATTGTATGGCATCATTTCCTACACTATTTTGCTTGATTCGTTGCTTTAATCTTTTCGTAGATGCTCAAAAGTAAATTGATTTTTAGTTACTAAAGGACTTTATTATGCGAATGAATCTTATTCGGTATTGACAATCAATTGAGTCTAAGAAATTTGAGGCAATTTAGAGGATGATACATTCCTATCATAATCACGAATTAATATAAATTTATGTAGTTTTTGGATTGGATTATCTTTTTATTCTGAAGCTTAAATAGGAATATTATGATCCTTTATTAAAGTTTGTGATAACCAAATCTAATTATTGTTAATTTCAATTTTATCTCGAACAAGAAACGCAAATTGGAATTTGTCATTCAAATTGACTGACTAAATGACTAGAGCTTGATTATCTTCAATGGTTTTTTAATTCATTTTTATGGAGTTTGATTCCTTTGAACTAGTATCAACTTATATTTATGAAAATGAGATAGATCTACAGGGGAAACTTTGGATGAAACTTTCCTTTACGTCAAAAATAATATTGGTGTTAAAAGATAAACTTTATTGGATGTGTCTTTTAGATTCCTATTTTAAAGGTGCTCTAAAATGAGTTTCTTTTGAACTTATTGCCTTATCTTTTTTATTCTGAATTTCATTTTATAAAGTTAGTTAATTCATAGAAAAATTAAGTTTATTTACATTTTATTCATCAGAGTCATCTTATTTGATTTATATTAACTTCACCTAATTTGAAGGCACAGCAGGATTAAATTGCTATTATAGTTAAGCTTTAATCGGATTTATCTCAAGTATTGGGAAATTAGAAGGAGTTTAGCTCTAGTCATCCTTTTTAAATTTATTTAATTTTTAAATAATTTGCATAGTATGATTTATTCTGTTGCAATCTACTTTTTTTCTGTAGAAATTTAAAACAGCCAAGTCTCCAAACATTAGGCTTTTGGTTCTGAAATTTAGAGAATTTACATTGTCATTTTCATCATCTTTTAATATACTCTTTGTGGAAATTTACAAGTCTTCTTTTGTTTATACTTTTAATTTAATCTCTCTTGGTTAAGTAATTGTTTCATTAACTTTCTTCAATTATTACTTTTTGGAGAGGTTTTCTTATGGTGCAATTGACCCACTAATCGTAATAGTCGGTTTAGTAACCTGATTTTACACAGCAAATTAATTCAGGCAAATTTAACTATTAAATAACATAGTAGATTCTATAGATGTGTAATCTCTGGATAATTATTATAAAGTAATTTGCTTTTCACTGTTTAATTTGGTTGGAGTTGGTTAATAATTTGAAGATCGATTATTTTTTGATATTCTGATTTAAGGGATTGAAGGTTGCCGAATTATCTGTGTAATAACAGGTTTATCCTTCTTGATCTAATTGTTCGACTGTACATTAGTTTGACTTTTCAATGACTGATTTTGATATACAGTGTCTGACATTTAATAAATTAATATTAAATATGCAACAGTAAAGTATTAAATTATTTTGGTAAGCCTGTTTTTTCAAACATAATCCATTACAAGAAAATATTAATAAATAAGATAATCATAACCTATAATTCGATATGATTAATATCTTTGATATTTAATAAATGATATAATTGATTCACATAACTTTTTCATTTAAACTCATCAATTACTAATAAGATGTTTGTTTAATAGCAGAACATTTTAAACCTCACTTATCCTTAAAACATCTTTATTAATCATGAATACATCTTTTCCCAACCATTCATTTTAGTAAAACTATGTGAAATTGGAAAATTATCTTGGAATAGCCTTTTTTATCCTTTTTATGTTAAATGATGCCTAATATTTCTAATGAATTCGACGAATTCAATATAATTTTTGCTTTCTATTTTTATGATGTTCTATTTAATTATCATAACGGATTGTAAGTCACCATCATTTTACATTTAATTTTAGATTGAATTTTTTCTAGCATTTAAGTTATATGTATTACTCAATCATCTTTAAGATAATTATAACCAATATGTTAAACTATAGATATAACAAATCTCTAAAGGCTTTATGGCCACATCTCAATGATTATCAATTATGTTGTATTTTTAAAAGAAGAAACTTCTAATGAGGAAAATATAATATGTTAAATAATCTTGCTTCCAAAGTATTTATTAAATCTTCTAAATATTTTTGTTCTTGAAATTTTCTTATGTTAGATTGATTTTATAATGATTAGATGAACTATAATAACTCACCTATCATTTTATCTATCTGAGTAACTCTGCATTAGATATTTTCATCTTCATTAATTGGAATTAAATGTTTTATATTCCTATCATAATAATTCTTCATTGATTGGACAAAACATACATAATTATTTATATTAGTATAATTTATAAATATCCATTGATTATAATGAAATATTTATAAATGGAAGTTTTAATATTATATTGCCAAATTCAATTGATATTAATCTTATAATCTAAAAAGGATCAGTTCACTTCTTTATAATAGATATAACAATTTCTAAGGGTTTTATTAGGGTAGTATTGAAATTTGAATACTTTAGGCTTAATATGAGGAGCATGAAGTCAATTTGAAAGGAATCAGCAAGCTTAATCTATATAAGATCAATGTCCTTTGGGGATTAGATGAGTTCTAAGTTTGAGGTTTAAGTTAGTATGAGGATTTCGTGGAAGATATTAACAAAATCCTAATTTTTATTATTAAATAAAATGGCAAGATTAGATTGTAGCATATTGGCAAAGATTCGAATGATGCAGTTCAAGCTATAATATTATTTACATTTTATTAAATTTAATATTATCTGTTATCACAATATCATCTTAATCAAAAAATGAAGGGAAGCTCATAAAAGAATAAAATCTTAGAGCAAATTCAGAAATAAAGACGTTCTTAGTCAAGACAGAATGATTCTAAAATAAATTCCTTGCATTTCTAAGGTATTCAGATTCAAGAGTTTAACAAGGAGATTGATGAGTATTTAAAAACATTTCCAAACATATGTATAGCATTTATAATATGGTTAGAATAATTGGGATTTTAGAGATGCAAAATACAATCCTTAAATAATCTCTCTGAGTATAAAAATATTAATTCATTGAATTTGGAAGAAAATGCTTTAGAAGATGGATGCGTAAAATTGATAGTTTAGAAATTTCCATCTTTGACATTTTTGAATTTGAAGAAGAATTAAATCAAAGAATTCAATGTATTAACCCATCCATTATCCACTAGGAAATTGAGCAATTAAAATAACTTGACCAATTAACACACTTATTTCTAGATAAAAATCCAGTTTGTGATGTAGAAAACTTTACATCTAAAGTCTGGGATTTATTGCCAAAATTAAAGGCATTGGATGGAAAGGACAAGAAAGGTAAGGTTGTTAAAGAAAAGACTGAAATTTATGAAGACGATGAGGAGGAAGAAGATGAAGAAGAAGAAGAAGTATTATTAAATAAAACAATTGTAGGTAGATGACGAGGATGACGACAGTTTCTCTATATCTGATGACGAAGAAGATGAGGAATATAGTGAGGAAGAAGAGAGTGAATCAGAAAGCAACAAGAAGAAAAAGAAGGTTAAAAAATGATACAATAAAGCATTTAATCAAAAACATCAATATCAACTAATACAAACCAATTTCTTAGAAAGTATAATTAATTTATATTAAAAATACTATTATCAATGCAAATGAAACAGTATTTAATTGTAGGATTAAATAAATGGATAACAGTCAAATAATTATAATTAATAATCAAATCAACTCATGAGAACCATCATCTTCTATTAAAACATTTTCTTCTTTTTCAATCAACTCTTCCTCGAATTTCTAATCTTAGGAGTCGTTTTGTTCAAGGTTAATAGGTTGATACTATTGTTACTATTATTACTATTGCTTTGATTATTTCTACTACAATTGCTTAATTAGTTTCTAATGATAATATATATGTAAATACATCTGATTTAGACTGAGGTAGTTGAGTCATTTCAGATTTAGTAAAATATTCTTTGACTTTATCTTAGTTATTATAAACCCAATACAATCCAAATAGGATTCCTCCAATAACAAGCCAATCAAATATCCAACCTTTATTGTTAGGACAGCCAAATCTCATTGAAGGGTGTTCTAATCCACCCTCGCAAATATCTCCTGCTATTTTTCGATATCCACTTGAAACTGTATAATATCCATTGCATTCAGCAGGTGGATCAATATTGATGGTACCATCTATTGGTACACATTATTAATTGCTCATCACAAAACCTAAATCGCATTCATAATCTTCTTATGAACATTGGCATGGTATGACACTTATGATTTTTTCTAATGTATCTGGATTATAACAAGCTGCTTCTCTTCTTTTTCTCATATAAGTTACCTTTTTACCGAATAAGCACTCAGGATTAACTAAACCAGAAGGTGTCCATAATTCATAGTCACTACCTACTTCTCCTGGTTTATCTTAACCAATACAATTCCTCTAATGCAATTCATCTAAATCTATAGTAGCAAGCAATCCCTATTCAGTTTTGATACCATTAGATTCTAATTAGATAGAACCGTATGCTATAAACCTAGTTCCTTTATTCTAAGGCTCAGTAAGAATATTTTATATTTCTGCTTTTTAATCTAAAAAATTGAATGGAGCCCATTCTATTCCACCATTCCAAGAGTAGACTATCTGATTGGTTGTCTCTTAATCTTTAGACATAACAATCAATCCTCCATGATTACTCATTTCATAAATATATGAACCCTTTTTAATTTCAATCCAAGTTAAACCACCATCTCTACTCAAATACGTATTTACTTGATCCTGTCTGTAACTTAAATATTTCCCAATAGATCCTGTAGCCACAATTACTCCTATTGAATTGGTTTAAGTATAGATTGGTGCAAATTAATAAAAGGCTTAACTAAGATGAATATGTAACTAACACTTATTGCAATTAATTGGTTTTCCATCTGCATCAACTGTGGGTGGCTAATCATAAATTTATAATTATACCTTTAATGGAACCCATTAACCACCTTTATCAAAAGTAATCCTTGTTTATTTGTATTTCTTCAAGTCTTCATCTTTAAATCCATTTTATTAAGCATAGAATCCTTCTTCCATAGCTTCTAAGACTTGATGAGAATATATTTTAGCTTGATCTTCAGCATAAACATTAGCCAAATAAATTCCTTCTAATCCTTGAACTCTATAGAACTCTGCACTGTTTTCTAATCTGGCCACATTCTCCAGAGATCTAGAATACCCTTGTACCAGTAGAATCACTTATATAAATTACCCCCAAAGGAGAGGATGGCTTCAAATGATTAACAACCATGAAAACTTGATTTTCTGAGGTATCCAAAATGCTATAAGAGTGTTCTAATAATTTTGAATCAGCATCAATAATTGCATATTTATATTATCCTAATTCAGTGCCACTGACATACAAACTAACCTCTTAAGTGTATTAAGATGTGACTTTAGCTACAAATAGGAAGGATTCTGTCAACAAAAATCTTGAACCGGCTGGTACACTTAAAGTACGAGTTTAAAAGAAATCATCGCTGTAATATAAATTGGCATCCATATTCCAACTGCTAATTGATTAATGTCCCCTTCCTTGAGGATCAAATGAAGCTAGAATTCGTTCTTTTGGAGTATACTTGGCCATGTCTTTGTTTTTGACACCCCAACTAAATTGATTAACATATGTAGCTATGGAAAGCCAGGTAATACCTGTATCCTGACTTAACAGAAGCTCCTTGTATGAAACACAAGGTTTACCAGCAAGAAGTTCATCTGAACCACATTGTTTCCATGCAGAGGCTAGAATCCAATCTTTTTCTATTGGATGAAATTAGTATTCCCTCAATTGCTTACCTGCATTAACTGCTGTGATAGTTTTACCACAATCAAGTGATACCCAGGCAATTTAATCGGTTCCTGTAAAAAGAATGAGTTATTTATCAACCGGACTAGCAACCAAATTGTTTACTATTCCAACTCTATCACCAGCATCCTCAAGCTGAATTAGGGCTTTACGATGGAAAATCTCAGACATTTTGGTCCATTGACGGCCACGATCATCGCTTCTGTATACAGATCCCTTTGAAGTGAGTGCCAATACAGTATCGCTACACCAATGAATGTTTATTAAAGAAGCATCGATATATGATATTTAAACGTCAATATTGGATGCAAATATCTGCATGATCATCAAGAGTATTACTAACATCATAAACACGTTTTATTATTTTAATTAATCAATTGATTTAATAATTTCATACTCACAATTATGCTTAACATTATCCTGAACGTTTGCAATGACATGAAGTTCCTTTGCTTAAAACTACCTTCTTGATTTCATCCAGTGTAGTCTTATTATCTTTCAATTCTTAAGCACTTGGCATTACATTAAGTCTTAAAGCCTCAGATATAATCATTTAAGCCTTAAATTATAAATATATATAAACATTTGGAGTGTTCATGCTGGCTGAAGCTACGATTCTTCCTTTCTTAGCATAATAAGCAATGAATTTCTATTGATTTAAATCACCATCAATTATCACCTCATCGAACCCTTATCCTACTCCACTATAAGCCAATGTTCTATCCCATTATCTAGTCCAAAAGAATGGTACATCAGTTAATGGAGTTGGTCTACCTAAAATATTCAGAGCTGCAACAAATCTACGATAATATTCAATATTATTTACCCTTATCTAATGGCTTCATTCTAATGCTCAATTCTTACGTATTCTCCAGTAACCCAATATGGATAACTAGCAATATCTCCTGAAGCATAGACATTTTTGGCAGCCTTCAAGAACACATCAGTTTCAATACCTCCATTTGGAGATACCTTCAATTGATCTTTAGCCAATTTATTATTTGGTTGGATTCCTGTGCCTAAGATAACTAAATCAGCCAACAGAGATTTTCCATTCAATAAATCAACTCTAGAGACTGAATCTTCTCCAGCTATTCTTTTAACTCCAGCAGACAATTCAAATTCAATTCCGTTTGCTTAATGCAATTTTTATAATGATGCTCCCACTTCTGTTCCAAGAACTCTTTCAAATGGAACAGATGAATTATCCACAACAGTGATATTAACCTAATCTTTCAATTCTTTTTTGATAGCTGAGGCTGTTTCCATACCAATGAAGGAGGCACCAACTATAACAATATTTTTAGCTGTCTTAGCCTTTTCTCTAATTTATAATAAATCATTAATTTGTCTAAAAGTATGAACATTTTTCAAGTTTACTCCATCCAATTAAGGCTTACGAGCTTAACCACCAGTGGCTAACAATAATTTATCATAATGAATTTTCTCTTTTCCAATCACCACCTCCTGATTATTGATATCAATTGAATCGACACTTTTATTGGTCACTACATCGATGCCGTATTATTCATAAAATGATTATTGCCTTATTTGTAATCCTTATAGTTTAACCAAAAATGACACCTTGCTCATAGGTGTTCTATCGTAAGGTAATGCATCTTCAGCTGTAATGATAGTAACTCTTCCTCTAAATCCAGCCTAACGAAGGGTCTCAGCAGCACTTTAACCTGATACTCTGACATTATTAATTATAATTATACCCTCCTCCTACAATGACTATGTGTGTAGGGTCATCTCCCTTAGTTGCCATATTAAGTGTTCTGGGTGCATTTAATAATTCTTTCTCCACTCTTATTATTAATTAGCCATTTTCTTATCTAACAGGGAAGGTCTGTAATCCTCTAAACATTGGCCCTTCTTCGTGAGCACCATCTTTAACAGAAAAACTAGCATTATGGAAGGGGCATTTAACTTTATCACCTACCAAAAAACCAGCTGAAAGTGGAGCACCAACATGTGGACAAGAATTTGAAACACAGTAGATCTATCCGTCAACTTTGCAAACTAAGACAGCGTCCTCTTTTTTTGGACCCACCTATACTTCTCTCATTTCACCTTCATTTAGATCATCCTGAATAGATATTTCATAGGCATCATTCAGATTAAGTGTCTAATGTCGAATTATAAGCAATACTTAAAAACTGTAACGAATAAGGGGAAGGGACACTAAGGTGATAGCTAGTCGTTAAGTTAATCTTGGAGTCATTATAGGAGTTCTTCTTAGACTTACTGCCAATGCTGAAGATAATATCTTTCTCATTTAATTAATTAATTATAATAATGTTTAAGCATTATTTACTTAAATGACTCAATAGTATTTAGTATTTTATATAATATAAGAATAAATCTCAAGATTCTTATTATTCAATACTACTTTTTTTACCTCAATTGTCCAAGAACTATTTATTCTATTATTCGTTCATATTTATTTTGAATTTATTACTAGAGTATTAATTTAAAAATAGAACAGATCATCTTGAAAAATAAATATCGACTCCTATTAGTTTTAAATAATTTATTAGATTTTCAATCCATCAAATTTTTTAAAAAAATTATTATCATTTATAAACTATATACATTATTTTAAATTTAATAGAGAAGCATAATAAATAAATTGAAGAAAAAATTACAAAAAGGGAGATTGAATGAATTTATTATTCTCAAGTTCTCCTCCTTTTATATCTATCAAAATATTTCTAATTTTTCACTTTCTTTAATAAATCTACCTTAGTTGTTACTCTTTTTTTGCTCCAAGATCTCCTAACTTGATAAGGTATTACTAATTTGACTTAAGTGTTCTCTATCAATTCTAAAGAAAAATCAGATTATGAATTATTATCATCCTTCTTAAGCAAATTTAGACTATTGTGATTTAAGCTACTATTCACCCTTCTTGTGAAAAATTTATTATCTCTTTTTTTCATGTATATGCAACTTGACGTATTGATGTGGCCAATAGTCTTGGAAAATTATGATGAATTTCTTTCTGAACATATTGAATATGAACTGTCAAAATCCAGAATTTATTTCGGATGTTGGAAATCTGCCCTATTTAGTTTTTTGAAGGTTTTATTGTTCTTGCTATTCATCTAAATTTATTTAAGATCTTATGTATTTTTCATATTTTTGCATGAACTTCCCATTAAATTAAAATATATATATCATATTTTGACTTGATAATTATACATTAAGAATAATTTAATTATATTTGATTTTTTTTAAGTTTTATATCTTGACGTATAATTTTCTATATTTTTTTGTATTCAAAATAATATTAATATCAATCAATTAAAAAATGAGCTATTTTAAATTCCTACTACTCCTTAAAGTGTTTTTCTTATAATTTTTGAATTCTTTATTAGGCTTTTTACCTATCCATACTGTAGATTTTTTCCATTTTTGCTTTGTTCTCATGTTTGCAAACCTTTAACATTTGATCTCTCTTATTCTCATTTGCTTGTTCTTCCATAAAGACCCTCATAATTTCTTAATTCTATCTTTAAATTATTTAATTAAGTTCAAAAAGAACTTCTGGATTTGGAGGCTATAGACTTTAGGATTTTCTAAGGTCTATTTTCTTAGTCTTTTTATTCAATTTTTTTTCATCTACAATAGAAAAATTTAGTCTTACTTTAAGATTTCGTAGGAGATGATTGATTCTATTCATTTTTCTTTTATGTATTGGAATGTTAAGATTGCTCAAGATTTTACTGTGAAGATTGATTAATATCAGGTAGTTTATCTGAGAGTCTAGAAATTCTTATCGTTTTGTTAGGTTTCTCAGTATTTGCTTAGAGTAAATTGTGTTAACCGATTGATTGAGATTGTGTTCTTCTTTTGTTCAGAGGTTGCTTTTCTTGGGAGACATTGAGATTAGTTGATTACATCCCAAATTATTTCTATATCTCATTCGCAGGTATTTTGCCTTCCTTAATTTTTTCTAATTTGAGGAGGAGATCTCTTTTTTATTTATCTATTTCTTTTCTCATGTTTTGTCTTTATTGCAATAATTAATTTAAATCATCTTAGATTTTATCTGCTCTCTCCATTTTCTCGTTTAATTTCTCCTACAATTTCATTCTATCATACTCTTATTTCTTCATTATTCTCTCAACATTATCCTTTTTATCAATCCTTTTTAATGACTCATAATTTCTTTTATCAGTTAATGATATAGACCTTTCAAGTTAAATTTTGGATAGATTTTCATCCTTCTCTTAAAACTTTTTCAAAAATTCTTCAATTTTTTCTTTTTATCTTTATTCATTTTGCTTTAATACTTAATGTCTTTATTATTCTCTTTCATGATCTTCTTACCTTTGTTTCTCTTTCTCCTTCTCTAATTCTTTATCCAATTACTTTCTTCTTTCTTCAGCTTCATCAATTTTCTTTAAATATTGTTTTTTTCTTTCTAATTCTAATTGTTCATTCTATTCAATAACCTTTTTTATCATTTCTGCATGTTACTCTGCCTCTTACTTTTATTATTCTAATTTTTTCTTTTTTTCTTCTTCGAATTATATTCTCTTTTATTCACTAATTTACAACTTCTTTTCAACATCTTACTTTACCCTCAAAATTTCTACCTCATTCCTTTCTTTAGCTTATTTTATCCTATTTTCATTATCTATTCTCGCTTATTCTGCCTCCTGTTTTTTCTTCTCTTTCTGATCCTCCATCATTTTCTTTCTTTATTCTGCTTTTTCATTCATATCTTTTTTTCGTTTTTCTAAAGCTTCCATTTACAATCTTATGTTTTCTTCATTTAGCATTCTTAATTTCTCTTATTATGCCTTTTTTTCTTCCTCTTTCTTCTAGTTCTCTTCTTCTCTTATTCTTTGTTTCAATTCTTCTTATTTTAATCTTTCTTATTCCTTTTATTCTAATAATTTCATTCTTTCTTTTAATGCTTATTCTTCTAACTCTCTCTTTTATTATTTTTAAATTTCTTTTTATTTTTTTATTTCCTCTTATTATGCTTTTTTTCTTTCCAATTCTAATTCTCTTTATTTTTATTTTATTTTTTCTTCTTCTAACTTTTTCTCATTTTATTCTCTTATTTCTTACATTTTGACCTCATACTCCAACATTGATTCAATTTCCTTTTACTATTTTTTCTTAATTTTTTCAATTTATTATTTTTCTTTCTCAATCAATGAAGACACATCTTATTAAGAATATTTAGAAACCATCTTGCTTTTTGCTAATCCATCAGGATTCCATAGTCCTAGTCAAATTGTAATATAAAACAACCTTGCTTTTCGTCCTCTATAACAATATGTCTTTATTTTATAACATCCTAAAATTTTTATTCTCTTTTATCTTCAAAGTGTTTATAATAAGTTTCAATTCCTTTAGCGTCCAAATTCGATAATTTGTATTTCTTTTGAAAATCCTCAAAAGATGTCTTAACCAATTCTCTGGGTAGAATTCCTTCCCTTCTACATGCTTCTACAGATCGAGGAGTATTGACTTCAGGAGCATTCGGTTGATGAAATCCAAAATCTTAGAGAGAAATTTTCATTAAAATAATTTATTGACTTATAATCACAACTCTGTTTCATCATCCCTTTTGGTCAACACTTCATACCCATTTTCTGTTATTAAGATCATATGTTCCCATTATGCTAATTATTCTATCATATCAATTACCACTTGGGTTATCGTTAGAAATAATTGTAAAATTATCATTCCAAATTTAATAATCTTGTACCTCCTTTATCAAAAGAATGGGTTCTATAGTAAAAACATTCCCAGGAACCATCACGCCAGGATAATGATTCTCTAAAAATTATAATGTGAAGACTTTACAGGTATGAAATATTGTTGGAGGCATATGCATCAAATCTCCAATCCCATGGCCAGTGAAAACTTCGCTTACGTAATATCCTTCCTTATTAGCGATTTCTTATATCACTTTCCCAACCTGACTGAATTTTTGCCCAGGCCTACAAATTTTTATAGCCTCATATAGGGACTAATTTCAATAGAATATACACTTTTTAAGTAGTTTCTATCAACTTTGATATTTCTTAATTCATTTTTGGAACAGATGCCATTACACTAGTGTCACCATGAACACCATCGTAAAATATGGTGACATCTATATTAAGACTATCTCCTTCCTCCAAGGGTCTTAGATTCGGTATTCCGTGGCAGCAAACCTCATTGACTGAAGTGCAAACACTTTTTGGAAATCCCATAAATCCTATTGGTGATGGATAAGCATTTTGTGAAATTATGTAGTCATGGACTATTTTGTCTAAATCATCAGTAGTCATCCCTTTTTTAACTGATCTTTGTGCTACCTAAGCAGTTTTTGATGCAATACTAGCAGCCTTCCTTAATTCTGAATTCAGATATTACAATTACTTTCAATCATATGCTTATCATGTGTAACAGCAGGCCCTTCATATATACCGTATATAGGCTTTTTGTCAGCTACAATTATCTTATTTTATTATACTCATGTAACTTGGCCTTGTGATATTTGAAGGAACCTTTCTTGCAGGAGTAACTGCATACTATCCCTATCAAATGGGTTAATAGAGAATTACTTCGACTAAGGGATTATGAAAGTATTTTGGATTCTTTTGTCTACTCTAGTAACCATATTTTAATCGAAAGAAGAAGTTGTTTTAGTTTAATTTTTTAAGCAACATTAAAATTATTAATTTATGTTGAATATTTTATATGAAATTATACAAATCCAATTATTCTTATAATTATTTTTTTTTCTTAGTTTCATTTTAGAATGATAACAATATATATGACAAGAAATTAAGGACTCTTAATGCATTTTTTAAGATTATGGTTTTAATCCTTGTTCATGTTTAAAATAAAATTTGATTGAATAATTAGTAAAACTTATATTAATATAATCAATCATTCTTCCTATATGAAAATTATTGATAATCCATATTGAAAATCTCAAAAGTTCACGTAAAATTTATGATTTAATTCTACAAATGTTAATATTATTATAATTATAAAATGAGTGAAGAAGAAGCTGATGATACACCAATATTAGATATCAAGCCTGCTTTGACAAAAGAAGAGAATTATCCAGCCTGGATGAGAGAACTAATAACAAAAGAAAAAAAGTTTAATGAGATGTTAGAATGCGTAAAAACAGAAATTCAACAAGTTGATAAAGGATTAAGAGAATTAGATGAAAAAAAGAAAACCTTTAGATAAGTGCAACGTGATTATAGGCCATAGAAAATTCAAAAATAGCCAGAAATTTAAGGAGATTATCACTAATACTATTCTCAATTAAAATATGAGAGGAACAATAAACTTAGTTTTTCTCTGATCAATTCACCTGTTGCTTCATAAATTATACTCTTCTTATAAGACCCTATTAAAACGTGTTTAGTGTTATAAAGAGTATGTTAAAAGTGGAATTATGTATTTAATTCGAACTTGGTATGGGCGAATTTAATTAATCATTCATTTGGGGAGAATATTTTAAAGCAAATATCGTTAGAAAATTATAAAACCTTTGGGGTTTCCATCTATAAATTATTGATAACCTCTATCAAATTTATAAAGCAAAATTCTTAAACATTTAATCTAACCAAAGATCAAGTAAAATTATGTTAAAATGGTCTCCAATTAATCTAAAGATTGCTATGCATTCCAGAAAATTGCTATATCAAAACTAAGCTTCTTGCAGAGTTATAAAGTTTGGATCTGAAATCATCATTAGATTCTATTTTAGAAACTCATAATCATATAGTGAAATAGGAAGCAATTAATTTAAAGATTACACTTTAAGGTATAAGCAATTATGCATACAAAACTTTGGTTGGGATTAGTGATCTAATGAAACTTAAATATCGTTTGAATGACTAGGAAAATAATGTAATTCTACCTTCGAAATATTTTTATGAACTTACACCTTAAGATGCCAAAATATTAGTCAATTTAAGCAATCCTGAAGATGATTATAGGAAAGTAATTTTGAATTATGATAATTATAATAGTTAAAGAATTTGAAAGAGTTTAATAAATTTGTAGTTGCTAAAATGAATGGACAACCATTATATATGAATCTATAATATAAGAAGAACGAAATAATTGGTAATGGCGAAGATGAGTAAAGAAATTTAATAGTCTTTCAAGCGCAAATACGATTTGATGTGCAGAATATAAATAAACAATTAACAAATGGAGTTGAATATTATGGAGAAGGCGAATTAGTTATTGAAAGTAGGAAGGAAAGGAATCATTATGATATCTACATCATACAAGACTTGAAACAGAAATTCTATATAATAGGATCTTCAGGGTCAGATACAATTTTATTTGAGTTTTTATGATCAACATCTATCACACTTCATATTGAGTTTTAACTTATTATTAAATAAAATAATATTATATGAATGAATTACTACTCTGTTTAGATTTATTATACTAATACGATAATCATTTTGACTTCTTAATCTTTTTATTTTTTTAATCCTAATTTTCACCTGCGAACATTAAAATTCCAAATACAGCCATTCCAAAACCAATGATTCCAAATCCAATAGGTGATAATAAGAAGGAAATTAACCCTTCCCCTTCCTGAGATGAAATTAGTAGAAATAATATACTTCTGGTTCAACAGAATCAGGTACAATCATATTTTAAGCCTCAAGTTCTGCTCTCTCTAATTCTGCTTCCTTCTTTTTATTTTCCTCTAATAATTACTCCCAATTATCAATTAAATGATTTCTTTCTTCTTCTCCAGCATTATGTCCTTTGACAATCACAATACCATCAACTTTAGGTAAATCTGCAGCTCCTTTTCTAAATCCAATTTTCAATTTCCCATTAATAAATCTGAATATGTTTATTTACATACCCTTTATTGCATTCTTGGCCCTAATGAAAAACTTTGTCTTCTTTTATATCGATATAAATGAACACTTCTTTTGCAGAACCTTTTTGATGCTTATTGTCAATAATAGAGAGATTTTGTATGACTCTTTTTGTTCCAATATAAATATCGAATTGTCTTTCTCCCTCATTTTCAAAGTATAACTTTTATGGATTAAAGTACTTACTTCTACAAATTACAAAATGATTGTGTATTGTCCATTCTTATTTATTGGTAGGTTATAATCAAATGAATTACCATGTCTCTCAGTAAAATAAACTCTTGGAGTAAAAGTATATGCAATTCCAGCATAAACAACATCATTGTATGTGTAATCAGATACTCTTGAATCCCCACTAAAATATTAATCCTCAAATAGCAATTAGTTAATACATCTTGATAAAGAAATCCTTCTTTGGAATTGAAGGATTCTTATCCTCCACAATCAATTGCCATTAGAACTTATTTCAATGATAAGGAGTTCACAAAAGTAATAAGAGAAATAAAGAATAAAATAATCATAATAATTATGATATATATATTTATTAATTTTTTCTGGATTATGGTAAAATGAATGATCATTGTATGAGTTACTTAATAAAATCGTAAATGTAATTTAGATATCATTATTTCAAAGGTTTTAATTTGGTCGTCATACTCAATTTCTTAGTTCTCGTATACCTTGACATCTATTTTGACTTCTCCCATTCATAATTGCTATGGAACACAATTTTCAAGTGACTTTCAACATCCATATCGAAAACAATATCCCTATTTCCAAAAGGTCTATTGTAGATACCTGAAATCGATTATGTTGATGAAAGATGATGCAAATTACGTGCCAAAGACTCAAACTCAGTCCTAGCCAATTATTCTTGTCTAATTTTCAATTATTATGCCTCCTCTTATTCCACTCTCCTGAGTTCTTCCAAAAACGTTTCATTTTTTCTTTTTAAGAAAGCCAAATATTCTTTTCTTGTTGCCCAATTTAGATAATATTTTCTATAATGAAATCCACGAAAATATCTCTGTATTTATGTTGCCTAATAGCTGAAGTATTTCAGATTTCTATCATTATATCTATTATCACTGTTTCTCTTCATTAACATCTTTGCCAAGTAACCTCTAGCAAACTTTTAAATAATAATAGTATTCTAAAAACATCGATTGCAAACTTACATATCTAATTTTGAGATACTTAATTCTCTTTACATGCATCCTCTACCATTACGAAATTTTGGTTGCTGCCTAATTTTCCTTTGTCCTATTTTCATTACTTAGTTCTGCCTCTTTGTAATATAACTCAATAATAGACTGATAATGATTAGCTTCATCTTATTAATATTGCATTTAGCAAAAAATAAGTAATTATAAATTATTATTATGAAAACTCAAAATAACTTTGCTCATTTCTCAAGAGGGGGTAAATTATCAAATCCATACTTAAAATTTACTAAAGTAGATGCTGAAACTGCAAAAAAGGCATTCACTCCCTAAGAGCTCAAATAAATTATGGATATGTTTGTTTATTTTGATAAAAGTGGAAATAGTACTATTAAACGCGACGACTTGGGTTTTGCTTTGAGAGCCATAGGATACTTAGTAACAACCATTGAAATCAGAGAATTAGGAATATATTTAGATCCAAAAAAAACTCAAATTTTAAATTTTGAATAGTTCATAACAGCTTGTTATAATGTTAGAAATCGCAAACCAAATAAATAAGAGATCATTAATGCCTTAAAAATATTTGAAAAAAACAAATCTGGATATATTGATGTCAAAGAAATAAAATCAATCATCACTAAAATTGGAGATGTTCTTAATTTAACGGAATTCGATATCGTTATTTCTGAAATAACCTAAGCATAAAATGGATTTATCAAAACTGAAGATTTAGTTAATTTGCTTATAATGTAATGATATTGTAAATCATTGTTCTTTTTTTAAAAATTTGAGATGGTCTTTTCTAATTATTCAAAATTATATAAAATGTCAGATTAGTATTTAAATTACAACTTGTTCATTCCTTAAATCAATCTAATCCTCAAGTTATTTTTGTCTTTTAAGAATTCTATCTTTATAAATATAATCTGGAACCTCTTTTTTAAAATAGATATATTAGATAAATTAAGATATGAATCTTAAAATGAACATATTCATCTTTCAATTTAGAATAATCAAATAAATATTGTATATTTTAACAATTTTTTTGAATCCAAAATATATTTTTGTTTAAATCTAATATACAAGCATTAATTTTCATAAAATCTAATTAAAAAACTTCTTATTATTAAACCTAAAAGGTTTTCTATAATTATTGTTACTTGGACCTAGAAGTGACTTTAATGTATCTTAAATTTAATCAGGCTAGAGTGACTCTCTATATGTCTTATATAAATCTTGCTCATTTTCTAGTTATTTTATAAAGGTCAATTAATCAGTTTCTTTTTATTATATTTCATCTATCTAAGATACTAAATTAGATATTTTATCATTAATAAGACTGATTTTTCTACTATAAAATCTAGGAGGAGAGTCATCAGTTCTAGTCTCTTATTTTTATATAATGTGACTTAATTAAACTCTACTTTGAATTGGTTTAATTTCTCCTAATTTTTTAGGTTGAAAAAATTTGTTTTCACTCAACATTTTATTAGTAATCATTTTTTATTGATTTTAGGATTACTGAAAGGCTTCTTCATTTTGTGCTAATAAATTAAGAATAAGAAATTACAATTTCTAAATATGCTATCTATTGATTTGATACTCTCTTTCTTTTTTTCTTTATTCATTTATTTATAAACTTAATGCATAATTAATTCCTTCTAAATTTATTCATCTTTCTTATTGAATATTTTTTTTGTGGCCTACTGAACTATATTTATCACCTATTTTGTCTTCATTTTCTTAAGAGTTCTTCTTGCTTATTGTTCTCTGCACTAGATTAAAATGGTTATATACTTCAGTTTCATTAATATCCTAATCCTACATCAAAATCAATCTAGAATTGGTTAAAGATTGAATATTTGAGTTCCCTTAGATGGATTAAGAGTTCTTACCAAAATAAAGTCGCTCATCTGATTTCAATTGCTTCTCCTTTTAAACCTAATTTCTGTGCACTATAGTCAATGCTTTATTAACATTATAGGTATCTTTAATTTCTTTGTCTGATACTTCTTCTTCTTGTTACCATAATTGATCATAGTTTTCTTTTAGGTTCTATTTTTTTAAGGCCTATCTCCTCATTTGCTCATGTTACTTTTCTATGATAGATAAATTAAGGATTACACTTTTTCATCATCAAATAATCTACATACTCTTTTTCTGGGTCTGTTTGATTTGATGTTATTTTTGGGATTGAGGCATTTTGAAGATGACCTATGTTAAGCACAAATTTATGATTTAATGGTTATAATGATTAATGGGGATTGTTAGTTTTACCTATAAGATCAGATACTTTAGAAAGTATCCTTCTTTTATTAAGTTCTTCCTCTGTCAATTACTAAAATGGTTTATTGATTAATGATTATAACTTTTAGAATTTTCGTAATTATCTTTCCTTATTTTTCTGTTGAACCGATTTACTTTATTGACTTTTATCAGACTAAATAATTTTTAATTGATTACATCATCATTTTCAGTCTCCTTTTAGTTATTCATTTATAATCTCAAAAATTAATTTTATATATTGATAAATAATAAATTTATCATTTCTTCCCTTCTGAGCCATCATCCTTCTTCTTTTGTTTTTTAACCTATTTTGCTTCATCCCTTAGATAGTTGAAATGGTTCTTTTCACTATTTTCGTCTACAGTATTCCCTTCTGACTCTGACTCATAAAATGATGGTTCTGCACTTGAATCGCTAGATTGTCCAAATTAACTAAGACTTCTATTGCTTAAATCAGCTTTAGAGTCCATAGATTTAGTTCTTTTAATGGCTTCTCTTTAAGTCAATTTTTTATATTTAATTCTAACATTTTTTTTGAGATATTCTTCATTTAAGGTATCATTTCTAATATTAGATCTATTAACTTCCCCAATTATTTGCAATATTTCCTAAATACTAAATAATTTAAATTACTTCAGGTCTAGCTTGCTCTATATCTTCAAATATTAACTTTTAAAGTTGTTCAAACAATTCAACATCTTTGCCTCTCGGATAAACATTATAATAGTTAGTTCTTTCATCTAAAAATTACATCGACGCTTTCTCAATTTTGCCTAGCATTTTGATACTCCAAGTATATAATTTTTATTTCATTATTTCTGCTTTCTTTGCTCTATCGTCTATAATATAAAATTATTTATATATTTCTGAATCTATTCCCTTCTTTGATGGTTTAGCATTCATTTCCATTATTTAGATATCATCCTTTAATTCTTAGAGTCTTTTTCTTAGATTATCTTTCATCCTCTTCAAATGTTCAATTTTCCTTTCATTTTCAGCAATGGTACCTAAAAGTTAACCATATGTAGCTTCTTTTGTTAAAAACTTTTGAACTATTTCTTAAGCTTCTGAAATTCCAGTTGCTGTCTTGATTTCTTAGAATGCTGTTTCTACTACTGTAAACTTCTCCATTTCCTTCTCCATTTTATTTTTCAACAATGAATGAACTACTTTATGTACTAACAAAAGTTTTCTCCACTTTTTCTATAAAATACATCAAATAATGAATTACTTCACTTGCATCCTTATCATTGCTGGCATGTTCAGCTATTTCCCTCTATTTTATCATCCTTTCATCTCGTTTCTCTTTTGCGATTAATTATGCCTTGATTTGCTTATTGTATTATGCTATTTGTCTTTGTCTGTTATTCTTCTCGATTTCAATATTCTATTTAATTAAATCTCAATAGTCAAATTACATTCATCATTTCATCACACAATTTTCTAGTCATTTGATTTAATTGAATTGATTCCCATTATTTTGCATCTGCCTGATAAGCTTCTGCTTGTTTCTTTTCAAAAACATCTCCCATTTCATTTAATTTCTTTCGAAAACATAATACATCGTGTTTCAGTCTATTTACAACATGTACATAAGATTTTTCACTCATTTGACTTTCCTCGAATCTTTGTTTAGCCTACACATATTCCGACTTTGAACATTCCAATTCCTTTGTTAATTCTGTCGTATTGTTTATTAACTCTGATTCTTCCAAATTTAACTTTAGGAGTTGATCCTTAAGAATAATAATCATTTCCTACCTTGAATTAAGAAATCTCCTTCTCTTTGTACAGAGATGATGTGTGATAAGTATCAAACTCTTTTCTGAGTTCTCCCAATTTTAAATGGACTTCTTTTTCCTCCATTTAAAACAGTTATAACTAAAATTCTAAAGGTTTCTTACACTTTCATTTTATTGTTGGGATGCTCCTTAATAATTATTAAAGGAACCAAGTATAAAAGACAAATCTTGTTTTCTAATATGAATCTCAAAATTACTTTATTGCTTTTTGAATTGATCTCATTGCGACAGCTTATGTGCTGATAAATTTATCTGTTTTCATTCTAGAAGAGGAGCTCATCAATTAGGTTTCCTAACTTAATAAAAACAGATATACTTCTGTTGGTTACATTAGTAATGATGTTCAAAATATAAATTAAAATAATATATATAAATAAATCAAACTAAAAGGAGAAACAGAAACTCTAAATTCATTATTTATATTCAATAAATTAATCATACTTCCTATAAATAATAAAATTAAATTTAATTAATGATGAAATTTTACACGTCAGTATGAAACACATGAATTTACAACGATGGCTGAACAAATGTCAATATATATTTAAATCATTCATATTAAATGTCACATCTAACTTTTGATTCTGGAGAGAGTATCGATGCAATTACAAAAATGCATCTATTATATTATTTAATTAAATGAGTGTATGAGGAGTCAGATGAAAATAAAGAATTATTCAAAAAAGCATTATAGAAATAATATATCAATATAATTAAATTATGTTTAGAAAAGTGCCTGTATATTGTTTCGGAAAGTACAAATTTAATGCCAACATCATAAATAAAGTTTCTACTTTACTCAAGATTAAACCTAGTTTAGCAAATGAAGACATCAATTTCTTTGGTGATGTTAGATTGTTGGACTCATAAAATAAATTGATTGGTGTCTTTGCATGTGAAGAGGCAAGGAAGAAAGCTGATAAATTGGGATAAGATTTAATCATGATCAATCAAGAAATTAAACCTGCTTTATGTAAAGTTTGCGATTACTCTGATGAACTTGCATCTAAATTCATGAATGACATTGTAAAGATTAAGGAATAATAAAAATTGAATGATCAACATTTTAAATTAAGTCACACTATCACAATGTAAGATTTGAAATTGAAGGTTAATTAAGCTAAAGATTTGATAAAAAAATAAAATACTCTCAGAGTCACCATCATATGTCCAATTGAAACAGCAATCTAGGCTAAGAGCATTTTATATACTGTAAAATTGATGATTATTTGTGTAGTTAAAAGATTTGTCTTAATCCTTTATGATTCCATTAGGAGATATAAAAACTAAGGATTACAAAGAAAAAGAATAATTTGATAAAAAGAAAGAAGAACAAGTATAAGTCTAATTGGATATTGAATTTGAATCAATCGAAAGGAACGAATTACAATCAGATTTGGCCTAGATAAAAATCGAGAGATTAATCAATCAATATTATTCTCGAAGTCTTTAGTAATTGTTGTTCTCATATTTAGAGAGAAGACAGAAGATGAGCAAGACCTGGCTGATCTGTTTAAAGTGCAACAGACTGAAAAAGATAAGAAAGTTGATACTTAGGAGAACAAAAAATCTAAGTTGGAAGAGATGATGGATGATGATGGATTCGATTTCCAACTTCAAGATGTTTCAACCAATACGTAATGTAAATTCTTTAAATAATATTGTTAGCATGCTATTTACGAGATGGTAATTTGTCAAAATATGTGAAGTTGTTTAAAATGATAGAGTGGTCATAAGGAAGAAAATGATGTTATATTAATTTTATTATTATTATGAATTACAATTCATTTTTTTAACATAATTTAATGATAAATTTAACTGAATATATTAATGCAATATTAAGACTCAAGAAGAGTGATTAATCCTATCTATTAAGATTAACCTAAATAAGTGAGACCAAGATCTGTTTCAAATACAACAAAGTTATTGGCTTGGGATCCTCAATAAATCATCTCCAAAACCGATATCTCAACAAATTTATAACCTACAAGCACTGATGCAAGGTAAACTCGACATAATCAAAGGAATATTTCCTCTATTTTAGGTGGCAAAAATTTCATTAAACTTATTAATTAACAACCTTACAATGATTTAAATGATATTATTAAACATTAACATGTAGTACAATCTACAAAAGAAAAATTAATTAACCCAAATAAACTATCTAACCCTGATGAATATCAGATATAAATATAGTAAGGCTCAAAGTCTTAAGAAAGGTAATCTGTAAAATAAGCGAATTCATCAAAGGGCGAAAAGGAAAACTAGTTCAAAATTTAATAAGAATTAATACGATTAAATAAAACAGAGCATGTTTAAAATAGAGTGCAAGGGTAGAAAGAGGAAAACAAATAGGTAGTAACTGAATTGAAAAGACGAATGATGAATTAAACTTAAAAGTCATAGATTAATAATAATAATAAACCAGCTCTCTCGATGCAAGACAATAATATAGCCATTATTACAATGCAATTAAAAGACATCAAGGACGATATATAATCTCGTGAGATGAAATAGCTATGTTAGAATATGGGTTATCATATGATAAAGTTTGATAAGGAATATGACAAAATAAATCATAGGTAAAATGGATAAGGCTCAATATAGATCAGAGGTATTAACACTGATTAGAAGCTGAATACTTTATAACGATCATTAAGTAGAAAGGGAATTAACATAGGGGAGTAAAATCTAAAACTCAAGGATTTTGTTTCAAATAAATATTTACTTAAAAGCCAAGAACATTCTTAGCCAGATAATCAACATTCTTAAAATTAAGAAGACAAACTCTTAAGTAATTTTAAGAAATTCCAAGGTAGATAAAAAGGATAATTTTGATGATTATTTGATATTCTATATTAATATATCTTTCATAAATTTTGACATTCCTTCAACTAATTTATTAACGTTTATACTTTTCCATAATTAATAAACGATATATTTTGTATATCAGACATTTCAATTGAGTGAAGCTCAATAATTTAAAGTGATTCTAAAGAATAATAAAATTATCAAATATGTAATTATTATACATAAAGAAGACGGGAAAGTTTAAAGATTTGATCTAATAATAGAAAGCACAGATTTAAGATAAATAAAAGTCTTTGCAACAAAGACTTGACTCAATAGGACAGTTAAAGACCACAAAAATTCAAGACTCGAAGCAAATTAACTAATCCTATACCATATTTAGATAAGGGAGTATCAAATAACTGAGTTTGCCTAAGTTGATGAAAAGAATCTATTCTGATAAGAGACTTAAAGATAACTGTCAGCAATAACAAAAAAGTGAAGATATCATACAACAGAGCATTAGCAAGGATATAAAGAGTCCAATTAAATTCATAAATATTAACAATACTTATGATTAAAAGTCAAGGTTAGCTGTAATAGCATCGACAGATCGATTTTAGACAGAGAGTAATGAAAGGAAGGAATTCATGAATTATACATTTGGAGCGTAGTTTAGAATAAGAGGAACGAATACATCCAATATCAATAATAATAAATCTTCTATAAGTTAAAAGAGATCTGCATCTTAAACTAGTAGGATTATGACCACTACTCAACTAAGAGTTGTTAACAAAATTTTTTCATGAAATTCATTTTCTTTTAATTTTTATTAATAAATATGAATTAGCAAAGTTTTGTATAAGTTACTTAGGAATACGATCAAGTGAAAAAAAGAGTCAACTCATTGAAATTTTAATTAAGAGACATTGATTAAAAGAATTATCTATTATCGACGAAAATAAAAGATCTTAGATAGATATCTCCCAAAATATAAAAATCCCCAATTTCACAATTATAAGAATAGCTGAGACTAGACAGAAAACAGATTATTGAACAATTCAAACCGATTGTAGAAAAAGAGGGAATTTATCTTAGAAATGAAAGACTGAAAACAGAGACCTAATTACAATAATCAAAAATCTGGGAAATTTAACAGAAAAAAATGAAGGTAAAAATGATAGATGAATTCGATTCCGAAGTAACCAAAAGAAGAGCAGCATATTAAGAAAAAAAAATAAAAGAAGTTAGGTAACAATAATTATAAGAAATGTTAATGAATCGAGTTATTGTAAATAAAAAGCTTCTGGAAATAAACAAGTTAAAAAAATAAGAAAAAGACTTGATAGAAGAAATACAAAGGTAAAAGTAAATCTAATGCTTTAGCGCTAAAACCAAAGAATAACAATTATGTAATAAATTCTGTAATGCCTTGGTTTCAAATGATAATACTGTCATTCTACCATCAATCTAAAAATCAAATAGTAGAACCAGTTAAAATTCGAATTAGAAGAAACCAAATAAGGGTTGTTCTCCTTTCCGAATGTCTGGCAAAGTATTTGATAGACTATAAAGAAGTGAAACCAGAAATGACAATTCAATTATAGAATATGAAGAAAATAGAAAATTCTAATTAGATTCAAGAAAGAAGTCACAATCAATTGATTAACTAAATATTGCTTGTTAAACTACTTTTCTAATTAAAGATCAAAATTTAGAAAGTGCTTAATATTCAAATAATTAAGATTCCTATTTAGGTAGCTAAAAAGATAAAACTATTGAAAAGTCTCAAGAAAATTAGACATCTGAAGAAAGGAAGGAGGAAAAGGAGAAAAACAAATTAAAAAGTAATAAAAAGTAATGACTATATGAACTATTGCTATTTAACTTTTCGTTATCAATATTAATTTTCATTTTATTTCCTTTTGTTAAATTAAAGTAACTTGGATTATTATAAATCTATATTTATTCCCTTAAAATGAGAAGGTTTTTTGTTAAATTTCTGTTCAAAGAGTACAGCTTATAAATTATTTAAAATAAAATTATTTACCATATTTTCCATTTAATAATGAATTTGAAAAAACAAATTTAATTAATTAAAAAAGGATTCAATGGGCAAATAATATGCTAGAGAGCCAGCAGTTGCTAAAAATTCAGCAAAGGCAAGAGCAAGTGATTTGAGAACTCACTTTAAGAATACCTATGAAGTAGCTAGAGCCCTCAAAGGATAAACTCTTGCTTAAGCACTTAAATATTTATAAGATGTCTTATAGCATAATAGATGTGTTCCATTCACCAGATTTAATGGAGGTGTAGGCAGAACAGGTTAAGCCAAAGAATTCGGTAGATCATAAGGTATAGATTCATAATAAATTAATTACAGGTAGATGGCCTGAAAAGAGTGTAAGAATTGTTCTCTCACTCTTGTAAAATTTGGCTGCTAATGCCCAAGTTAAGAATTTGAACAATGATAAACTGATTATCAATCATGTCTAAGTCAATAGAGCTTAAAAGGGTAGACGTAGAACATATAGAGCACACGGAAGAATCAATCGTAAGATTTATGATTTATTTTAATAGCATTCTTATCATCAAATGCACATGTTGAAATATGGGCTGCTTAGAAAGATGAAAATGTTAAGAAAGAAGCAAATAATAAAGTCGTTGCTCGTTAATCAAGAAAATAGGCTGCTAGATCCAAATTAGCTATTGGTGCATGAGGCTATATTAATAGTAGTATAATATCCTAATATTCAATGTTTAAAGCTTTTTCTAATTACATATATTTTGTTTTAAAGTCGAAATACTTCTTTAATGTTGTAAGTAGAATCAATTTTTGAATAAACTAAAATATTCATTAAAAGAAAATGGTATTGACATATTGACAGGAATTTCAGGTTCTTTATTTTATTTTTTCATGAATTTTTCTTATTCAATTAAGCTAATCGTTATTTATTGTGGAAGAACATTAGATTTCTTTAATCTTGAACTAGTTTGTTCTGTTCTAATTATTTATGAGGGTGATTATTTTTAAATTGGATTTTCTTATTTTCTCTTAAATGTTAGGATTGATTATTATTACTATATTTTTTGATTAATTAGCATTTATAATTATGGAGATTGAGTTTATAATTTTTTAAATTATAAATCTATTTGATGCTCTTAATCATGAAAGGACTTTAATTATAAATTCAAATCTTTGATTTCAGTGTCTAATTTTTTTAATTTTAAATCTTGCTGCAATAATTGATTTTATTCTCTACTCATTTCTTCATAAATTTAAGCTATTTAATCTATATTTCTTTTAATTTCTTCGTTAGAGTATTTTTAATTTGAATTTTGTTACTTCTAGTTTTATTGTTATGATTAATCATTAAATGCAATGGTAAATAAATTTGAACCAAAATCTATAATTAATAAATTGAATTACTTAATGATTATTCTCTTGAGTTTTAAATGCTAGTATTGGGAGTGCTCTTTTTTGATGTTTCATCAATCTTAAAGCATAGGAATCCAATCAATTACTTCTAATTTTTCTTATCATAAATTGGAACTTTTTCTAATGAAAATGCTTAGTATGTATTTAAGTCTAGATGCGAGATTCCTAAGTTTTAGATTTCAATTTTGATCTTATGATTAAAAACTTCAATAGCTTATGTCTTATAATTTGTTATCTTGTACTTGATTGACCATTGCACATCTTTGATCTTAAGGTTTAGCAATAAAGGTATGTTTCTCACACACTATTACTTTTAACGGTTCACAAACTAATGGGTAAAGAAACTCCAATCTTAAACAAGTAAATTAAATAACTCTCACTTTTTCGCTAAACGGCGATAAGCTCTTTCTATGATGCATAATATTAATTATTAAAAATGAGATGTTAAAAAGAAAAATTACTCATATACGTTGAATAATAAAATAATTTTATAGAGTTATTACTCATATAACTCAGCTCTTTTATTCAAAATCTAGAGCAGGGAAATCATTAGCATTCAAAGCATTTGGTTTTATGTTTTATTTTGGTGTCTTCTATAACACTGCTTTAGGTATTAATTAATATTATTATAATGGTTATTACTATTATTATTAATGATGTACATCATTTTTTTACACATATTGCTAAGATAAATAAAATTACATACATTATTTCCTCTATCTCTTTAACCTCCTCTTCTATCTTTATCTTTTCCACCTCTATCATTTCTGTCATTTCCTCTTTCATTCCTATCTCCCTTCTCCCTATTGTGATATTTCTCTTCATGTCTGTCATCATCTTTATCATTTCTATAATATCCATAATTTCCTCCTCCTCTTTGTCTATTGCCTCTTGCTCTAGATTTTTGATAAGACCTATCGAATTCTTTATCTTATTCATCATATTAATCATTTCTCTTGTATCCCTATTAATCATTGTCTTATTGTTCGATCTTCTTGGTCATCATAGAACATTTTTTAGCATTAATTTATTTATGAAATTCATCCAAATAATCAACATTTTACATAATGACTGAATCAATTTGAAGTTCTGCCTTTTTTTACATCAAAAAATCAAAAATGTCTATTGCATAATTTTCAGTTTAAGATGTTACTATTAATTTTACATATGTTTTATCAGCTTAATAAATGTCTTCTTCATAAATTAATTCCTCTTTCGTGAAGCCAGATTTTTACAGTGTTTCTTTAATGAGAGCTACATTCAAAACTGGTATTTTTATTTATATCCTCTTTCTCTCTGTTGGAAAGTATGGACGAATGATTAACATTTGATGATCAAAATTCCATAATTATTTGTTATATTTATTTAAAATCTAAAATTTAATATCTCTTTTATACATCTGTTAAAATTAAATGATATTTCTTGCGAGTATTCAATTCATTTTATACATATTGGCTTTTAATTGAATTCTCTCTTTACACAACAACATATTATAGCAAATACCAATCGGGTTTTAAAATATCAGTCTCGAATTTTCTAACGAGGTATTCATTGTTAAGTAAATTATCATATTTAAACAATTCAATCATCTATATAAATTATACATGAATTAATTTACAGCTTTCTCTAGTCTCTAATATTGGTCTTCTGGCTAGCATGATATTATCATATTTAATACCTTATCGGATAAAATTTCAGGAGCAATCATCAGTTCACAACTATTGATGCAAATTATTTATCTAATTAATTTTCATCACAAAATAAGAAACTCAAAACTAATTAACCTATATAAAATTAGAAGAAAAATATTATACTATTTTGAATCAATTCCTGACAATATTAAGTACCCTTCTCAAAATTTGATCAAAAGCCTAACAACTAGAAAAATTAACTTCTTTTTTCTTTGTTTAGTAAAATTTGTTAAATCATATATATTTATCATAATTGTAATTTTAGAAAAATTGTAAATCTACTCTATAAAATATTATAATTCTTTTAAAATTATTGAAAAAACCTGTTCACTAATTCATTTTTAACGAATGATAAATAATTTTTATTATTCTTTCAAAACATTTTACATATTTTGTTGGAATTACTCAAAAGTAGATTACTTAATATTCTAATAAATAAAAGAATCTTTTGGGTATGAATCGATTAACTAAGGCATAATCTGAATATAAGAGCAATTCCATTGTAATATTAAGTTAATTATAAGTAAGAATAATTAATTACTAATTTTACTGATTTACAATACTTTTTGCTATGAATTAATGTGACCTACAAGAATTATCACATCATTATTCAATATCGGAATTCAATGAAATAAACACTAATTTCAGTTGTAAAATACAAGATTCCTAATTTTTGGCTAAATCTAAGGTAAACTCAAAGTACTAAATTAAATATAACTTTGTGAGTTAAAAATTTTATCCTGATTCCAAATATTAAGCATAGGTCCTGAATTTTACAAAAGTTAGTTTAGAATTGATTTGTAAATATTTATCCTCAACATTTTACTTTATCAATTTTGTATTATATCAACTAAAGAATTATTGTTATTTTTATAAATTATATGTATTAAACACAAACCTCATCTTAAAAACAAATTGAAGAAATGATTGCTTATAGTTAATCGAATTTATCAATAATGCTAAACATGGAACAATTTATGAAATATTTTAGAGCTAGCGATCCATTTGCAATTGATTTTTTATCAAGAAATGTTAAGTAAATGTTTGACATTTTGTTTGTTGACTATGATAAAGTTTAAACTGACTAATTAGTCATTTATAGTGATTTAATTAGTAAAATCTTTGAGATAATAGATCTAAACTTAGAGCCTATAATGAAATAAATAGAAGTGATATTCAGATGTTATTTTAGATTTATTGGGAAGTGATTTTTGATTTGAGATGGAGAGCAGTGACACCAGATACTTAATGGGGAGTAGCTCATAAATTGTTTCAGTTGATAAAGGATCGAGATAAGAGATTTGTTCTTGATCAATTTCAAAGACCTAACTTTTTGGTTTCGTTTTTGCCTTTAATTCACATTAATAGTGTTGCTTAGATTTTAATCATCTTTTACGAGTTTGGGTTTCATTAATAATAACTTGATTTTTTGAGAGTTGGTTTTGATCGATTTTAAGATTTCGATCCTTGTAGTGCAATCAATTTCACTTTTATAGTTCATGAAATCATGATAAGGATACTAAATGAAGCTTAAATTGAATATGTGATAAAAGGAGAAATTCAAAGGAAAATGTTTTCCATAATTGTAAGAGAGGATATTAATGCAATGTATTTGAAATAAGTAATTTAATAGAACTTTGAAGAACGCTGCTCATGTTCTGTCGTTAGTATCAAATTATTACTCAATGGATATGCAAAATATTCAATTGGATGAACCTGAGACATAAGAAATTACATAGAATTTTAGACGTACTGAATTCTTTGAATGTTTTGATGTCAAAATAATAGCTATAATATTATAATAATCACTGTTAAATAAAACTAAGGTTGGTCTGTTGATTATTAAACTCATAGAAGTATTTAAAAATTAATAATTATATAGGTAATTGATAATTTAGTCAGAATTACAGATATCTAATTATGGGAAAAGGTTGATAAAGCTAACATAATGGAGTTGATATTTAACTTAGTGCATAAATTTAATAAATAGGATATTTTTATATCTTATGTTGGCAACATGATTTCTTTCGTTTTTGAAAGAGCTTTGAACGATTTTCATCCATATTGGGCATCCAAATTAATATTGAAGAATAAGATACATGATAAACATCATAGGTTGATAGACAAATAAATTTATGAATTTGAATCAAAGTTGTCTCTTAAATTAATTAAAGATGGAGAGTTCTTGCCATATTATGATTATTTGAAATAAATTGAAGAGGAGTTGATGATTTCTCACAATTGGAGAACTTTGAAGTTACATTAAATGAAGCAAGAAGAAAAACATAGATACAAATTAGGTGAAGATCCTAGTAGTCCTTAATTTGAAGAGAAAATAATTGTATCTGCTCTAGATGTTGAGGATAGTAAATACTTAGAGTAAGATGGAGTTGATGAATCAGCAAATAATATTTTTATTAATTGTTAGTCCAAATCTACTCCAAAATAACATTATCAAGAAATTACTTAAAATATATTTGAAACAACCCCAATTATTAGTGCAGATGCAGAGTCTGAATCAAACTCAGAATCTTCGAATAATGAGAGTGAGTAACCCATTGAAAGAAAGTTTGTTTAGGAGACTGGTAAACCAATTGATCCTTTGGATTAATTGAAAGAGGTTTTATAGGGGTTGGGCTTGAAATCTAATTAACAAAATAAATTATCTCATTCTGATCAATTAGATAGGGAAAAAGTAATTAAAAATAGAAATCTATCCAACTCATTAAATCACGAAGAATAGAAAAATAAGCTTATGACTGCTTCACTTAGAGATGATTATGAAGCGCCATCACTTAGAATTGAAAGAAGAAGCTCTCTCCAATTAGTCTCAAATGTCAAGAAATTGAATAAAAATTTTGAGGAATTTCACATTGATTTTTTCAATAATCGTAAAATCCTCAAAAAAGATGATAATAGTATTTTGAAAGTTGATGAGATTGATTTTGAAAAACTACCTTAAAAATAAATAATTTAAGTTGTTTTTTAAAAATAACATGAAGAAGTTGTACTAAAGACAAAATTAGTGGAGGAACCAAAGGAAGAAAACAATTTGTTTCCTAAGTTTGAGAAGGTCGAGGATATTAAATTTAGATAACTATAACAAAAGGATCTCCACTTTCTAGAATTTCTAAAAAACTAGGAATGATCATTATAAACTAATTTTATTAAAATTAGGAAATTTCATCTGAAGCATATAAGAGCATCTTTCAATTTTAATATCATATATATATTTGATTTATTATAATGTTATTAGAATGAATTCTGTAATTTTGATAATTAAAAATGGAATAAGTAATTTAGAATGAGAATTTAGTTATGCTGCAATAAAAGATAGTAAGTTATCCAAAAACTTATGAGGATTTGAAAGTACTAATCTATTTTAAAATTATAGATAATTGCATCTATAATAAGAGGAACCCAAATTTTTAATAAATTGAATGAGTTGTATCATTAACAACTTTCAAGCGATGGTTAAATAAAAGTATTAAACAAATTAAGCAAAGTTGTGTAACAATGTGGAAATTAGGAGTTACTCTTAAAGTGAATTGATATCTGTGAATCCAAATTTAGGGGTGTAATTATTATTAAAGGGATAAGTTGATGTGTTTTAATAAGAGGATGGTTACATATATAAAACAGCGAAGTTAATCGCAAGTCTATTTCCCCTTTCTTATATAGAAGACGAATTCCACTTTGGTAAACAAATATATAGTTCATCTCAATTAAAATATAAAATTTCAGTAGATGACTCTTTAGTTTTGTCGATAAATAAATAGTAGTGCGATGATATTTATTAATTCTTTGGTGATCTTTTCCTTTTCAAACATAAAATCCTATGCAAAATAATCCCTGGATTGGGAGAATTGAATTCAAAGAGAATATTGGCAGCGTTGGCAACATAATTTGAAAGTTTGACTTTTCCACATCTTACACCTATAACAGAGTAATTATGTTGATCTATATATCCATAGAGAGAATGTAATAGGTGATTATTTGTACTTTTTAGCTCAAGGGGATATTTCAATGTCAAAGAATGAAGAGCATATCTTTAATATGGAAGATAATGGAATAATAGGAGATGAGTTGCTTATAGATCCAGATTCAGACTAGAATTAACAATTGAGTTATGAATTTACATCAAGAGTAAAATCTGCTCAAATTCTACTTTATAGAATCAAAGTGAAGATATTCACTCGTCTTTTCCCTAACTCCATTATCAGATAAATTATATCACTTCATAAGTGTATTTATATTGTAAATAGACTGTAGAAAAACAATTGATGCGCTTATTGATGGGAAGTAAACCATTTGATTAATCATTATTATGTAATTCGCCTAATAATGAATTCAAGAAATCATAATCCACTTTGATTTTAGCAAAAGATTCAATAAAATCATATGACAAGGTGGATATTTAATTTTAATAATATTAAGTATATATACTCATATAATTTAGGTACCCAAACATAGTAGAGTGCTGAAATACAATAAGAATGTGTTAGATCAATTTGGTGAGGAGGAAAAGAAATCTAAAAAGATAACCATGAATGAATTTGTTTCATTGACCAAATCAAGCAAGGAACCTTAGATTAAGATTTTAGAAAAAGTAGAAAATCCATACAGTTTTGCTTCTAATGTTAATTCAGAGGGGTTTTTGAAACAATACTATTCTAATTTGATTAGAGTTGGATTGGTTAAACCTCCTCTTAGAATAGCTCCTTAAAATCATGAGGCAATCTAAAGATCTAGAGTGAATTCTGCTGTGAAACTAATTGAGAAAACACATAAGAAAATAAAGACCAGAAAGTCAACTAGTTTAATTTATGGCCAAAATGATCCAATACTTCAGATTAATTCATTAAACCCAAACAAAGAAGATAAAGGAAATACAAATTCCTAAAAAAAATTAGATAAAACTAGAACCATAACTTCATTTTTTGCAACTCCAAGAACTGCTTAGCAGTTACATCAATTTCACAATCCTTCTTCGGGATACTTCTAAATTATTGAAACTCCAAAATGTGAAACTCCTGAATCAAGATCCACAATGGCTAAATCATCCCATGTATTTAGACCTTATTCAGGGTTCATGGATCACACTTCAAGATTGTCACAATAATCGGAAATGTAAAAAAGATTAAGAAAACCAAACTAACACTTCTTTTGAATAGATATGATATATTGTAATTTAAAATCATTATTATTTGCATATGATATTTGCTTTTGTTAAGTAATCTAAACCATATCTGATACCAAAAACAACCCCATAATAAATTTATGAAAGAATGTTTGCTATATCTAATGCGAAGACAATCAAGATAACGGTGTAACCAATTTTATACTTGCTTAATAAGATGTATCCAATTTTAGTAATCACAGATCCACCTATAACCTGACATAATCAATTTAATTACTGCTAGTCCTGTAAATAACAGAATCATTTACTAATCTAAATAATGGTTAGTAAGAAGAGTTATCAAGTTATTCAAAGATATCATGAAATAAATAAACGCTGAAGTAGCTGAAGCACATCTTGGAATCAAACCGCTGTAAAGTAAAGTTGGAACCATTACAAAACCTGCCCCCATTCCAAGAAATCCTGATACAAAGCCAGCTCCAAATCCTCCTGCGTATATTTTAAAGAACCGACTGATGGGAGTAAAGTACCTCTCATTAGGTAGATAGTTTAATTAATCAAAGTATTTCTCTTGACGAGATCCAAAATTCCAAGCTACATAGTCAAATAACACATTTGCAATAATCAAAATTAGAATCATGAAGTCATTCTACCATGTACAATCATATATTCCAACATAAGATGGCTTACTGGGATTTGTTGATCTCATTTGGATGAATATCTAAATTGCAACATAATTATTACCTAATTAAGTCCAAAAGAACCCAAGATAAATAATGCAGGCATGAATGGTAGAATGTTCTCTGTTTCTTATTTGAATTGATAATAGAGAGTATTAGAATTCTACTTACTATTTTCTACACTAAATGAAGTTAATGACACTGAATATTATTATTCCTCTATTTTTTGAAGTTCAATCTTTTACTAAGTATTTGATCCATCAAGATTTAATGCCTAGCTTTCGTTTTTCTGCTTATCAGGTGTTGAAAGCTCTTCGCTTTTAGCTTTCTGAGCTTACGTAAGTCATTCTATAAATTACCTTTTTTCCACAATATAGGTGCTACTGCAAATAGAAATAGTTCTTGAAGTATTAATGTATATAATTGAGGGAGAAAGGAAGCCAACGATGATCCCAGATTTGTGGCAAAAGGAACAGCAAGATTAAAAATTATTGAAATTCTGTAATTAATAATTGGTCTTCTTTGATCTTCAGGATTTCTATATAGAATATTAGGTATTACTTTTCGAACATCAACAATATCGTATTTAGTAATGTTCCTCCAAACATAAGACAATAAGCAATGTGAGTAGCTTCACTTTATGTATAATTTAGTATCATTTCAAGGAGAGGCCCTTTTAAAACTCCACCTAAAGAAATTGGGATATTTGGTACCTCCCAAACCTCCGAGTATTCCTATCCCAATCAAAATAGGGGTAATGATGTAGGATATGATAATCCCTGCTTTAGGTGTATAAGGCGGATCATGAACACAGGTATTGGTAATTGGTTGGCACTGACTAAACTAACCACAGGTATGAAAAAACCCAGTTGCATTGGGATTGCACTTTTCAGTCATTTGTAAATATAATTAAGTATAAGTGCAAAGAAATGAAAAATTTCATTTCATGTTATTATTTAATTAGATTTATTTATAGATGAAGCAGTATAAATCAAAAAATAAATGATTTGCTATCATTTCTATCATCGTAAGTGTCCCATCTATCAATATTCCAATAAGTTGGTTTATGAGAATAATCTTAATTAATAGACTGCAATACAAATGTTCGACGAGGAGTGTTTCTTCTAAATGTATGTGAGGTTTCTGCGTACTTTTTCTATTTGAATGGTTTGGTTGGTCTCGGAGACAAATTAATCTTTGAGATAGTAGAATTTAATGAAAATGAAGGCTATCTTTTAAACTTAGTAATTGAACGGGATTTGTCCCTACACTTCCTCCCAGAACTACCATTTAATTTGTAAGTGGATTAATTATTAATCTTGAATCCTGGTACTAACTGATGAATGGTAGTAGTATCTGGGATTGTTTCTGCTTATCTTGAGACCATCATTTGAGTCACATGAATTGGGACTTTTTGTTATTGGTTGTCTAACATAGTTATCTAACTTCAGTGTATGCTCCCGTAGAAGGGGGACTTTTTGCATTAGTTTTGCTAGAATTTCTTTCTTGGATTTGGGTTTCATATTTAATAATATGTTTAAACCCAAAAGTTAGAAGGATCAATAATAACAACCATTTTACCTGAGTTGGTTTGCTAATCAAGGGTATTTGCATGAGGAGTTTATTTAGCTTAGAGAAAATCCTAAGAGAGGAGGAACTGCACCAAATCAATCTCGAAAAGATAAATTATCTCTGAAGAGTCCCTATCAGCAACCATTGATCACTGTTTCTCATTAGGCACCCAATCCATACACAAAAGCAATGTGAGTACCATTCATCCTAAAGTAGATAGCCTCCTAAAAGTTACCAAAGTAACATCCAATAGATCTCAAAAATCTATGCCGGTTCATTTTAAGGAATGATGAAAAGAAGGAGTGTTGAAAAAAGATATGATGATGCACCAAAGAGTGGAAGAGCCTCCTTTAAGCCCTCTAGGACTTTTACTCAATAAAACTCAAGAGCATTTCACTCGTGCGAATAGTAGAGTAGACCATAGACATTAATAATTAAATACCTTCGAACCAAAATTCCAATGTGATAATGTTATTGCATATAATTACGAAGATCCGTAACTCACACCTAGAGACAATGATGATGTTGAAATCATGGAAGTTGATAATGTCGATATAGATTCAAATGAATCGAATGAAGCTGACAGCGAAGGTGATCACAACTTGTAACTGCCAACTTAACAGCAAGAGGAGCCTCAAATCTAAAAGAACAAATCATTTGTTTAAAAATAACTTGAGGAACCCATAATTAGTATGAGGAAGGCAACTGCTACTCTAAACAGACCATAAACATCAGAGGGAGCCAGAAGAAAAAGGTTTGCCAATTCAACCAATGAAGTTTAGCAAAATACAACTGAAAAAAAAGATTCTGAATTTTAGATCTTTGATTGTCACGCCAATATCATTTAAGAGGATGATTCAGAAAATTAAGAAATGCATTCCTATTATAACTAATGTGTTAAATTCACCCAAAGTATTTATTACCTTTATTATATAGGATCTACTCTCTATACGTTCAGGACAGAGAAGAAAACCTACTGACAATTTTATTGATAATTTAGACAACAACGATCGTCCTCCTTCAAGACATAAAACTCCTCCTAAGGCCACAGGGTTGGATTTACCTCTTGAGGCTGTTGATTCATTAGCTAATCATGATATCCCCATTAAGAATATGTATGCCTAAATTGATGACAAAGGTAAGAAACACTTAGAATTAATTTTAGTTAACAACAACTTTAATGATGATCTTGATGAATTTGATCTTGGCTTTTTTAAAATGAACAATAAAGTCAGATCTTAATAAGTTTCAATCTAAAGATGGATATCACACTGATGAAGGAAGTATTAAATTATATTACGTTAGAAAAAAATAACATCAACTATAAACATCCTTAATCGGCTAATCTTAAATTCAACAACATTGGATTATCTAACTTGTCATATTCCCCTTTAAGTAATTAAATTACATCAGCTCATGGATTTAGAGCCAACGAACCCTAGATAGTTATAAAATATAATAATAGCTCTTCAATTAATAAAAATTAAGCTAAGTTACCAGTTAAGGTTCCCTTCCAGACCTCTTTGGGCTAAGATTTCTTATGCCTATTTGCTAATGATGGTCCAGATTGAATTTATTAAATAAGCATTCATTATTTATACTGATATTAATAAAATATTGTTTAATATTAATTTTATAATCTAGTTTATGATTCTTTTAAGTAATTTGACTTCTAAATTAACAATGGGAGATAGTACTTTATAAATTTAGTTTTGAAGAAATTATTTACAAAAATTATTAATATAATAATTAGTATTTTTAAGAAATAGAATTTTGAGAACATCATATCTCTATTTATTTTCAATAAATATGAATCACACAGAAGTCTAGGATGAGCAAGAGTGAAAATTATTTTTAAATTAATTTTCAATATAATATCATATTAGTCTAACCCATCCAATTATAGCATCATTTGCACTTCCACTATAATCTCGACATTTTTCTGATGGATGTAAATTAGTTATCTCTCGTTTGTTAACAATGTAATAGTTTCCTAAGTCATTTTTTGTAACCTATAATTTTCGTGCGTAGTATTGAGAATCCCAAATATCATCATAGTTCTATTCTCCTATGGTAACAAAAGGATGATCTTCAGATAATTGTACGTCCAAAACTACTGCAACGTGTCCGAAAGGATAATATGGTTCACTTTTATTCCAAATCACTAGATCTCCTGGTAAAGGTTTTTCTTTTCCTCCATTTTTAAATTGAAGAATCTGCCTTTTACCTCCATTTAAATAATCATATGCAAAATCTAAATCAAATATTTGATCTGCTGTATCAATATCAGGAAATGCAGATGCATATTTCAAAATCCAATAATACCTTGCATAATGAACACATTGATATCTATTTTTAAATATTAATAAAGAACCTCATTCCAACATAAACTGTTTAATTTAAACCGGATTCTTATGGCTACAAATAATGTGGCAGATCAGCTATATGTTGAGTGTCATTTTAGCAAGAATATGCAGGTATTTTATTGCCTTAGCCAATCACAACTCCAAAATCTGGTACTTATTCGGCCCCTATAGGAATATTCTGTTTTCTTACAATCTCTTCTGTATTAACTACAAGACTAGCATTAACCAAAATAACAAAAATGATCACCATCGCATAGATTATCACAGTCTGGTTTAATGGCAATTACCAATCCTAAGAATAGATTTCTGAATGATAATTAGATTTTACATCAATATTAAAAAATGCATTTTTTTATAAATTAATCATTGTAATTCCAAACGAACCCAGCCTAGAATGACACCATGAGATGCTATTTCGTCATCTCTACACTTCAAATCATCTTTACTGGGGAATGTCTGCCTATTATTGGATATAATTATTTCTCTATTCTCCCCTTTTGTAATTTTTAATGCTCTAGCGAAGTTTCTTGTATCCCATGCCTAATCGTAATTTTATTCTGCAATCAAAATATGAGGATAAGCAGATTCAGCTTCAATAGAAATAACAACTGCAACATGTCCATAAGGAAATTCTCCTTCATCTTTTTACCAAATCAACAAATCACCAACTTTAGGTGGTTCTACGCCACCATTCTAAAATTTCTTTAGTGATATATTCTATTTTATATCAAAGTTATATGCTTCTTAGAGATCAAATATTTATTCAGCCCTTTCAACTGAACCAAATGTGGTATTGTAGTTAGTGATCCAAAATCTCCTTGCATAATGAACACATTAATATCTAGAAATATAGGTCTTATTTACTTTTATCCGATATAGATTTCTTCTCCAAAATTTATTTGAGAATCTAACAAATATTCATCCTTATTTGGGTCTAAAACATCAAGATCGCCAAAATTAGAATAAGCAGGCACGTTTAGGGCCTCTCCAACTTTTGTTCCCCATTAAGGCTTTCTTTTCATCCCTTTAAATAATTGAATAAAATCATGTACATAAACTTCTTGGGCCCTCACATGGAGTACAATAACCTTGAAAACAGAAGTTATCACCCTCACACTTTTTTGTTCTACATTACACTCTCGGTGTCACTAGAACCTAAGTTTAACTTTCTAAGAAAAACAAAAGTAAAACTAACACTGTATATTTCATTTATAATAAATATAATATCATTTTAGATAATAAACTTCAATGCATAAGCATTTGAATTTATTTTAAGTTTTCTAGTCTGTAAATAATGGATTATCATAAGTATCACTTTGATAAGTGAAACCTTTATTTAATTCTGAATCAATCTAAAATGCAGGTCCATTCCTAAAGATTGATCTATGAATTACTTGCCACTTCCAAATGCTAAATAGTCTGGAGCACACATCATAAAATCTCTATTTCCTGATGTTGGATTGTATTTTCTCTTATCAGGTTCCAGAGTGAATAAAAACGTTTCAATTGAACCCACATACTTATTTTTTATTTCTAACATCTTATCACAAAAAGCACCGAAAATCTATTAAAGTAACACAAATGCATACAATGTTTTAATTTGTTTAGATTACCAAGAGAACAGGATAGTCAGTAAATTCTTGACATTTGCCATATAATTATTTTAATGAATGTCCATCTGTCTTTGATGCAAATATTAAAAATGGGTCACTTAATTTGTATAAATTAGGCATCCAATCCCATAATATTTCAAACTAACTAAATATCATATATCTATAAATGCCTATTCATTTGTAATTAAGTCTGATGCCTATGATGGGATAGGTAAATAGCATGGTTAATTTTTAGTTTATTAAACTGTTGTCTTCATAAAAGATTGAACTTGTTCACTTTCACTTAAATTTAATTTAAATGCTTGTTTAATAATGTTGTTTTATTCTTCTATATTTAAATTCATTAATTTCTTTCTTAAAATTGCTTTAAAATTAGAACAAGATTTGCATGACTTTATATCATCTGAAACATATATCAAAACAGAGTAAAATATTCTAAAATATATCTTAATTCCTTCATTCAAATATATAATAAATATTTTTAAAACTGAAGAAAATGGCAGGTAAGTTAACATTAAACTAATAGACATCTCTTAAAACAATTCAAATGAATCGAACTGAATATTTTACATCTATGTATAGATATTACTAAATGTCTTGCTCCTTCTACTGACAGATTCATAAAATGTAGTAGCTGTTCTAGTTATGAATTTAATAATTACTCTTTAAAATGCTCTTCATTCATTATTAAATGCCATCGTAATTCTTATTTTGTCTAAGTATCATTCAAACTTTATTATGAATCTTTTATCATGAATTACAATACAGAATAAGTCTAAGCCTCACTTAAAAATATAAGAAGCAGAACTATTATGTGAACTAGCATTGGGTTGTATTCCAAGAAATGATTTAAATTGTTCACAATCCAAAGTAACCTAATTAATGCTTCCATTCCTTATTGATTTAAAATCTAAACTTTCAGTAGTAATTAGATTTTTTTCTCACTCTCATTTAAGTAATTAAACTCTTCGTCGTCATCTTCATAACTATTGCAACCAAAGAGAGGAACATTTTTAAAAGTTTTAGGAATTTGTTTATTTTTGAACACAACCTTTAACGCAGATAAATATTCTGCTTCACAATCAACATAAGTTAACCTAAAAGTATCCAATATTAATTTTTTAGATAAGGAACATGGAACACCTCTATTGATCACTCAATAATTTACTTTCTGAATAAATATTGCCATTTCTTATTTAATACTTTTCCTTTTTGTCGAACTAATTCACCATGCCTTAAATTTATTGTATCAGCCTTTGACCAGACTTTTTCCATTTGTTACTAGTCTTCCTTATATCCAGGATAAATAAAGATAAATTTTTAAGGTTCGAATTAAGGTTTCTCAACACCAAACCAATCCTAACTAAAGAAATATTAATAGTCTTGGTTCAAATTCGAAAGCTATCCCTCTTATAACAGAGATTTTGGTGGCTCTACCTTATTTTCACAACATTAAGAGCTTAAAATTTATCCCATTCAATAATGATAATTATCTAAATAAAATTGTGTTTAAAAAATATATTTATATTTTAATAATAAAACAATGTTTAGCTGATGAAGAATAAATCAAGCATATTCCTGAGAGAACTTAAGTAAATTTTCAAATCTTAAGAAAAGGTCTACAAATTAGTTAGTTTTTGTAATGATTTTAAATGTTTTAATTAAAAATTTGAAAGCTTAAAATTTATTTTCCATTTAATAATTTTTACTAAATTTGAATTTATTAACAATCCATCAATTAGCAATAAAATTAGATTATATTAGATTATGTCTTAATTAAGAATTATTGTAAAAATTTAATATATATACAATATGTTTGTTTTATATAAATAATTGGAAATAATAATAAATTAGAGAGTGAATCAATTTTTCATAATTTCATTAATCTTCTACTTCTCCATTTCTCTTCTAAATAAAGATTGGATAATTGGATGTTCACTTTTGTTTTTATCGCTGCTTATTTATTGTTATTCATATAAACTATTATAAATCTGAATTCTTACACTGATATCACTTATGGAGAAGGAGTTTACATTACTTTATATTCATTTTTCGGGAATGAATTTCCATCGTCACATCCTTGGCCTGTATATATTGGAAATAGCCATAATAATTTATTTTCCCCAAAAATCTAGCAAATATTTGTATGTGGATCAATATCATATAGATTAAATATAATTTGATTATTTTTACTAATCAAATCCTCTAATGTGGTTTGATTTTTTTATAATAATTCAAGATGATATTTTAAAAAACCAAAAAGTAAAAACACTAAGACATAGTTACTAAGACAAATCAAACCATAGATTATGTTAAAATATGAAAATTGAAATGAAAGTAAATATGACTTAGTTGTGCTTACAATAGTAAGAGAGTTAAATAGCAATGCATAAAATAAGAGCAATATGAATTACTTTCGGTTTTAATAACCAACACATGTATTTATCCATGGACAATGATGATCCATTTGTAATACACAACGATCACAAATTGAGCAATGCTGAAAATATATTTTGAAATTATACATGGCAACGTTCTGGTTTTGGACATTTACATTATTGACAGAATCCTTTCTTTGAAAATGGCGATTAATTATATTCATCTGCTCTATCTTAATCTGTCAATTTACTTTTTTGGTCTTCCTGGATCAATTTTTTAAATCACGAAAAAGCACCAGAACAGCATTATGAAAACCAAGTTCAAAGTTATCATATGTATATACAATAGTATGTTTAACTCTTCAGTTATCCATAGATTGAAATTAATCCAATAATGCAGAGAGTAAACACTTGCTGCAATCACTACAACTAACTTTCTTCCAATAATTTGTAATTTCTAACTCATAATTATATTAATTTGTATTTATTCATATATCATTAATCATACATCACATACCATTTCAAAGACATCGAACATCAATTCAAATGATAAATTAAACTTAATTCCTTTTTATAAATGAAAAGGAGCACTAACAACTTGTTTTTCGCTTAATCGTAACCACGTTCCATTCTTGCTTTCTAAATCGTTTATCATTAACTTCACTGATCCAGCCTTAAAATTATAATCATAATATATTTCCATATGTTTGGCACTCATTAATCTATTGCATCTAAAATTCTTTATTATAAATTTACTAAGAATGCATAAAAGTAAAATTATTTTTCGATTTTTCTCTTCCTATCAAAAATTTATCCCCTCTTTTCAATTATATTTATTTGTGTTTTGCTGTCCCTTCATGCTCATACCTGACTTCCAAAAATCCTGTCTCTGTGTTAATGTCAATTATTTTGAATGCAAACCGATTGCCAATGTAAACAGACATATCTTTTTCAATTACAAAATTATGGTTTATCTTCACAAAAGTACCCCCTTTTGATCCAACATCAATCAAATAAAATGCCTCTGTCAACTTATTTATAAATATTACTATCTTTATATTATATTTAGCTATGTTTGCTACTAATTTTAGAATGATCTGTATAGGCAAATGTGCAATCTTCATTCCTACCAAAACTAGCCCCTTAAATGTTTACAACTTTTAACTAATTTTATAAATCACATTTACTTTTTATTATTCATCACATTTCAATTTCAAATGAGTTTATTATTAAAGTTAAAATAAATCAAATGATGGTTGAAGAGTTAGTTTTTCTATCCTTTTTAATATTTAATCTTTCATTGATCTCTAAAATTAAATCTAAAAATTATTTTATAATAAGTACTCTACTCGTTAATTATCTTATTATTCAATAATTTGTTGTATTTGAATTGACTTATCTAAAACTGTAGATTACTGCATTATTGTAGATTGTTGCATAATTGTAGATTATTGCATCATTACTGATTATTACATTATAGTAGATTGTTACATTATAGTAGATTATTGCATACCACTGAATTAGCCTAAAATTACAGACTCACACATAGCTTATTATTATTATTATTATTATTATTATTATGATTATTATTATGATTATTATTATTATTATTATTATTATTATTATTAAATTAATACAGATTATGCCATGAATGCAACTGATTCCTACATTTAATCATTAGTTTCTTATAATTCTTCTTCCTAATTGGATAACTATTATGATTATTCTTCTTATGATTGGTTAACATTGCCACCTGATAGTATATCTTCTTCAAATTAAACATGGGTTTCAGTATTTTACCTATCCCTTTCTTGCTCATTCATAACGCTATCATTATCTGGTCTTGAATATTTATATAATCATACATCAAAAAGGAACTACTTCTATCAATATTATCTTCTGCATTGAATTAATTTACTGCTTAAGTTTTAGATTTGATCCAATTTGAATCTTTTTGAACATATGGTGAAGTTGCAGCTGAGTGAGTAACATTGGGATGACTAAACTATTTTTTTATCTGTTCTAAACTTTGATCTGTTACCATAATTTTAACTTCAAATTAATCTAAATTCTCTGTTTTATTTCTGTTTTTAATTTATTACTCTACATTTCCATATGATTTGGCTGATCTCCTAAACTATTCAGAGAGTGTTGATTTTCTATGACCTTATCCAACCTAAGTGTCATTTGTAAAATAATATAATGATATCCATCTAATTTGACTGACTTTTCTCTATCCCAAATGTTTATATTCTGTGTAAGATTCCTAACTTTTATAGGCAGCTAAGCTTAATATTTGTAACAAATAGTGTAATAAATGAAGAAATTGATTAATTTAATGATATTTGCTAGCAGTCTACATAGTATTTCTGACCATACTTTGTCTATTTTGATACAATAAGTTTTATGGCTTTTATGAAAAGTTTTGTTAACTCATCAATAAACATTTTAGAAATAAATTATCACCCTTAAAAGGTGGATTGACTAGTATTAGTAAAATGAATCCATCAATTTAGTTTTAAAATAGTAATTGATAATAATCCTAAAATTTAACGACGTGTAGTAGAACTCTAATATCATCCATATCCCAAAAGAGAGGTTACTAATCATATGAAGGCAGATGAGAAATAGATTTTAATAACAGGTTTATAATGTCTGAACTAATATACATTGAGGTTCTTCTATTTTGATTTTGAGTACTAGGGAGTTCATAAATACTCTTAATATAGATTTCTATTTCCTGTAACAAACTATTTAATATTTAGCATGCACAGCTGATTTCAGCAGTACAGCTCTTGCATTTTGATTGCGAAAACAATTTGGATCCATAATGCTTCTTGAATATTTCTCTATAATGTTGGTATTTCAAGATAATGAGGGACCATATTTTTAATTTCTAGATTTAATAATAAAGGTTTATATCCATTGAATGACTTATCAATTTATAAATGCCTTAAGCATTGCACAATTCTAATATTTCTTCATACTGTCTTGTGCAGGCATCTAACAAAGGTATTTATAATTATTTTGTTTATGGCTTCGCTTCCTAGTTATTTTAAGACCTCTATTTTGGCGCAGTTTAAATCTAAACATTGATGAAATAGGTTACAGTAATAATTGATATAGCCCATTACAATCCAACGGATTCGCAAAAGGAATGCACTTATTACTCATTCCATCTATAAGGAGAAGACTTGAATTTAGAAAGAAGCCATGAAATGATATTATCTAATTATCGAATATTCATAATAATAAATATAATCATTCATTCCAATTTTTGTTTTATTCTCTGTATAATTTTTAAAACTATTCATTATAAAATCGAATTAATTAATCAAGATACTTGTTAAGCCAATTTGCAAATATCTTAATATCATTCTGAAAGTTTGTTTCAATTGTTTTTAGCAACTTTTAGTTTTCTCTGATTTGTTCTTTATACTAAATTTTTTCTTGACTATATATTTCATAATACCATTAACAGATTCGATTTGATTGTGTATTTTGATCTATTGTTAAATCTGATAAATCAACTCAGATCTTCTCTTAATTGTTCCCATAGCTTCATCTATATCAAGAATGCAGAGCTATCTTAAAAATATAGACAACCTCTAATTTGAAGATGACACTCACCTTAATTTCATTTAAGATGGCCTCATTAATGGAGCAACTCGCTTCAGTTTTGCTAATATCCTTTTCCAAATAAGGATGTTCAAGTTCTTTCAAAGAACTTATCACTTTCCTTGTGTCTTCATTTTGCTCCTATTTAATATTGACAATATTTTAGTATTATTCAAAAATCCTTTTAACCTTTTACTATTCTTCAATCAATAACTAAAGAGAGCATAATATAAAATAATACATCCTCCCAACTTTCAAAACATTCCTTTACATCTTATTGAATTTCTTATTCAGGATATTGTTAATACTTTAAGGAATTCTATTATCCAGTGTAGATAAAACTACTTAAATAATTAAAAGATCCTTTGGCTATGTCATACGCCTTTGATCCAGCATTTGCAATAGCTGATCCCAATTGATAAGCATAATTTTGATATTAGGATAATTCTAAGAGTTCCTATTGCATTACCTAAAACCTATGAATCAATTTATACTTCTGAGGATCCAGTAAGAAAAATTAGAAATTTACTACTTACTTACAATTAAGGATGATCCTTAATTTTGTTTAAAAATTCTTCTAATTGCTAAAATCAAATACCTAAATACTTTATATCGTTTCTCTCTTATTATTGAAGTTTGTTCAGTTAGATTAATTTTTGCTAAAACAGTTTTTGGTGGAATGGCTGGAATGAGTAATCCAGGAAATTCTCGTTTTAATGCACCATTAAGCCATTCAAAATGAGTGTATTTCCGATGCACTGTATTTGATTGTTCATCATTAATTTAACTGCAAAGGACATATGAAATATTTTCATAATATTAAGTGTAACTTTAAGAGACTTACTCAGTCAGATGGAATTTAATGATATTAATGTTGGACTTTTGATTTATTTCACTTTACACCCTAGTTGGAGTGAGACTTATTATTTGAGATACTGTTTCCTACGATCCTTGCTATGATTCTTATGATTCTAACTTTGGCTCATCATAATCAATTGGTATATCTATTAATTCATTGTCCATTATCATAAAATGAAATAATATAATTCAATCCCAAAAATTGAGTCAAAGCTTATTGGAGATACACTGAGGTAATGACCATCTTGATTGTAGATTTCTAAAGACTCCAGCCTAAAGAAACAGCTACTTGAAGACTCTAGTCAAATAAAAAGAAAAGTAAAAAATAATAGACGAAAAATAATTGATTCAATAAAAACAGCAGGTTCTTCAACACAGCAAAAAGAAATTTCTTTCACTTCTCAAAAGCAGAAATACAGAACTATCATTCATGAAATTTAGACCCATTCAAAAACCTCTAAATTTATTAAGAATGTGTGCCGAATTAAAAATATCAGACAGAATTTCCAAATCTGTTGAAATTGATGAAGTAATCGAGTCTAAACCTTCTAGTAAATCAAATAGAACTAAGCATAGTTCATCATAAATTTTTGATCAATCAGTTCATGTTCAATAGTTTAAAGATGAAAGTACACCTAACAAAAGAGGAACCTTATAATTCCTCTCCACATAATAATTAATTAAAACTACTGTTCCTCCTTAAATTAAAGCAGAAAAAAAATCAAATCCATCTTCTGCAGCTCAATCACCGAGATAAAAAATAAGAGTCAGAAAATTACCTTTAAATGAATTAGAGACAAAGCTAGAGCATTTAAAATCTAACTCTTAGGATCCTAATGTTTAAACTGGAATTCTTTGTAGGGTTCCAAGTCAAATGTAAAAACACATTTTGCTTATATTTTAGACTAATTCGAAATGGAATACTCTTGCCAACGTAGAAACATTAATTGAAGATACCGTAACGGAAAGAATGTTTGGAAGATGATAATTCATCATTAGCCTCTCATACAGAATTGAAATTAGATTCCATTTACAATAATTCAAAACATCTCAAACAAGATCATAAAAACTACTAACATAAATCAATAGAGTATTAATAAGAATCTATAAAATTATTTTACAAGAAAATTTATTGTAAATTATGAGCAATTTATTTTATAAAGATAGTCTACCAAGAATTTGATTTATCTTAACTTTTTGAAATATAAATCTAATATCTTGTTAGATCTAAATTTTTGAATTCCTTTATTAAATTATCATATTGATAATTAGATATATTTTATATATTAACTCTTTTTCTATATATTCTTACGTGTTAATATCTCTATCTATCTATATACGTTAATCAGGAATGTATTAAGATAATTTAATGCTAATTATTTAAAATAATATTATAAAATAGATTATTTACTTTTAATGTTACTAAATTGAGATTGAAAATAAGATTGTGTTCTTTGAGTGTCTGTTAAACAATTCGATTGAAGATATCAAAATATATACTTAATTAAAATGAAATTTAATCGATATTTTTTGGAATATTTAGTTTTTTAGCTAAGATTCTTAAATATATGCATTTAATTCCAAAACTAATTAAATAGTAGAAAACTCAGGAAGATATCTCCTTAATACATGATTACTTAAGTCAGTTACATCAATTTCAAGCTCCATACGAAATGTTAAAAGATGTAATTCTTATTACCGTATAAATAGATTAGTAAAAGAATTGGGTATGCATATTTTGAAAAAGGGCAGTCTGTTTAAAAGAATAACAATATGGCTTACTACGTGATCAAAGGGATGCTGAGAACACATGAAAACTTATAAATTCAACCAGATATGTGGTATGAAGGCGAATTTGCATTTGAAGCTTAAGTAACTCAATTGCTCAAACTTAGACAGAAACCCATTGTTTCATGTTACCCTTGAGTATCTATAAAAAATTTACTGCGTGCCACACTTAAATGTTTCAATAGAAAAAAAAAACATTAATATCCAATTTACCCATCCTTGAAAAAGTGAACTATAGAATTCAAGATTAACTTATTAAGGGATTTCAAGAGGTTAAGTTTGTTAACAAGGATTTTGTGTTGAAAATGGATGATCCTGGTAGTTCTTTATTTATTCTCCAACATGGTATTTTAATTGTGAGCAAAACATACTAAAAATCCCTTTCCTAATACGAAAAATTGGTATTACCAAAGAAATTTTGGTTTGATGATATCGTTTTATGTGAATTCATAGATAAAGGATTTATAGGAGAAGAGTTTTTATCGTGTGATAAAGCCTTATACAATGTTTAAGTAGCGTCAAAGACAGCCACGTTATTAATGATTTCTATTCAATAACTAAAGTAGATTAGTCAACAAGTGTTTTAGGCAATCTTCAAAATTTCAACGGATAATTAATTTATAAGAGAAGAAATTTATAAAGAAAAATGTTAAGAATTGGAAAAGTATTGGTAAAATACTAATAAAAGTTAGATCTTAAGTTAAGATATTAAAAAAACTATTTCTTTTAAAGTCATCTAAAAATAATCATCATCCTAAGATTAATAATGTTAAACAATAGATGATCAAATGCAATTTATCATTGGCAATTTATCTTATAAGAAGATGCCAACGTTTATCTAACAATATTTCAGATAAAAAAACATCAAAATTAAAAAAAAATAAGATCCCTTATAATAATTATAAAGAAGTTAAAACTCAATTTCTTTCCATCAAGTAGATCCTACTATCTTTGATTCATAAATTCTAATCTAAAAAGTATAATAGAAAATCTCTGCATAGTAAAATTAATAATAATCTTTCTGTTTACGCAAATCATAATCTAGATAATTCAATAGAAATAAATCTTCTTCAAAATCAGAACATATAAAACCAAATGCCTCTCAAATTGTATTTTAATTCAACATTCCATAACAATAAGAAAATAATAAACTATAGAATGAATAAAAAAAAGATTAAATGATGAACAAAACTATTTTTTCTAATTTTCAAACTCCAAAACCAGAAGCAAAGTTGTAAATCAAGATGAAACGAAGCACGTCTGTTATAAAATTAAATGAAAATCTATCTTCAATTACGCCTGGAACTCAATCCAAAAGTAAACATCATTTCATTATTATTTAGCTCCTCGGGAAAATCTATATATAAATTTTTCATCAAATTAAATTGTAAAGAAAATAAAAGTTAACCAATTATTACTTAATTAATAATTTTGAGAAAAGATTAATGCTTATGCAAACAACCTTGATATTATCTCAAATATATAACATAATTTATATCTATATTGATGAATTAAGAATATAATAAGAAAGTAAAATGATTTAAAATTCTTGTAAACTTTAAATGATTTGTTTGTATTTTAATGATTCAGAAGCATCAATTAAATTATGAATATTTTTATTAGATTTTCAATCATCATCTGCATGAGCTACTTATTGTAAGACCCCATAAACATAGAAATATCGATTAAAGCATTAATAAAACATCTCTTTTACATTGTTTTGATTGTATTCTACTTTTTTCTTTTGGTTAAGAATATCATTCTTCTCTTTTTAGTCCTTTGCCCTATCAGCTAAACCTTGCAAATATTCTGGCTCATATAATCTGTTGAAATATGCATCATCATTAATAACTGCTTTTGCACAAACTCTAAACATTTTATCTTAGAAGTATTAATTTTAAAGTTCTTCGATTTCTTGCTCGTTTGGCTCGTCCATAATTAATTTTATAATATTAATACATATCTATTCATTATTTATAATTTTATATCATTTCTATGCTATTATCAAGAATAAGAACATTCAAAAACCTAACCACAACACTTAAGCCTTTGCAAAATAATAGATATTACAAATTCTCTAATGCTGAAGCAAGCAAGGACGCTAAGTTTGATAGAAATGCTCATTTCGAAGACCCTGTCAATGAATGGGTTAATCCATCAAAAAGATGGTTAATAGGAGGATGGTTGCTTCTTTGTGCAGGGGGAGTCTATTTTATGGTCCTCTTGGGTGGATACACCAGACTTACTCATTCAGGTACATAGATATTCAATTATATTTAGGATTATCAATGACTAAATGGAAACCAATAGAATATGTATATCCAAGAAACCAAGCTGATTGGGAGAAGGAATTTGACTATTACAAACAATTCCCAGAATACTAACATTCTCCTATTGATTTAGAGAAGTTCAAGAAAATATTCATTGTTGAATATTTACACCGAGTATCTGGATCCACTTTGGGAGCTCTTTATGTTTTACCCTTGGCTGCATTTACAGCTATGAAATGGGTTAAACCATAGTATGCAAAAAGACTAGGAGCAATAGGTGGTCTTGGATTATTGTAAGGTTTGATTGGATGGTGGATGGTCAAATCAGGATTGGACAGACCAAAACCAGAATATTAACAAAAGCCTAGAGTTTCAACTTACAGACTTACTGTACATTTATCAATGGCACTATCATTGTATTCCCTTTTAATTTGGAATGCTGCTACCCTTTTTAGAAAACCTTAGCATTTATCAATAACTCCAGAAAATTATAAAACTCATCTTAAATTTAGAGGACTTGGAATTGGTTTGATTCATTTAGTAGCCATCAATTTATTAACTGGAGCAGCTATGGCAGGTATAGATGCAGGAAAGGTTTTTAATACATGGCCTACTATGAATGGGTAAATAGTTCCAGCCAACTTATTTAAAGCATCACCATTTTATAAGAACTTCTTTGAGAATGTTGTGATGTAATAATTTTTATGTATTATTTAGGGTATAATTCAATCATAGAAATGCAGCATATTTAACTTATGCCTTTGGATCTTATATTACTTATCTCGCTTATAAGAGTAATCTACCAAAACAAGCTAGATATATATGTTATGCCCTTTACGGAGTTCTTAATTATTAATTACTCACAGGAATAGTAGCATTACTCAATCAAGTAACTTGAATTATTATACTAGGTGTAAGTTCATTCTGGAAGTATCCATTAATTTAATGCATTGAATGTTCTAACAGCAAGTTTATTACTTTGTCATAGTGTCAGAAAACCAAGTGTGCCTTACAGAAACTATATAAAGCAATTTGTCTGATAACATGTATTTATGTAAGGCTAATATATTATAAGACATTTTTTGTATTTATTTAAATTTAGATGTATAAATAACAAAAATGGTGTTATCAATTTGTTTTTTTGAACACCAACTTTGATATTTATACATTCTATTTGTTGAATTAATTTATGTAAGAAATTCAAAAATTTCATATTAAACATAATAAAAAAAAGAATTAATAGTGAATATGATATATTGAAAACAAGAGAAAAGACATTAACTTATTTTAAGTTAATATTCATATTCAATAAATTTAATGTTATTAAAATAAATATGCCGCCAACACAAACTCAAATATAATAAATGGTATTTACAATATAAGAAATAAATCACTCAGTTTTTGATAAAAACAATGCTAGTTGTTATACTTATAAAGGAGATCATGACACAAGTTTTAAGAGAAAGCGTTTTGAACATATTTTCAAATGAATTTCCTAAAACCTGTAACCAAAGTTATTGTGTCCTCACTTTCATTTCAATGTTTTAGTTTATACAAATTTCTAATTCTTTGCATTTTTGTGCCATTGATTCTATTAAATAATTTTCGGAACACAAGTTTTGTTCATATTCAGCACCACAATTCTTCATTTCTATTAAAACCTAAGTTTTTGAAATGTCAATGTGCGCTTAAATGTCTTTATATATTTCATAAACCATCAAAAGAAAGCATATTAAAAAAAAGCTTTTTAATATAGCAATTGCCCATATTCCTATATAATCTCCTGTTGTCATGGGAGTCAATTTAACTGACTTTTCTAGAGAACCATCATTATGTTTTCTTTCAGATAATTCCATTTTCATATGGTTTTTATTGATCCTTCTCATAAACTAATTTACTATTTTATCTTACATCTTATCTTAAATCCATCAAAGCCTCTTATTCTGTCACCCGCATAATTTAGTTATCACTTGACATTTCAGTTGATCAATTAGTTATTAATTATAATATATATTATACGTTGATATTTTCCACTTATAATATATATAAGCTCAAATTACTTCTTATTATTACCCCTATGACTCCTCTTGTGGTTGATTGTTAACCAAATTTTAATCCTCTTATTATTATTAATGTTCTTCTTCTTTTTATTCTTGATGTTAAAATTAATTTTATTCCTCCTAATGTTCCTCTTGGTGTTACTCTTATGGGGGTTATTCAACAACCTATTCACTGTTTGTAATTTCTTAATGATTATCTGAATGTTATTCATTTTATTCAGAATGATTTTCTTTTGATGATTTTTCAGCAGATTATTGTTCTTAGTTGACTTGAGAAGCTTATAATTATTATTAGAATTATTCATCAGTTTATTATTAACCTCCAGGTTGGCCAGTTGGTTATTTTGTTTTTTTTATTATTTTTTTATCGTCTTATTTAGGTTCTGCCTTTTTATCATTAGGTTTTCCTTAATTTTTTGCTGTACCATTAGGTTTCTGATCTTATGGTTTATCTGTCTTCTTAGGAGCTTCCTTTGGTTTTTCAGTCTTTTCAGGTTGAACGGCCGCATTTTATTTAGTTTATTTTGGCTTCTCCCCTTTTTTTTCATCTTTTTAAGGTTAAGCCTATTTTTAGGGTTATTCTACTCAATTATCTTTAATATTACCTTAACCTTGTGGTTTAGAGTCTTTTTAATCTTTTGTATCTTTTTATTCAGGTTATTTTTAAGGTTTTGGTTTAGGTTAAGGAGGTTGTTATTATTGTTATCCTTGGGGTTTTGGTTGCTTTTATGTTGAATCTCTTGGAGATTTCAAAGGCACTAGAGGACATAGAATCTACAGTACCTTTATCTACTTCATTTGTTGTTGTTTTATCTACGATGACACTTTAACTCAATTGTTTTTGGCCAGTTGAAGGTCGAGGCTCTTTTACTTTATTTTATTCAATCTTTTAGACAGCAGCAGTTGTGGGACGGTCCTGTTTTTTGTTTTCTAATTAATTTGAATTTATAATAATATTGCTTACCATGATTTCCATTATTATCTTTCTTTTATTCTTGCTTTATTTGTTCTAATAAAAATTATTATCAATGTACTTTTCTCCTCATCTTATTTTAAAGGCTTTAGGGTGCCAACCAATTGTTTTAACTAAGTCAATTCTTGAACAAGTGAATTGATTTAGTCTTCATTTTATTGATCTCTTATTTTTAATTCATCCACTCTTTCAAGAACAGGCTTCAATAATTCAGAAAGATATTGTTCAACCTCTGGGGAAATCTATTGCATATCTAAATTTCAAAATTTATATTATTTATTTTTTTATTGAAAATAATGCACCAATTTGTATATGCGCAATGATTACAAAATTATGTATTAAAAATTGAATAAAACATTTATTTTATCTAGATCTAATATAATATACTCATCCTATCATATTAGTCATTCTAATTTTTATTTAATATATTAATAGAATTCTAATACTCTAATTTTATATCCATTACTGTAAATTATACTAATAGCTTATTTTATTTAAAGCAATATTTAGTTAACTTAGATAATTTAATATATTCTACTTAATATATTAACTTTATTTTAAGTAAAGTAAGCTTATAAGTTTTTAATTAAAATCATTCTTTAAAAGAAAAAAGACATGTTTTCAATTTTTTCTGTAATCATGATCAAATCGAAGATTTGAATAAGCATTATCTTTAAATAGAATCTTAATTTGTTATATCTAATTATGTACCTATGGAAAAGCTTATTTTTTTATTAAAATCTTTTATAAAAGAAATTTAATTAATTTAGACTTAAGATCTAGTGTTGCTCTATTTATATAAGATATTAGTATTAACTTTTACAGGCTAAATCAAATCTGAATTTATCTTACTATTTTCCTTGAGCATTGAATAATATAAAATATATCTTATTGTTAATATCTTTTAGTTTTTAGAGTTAAGTAAATAAATTTTACCGTTTGAATTAATTTGTTGACGATTAATTACTAATTCATATTAAGAGTTGATATATTATTGATCAAGCATACTACTAATTCACTTTTAGTAGTATAGGTTATTTGACTTTAGATCTTAGAGATTTCAATTTTATGATTTGATTATGATTATTTGAAATAAAATTTATAGTTATAGATTTAATTACAAAATTAAATATGAAAATTTAGGGAATCTCATTAACTATTTTAATCTATGCTATTTTCTAAACTCATTATATACTACATGTCAACAATTCTGAGTTCCTAGGCAGCTTGAACCTAAATAAAAATATATAGAAAATACTTTCATTATTTCATCCTAAAGTCGTTTAGATAAATCAATGCATTGCTTTCTGGAATTTTACAATTAAACTGATAATAATTCAGTTTTATCATTTAAGACTTGTTGTAAAGCATTGCAATATTTTTTAATATCAATATTCTAATTCTAATTTGAATTATGAATTAATTCAAACAATTCTAAATACTTTTATTCTAAGGTCTCCTATTTCAATTCTAGTATATTTATGTATTCTAATTATTGTTGTAGCTCAATAGTAAATTATTTTTATTATTTAGTGACTTCAATAAGTTGTCTAGCCTCTTAAAAGTATAGTTGCTTCCATCTTTAATTCTAGTCATGTAATTTTTAATATAAGTCAAATGAATTTTACTAAGTTTATTATTATTGTTTTGAGATTATAGATTCTTTTAATTAAATCAATTAATATTCACTGGTAACATAATCCCTTTTAAGTAATTATAATTTTGAGTGAACAAGAATTGCAACTTATTCAAATGTTTAATTTTATTTAATTGCCTGATCGATTTCTTATTTGTGGGAATCATTATGTAATTGCACAAGTTCTGAGCATGCATCCAACAAAATGCTTTGATAATTAAAAACAAATACAAGAATGCCTTTTCAGGGTTATCTTATTTAGAGTTTGAATTTGAGTTTTCATTATTTAACTCCAAGCTAGCTAAAAATCTGCTAGTACGTTTGTCACTATGACTCTTGTTCTAATAACTAGTATCAAGGGTCTAGTTCTATGTTTGCTTTGATTTGCTTCTTTGAGATTTAAGGGACATGAGTGAGAAATTTAAAATTAATTCTAACAATAATTTATATTATTAAGTTTTATGAATTACATTATAGTTTTACTACACTGTCCAAAATCTATAAATGGGTTGACTACAAGATCCTAAAACAGTATATAGACATAGTACAAGGATAGATTCTCTTCATTGAAGTTGGAAGAATAATTTGCAAAAATCTATAGTTTAATGCAAATCGAAAGGTATTGATTAAGAATTATCTCTCCTGGTAGAATAAATGATGGATTTGAAATAAAAAATTTAAATCAATTTTAGAGCTAAAATTTCTATTCTTCTTCTTAAATATATGTGTTTTTATTTTTTATAATAAAAAGCCTTTATAGAATATTTAACTTGAATAATATTGTGTTTTAATAATTAATATTAGAGATTTTATTAAATAATTGGTATTCAAATTCAAATATGTCTAAAATAAATTAAAGAGCTAATAGCATTGATGAATTTCGAATGATTAATAGAAGAACCCAGAAGGAAAATCAGAACTAGAACAACAAAACTTTAGACGAAAAGTTACTATTAATTGAGAAATAATTAGCTTAAAATGAGAGTTATAATGACTAATATTTACTCACTAATTCAATTGAGGCTAATGCAGTTCCAATGAAAACATAAAATTAAAGCATATCTTTTAATTTATAATCGATTGAAAATGACAGGTTTAATTCAAAAAAGACAAGTATCATGGATGAATGCCAAAAAAAATCATATGATTCTGTGAGGGATAATGCTTCCAAATATTAGAGTAATAATAATGATTCAGCTTTGGTTATGTTGCTTAATGAATTTGAAAGGAGATTTGAATAAATTGAAGAAAGATTACAGTTGAGGTATTTATTTACTTTATTCAGTGAAAAAACTAACAGATAGTATTAATAAAACAATAAATCGAGTGCAGATTACTTTAATGGAATTTAAGAGAAACTCACTTTACTTTTGTAAAGAATAGGGAAATTTGAATTAAAATTGAAACAGCTGGATGAAGCCTTTCAATCCCATAAAAATTAAACAGATAAAAGAATTATTGAATATAATTAGCATGTATCATGAAAATGGATTATTAGGTTGATTAATCATTAAAATCCTTTTTGGATGTTTCAATTCAAATCTAAAAAAAAATTGAGCGCATAACCTCAAAAGATAATCTTACGGAAGTAGAAGTATTGAAATAAAAAACAGACAATCTTACTTACAATTTACAAAGAACTCATGAGTTATTGAATTAATAAATGAATGACTTTAGTTAATTATAGTAGTCTGTGAATTAAGTATATTTAATTTATGATTTAATAGGTTATTCGTGAGGATTATTTTAACAATGTCTTTGAAGAAATAGAGACCATAAAAGATTAATATTAATAAACTATGCAGTATTTGAAAGAGCTATAGGAATTTTTGATTAAATGATTTTGAACTTTTATCTCAAAAGTGTATGTATTTTTGATATCACTTATTTGTTTTTGAGAATCAAAATAATATATATACATCTATTTTGATTTCTTTATAACTTTGTTGATTTGAAAGATTAATAATTAATTAGGATAATATATCAATTTTAATATCTACTACAGTATATACTACTATAATTTTGAATCAAAAATTAAATATTTAAGGAAACTGTCAAAATTAATGTGTAAACAATTAAGGGAGTGTTAAAGTTCAATACAAATATTGAATTTTATTATCAGCCTCATATTTTTTTCAAACTCATATTAATTCAATTAAAAAATTAGGTTTTCTGTAGAGAGACTACAAATTTCTAAAAATTAGTAATATAGTTTAAATATTTGATTCAATATTTATTTTAATATCTTGGCCCTAGAATAATAAATTTCTTGAAATATAAGAATAAATGAAATAAAAATACATCATTATCCTAAGGTTCTCTGACTCCTTTGTTCAAATAATAGTATCAATCTAGAAGGAAAGTCAATATTTGGTTTTAGGAGAGTTCATTTGCCTCATCTAGGTTCTTTTTAGTTAAATCATCTTTTGAATTTGACTAGTCTAATAAATGAATATTAATCCTGATGGTGAACAATTGAGTATTTGCCTTCATTGATCATTATTAAAAAAATGCATTCAGATTGGTATTAATTAAATTTAAATTAAAATGATCATTGAAGAGAATGAATTCGAGAAGTAGATTGAAGATCTTCTGAATAAAGAAAAGACAGCTAGATTAGCCAACAATTTAGTTGAAACGCTAAAGGTTACTAAATAAATTGCCAAACTCTGTTTTGATACTAAATAATACTCAAAATTCAATGAATTGATAGTATCACTTAGCAAGAAAAGAGGATAGCCAAAAAAAGCATAAATCGAACTTGTTTAAATGGCTATGATCGAATTGAAAACTCTTCCGTTAAATTAAAAATTGGAAATGATTGATGCCATTATGAAAGTGTGTGAAAAGAAGATCTATTTGGAAGTAGAGTATGCTCGATGTGTGTTAATGCTTACTCAATACAAAGAGGATGATAATCAAATTGCTGATGCAGCCAAAATATTATAGGAAGTCTAGGTTGAAACCTATGGATCGATGGATAAGAGAGAAAAATTAGAATTCATCCTCTATCAAATGAAAATTATGATTAAGAAATTGGATTATGTTAGGTTATTCATTATCTCAAAAAAGATTGAACCTAAAAATATCGAAGACGATAATATTGCAGATCTTAAGATTATTTATTACTCATTCTTAGTTATCTATTATAGACATGAGAATAATTACAAAGAGACTGCTCATGCCTATTCAAAAATACTTGAATCATTGCATAAAAATAGATAATTGGAAGCAACCAAAGTAGACTTCAATTTTAGAATTGATTACAATACAATCTTAGAAAACTATGCGATGTATTCGATATTGAGTTAATACTCTGAGGAGAAGGTATTAAATCAATAGATTTTTTAGTAAAAATAATTGCAATCCATTGTTTCCACTTATAAATATGGTCTTGAGGCATTGCCTAATTTGTAACAATTAATTTAAGCCTTTTTGGGAACAGAATTGATTAGCACTTCACCATAGAGTCACAATATTTAAGCTGCTGAAATTTTTGATGAGAACATTGAAAACAATTAACAAAGATACGTTGGTATTGCATTATATAATACTTATAGACTTTAGGAGATAATTGATTCATCACAATTTGAGGATATTTTAGATCTACTATGATTCAGTTTACTTGAATAGAATAACAGAGTTAATTGGCATTAGTACTTAAGAGTTAGAAGAAGAAATTTGTTTGATGATGGATTAAAAAGGTATTGAAATAATATTGAAAGTAGTTATTAAAATGTAAAATCGATAGAATCTTGGGTATAGTTGAATACTAGTTAAAAAAGAACGAAAATGATGTTTTATAAGAGTGGGGAGACAATGTAAATAAGGTTCTTAATCTGATTGATCTTACAAGCAATTTGATAAAAAGAGAAGAAGAATTATTTTTGTGAGGAAAATTATTATATAATAATTTAAATTTAATAATGTATTAAGTATTGGGAGGTGACTCAGAATACTCTGAAAATAATATAGAACAATATGATGAAGATTAGGACTAAGGGGATGGCTAAGATGACATGGGAGGATAACAATATTATGATGATGAAGACCAAGATATGTAACCGTAAGAAGAGTATTAGGAATATCAACCAGAGGAACAATAGGATGAATAATAAAGTAACATTTTATAATAAGGAGGCTTCAAATATTAACCATTTGATTAAAGAAAATGGCAATGGGCAGAACCTTTGATAGAGGGAGTTCCTCCATGTGCTCGAGGTGGTCATTCAGCAACTCTGAGCGGAGCTTCGATTATATTGTTTGGAGGACATTATTATGCCAATAAAGATGAAGGATATAAATACTTAAATGACACATATCAGATGGATGTGAATGCAAACAGATGGTTTAAAGCCAAAGTTTAAGGTACTCCGCCTGCTCCTAGATATGCTCATTCTGCAGTTTTGGCAGGACAAAGGATAATTATATTTGGTGGAAAGGGAGAGAAATGTGTGTTTAGAGATTTACATGCACTTGATCCATTGACATTAACTTGGTATTAAGGACCTGAAGGTTCTGGTTCTCCAAGTGCTAGGTTTGCTCATTCTGCAACTTTGGTATGTATTTTAGTCTTATTAATCATAGTACGCTTCAACCAAAATGATAATATTCGGAGGGTGGAATGGGATAGATTATTTTAACGATCTTTATGTCCTAGACTTAGAAGTTATGGCTTGGTCTCAACCACCCTGCACAGGGCCTTCTCCCACTCCTCGTTAAGGACACACAGCTATATAGGTGGGAGCCAATTTAATCATACAAGGAGGTTTCTATTATTAGGAGGATAAAACTCTTAAGACATTACATAAGACAGCCAATCCGAGACATGGATCACATCTAAGAGGCTGCTATTTAAATGATATTAGAATTCTCGATACTGAACACTTTGCATGGAGTAGGTTAAGAGTAAGTGGAACTCCCCCTGCTCCAAGATATGGACATTCAGCCAATGTGAGTGGAGCTGATATCGTAGTGTTTGGAGGGTGGTCTTTGAATTCAGGAGCTAGAAGGTTCTCTATTTATGTATTGTTAGTGAAAATAATTTTGCCACTCCTCCAGATATTGATTACTTGATTGTATTGAACACGGAGAAGATGTGTTGGGAAAAAGCCAAGTATGAAGGCAATGCTCCCAGGAATAGATATGGTCATACAGCCACATCCATAGGTCCACACATTTTGATTTTTGGAGGTTGGGAATACAACAGAGCCACGAATCAGGTAGTTGTATTAAGGGATCTAAATGTTGGATAATAATAGTAGGAGAAGAAAAAATGATATTAATTATAAAAAAATGAGTAGTTTAGAATCATCTCCTAAAAATGGTCTCAATATAGTTGATATTCTGGAGAAGTACAAATAGAAGAAGGCGATTATGAGTCCTCTTCCTCTTGAATAGTTTCAATAGATTGTTTAAGATGCTGGATAAGAATTACTTCAATAGCATCCTGAGTGCGAGAATACTCATTTCATTCCATTCAAACAACTTAACTAGGATGCTATAGATGAGTTAGAGAGATCTCTTCATCAATCTAAGATTATGTGGAATAATTTTAGTAGAGCTTTATTTGCAGCAAGTCCTATACAAAAAAAAAACAATTCAAAGAAGATGGAATTGTAGCATAATAGAGATGCCTATTATAGGATAAGGAAATAAAATGAAATTCAATTGAAGTTGCAATTAGATGGAATAAATAAGGAATATCAAAAAATACATCTTGAAACTTAAGGTGTAAAATCATATCCATCTATCTCAACCAAGGATCAATTTCGTTAATAACAGATTAAGAGATAATTATAGATGGGATGTTGTCAGGAACTGGTACGTTAAGAAACGGAATTTATTTAATAATAAATTGAACTTACAAAATCTCGATTATTTAATGAAGTCAAGAAAATTGTCGTTTATATTTACAATAATTAAAACAATGGTTGGAACCCATCATCTAGGGAAAGTGGTGCCATGGTAAACTATAATGAAAAGCTTTATCTTTTTGGTGGATCTGGAGCTGGACACATGAGTGACCTATGTTAAGCAAGTTTAGACAAATGTATAATTATAGTTATTTTAGAATTATATAAATGGATGATGATAAAATTAAAGCAATAAATATAATGCAGATCTTATCATACAGCCAATGTATATAAAAGTTAAATGATCATTTTCGGTGGTGTTTTATTTCCACACAAAAACGAAGATAGAATTCATTGCGAAGTCACAAATGAAGTCATTCATATTAATTTGGTAAATTTTGAGATGAAAGTTGTACAACATGCTGGCATAGCTTCTCCAAGAAAGGCACATATTGCAGAAAGTATAGGGAGATATCTTGTAGTTTAAGGGGGCATAGACTCGAAAGGTCATTATTTGAATGACTTCCTTGCCTATGACATTTTAACATAGAGATGGTAAAACGTAGAAATTAATATTCCTGTATTTTAAGATGGTGTTGCATTCCACAAATCCTGTTGCGCTTTAGAACATAAATCCATTGATCTTTATAAGCATGATCCTGATATTACTTTTGAAAATTAAGGCATTTATATCTTTGGAGGACTGGACTCTAATGGATATTACTTGGACAAACTGATAAGGATAGATGTGAGAAGAAGACCAATATTCATTGAGGAAGTGCAACCAAAAGGCAGGGGTCCAATTAGTAGATGCCAACATTCGATGACATATGTAGAATTATCGTAATAAATTGTTATCTATGGTGGCAAAAATGATGACATAAACACTCAAGGATTTTTGAATGATTTACATGTCTTGGAGATTCGGAATTTATCTTGGAGCAATGTCGATATCAGAGGACACCCTTCACCAGGAAGATGCAGTCATTCAGCTTCTGTCATCGAAGAGAAGCTATTTATCTTTGGAGGTGTTAACTAGACAGGATTTGTTAAGTGTGATCTCTTAATTATTGAGCTCAATCAATCAAAGGCATTGGAAATGAGTTAATATGAATCGCAAACAGAAAGATTGCCCTAATAATAAGTTCAGATATAATTGAAACCTGCCACTCCACCGAAAAGGATTCTCAATCTCAAATAATAAATTGAATAAATCAAAAATGATAGTGAAAAAGTGAAGTTAGCTGATAAATTCAAACGATAAAGTATGGCCAGACATAGTCGCAACTTGACAGATGTTCACAGATATAGGACCTTTGCCACTGTTACTGATTGATTTTATCATAATTATATTATAATATTGATGCAATAAATTGACAACCTGGAATATGTCGATTAAGTCAACTCTTGGCTTGATTTGTCCAATTTGCTCATCAAATTGGCTCCAAATCAATAGAAACAGTTCACTAAGGAATTGAGGGACAAACTCAAAAGCGGAAGTAATTATCATCTTAAATTCCATCTTAGACTATTTAAAGCCAGCTCCCATTTAAAAAATGGTGTTACCCTTTCTTTTGCAAGAGAAAACAGAGGAAAGATTTGTGTATATCAAATCACCCACAGGTACAGGCAAAACACTAGCTTTCATATTGCCAATAATATTTTTCTTCGATTAAGATTATATACAATAATATTACTAGGCACAATAGGATGGGCCTGTTCAATATTATCCATATGCCATTATTTTGGTTGCAACTCATGCTCTCTTAGCTTAAATCTAAAAAGACTTTATAGGCGCGACTCCGGACATCTTGTTGAAATAGGGATTTGTATAAATTGTGAATATTCTAGAAAGTCCAACATTTTGATAAAGGTCAGGATGAAAGTATAATAATGGGCCATGTTATTTGTGGAGTCCCATAAACAATTCTAAAACTCATACAAAAAAAAACAATCAACCTGAAAAATGTGAGATTCATTGTGGTTGATGAAGCAGACAACACAATATTGAATGATAAGAGTCAGAAGGTAATCTAAATAATCTCTAAATTTTTGGAATCTAACAATTTGAGATGGAAAATCATATCTTGTGGTGCAACTATGGAGGTTAATGAATTAAAATCCCTATTCATCAAATCATTAGGAGAGAAGAAGCAGGGTGACGAAGAGTTCTTTAAATTTAAATACTTCGATTTTCAAATCACTCTCGATAACATATATCACTATTATGATGGTTCTACTGATAGAGAAGAGGATATGTTGAAAAAAATGGTTTCTGTTATCAAGGATACGTTTACAACATTTGCAGAAGCATAAATTATGATATTTTTCAATGCCAAATCAAAATGTCATGAAACAAAATAATTACTCATGAATGACCCTTAACTAAAGTTTCTGGTTGAAGGAAATTGTCTATGTGAGATAATTTAAGACAATATCTAGGATTATGGTGGTGCTGAAGAAATGAGGAAAGCTTAACAAAAAATAGTTGATGATTTTAAGAATGGGTAACATTTATATATAAATATATTTATAGTGTCTACAAAATAATGTTCTGTTCAGATTTGATGGGTAGAGGAATGAACTTTAGAAAGGTCAGATTGGTCATTAATTATGGAGCTCCTAGAGTCAAGCCTGATGGTGAATTTGATCTTAGAAGGTATAATCAAAGAGTTGGGAGAACTGGAAGAATGGAAGATCTAGGGGTTGCTTTAACACTTTTAAAGTATTTATGTTGAATTAGATTGTCTAGTAAATCGTTAAATTCAGACATTCCTGAGGTAAAGTTTACTGACTTTTTGCAATCCGAAATTCCTGGATTAATTTTAAAGAAGTATGAGACAACTGATTTTTTCAAATAACTAAAAGAAGTGTATACAAAAACATAGCAAAAATAGAAATGAGATATTATTTAAATATAAAACAAATTCATTAAATTTAAAATGCTGAACAGCTTTTATTAGGTTCAATGGTAAGATTTTCTATTTTGATATCTATTTCTTCTTTTTTAACAGTTTCTGCTTATAATTCTTCTTCGATTTTGGTAGAAATCTATTTTTACTTTTTGGAGGAGGAATTCTTGTTGTTTAATTTTCCAATACTTTGCAATATTCTATACTTATTAGAAATAAATACTCTTTCATCCTATGCTTTAATTGATAGGACTTAACAAATTTATCTAGAAATCCTTTGGATGCACAAAAATGCTGATTTTTGAATAACTCTAACGCCTTACCTCTCAATTCCTGTCTTGATATTTTTTTGCCTGTTTATTGAACTCTCTCTATAACCCATTCAATCAACTGCTTCTCAGCATAGGGATTCAGCTTTTTTCTACCGCAGCCCTTTTTTCTTTCTGTACCACTTTGCAACCATCTTTTAAGATTTTTTATTGTTGTTCCCATTTCCAAACTCACCCTTTTAAAATCATCAAACTAAGGGTTTGGCCCTAGCATTTATACAGCTTGATCCTTTTTTTGCTTCGATAAAACATTGTAATGCTCTCTCCTTAATTGAGTGAGATCAATAACAATTTTGCATTCTTCTTGGATTTGTATAATGATGTTGGAAGTCTCGTCTTAGAGTTACATTAATAAACTAGGTAATATTTGGAACACTCATGAAATCAATTTGGGAAAATTATTAACATGATTATAATAATATATAAATTTTTTCATGGTTTCAAAGTTCTTCATATAATCGATTTAACTCTTAAATTGTATATTAATAATAATAATATATTATGACTTTCACATTCAATTAAATTCTGAATTCCAATAACAATTCCTCAATAAAAGGACATGAAGGCAAGTTCTCAACTTAACTCCAACAGAGTATTTTGGTAATCATATTTCTACCATTCTATCAGTAATTAAGTAGAATTAAATTATGATTATTGAAATAAACATAAATAAAGGAAATAAGTAAAGAGTTATTAAGTGATGTAATACATATTAAGATTCTCAATATAATAAAAAGAAGAAAAATTTATAGCAGTTAAGATCATAGAAGTTTAACAAGTTTTCCCTGTTACCATATGCCTCTGGTTGGATCTTGTCCATGACCTTTATGAAATTCACCTTATCCATGTTGGAGTCCTTGCTTCCATAATCCAACATATTTGCGACCATCTGCAAATTGGAAAATTCCATAACCATTTTTTTGATCATTTATATATTCACCTTCATAATATCTACCATCTGGCCATGTCAATTTACCCTTTCCATTCATTTTGCCATCAACCCAATTCCCATCATAAACTCTACCATCTTGCCATCTCTAGATAAATCTACTGTCAAAATTACATAAATTCCTCTGCCATTAAAATCATCAAACTCAAATTCCCCTTCATAGATTTCACCAGTGATGAATGTGATTTTTCCAAATCCGTGTTTTTCTCCATTTAAAAAGTTCCCCACATAAACTGATCCATTGACATACCATTCCATTCCTTCTCCATTGGGTACATCTCTCTCCCAATTGCCTAAAGGTCAACAATGAAAAATACCCTCATATTTACAACCATTATTATATATGTAACTCCCCTAACCCTGCATTCTATTGTTATGCCATTGTCCTCTATACGTATTACCCTCCTTGCTCTTAAACTCCCCTCGACCATGCAAACAACCTTTACTGAATTCACCCTAATAAAAGGATTAATCAGAGAAAGTATATTTTCCTTTGCCATCAGGCATCTAATCTAGCCATTCCCCGATGTAGATGTTTCCCCCCACTAACTTGATGGCATCCAACTTGACTCTTGTATTTTTTGTTTATATTTTAATCTTATCCCGAGGTTCCAAAATATCGTGAGTCAACACACATCGAAATCTGAACGATTGCATTTTCTTGGATTAGTTCATCGAGGATCGTAGAGATTTGACTAGAGGAGAAGCACTCTATTACAATGGTGTCTGCTCAACTTACTCGGATTGACCATCGTCCAAGGAATCAGATTCCTTTGGCTATAATTTTGCACTATACTCCCTTCCAAAATGAGATAGACTCTTCCTTTTGATATGAGTGTCAATCATCGGCAACACATTTCGAGTCTCTTGAGGATCTACTCTTGGAGAATAAGAGATTGTGCGATATTCGATTAAACAGTCATCAGTGGAATTACTTCTCTTTTGATTCATTGATCTTCTCTTCGCCAATTCTTGTCTAGTCCTCATTCTGATACTCTTACTTAAATTGCTATCGACAAATGTATGCACGATACGCTGTCTAAATTTTTATCACCATTTAATGATTGTGCTGCAATAAATTCACAGTATTGTTCTATATTGTTACTTATTACAAAGGTTCTTGTCTCTACACGCATTAATTGCATGAACCCATATTAATATAATTTATTATAACTAATTAATTTAGATCCCTAGCGTACACTTTTATCTTATTTGAATGTTATATCAATTTTCACTTTAATTTATTTAATATCTTTCATATTATAATTGCATCATTACTCAAAATAAATGGAACTGATCCTTAGATTGTTTTAATTTTATCAACCTATTGTTCATCCCAATTTACACTCAAAATAGCTATCAACTAAATCATTACTATAAATATCTCTATTTATAATCAACACTCTCCATTACACTCTACCTACTTGGGTATAATAGGTGTTATGTATAGATACCATTATCATCTACCGGTTTATTGACTCTTATTCTAATCTGTGTAATAAGTCATTCAAATACACTACCAATAGTGAAATAGAATCTACACTCTATACAACTATCATAAATTCATTCATCTATTTGAGTTTGAATGAAAATTTGAATGCAGACAGTTTTATTATATTTTGAATGTTAAATTTAAAGATTTCACCACTATTGTACTGAATCTCTATTAATAGCTCGATTATCATTACTAATAGAATGATTTCTTCAAACTCAAAGGTATATACTTCTTGAATTTGAATTTGAATAAAAAACAATAAATAATTTGTTGCTGGAAATTAAAATTAAGTGATTTAAACTAAAGATAAATGTAACAGGAAACATCTATTATTGATACCTAAAGATTATGTCTGTCTTCCAAAAAACCGATGTATGGATCAGCATATAAAAAGGGTTTGATCCCCACTGCCAGCATTTTCAACAATATATTACAAGTCAACCATAACTAACTATACTTTACTATTTAATGTCAATAATGCCAAAGGTGATTTTGAATTAGTCGAAGGACCTTATATTCTTGAAGAAATTTCAGTTACGAAAGGAGGATAATAAAAACATAAACATAAACATAATTTTTTAAAACAAGATTATATCCTATGATACCTTGAAATAAATTATAAATAATCTATTTTTTATTTTTAAATAAATCAAAAGTTAAAATAATTTAAACCCTTGAAAAAATTTCATATTTCCTTATTATCTTCTACTTTAAACTAAGAAATTTCTTCATTAATTTAATATTTAAAATAAAATAATGTCAGTAAAATTATCAATGGAATTGATATCCATATTACAAGTATTTCTTGCTAATAAAGTGTAGATTTTTCATATTAAAAGCATTTCTCATCAAACTAATTCTAAATAGTAATATAGTTTTTTTTAAAATTGAATGACATTTTCTTATTCTGAAAGAAAGATGACCCCAGAATTATTGAGTTAGATTTGTTTGATATAGCAATCTTAACCCATTGCTCCCCCTCGCTTATCTCTTCTAAATATTGATTTGAGGAATAAGTAATTGGATATTCTTCATTTTCTTTATTGAAAAACTTAAAATCATATTTTAAATCTAACTTAACATTAGTACTTTCGTTTAATTATCTTTTGACTAATTTAATTCTATTATTCTCATCAATATAACTAAATCCTGCTTCCTAAAACTATTCATATATAATGTTAAAAAGCCAAAGCGGGAAATGATTAATATCGGAATTTTCAAATATATTCGTTAATTTCTATTGAGCTTTAGACAAATTATAATGATCAGAAGTATTGGTATTCATATCTTGCTCTGGTCCAAATTTAAAAAGAACTCGGCAAGATGATATATCAATCTAAGTATCTCCAAACTTCAAGTAATTAATTTACACATAATTATAGGAATTTAATTGTAGAATTGGCGACACTATTACTTTTTATTTAGGGATGTCTTTCAATTTCATTTAAAATGACGTTTCTAATGTTTTATCTGTATTACTTTAACATAATTAAAACCCTTCATCCACAAAAGAATTTATATATTGCCCAGGATTTGACAAAGATACTGTAGAGATGGAAAGACTTTGATTTTAGTCGTTAAAATATGTTAAAGGTTAAAAAACCATTTACTGAGTGTCCAAATCATATAATTTAATTTCAGAATGATCAAGTTCTTTATTACCTAAATAACACTGGCGCTTAGCACAATCGTTACAATTTTAAGTGCATTTTGAGATTTAAATTGAATTCAATTTGCTAATTTGAGATTCTAAACTTAAGAATAACTCGAATTCGAATCCATTTATAGTTCCAATTTTGAGTTTACCATTCTATTCCTTAATTTCAAAAATCTTTGATTAGCAAAGCTGAAACTCGCTTATGATGACCAATAAGATTATTATTATCATAGTAAAAATAATGTACTATAGCAATTAATAGTTAATTATCTAATATTATTTTTTAGGTTTATGGAGGGGGTTTCTTGAATCATTTATTTAATTAATAATTTTTCTTCGAAATAATCTGTATTTACGGTATTTTAATCATATTCTTTAAACACTTATCATTTGTTATTGTAATTAATAATGAATTTAAAATCGATTATTTGTTGCTCAAACAAAATAATAATTTTTGAATTGTATCTCTAATTTGCTTAATTATCATAAAAGTAGAAAACTATATTAAGAAAGAAATCAAAAATAGATGAAATTTTAAATTAGTCAACTAAACCTACATTGCTCTTGTTTGATTATGATAAATTTTGATGTTTCTATAGTTATTTTTCTTAAATAAGAATCAAAAATGTATATCATAATGGTTTAGAAATTTAAAAGAATTACCATAATTTTTAATATTTATCTTTTAATCTTAAATTTTTTTATTATAATTATTCATTACTAATTCAAATTACTCACTAATACAATACGAAGGAGCTTATTATTTATAAAATGAGACAAATTATTTGGTTCTCAGTATTTTCTCTAATACATATTACTATGTTATTTAAATCAATCATTAAATTTAAGTGATAATTTCATACATCTTTATAGTATTAGAATAAATTAAGAAATAAGTGAATTGGAGTTTTTTATTGATATTTTATGAGATATTTATAAATACTATAATAATTTAAAAATTAGCATCAAAATAATTTTTATTCAGATTGAAATTAAGCATAAAATAGTATGATTGAAGATAAATCGAAAATTCAAAAGAGAGTTCAAAAATATTCATACTTTCTTAATGACATCTTAGGAGAGGGTTATTCATCATCAGTTTACAAGGGCATTAATTATATAACCAATTAAGTCGTTGCTATAAAGGTTATAAATTTTTCCACTCTAACAACCCCAATTTCCCAAACTCTTTTGAAAAATGAGATCGCTATTTTAAAACAATTAGATCATGAGAATTTGATGAAAGTTTATGAAATTTTTGAGACGAAAAACAACACTTATATTATATGTGAATACTGCAATGATGGGGACCTTGCCAATATACTAGAAAAAAGCAATTTTACTTAAGCAGATATAATGAATATTTTTCTTCAAATAGCAAAGGGTGTAAAGGCTCTTCATGATCAAAGTAAATCCTTGTACATTTATCATTTTAGAGATTATCCATAGAGATATAAAGCCAGCCAACATATTGAGATCTAATGGAATTTACAAGCTTTCTGATTTTGGTTTTGCCATAGTTGAAAATGATTTTGAGAGTATAATAAAAAGATTTAGTGTTGGAACTCCAGTTTATATGGCACCTGAGACGGTTCAGTCAAACTCTTATTCTGAAAAATCAGACATTTGGTCGTTGGGTGTAGTTCTTTACTTAATGGTATATAAGGAAATTCCTTATAATCTCAAAAAGGATGGAGATTTATATGGAAAGCAATAACAAATACACACTAAAATTATGAATGACAAATCGTTAACGAAGAAAATCTAGAAAGTTCTTGTAGGCATGTTGGAGTTGGATTAACAAAAAAGAATGAATATCGATGGAATTTTGTCAATTCTGAATGAATAGAAAAAATTGAAATGCTATAATTCTCATCAGAACATTCCTTTTAAAGTCTTACGTAGAGCAAGTGGATACGATTCAATCTTACATGATGGTTCTAATAATGATAATTATGGAAATTCACAAAAAGTATTAAAAACTTAACCAGATGAGTTGGAGAATATAGATGAAAAAACGGAACTAATATCATTTTGCAATCATCAGAAATAGCATACCTTTGAAGCTAATAACCTATAACAAATTAAACTGTCTGACGAAGAGGGCTAAGAAACTAAATTTGACTCATCCCCTATAATAACTAAAGAAAAATAAAAAAAGTAAATTCGAATCAATATTCCGACAATTTAGTCAACATATATAATGAAGTTGAATTCTAATTAAAATCAATTGCCATCTGAACATAGCGATACACATCAACATAGTAATCCTAATAGTACTAATGATACAATAAAAAACAATCAGTTTTCAAATTGCTAATCTTAAAATCAGATCAATTCTAATTCTCCATTACTTGATCCCAAAATAACCGAAACACTAACAAGTAGAAATAAAGGAGTTTCTCCAATAAATATCAATTAATCTCTCAGAAATTTGATTGTTTCTCCATTAAGATAAAGAAAGGGTCCTACTACAACTTGTTCTCTATCAGATTTTAAAAATATAGCATTAAAAGCTAATCAAATACAACCAAAAAGAAGTGATTTCTTTAAATAAAGAGCTAAGACTGATTTATCCGTTAATAATTTATCGGATATAGATAATAAGAAATAGGAAAAAGAAAAAGAAGTTCCTGTCATCGAGTCTTTATCTGCTACGATTAGACCAACATATAAATTTTTGCTATTTTTAAATTCAGTATTAAAAAAGTTTGACTAAATAAATACGGAGGATAAATAAAAATGTTATTTCCTATTAAGAAAGCTATTAGCAGTAAAGGCATGTGCAATAAAAAATTATTGTCCTGCTTAAATCTAATTAGAATTATAACGCTAAATTGATAGCTTTGAATAGTATTTTGAAAAGGTTAGACCTGTATTTTACAATAATCATGACAGAAAGTTTAGTTAATACTTTAATAATAATTTGGAGTAATTTACAAAAGGATTTTCATAATAATTATATAATTATATATAAATAGTGAATTAGTAATTATTATCAAAAGAGCTATTAATAATTTAAGAAGTAATCAACGAGAACTTAAAGTAATTCAATGATCCTATTTTATTTGCTAGAAGATGGGAGAATTATCAATAATGAGTTTTTCTTCATGTTTAGTTTTTAAATATAATTCTATAATTGAATTTCATTTTATCATTTATGAATTAAAGAAATTATTTAATTTGATCCCACCTTAATAAATTAATTTAACTCTTATTAATATTAAATCAACTGAAATCTCTATCAGGGAAGATATGTGGTGCAATCAATGTCCAAATATAGAGTAAGGCAGCTAACCAAGAAGTGATCATTTTGACCTAAGTTATAGAATAAATTGATACCCAATAAGCCAGTTTATTTGGTTAATATGCTTCAAAAGAAGTCTCTTCAAAGTTTGGTTCACTCCAGTTTGTTAGCAAAATCATCATATAAATAATAGTTATAAACATAATAGTATGAAAGATTAGATATTGGTTTGTCGTGTAAGGCAACATTTCAGCTTATTTTACTAAGGCTTTGGCTTCTTCTAGTTTTTATTATTATTGCAATAATTATTATTCCTCATCTTAATTGCCTTCAGCTTAATTGGCTTCTCTTTATTGATTTTCGAGTTTCTCATCTTTAGATTCTAGTTAAACAATATTAGTTGCAGATGAATTTGATGTTCCAAAGGTTAAATACAAGAGAGAGACAACAGTTAATAATATGCCTACCACTATTTCTACTATTCTGGTTCCTTCTGATTTGGATAATGAATTGCATTCAGTATCAGGCCAAGAGGATTAAGCTTAATATGCTTGAAACACTATATAGATAGCCATGGCTCCTGATGTAAGCAAGGATCCTTATGGATTCCATCCTAATAATTAAACACCAGTAGCTCCAACAATTAAAAGAATTGTAAAGACGTTCATAAAAATGTTTGTTCCACATCCAGAGAACCATATAAAGTTAAAGATGTTCAATGTAAATGCTCCTCCATATAGAATAGCAGTTGTGATGATTAAGATGTACTTCATGTATTCTCCTCCGTTATCATATATACGAATCCAACTTTGACCCCACAGATAAAACACATCAATCAACATGATTATTTAAAAAATCATAAAGAATCCACTTATTACAATTGCAAAATACACATATCCTTTAAAAAAAGAATTTTTTATAAACAGAGTTCCAAAGAAGAAAACTGCAATATATCTAATGTTATAGGAATATAGAGATACAAAAATTTGAGGGGCCATAATCCCTCGTTTGCCACTTTGGCTATTTCTCCTCTAATCAGCATTAAGATCATTAAAAATATGTACATCCACATCAACACAAAACAAATCCTATATATGCTTGACACTCCTAAACATGATGAACTATCATCTGAGGGACAGGAGATGAAAGATAGATAGTTATCAAACAAACCTTATAAAAAAAAGCAAAATATCATCGTAACAAAGATTGTGGTATAATTTAGTAATATGTAAGCCAACTTAATCTATTCTTTAAAAGTTGAACCACAACAAATCTTGCAACAACAGCATAATGACTTACAACAAGCCATTCCTGTACAACACAAAACATCCATAGTAGCAGTGAGACACATTAATCTATAAAAATTATAAAATATTATATATTGTCTAAATATTCCATATTAAAGTGTAGCAAAAATTTTAAACTATGATTTATTAATTTATATTTTGAATTAATTCTTAGTATTCCAAACATTTAATATAGACTGAATTTTGTTTTAAGTCTGTATATGAGTAGGAAATAAATTAAATAATTCTTCACAATTTTATTATTCAATATAAATATTTTTAATCTGTTCTGATTTTGGCAATTATATTAAACATTTTTAATATATATCCATTAATTCAAATAAGTAAAGGCAATTGGGTTTGTTAAATAAAATTTAGATATTTTATATTTTATTTATATATATATATAATTTATATAAAATGGGGAATTGTTTAGTGAGTCGCAAGGATCCAGTACCATTGGCTTTTGATTAAGCAGAATATTAAGCACTTAATAATCAGTTCCACTATTATTGTGAATTAAGTAGCCAGTAATTTAAAAGCATATTTAAGAACACGAGATGCTAAGGGGCTGAACTAGAAATCATTTGAAGATATTTTCTGTGAAAATCCATCTTTTGGAATTAAGTTATTCAAATTTTTAGAGTCATATTCCGGATCTCAGGGATTAATTAAGAAAGAGCCTTTGTTTGAATTTTGTAATATCCTATCTAATAAAAAGTGGAATTGTTGGTCAAAGATGTTCAAACTAATATTCCTACGTTTAAGAACCTGGAGAGATTTGAACTCATGTCCTTGATTTCATTATAAGATTCTAAATTTTTAGCAACCAAAGAAGAATTAGCTTAATTGCAATTGACATATCTAGACACCATAGGAGTCATTAAAGTAATACATTATTATAATTAAGGATTTAATTAAAATGCATTAAATAGGTAAAAAAGTAGTTGCTACCAATGAGAGATACATTAAAACTTTGGTTGATATGCTTTATAGTAAAATTCCAACATATTCTATTAGAAACTGAAGCTGGTTCCTTATCTTGGGTTAATTTGGTGGAATTTGTGACAAAATAAATGCCAGGAACTAAGCAAACTATTAAACTCTATTTTTAGGCAAAATTCATGGGAAAATAAATTAATGTAATAATTGTATAAAATAATCGTAGAATTTTATTCCAGTTATTAATACACCATCCTATTTCTTGACTGATGAATTATATTTCCAATTATTACTGAGCACAAATTCAATCTTAAAAAATTGTTCATAATTGACTTTACTTTATTCCAATATTGCTCATTAGGGTGGGTTTAATTAAATGATTCAGGCTATGAAAGGTAGTCTATTAGCATTTATATAATTTAGATAGTAAATTACCCACATTAATATTGGTATAACACGAGGAAATTTATGATTAAAAAGTTAAATTGTAGAATTTTGGAGCAATTACTAATTTGAAATGGTATGATACTTAATAGTATTTTGGAACTAAGGATGATTGTATTTTTAGTCTCTATCCTTATTATAAGATATTTAAATCAAAAAAAGGAGAAGAAAATTATTGTTATTTAGATTCCTAAAAGGGTTTTGGATTCGGAGGCAAGAATGCTGAAGGATGCCGAATTTGGATTGACAAAAACATTGAAAATTCATATTGTAACCAGTTTGATGATACTTATGAGAACGGCCCAATCGTACTTCCCTATGTCAAGAAGCTCAAAATCAAAATTATTGAAATTTGGGCTATCCAACATCCAGCTGAGGATTTAGATGATAATACAGAAGTCATAGTAGATTTAAAGGATCCTCTCCTTTAATAACCTGATGAAGTATAATTTCCAGATTCCAACGCTGATTACTATTGGGTTAATTAAGATCAAAAAATTGAAGAAAAGAATTCTGGGTATTATTGGGAAGTATAGGATGAGGCAAAATGATTAGTAAATAAAAATATTAATACATTTTGAAATATTTATCTTAAGAATTGTTTAGTCCCTTTTTATAGACAGATGGAAATATAATATTTGCTAAGATTTATAAAAATTTTGAACTATTCCAAATTTAGTCTATTCCAGAATTCTTTAATTTATCTAAAAAGCAAATACGCTATAATTATTCTTCTCTGAGTGATACAATTTCAATTAATAATGATCATTAAGGTTATCAATGTGATATTCAGGATTGATGCGTCATTAATAAAGAAAATAAATATTTTAAATGAAATGATTGCTAATTAATTTATTAAAATTTAAGTGATTAATTATTCTCATCGAAAGTGTTGAATTAAATATCATTTTTGAAACAAGATTCTAAAAATAATTAGAAAGAGAATTCAAATTAACCAATAAAATTTTAAAGTGTGAATATCAAAAAATAATTCTATAAAAGTACTTATTATAATAAAATAGCATTCAGAATTAAAAATTATCATTACAATAAGAATAAATTGCCTTTCATTTATTGCAATCTAGTAAAGAGAGTTCATAGATAATGTTTTGAGTAGTTGATTATATTGAATTTATTAAAGTGCTGCTTTCGTCATATAGATCCTTTGAAATTTAGTTCCATTGATCATCTGCTTAATTTAATTCTTCTAAAATATTTGCTAAGTTAGTATTTTCAGATTCAAATTATTGACACTTCTTTATAGAATTCGCAAGTTTTTCTACAGGGTATGTTTTAAATTCCGTCATTGGTAATTTCAAAACTTTCTCAGCTTAGTGAAGACGATATTTAAGATCAGATACTTCATAATGTTGTTTTTCATTAATAAGTTACTCTAGAGAATCCAATGCCATACGAGTTGGTTTATTTATTTCAATCTAATTCAGGTATATGTTCTTAACTTCATTTATGGATTAAATCAATTGCTTTGCTTTTGTTTACTACAGTTTTTTTTCTAAGTAATTGATTTATTCAAGTAATGCATTTTTTTCTTATTAATGAATTTTATCTATTTCATCAACGATTTTCATCAACTGTGTGTTTGAAAATTCCACTTAAACAGATGCATCCTAGATATTTTTTATTTAATAAGGATTTCTTTTCATTGAAGTTAATTCGTTCTTATATTATTCAGATGAATATTGATTTATTTGATTAATCATAAATTTTATTATATTTTAGAAATTCAATTCACAACAAAGTCAAGTACGATACTTGAAATAAATGATAAATACAATACTTCATTTGAAATATTAAACTTAATTTAATTATTGCAATTCTCTCAGGATTTCATAATAGTTTTATAGTTTTATCATTATTTTCATGCATTTTGTTAAAATGTAGATAAATATAAATTTTTAGATTGTTAAAAAATTTGGTTATCAGTTAACTATAATACAAATACTAAAATACAAAACAAGAAATTTAATGAAAATGGTTGAATTCATTATTATCTTAAAAACATAATTTCGATTTACTTTTTTTCTTAAATCTAAAAATAAATTAAATTCATTATCATATCACATTAAATATTATTGAAAATCTTACCAAACCTAATAGTTTACAAATCTATATAGTCTAATTTAGTTAGTGAAAAACATTTTATAATTTTATAACAGATTTTTAATATTAATAGGAATATATCTTGAAGTTGTGAATAATAGGTTAAATGGAGAAGTATAATGTGATCTATGAGAAAGTTTAGGATGTTGAGCAAAGATTGCATAAAATAATTTTAGCTTATTATTGTGATTATGAATTGAAAGGAGCATTGGAGAAGGATGAAATTGCACTTTCAAATGGATGTAATTTAAAGGCAAATCAAATATTTTTCAATTTAAAATATATTAATTTTTAGTGTAAATTTAAATATTCTAAAAGTTGAAAATGGAGAAATAATCTGTTTAAATTAAACCAATATTATAAAGTTGAGACTAAAATACTTAGTTGGTTTGACATTTGGTGTGAAATGATTTTATATATGACTTACTCATGAAATGCTTAATTTATAAGGTCGAATATGTTCAATATAAGATTAATTCATAATAATTGAAATTATAGAAATTAAAACATGGGTGCAACTTGTTGTAAATCAAATTTACAAACCTAAGATGGTACTCCTTAAGAATAATATTTGTTATAGAACTATCTGTGCAATCAGCAGCTTTTGGCGAGAATGAACAGGGTTCTTAAAAAAGAGTAGTTAAACAATCTACTGCTAACAAACGTCAAGCATATACACCAGCTTAGACTTTTGGATTAGGATTGAAATAAAACCTGTCTGAGGAAGGGAAAGAAGTTTATGAGGAGCCAAAGAAGGTTTCTATGGTAGTGTCAAAGGAGTTAGAATAATTGTTGGAGCGATAGAATTCGGACACGGACAGAAAGAAGATATTGGAGTAGCAGTCTGCATAGAGTATGATGTTAGTGATGACATTAGAGAAAGAGCATAAATTGAATGTGAACATAGACGTCTTTGTATAGTTGAAGAAGGGTTAAATATCTGATCATTATGTAACTGGATAAGTATTGGGAGAAGGAGCTTTTGGGAAAGTGTGGAAGGTGACACACAAAAAGACTAATTTGGATAGGGCAATGAAGCAACTCAAGAAAAGCTCAATTTTAAAGGAGGATAAAGAGAAATTGTTTTCTGAAATGAATATATTGAAGAACTTAGACCATCCAAATATTGTAAAATTGTATGAATTATTCGAAGATGATAAAAATTACTATTTGGTTACCGAGTAAGTACTAAATTGATTGAGGATAGGTATTGTTCTGGTGGAGAATTATTTGATCGTATAAAGAAAATGAACTTTTTCAGTGAAAAAAAAGCAGCAGAATTAATGAGATAAATCCTAAGTGCTGTTTGGTATTGTCATAATCAAAAGATTGTGCATAGAGACTTGAAGCCAGAGAATTTATTATTTGTGTCTGATTCACAAGATGCTGATTTAAAAGTGATAGATTTTGGGACATCCCGTAAATTTGAAACTGGCAAAAGGATGACAAAAAGATTAGGAACTCCTTATTATATTGCTCCTGAAGTGTTATTGGAGAACTACAACGAGAAATGTGATGTTTGGTCTTGTGGTATCATTCTTTATATCTTGCTCTGTGGTTATCCTCCATTTTCAGGTAGAAGTGAATCAGATATTTTGAAAAGAGTGAAGGCAGCATAATTAAAGTTCGATCCTGAAGATTGGGCTCATATTAGTGAAGATGCTTAAAATCTCATTAAAAATATGTTGAATCCCAATCCTGCCAAAAGATTAAGTGCTGAGGAAGCATATAATGATAAGTGGATTTAAAACAACGCGCCTTCCAATTAAGTCAATCAAAAAGCCTTGTAAAATCTACAGCAATTTCATGCGAAGAGCAAATTCAAATAGGCAGTTCTGACTTTTATGGCCACTCAAATTATCACTCAATAAGAGTAGGATGAATTGAATAAGACATTTTAGGCTATTGACAAGAATGGAGATGGCAAACTCTCAAGACAGGAATTAATAGATGGTTACACTTTAGTTACCAACAATCAAGAGTTAGCTACTCAATAGGTCGATCGCATTATGGAATTAGTAGACATTAATAGATCTGGGGAAGTAGATTTTACAGGTAATCATTCATACACATTTATTTATAATAGAATTCTTAATTGCAGCCATGAATTAGGAGAAGTTCCTGTCTGTTCAAAAGATGGAATAGGCCTTTAAGGTCATTGATTTGGATGGGGACAACTACATCTCCAAAGCAGAGTTATAAAATGTTATGGGGGATGTTGATGATGAGGTATTTAGATGTAATTTAATGAGATTTGGATACAAATACTTAAGGAATGTGATAGTGATAATGATGGTAAAATATCATTGGAAGAATTTTCAACCTTATTACAATCCAAAGTTTTATGATTTGTAGAGATTGCTTAATATTAATTTTATTATTATCTTTATTATAATGATAATGCATTTCATTTCCTTTTTCTTGGTTCAGGAACTGTTGGATTGAGATCAGCCAATTTTTGTTTGATATAAATCTTTCTTAGTGATTCAGCATTCTCATAAGGTGATGATCTTTCAGGACATTCCAAAAAGAACCAAAGAATCTTAAATAAATTTAATTCATACATTTTCCACTTTGCATACTCTTTTTGGAAGGTCATCTTTCACACTCTTCTCTTTCAGGCAAGAGACAAAGTTTTTCTCCAACCAATTGCATTCGTTTCTATGTTGTTAGTATATTAATATTACACATCATTAAGTGGTGGACGATATTTGACTTCCATGATATTTATATTAATATTAATTAAAATCAATCAAATTAACATAAAAATCTAATTCTCTATCCTTCACGCTCTTCTACAATACTCTACTATTTGCCGACCCTTTATTTTTAATCAATTTTAGATAACTTAATATTGTTTATCCTTTGAATATAGTAATAAAATTTGGGAATAATTGGTAAGCATCAAAATAGAAACAGAGTCTATTTAGATTCAATGATCCCTATTGATTCAATTAAATATTGCTCTAATTTTTAGTTAATTCACTTTTCAAACATCCTAAGAATTTAGTGTTTCTCTACATTTAGTTAGAATAGAAAGCACTTGGGTATTATCAAATCGAAGAAATATTGATTATATTAATCCTCAAGTGCACTTACTAAAACTACTATATACATACATGTTAATTAATTAATTAAATCACAAATTCAGGAAAGAAGCATGGATGAAGTTATTTCTGTATATTAAACTAATTCTCCTACCTGCCTCATAAGGATTCAGTGTCAATAACTATCTTATATAGGGGATCTTTAACTCCACTTAAATTATGTCCAACTTTCGAATTAATTGATTCGAGCTACTATAGATGCAAATGTGAAACACATCGTTATTGAAATAAATAGCCATAAACAACATTTTATGTTTCATAAATGCACCCTTATAAAGTAACTGATATTTGATGAATTGACTATCATTATTTTTGTTTAGTTTCATAATTTCTTAATTGCTTGGCAATATTTTAAATTTCAAGTAATCCTCCATTATTTAATTGCATTACTTATAAATTTAGACTTGCTTTCCCCTTATGTTTAAAGGGATGTCTACACTTTTGCAAGTATCATACTCATAAATTCTTAATCTAACAGGTTGCCAACGAAACGATTATTGAATTTCTTGACATGGAATATAGCATAAAAAATTGCATGTTCTATCATTTGAATAAACTAATTCATTCAACGTTGCTCTGAACGTATCTAAACTTATTTAATTTTTATTGATATTCATTTGCTTTAAGATTTCTAGCCATATCTTCTTCTCAAATATGCTTTTTTGGTTTCTTAATAATAAAGTATCAAATAACCAGCACTCTCTATTCAGAATTTCTTCAAAAGAATTTTCTTACACATTATTAAATTGCAGAGTAGATTATCTCAACACATTATTAATACTCGATAGACTTGATGTGGCAGATCTCTTGTAACTTTTTTTAGTATCTTTTATCTATTGAATATACATTTAAGTTCTATTTCTAAACGTCTCTGGTGCTTTTATTATTAGAGAATGAATCTTTGAAATCTCATTAAACTTCCAATTTCTAAAGAACTATTCCATTACTTCTTTAGGTTGTTCTGGAAAGATGGAATCCAAAAAATATTTATTCATTATTACAAAATCAGATCTATGTATTGTGTAATAGAATCTTCTACAATTGCTCTAATTATAAAAGTATACCTGAAAATAGTTCTTTATTAGTGTTACTGTTATAATAAAATAGTTTTTATCTATTTTCTTAATCTATTTATAAATAACTCTTGAATATAATTTCTATCCAATTAAAATGTTATTATCATTAAATTAATTTCCCAATAGATATTATTTTCGAATTTGATTTTGAGTAATGGGAACCAATTCTAATCTTGAATAGGTCAAAGTTGTTTTTAAAATGAAATATTTACACAATTAATTCATAGTTTTAATTATATCCTCATCAAAAACTTTATAAAGAAATATATGAACCTTGCTTTTATTTCCTACTGGCATGACTTTAATTAATAACATTTCTTAAAATACTGTTCCAGTAACAAAAACATATCCTATATCTTATATTTTACTTTGAATAAAATACTATTTCGTATTCACTAATTTATCCTAAATTAGCAAGAATCTAACATCTTTGGATATTGATTATCTTCTGTTATTTTATAATAGCTTCCATCCTGTTAATGTTTTCTTCATCATAGTCTTATAACTAAAGAGAAAGTCTCTCATCCTTCCGTCAATCTATGAAATATGAAACCAATTCTCAGTTTATTAAGAATTCAAACATATGATCTGTTTTCTATGATTATTTTAATACATGAATAATTGGGCTCTTGCAGCATTGTTTCTAATGTCCTAATGCAATCTATTAATATCTGACTGTAGTTGCAATTTAACCTTAATGAACTTGTAATTATATTGAGTCTATTTAACTAAAAAAAGAGAATTAAAATGAGGAAATAATGTGATATCCTTTCCAGCTATTGTATTTTCATTTGTCCTTGCTATATGTTTGTTCATATCTTCGTGAGACAGAATCAATCTAATTGGAAATTTTGGTTTCCTAAGTTCATCAGGTTCTGCCAACATCAGTTTGCCATCTATAAGTCTCAGGAGTTTACAACTTCTTAAATGAACATCATTGTATACAAATGAATTAGTATTGATGACTCCAAGCAGGAAGATAATATCTATTAATGGATCTCTTTTATGTTCCTCTATGAGATCGAGGCTCTCACTATCCTGACTTTAACTGTCTTAAGACATCTCATTCAATTCTTCCTCTATAAATTGAATCGATTCCTTAGCGAAATACAGTTTCTTATTCTATCTAAATAACTTTAGATCCTTTTTGGTAGATGAATCGTCAGCTTCATCTTTTTTCAATTGGATCTTGCAATTTACAATTTCTAATTTTGATTTTAACACCTCTTGTAACTTAATTATATCTATAATATATCCAGTTCTTCCAACAGAATAGTTGATTAAGTCCTTCAATTGTATATCCAACTCATCTTCCCATTTGTCCTTACAAAAGATTTATTCCAACTTTAACTTATTAGTTAGAGTCAAAAAGTAGAATTATTTGTCAATTTTAATAATTTAGGTTTAAATTAAGTAATTATCAGAATGTATGGGTTTATATTGCAGCTTGTTGGAATTGACGATAGGCAATTCTTTTTTAAAGTAGTAATGGGATTCAACTTAGTATTTTTACACAATTTAGATAGAAGTAGGAATATAATTAAGTGGAGGTACATTTAATTTGAATTCAGGAAAGTATCTTTTGAGATAATCCTGAGTTTCTAGTGAAAATATTTCAGACAATTCTGCTTAAGTATCTGGTTATTGCAATGAAATTCTAGCATTTGCTTTTAATGATTACTATTATTTATACTTAGAATGAGGAGAATCATTAGAATTCTATCTAGACATTTTATCATTATCTTTAACAGAGTCCTTGTTCTTGATGCTTTTTACAGGTGATGCAGACCTATTCTCTTCAAATTATGGTGTGTTGCTATCATTCATAAAACTCTATTAACTATCATCTGCAATGAAAAGATGTTTATCTTTCATTTTCCTGCGTTATCTTTTTGTCAATTCTTTTTTTAATGGCTTTGTATTTTTTTAGTCCTTCAATTGCATAGACATATCTGTATACTAGAAATATGATTTCATTCTGTGAATTTTTTTTTAATATATCTCATTGTTGTATTTTTAAATGGAGTTCTAGAGATCCTAAGTTTCTGATTTAAACTTGAAACCATTGATAGTTTTTACATAACTCATCCTCCTGATTAGAAATAAGATCTTGGATAGTAAATCCTAATAATAATCTATTTTATAAGTTTCATGGCCTCTAACATTCTCAATCTAATTCTTAAGTTTAAGATCTTCATTTTCTTAATTACTACTGACTACATATAGAGTATATTATCGATGTTATTCCTTCCATTCATTTAATAGATTTTCCTAGATGAAGTAGATTTGAGTTAGTTGGTTGAATAATTCCAACATATCATCGTAATTGGAAATCTCTTTATAATGCTAGGCTAAGGAATCAATTATGAATCTCACTTAAAACTTTCGTATGTTATTAGATAATTCTATTGAAGCAATAACTTAAAGCGTTGCTAATTTTTTTTAATTGGATAACATGGCCTAAATTAACTCAACACTTAATTGTTGATATTCATTTTTATCTTATTTTTTCTAAAAGATTTAACCTCTAAATTTAGGATTCTGTAATATCCACTTTGAGGTTTCATGGTCAGTAAATAGTTTATTGTAAAAATGAATAGAGTAAGATTCTAATTAATTTTCAGGAGATATTAACTTATGTATTATTTTACTCGCTTCATTTTCCAATATCTTTTTTTCAACAATCTCTAAGATCTCGAATCCATATGTACTTGATCTAGTCATGTTTTTGTTATGCGGATGTAATCTTCCTGGAGATGTGGCACTTTGCTTCGATTCAACTTCATTCCTCTTTTTTCTGGAATAATAGACATGATGTTTCATTTTAGCCTTGATTCTATCTGCAGCAGCTAATAGAACCTACATTGAATGATTTTCTAAGAATTTATCAATTATGGGATCGAAATGTTTGATTACTTTCAAAGGTTCTTCTTCAAATGAATAATTTTTGTTATCCTCTTATTATTTAATAATATCATCATCATTTTCACTAGTCAAATTGATCCCACTACCAACTAATCTGATATTACTCAAAGTAGGTTAAATTTCATTGGTTGTGATTTTCTTTTAAGAACTTCTCTCAATCTTTTAATTGCTGGGATTGCTTGGAAACTTCTTACTGTCTACTTTATAAGCAATATTATTTTTGGAAGGTTCTCTAATTTGCGGTCTTTGAGAATGAAATGGGGGTATTAACTAAATTAAATAATTGGAGGAGAATTATTTTGTATTTCTTTGTTTTATAGCATTGACTATATCATATTTCTTGACTTCTTCGTAATGAGGCCTATTAATAATAAGATCATTAATTCTATCATGTGGTTAAGCAGTTTCCAATTATTTTATGAGACTTTATTCTAAAGATGGAACTCTATTTTAGGCTTTACTTGTATTCTTCTTCGACACTATTGATTAACATCGAGTTGGACTCGTCATTTTAGTAGTTCCTTGTGAACTCAAAGGTCTTTTCATAGCATTCTTTATGATAAATAGTTGCTAAAATTACTATTCATTAAACTTAGGGGGAGCTCTCTAACTCATAATAGGTTTCTCGATTTTAGTCTTATCTATCTTTTTTGCTAATTTTGGTGCTCTGGCAGAATCTACATTTATTATATAATTATTGATGTATGTATTTTTTGATCTAAACGATAGAATTTTCTTCTCTTCTCTCTCGGTCATTTGAATTGGCTGTGCATTGTCTTGCTCCTCTTCATCTTAACTTTGAATCTCCAAATTAACTGAGATTTTATCACTCAATTACTCATACTATTTTTTGTATTCTTGTGTTCTTTTGTCTTCAAATCCCAGCAGTTCTTCGCATAGATGATAGGACTAAAAGAACAGTTGTGTTGCCTCTTTATCTTTATTTTACCTCAAGAAAGTCTTTGCTTGGAAGGATAAGGCTTATAGCAAAATTTGTTGAAACTTATTGGGGAATTCCTTGTATAAATAAAAGCTCAGTCCAATCTCCTCCATCAAATTTAACAATTATTCATTCAACGGGATAATATCGTTCCTCTTGCACAACCTACCATTTTCAATTACATGATTGAGAATTTGAATTTAAATCATTATTAAATTCCTTTGATTGACCTTTGCCAGGGGAATTAACTTTATCAACAAATTGTATGCCTAATTATAATTCTTTGTGAATTCGAAGTACTCAGCATATAACATAAATGTTTAATATTTTATGATTAGTTATTCCTCCATATTTAGCAAATTGGCTAATTCAACAGCTCTTTGCAGATACTTTTCTCCAGGAAGCTTTTGAGATATCAAGTATTTGCCTGTTTGGTTAAGCATCTCAATAAGCCTTACGCGAGTTTCTTGAGTCTTAGAAGAGTGCTCTCCAAATTCTGAAAGGGCTTCTAAATAGGATCTTTCGAGCTGAAGAAGTGAGACTTTCATGTATATTTATTTATTTTTATTATAAAAATCAACGCTATATTCTATAAACTCAACTATTCACATTTTTAAATATTAATATGTCAACAATATAACACAGAAAACTTAGAGAAATAACTTAAAGTAACAAACTTAATCCCGAGAATGGCGATACAAAATATTTCACTTATTCAATAATCAAAAAACTCTTACATTTTCTGTCATCAATAACTATAACTTTATTTTTAGCTCCTCTTTTGTGATCATATATTCGCAGTCTGTATCAAAATAAATTGAATCTTACAGCTGTTAATAAAAATAATTTTCACTTGCGAACTCCAAATATGAGTATAAAATTGTTGTTTCATTTTTCTAATGATATATTTTATTAATTTAAAATGCTCTTAATTATTTTATTTCAATAATAATATAACTAATTAATTATTTAATTAAATATAATCAAATTATCCTCTCTCCATAATCTTAGATTTTTAAACTCAGAAATTCATTATCCTTCCTGAATTAATCAAAACCATACATCATGTATTTATAAATAGGATTATTTTACATTTATAAATTAATCAATTTCCTATCTTCTTAATTTCCAGGATTGATTCATACTCCTCTTGTGAAACAATTTTGGCATTCTTTGGAAAGTAAAACAATTGTGATTCTTGCTCTATTAATCGTTCTGCTTCCAATTTAATCCTCTTCATCTTATCACTAAATACTGACAGATTCATACCCATAAAACATGTCATATTAATATGCACAAACAAACCCTAAAGGAACCAATACTACTACAGGCAATGGATTCTAAATGATGTCAAAGTGTACCTTCTTTTTTATTGCTCCAATCACACAAAAGGGAAAGATCAAACAGTAAAACGAGGCATACCAATGGAAGAACTCCTTACCTGAGGCAAATTAAATTGCTAATTAGGTTTGCCTCTGTTTGAGTATTAATTCTAATTGCTTTTTCTGCATCTCCTTTTGCATTTCTTTTTAGTTTTCTTTCATACTGTTTGATATAGATTATCCCATTATTAAAGTTAAAATTAATAAATTTCTAATTGAATTTTAATTATATAGTAATAAGTGAGATTTCTTGAATTCTTATTAATAATATAAAATTTAGAAATACAAAAATATATAATTCAAAACACTATTCCACGAGTAAGATTAACAATAATACAACTTATATTATCTGATTGTCTCCTATAAGTGACATTATATTAATAAGCACTTAATACTACTTATTATGCAGCATCTTAAGGATCCTAGAATCCAATCTACTGTTCCTTATACATATTTCTAACAAATTCAATTACTCTTTGACTAGGAGAAATCTATTAAAAATTCTATTCAGCTTATTCAGCATTCCCAAATCCATCAATAATACCATCACTGCACAACAGAATGAATTCATCTGTTCTATAATCAATCTTGGTAACTCTAACATCTGGTTTAGGAGTGATGATATTTTTTTTGAATTTCTTTTTCTCACTAAAATCCCCAAAGGCTCTAGACACAGCTAGATTTCCAAGTCTACCTCCTATTATTTCCCCACCTCCTTTCCTTTTTATTCTCGCTTATTCGGCAGGAATATTAGGTTTGTGGTCTTCTGTTAGATTGATGGCCTCCCCTTGTCTCGATAATATTGCCCTCGAATCCCCGCAATTGATACTTACTATGTAATCTCCGATGATCATTACGACCACTGCCACACATCCTGAGTCATTTTAAGCATTTGCCTAAACTACATCAGTTAAGAAATCACTATCTGTTTCTTTGAATGCTGCTCTAATGTTTTCAAATAGAAAAGCCAAGAATTTATTTTAATGATCAAACTCCTTTTATTCTTAATTAAAATACTCTCTTATATTATCCATTAGATTTTATGACATATAATTAACACATGAATTGCCATTATGGCCATCAAATATTGCATAACATGAAACTGGAACTCTGCTGCTCACTTGCAAATCTTAAATAATTGTACATTAATCTTCTTATGTTCTTTTGGTTCCAAGATCTTAGAAATAACCATAATTGAATCTTTGAACCAGCAGTTCAATCTTATTTAATTTAATAACATCATCAGGCTAAATCAATCTGGTTTCCTCTTTATTTTATTTATAGAATGTATTGTAAGTATCAGTTTTTGAACCCCAAATCCAATACTTACCTTAAATGAACTTAATCAGCAATTCAAAATCGGGGTTCTCTTCCAAATCATCTATTTCTTATTTCTTAAGTAGAATGTCAGGTGGTTTCTAATATCTTTGTGTTTTCGAACTGATCTTTGCACCTGTCCAACCGAACTACAAGACTACAGTGTTTTTTTGTTTGTCCAGTAGATTAATCTTGAATGCATCGTAATTTTAGAGAATGATATCGTCGATTTGATTATAAGCCTCTCTTAGCTTTACCAATTAATCTTGAGTGGCACTATAAGATTGCACCGAACTTATTAATTGATCGATCTTACTCTACTTCAGCTATTTAAGGTTGTTGATATTGTTTCCAAAGAAAAAGTGCTTCAACCCTTAGAGATCGTACATTGAAAGCCACTCCAGAATTTCATTAAACCCTTCTTAAACAGTTTGGATGATATAAATTTGTTTTCCAATTGTTATTTCCATATTATTTTTAATGAGTGCAGGACAATCATACCGAATTTTGATTAGGGTTGGGCCAAAACAAGTGAGATGATATCCGTTTTTCTTTTATTCTTCATTGTACTTGTATTTAATTTTCACATGAGTCCTCTCTAATCCACAATCCTCCATCTAGAGTGTACAACTATCATCACTGCCAATCGTTTCACCGCTCTCCACCAAATTAAGGTATATGAACATTCCTCTGTACATTCCCTTTATGCATCTCAACACATAATCAGTTCCATTATCTTCGATTTGAGATACACTTAAATCTGACTCCATGTTTTTTGTTAAAAGTTGAGCCTTCAATTCTAATTTGCTCTTACCTCCTCCTTATTCCATTTTTTAATCTATCTCCGATTCCAAGATTTGAGCCATGTCAAAAGGTATTATAATTTTAATTAAATAAAAAAAAATATAATATATAACTTAGATTATCCAGCATATGGTTAATAAATGGATAAAAAAAGTCATTTATTTATTTTTATCAATCTGACTGGAGAAGATCTTCATCTGTCAAAGGCTTTGCAGTAATTTATTGGAATTTCATCTTATGCTAGTTCTAATTGGAAGTATTCACTCGTTCAGTATTATGATATAAATTTTCTGGGAGACTTGCCGCAATTTGAACCTCAGTCTACAGAATAGCATTTTCAAATTTCTCATTGGCATCAAAATTCATAGCTTTCGCCATATTTTAGATTTCATAATACTTCTGGAAGATCATTTCAATTGTAGGACCAAGTAGCTGGATTATTCTTTGGTTTTTTTTATTATTATGATGCTATTTCAATCTACTATAAGCCTCATAGATCTTAATTAGTTTTTTCGGTTTATGATATGAATTAGCCGTTCTTCTCATCCTTTATTTTGGTTTCTATGAATTTAGCTATTTAAATAGATCGATTCCATTGGCTTCTTCTATAGGTTAATGCTAATGGGAAGGATCGACATTAATAACTGGTTTTGGAGTGTAACTAAAAACCTTAATTTAATCCTTCTCTAAAATGATTGATTTTAATTTATCGATTTCTTGGATCTTTTACAAGAGATGAACAATATCAAGATCCTTATCAATTACCACTTTGCATTGTTCCAACATCTTTTTGGTTACCTAGATTTATTCGCAACAAGTGCACCACAGAAATTCATAAAATATGAAATTAATTCCTAATCTCAAATCGTGTCTGGTTGAATTAAATGCAGTGATTAATCTTTATAGGAAATTCCCCTTATAGTCTTACAACTATTCCACATACTTTTTATATTGCAAATGATCAATTTAAGGTGTTTCCACTTATTCTCGTTATTGTGTTTGCAGATTTGAAAGTGTAGGATTCTGAATCTTTTAGCTATTCCAAGCTCTCATCACCATACTTGTTTTTATTATTGTTTTGGCATGGTGTTTTAATTTCTATTACAAATCAGTCACTCTATTTATGGACGCTTAAATAACATTCAATAGCTTGTCATAGGAGAACTCAAATTATCCGTTTCTTCTCTTTGGAATATTAAATTAATAGAGATGATTTGCTAATGAGATTTTTAATCCCATCTCATTATATTATAGAGCGATTAAACCAAATATAGTAGATATGATTTTTAGCATCCCTCCAAAATATGACAGAAAGGAATCAATAGTGTCTGCAGCTTTTTTGGTTTATTCGTAATCTTGACTAATTCTGAAATTCAATGAAAATATAGTATTTGGATATTCATGATATCCCTAAATTAAAATTAGTTATTACTCTAAATTCTCTGTAGTTGTATAAAGAGAAGGACCAATAATCTTTTCTCTCTTCGTCTTTATATAAACTCAGAATACTGTTATCAGCTATGATTTTATTGTTTTTAAAAAATATGTCCGCTTTGCTTTCTTCTTTGAGAGTAGTCTATAAATAGAAATCTGAATTTAAATATCGAAGGAGATAATTATCTGCACTATCCCTCATGTAGATCGAGGATTGAATCAGAGTTGACAACGATACTATAATAGATTTATTTTAAGCGAGATAATCAACCTATTCCTTACTGTAGCAATCCTCCCTATAACAGATAGAGACCTTTAAAGAGGGATACTAAAAGAAATCAGAGTTGAATGTGCCTTGTAATTTGAAACTAAAATTTTGAGGTAGACATAAATAAGAGCCTAGATTGTCTTTTATATCTTAAAAGCCCTCATAATTAACATATTAAAAATGCTCGTCTCTACACTGTTCGAAGAATATTTCATTCAACACTGATTTGATACGCGTTCCGTTATCTAATTTAGATATTTGTGTCTAGATCATGGCAATATCATAGGCTGTCTTATTGTCATTTGGATAATAAATGGAGAATGGATTATCCAGTTTTATGGCAAACATGAAGTTAGTGATATTCATTTCTTAATAATCTGGATTCATATTTTGGAGTTGTTACACATCAATCTAGATAAGCAATTTCGATACTTAGAATTTATTTCTCAGTAACAGGCTGGCTAATCCAGATATAAAGATATATAGAAACACAATTGTCATAGCAATCGACATGAGTCCTCCACAAACACTTTAGTATTGCTTTCTGTTCCTAATATTGAAGTTCAAAGAGACTCCAAAATTGTCATAGGATCGAATCATCCTTTTTATATTTTTCATCAACGAGAACATAATATTAATATTAATCAAATAATTAATTGATCTCATTACTTCAGATTAGAATTACAAAATGTCTTTTTTTAATAATAATCAACAAATAAAAACAGCTAATCTTGGTTTTTTGTGTTTATATTTAATAATTAATATCAGAACGAAATATCAATCAAAGTTTTTCTTTTTTGCAAATTTAAACTTTTTGGTTGGTATATATTTGTTAATAGGAAGATTGGCACAAAATTTGCCAGGGGGATATAGATAATGATGTAGCAAAACCAATGGAAAGGGTCCTCAGTTAACTTACCCTCATCGTTCTCTTTATATTTAAAAGCCTTTAAGACTTCTTCGAAATTTGGCAATATATTAAGTAGATTCCATATCAACCTAAACAAAATGACTATTATCAAGACAAGAATGTATATTTGTACCTAATATGTAGATAATCTTATAATACTCTTAGTCTCGACTCCCTTGGGATATCTTTTTGTGTTAACACATAGATCCGGAACAAAATTCCAACAATTATAAAAATGAACAAGATGAGGCAAGTTATGGAAAAGAATAGCACTCCAGCCAATCTACATAGTCATCTGAATAATACTTACGTTTATCTTTTAAGTAAATAGAATACAAACATCAACATTGCCAAAATAACTATAAACATTTCTATAATAGGAAATCTTTTTAGGCAAATGTAAATGTTTCTGAGAACTGTATCATCTGTTTGTTTCATGCTCAAAAGTTGAATCCTTAAGCTCAAATAATTTAATACCAGATCAATGATGACCGCCAGTAAGCAATATATAGTACTACGATATGAGAATATGAAAAAAAGTAGTATGAAATTGGAAAAATATCTGATTCAGATTCTAGAAAAGGATAACCCACAATTTCTATCAAGTATGCGACACTCTCAAGGGCTAAATTAATGAGTAGTAATTTCTATATTAAGAGCATGTCTTTTTGTTCTTCTGTCCTGCTCAATTGCAAGTTTTTGATATTTACTAAATTTTTATAAACTTTTATCATTAGTAATATAGAAATAACTAAAAAACAAATATAGGCTACAAGTTCAGGAATGTTGTTAACATCCATCAATAAAGGTAATTTATATGGATCCGATGATGTCTTTAACATCTATTTTATTAATTTATTTATTTCGAATTTTATTATATTTAGCAATCATTTATATAAATATCGATATTTATAACTAAAGATGAAAATCATGGAATTTTGATTCTTTGTGGATACTACTCTCAAATTCAAACTCATCTTCTCTTAATGTCTCTAATATGGAGTATTTAATCTTTAAATTATTATTAATAAAATAGTTGTTGATAAAAAAACTGCATTAAATATTTGAAGTTTAACAAAAAGTTGAAATGTTCTATATCAAAATTTACAAGGACTCTTGTAAAAGTTGATTTTAAATTAATCTGTATAAGTTAGTTAATAAAAGTAAATTTGCAATGTGAATATTATTAGATTTTTGTTTTATCTTGAAATTATAAAGCAGAATTATAAAAATCATTTTCAATAAATAATTCATGAGATGAAGTATAATTGTTGGTCTGATATAATATAAACGACAAGGGTATCTAAACTAAAAACTTACATTTTTAATGGGTATCAATATTTTAAAGACAAATAATAAAGAAAAGTTAGGCTAAGATATTTGAATGAAGAAACAATAAGTTAAATATAGAAAGTACCTCAAAGGGGATAGAAAGAGCATTAAAAGTAGATAAATCAAAGTAGATTATTTTGATTTCTGGATAGTATATAAATATTTAGAAATTATTGTATGTTTATGATCACGCATATCAACTCATGTCTACATCCTCATTGAGGTTACGTTCTTGGTTATTGAATTGTAAATTCTGGTAGCTTAGATTTAGATTGTTAAATTAATCAATAAATTAATTATCCATTTAATTTTTAGTTTAGCTTTAATTTTCCTCTTTAAACTTGGGAATAGGTTTTTCGAGTTAAAAATCAGTATTTGACGGATTCGTTTCTGTTATTGGATGGTTATTTGTTTGTAATTCTTGCATGTTTGATTGAAATGATAACTAAGTAAATAAAAATGGGATACTTGGCCTCTGAATATTTTGAGGAAATCTTATTAAATGTTGTTCTACTCATTTTTGTGTGCTATGCTATCCTTACATTCATTGGAGAGATGGAAAATCAGTTGATCTGGCAGTATAATGTGTTAAGAATTGTAAGGACAAGAAATATGTAACTATTATTGCATGTAGCAGATGAGAATCTATTCACCAACTTTATAAAGAAATAATTAATGTGCTTTTTATAATTATTTATTATTTTTTTTTCAAAACGGATAGAATGAGAACGAAACATCTAGTTTTGTTAGGTGTTATTCTAATGCAAGGTAGGATTTCTTTGAAAACTATTTAGTTTGCTTTGTGCAGGCATTGCATTACGACCTGACTACACTTTTGGATTAGCAAAATGAATTAGATTGCGAAAATACAGATTTTGTATAAATGTTATAAGATTTCGATTCATGGGGAGAGATCATTGAATTGTTGCAAGATGGCTAGTTAGATTCAGAAATGAAACAACTCCAAGAACTCTCAGATTTCACAAATGAAATGATCTCAGGTAATTATGAGAAATATCTTCATAGCCAATCCAAACGATTTGATGGAGGATGCCTCTTATGATGAATAATTGGAGACATTGGATGAACAATTGTAAACAATCCAGAACCAATATAATGGTCCATAAAGAAAGTTTTTATTTGACTAAAGCAGACAAATCTCTGATCAAATCAGAAGAGTGATTGAATCAAGTATGCTTACAATTTAATATCAATCTAGGATCATTCGAGTAGAAGAGATCCCAATTGGCAATGTTATACGGTTTAATTGAATACTTATTAAAACAAATTTCAAGAGTCTAAAATCAATACTAACAAACAACATAACCACAACCAAGATAATAATAATAGCCTTAACCACAACCCCAATAGAGAATCAAGGAATAGAAGGAGAGAGTTATTGTTATAAAGGATAAATGTGGAGACAGATACTAATAGAGAAAGGTGTCAAAGTAAAGAGTCGTCCCTGGAAACTACAGATAAAACGATCATCCAGTCCCTGAAGAGGTCGGCTGTGACATTCCTTACCCACAATAAAGATAACCAAAATGTGTTGTTGGATCAGACATCATATTGACAAGCTCAATCTCTGCTGATTAACCTACTGTTGAAACTGAAGTCAAGAAATTGAAGGATGTCAATGAATATGGTTTCGGTTTTTGGATGAGATTCTTAACATTGTATCCAGAATAATTGTAAACTGGCTTGACTGATTAATCTTACTTTGTTGCTAAATTAACCAAGAATTAATAACATGGAGATGACAAGATTGGTGATAGATTGTTGACCATATTCTAAACTTAAGAATAATATATTTTCAGTGCTTAACACGATAAACCTGAAAGAAAAGAAGCCACAGCTGCTATTGTGTTTGGAGATATTGAAGCTGTTTGGACATACGTATATTACAGTTACTCAGCCTTCTCATAATAAGCCATTGGTTTCTATAAGCAATCTAACAGTCAATTAGTTAAATAAGTCACATTACCAGCTGCTTAAGGAACACCCTAATATTTGAGATTTGTTTTGGGAGGTCAATATTTCGATTTCCCAGGATTCAACGGTTAAGTCAGCAGACCAGTCTTGGCAATTGGTTTGGGAACATATTTAATTAATGAACAAGAATTCTTGTAATATGCTATTTCATGCAATCCTCAACCATATGTTGCACCATAAAAGTTGATTCCATATCAATTCGTAAGAGATTCCAAATATGTTGATATTGAAGATAACAATGCACCACCTACCTAAGAATTTATTGACTTATTGTTACCAGATGAATATGCAGTTTAAGGTTGGTTCAAATGGGAAGAAACAGATTTGTAAGAGAACTGGCACACCATGTTCAGATTATCAAATACACCCATAAGAAAACAATAAATCCTATTAGGTGAAAGAGTCTTGTCTGCTTGGTTAGGTAAACCAAAGGGAGGATAAATCCATTTCTCAACATATTCATATGCTAACATGAAAGGATCTGGTAATCCCAATGCTCATCAATATGTCCAACATTAAGATCAACATTTACACTGGCATTTTGTTTACTTTGGATACAGCAGAGATTAAAGAAAGGCATATGCTTAAGTCTTATTCAAACATGTTCATGCCAAATCTTTGAGTTTCGTCAATGTCAATCACTTTGTGTCACCAAAGCATTATTTCTACTTTGGAAGAGAAAGACAATTCCCAGTCTACAGTGGATTCATGGCTTACCTTGAAGTATTCTTCTGTAAAGGATCTTACTTAACAAATGTTAAGCCAGCTTTGAGACCAGTACCAACACCACCTCCCCCCAAAAAGAGATGTGTTGAAGGACCAAACAGAATCATCAATGCTAAATATGACAAAGGTCCAGTTGTTCATGTCGAATTGCACAAAGATGATTTGAAAGACACTACTTAATATGGTTATGGATTCTGGTTCAGATACACTGGTTTGGCTGGTGGATAATATGAAGGCGGAAGACCAGATTGGTCATTGATTGCTAGACTTACAAACAAGAAGGAAACACCAAAAGATATTAGAGATGGTTTATTAACTATTTTCTAAGAAAAAGTTGGTTTCTTCTACATCACAGCTAATAATAAGGCTAAGAAATTAGTTGAATTAGCTTAACCATTTGGAGATATCGAAGGAGTTTGGATTTACACCTATTTCAGTTACACTAGATATAAGGCTATTGCATTCTATTAAATTGAAAATTAAGCACCAATCACCTTAGAAGCCAAAGTTACACATCCAAGAATGGAATAATTGTTATTCTAAGTTGGTGGAAAGGATCCATAAAATAGATACTATTCATTCAATGGTTAATTCCATAGACCAGTCTTAAGATTAGGATCAGGATCATTCTTTGATACATTAGAAGAATACAATCCATTCTGTTTAAGTTGCAATCCATAACCTTAAAAGGATTGTTCAAGCAAGGGTTTGATCAGAGCAGTTTCAGCTAAGGCTTCATAATTCAATGGCAATCCAGTTAACTCTGGTGACAGATTCGGAACAACTGAATAATACTCTGTTCAAGGATGGTTCAAATGGAATGGTAAGACATCTGGAAAAGATTAATTGTTATTCAGATTGACATCAACTCTAGCTGGTGAAGATGCACTTAACTTTGATACCCTCAGTTGTTACTTCGATACCAGAGATTAAACTCTTAACTTCTACACATATACCTATACTGATTAATTAGGGTAATTAATATATATATATGAAATATTAGATCTGGAAACCCAGAAGTTAGATAAATTGTTGAAGGAAAGACCTTTGTCAAAGATTGGTTCCATATTTACTTTGCTTATTCAAGAAAGAGCAGATAAGCTGATGTCATTGTTGAACACTCATAAGGAAAGGGAGCTTTGTCATTCAAGAATGTCAACCATTATGTTGCGCCATCACTTATTCTTTACTATGGAAAAGATCAATTGACAGATGCTTTCTAAGGATTCATTCAAGGATTGAATCTTTTCGCATGTGACATTACTTATTAACCAACACCTAAACCAGTTGAAGATTGCACACCAATGAAAGAGTAATTGATTCTTTTATTTTAATAGTCCAATCTGTTTAGCTGGAGATTAATATGAAAATGTTTCATTGACCAATATTGACAACGTTGTTGAAGAATTAGAGAAAAGAAAGTAATTAATGTAAGACAAATAATTTGTTTTACCAACAACCTAATGCTTCTGTTTCCCATAATAAGGAAAGAAAGTTATTCCTTAGAGATAAGAAGGTTTCCTTGAAATTTATGATGATGACGAAGAACCATAACAATAAGACCCTGTTGAAATATGAGTTTTTCATTAAAATCATAAAATTATCATTATCAATCAAAAGCTATCAATGAAATTTAATCACTCTTTAACTCCTTTGAATGAGATGGATCTTTCTTTTCTTCTTCTTCGTGGTCTTATAGATCGATCAATGATTCTGACTATTTAATATCATTATTCCCATGATCAGGTCTCTGAGTAATAGATTATACATCTTAAAGTCCAAATATTTAATCATCATTATGCAAATCATTCGTTTATCTGGCTGATTTGTAATAAAATATATCTTATTTATATTGAGATTGATTAGATATTGGAGATTAGTTTGTTTTAAATAAATCATTCTATTAAGGAAAGTTTCGAGGTTCTTATTGAAATTAATTAAAGTCATCTTAAAACTCTTGTTCTACGAACTCATAATTATATTAATAAGATTATTTAGAGTTCTTTTATTATTATTATTATTATTATTACTATTTATATGGTTGAAATTATTGAGGTTATTATTACAATATTTATTAAGGATGGAATTGGATATTACTTTCTTGTTCTTCTTAATTCATTTCCTAACTTTCATCTTAAAAACAAATCAATTAAGCATTCGAATTCTATTACTTTTGATCTGGTTAAATTTCATTCTATTTAAATTCAATTATCAACTCTTCACTCTCTTTTCTTTAATCTTGAATTATATCTATTTAAATATCATCTTTTATCAAATCTTAAACGAGCATTTGTTTGGAAGATGAATTCTAATTTTCTGAATTTTACTGAGAATTCAAATTAGATTAATCATCCTTACTTAAAAATTATGACGAAACCTATTATTATTGTTTATGATGTATTTAATCTTAGGACATTTCATCTTCTACTGAAATGCTTTCCTACTTAGGATTGTGATTGGATTCTTTTATTTCCTATTATTATTTAAAGCTACTTAAGAATCCTCTATCATAAGGACTTCTTTGATGAGAAGTACTCTTTTGTTTGTCCTCATCATAATTATGAGAAGATTTAAAAACGTTTTCATCCTCTAATTAGTGCTATACTTTATTTTTAACTGAATTATTGAATTAATTGCCATCAGGATCGCTATGATTCTCATCATAGGAACAAAAACTTTGATTACCATAGATGTCTTCATTTTATTGATTATCTTTATTAAATTCATCGAGATCATCGAAATATTTCATGTTCTTAATTTTTTATTGCTGTTATTTCAGCTATTCTTCTTGAACTTTAGACTTTATTTATTCCATAATTGAGCTATGTTTAATTGCTTATTATTCTTTCTTTTCTTTAATAGAATCTAGGTATTTTTACTATTCTTCTTGAAATTTGCGCAATTACATGTCCTATTTCTATTTATCCTTGATTTCTAGAGTTAAGTAATTGTCGATGTCAATTCTGCAGAGAGGACATTGTTTAACCTTTTAACTCATCAAAATGTGATCAGCACAAGTGGAGCATGTGCACATGTGTTTGCAAGGCAGGAGTACAGTATTAATCATATTACAAAAACAAATTACGCATTCTTTGTCCTCTATGGTATTTGGATTCCATTCAGGGTTGAATGGAGTGTTTTGAACACCATAGAGTTCGTGTATTTCAAAAAACCTACTTTTGTGTATGACAATTTATTTGGTATTAATCAATTCGCATTGATATGATTATTCGTTACAATCAATTCTATAAAAGTATATTATCTGGAAACCTTTTGAATTGAGGCCTTTCTGTATATTCATAAATATAAACTTACCATTTCTATAATCAGAGTGTGATACTATGCATCTGGGTTGACTCTCATCTTTTTAAATCTTAGAAGGTCAATGATCATGAACTCTATGTATTTCGAGGGGAACTAGTAGTTCAATCCCGATGGACATTTAAAAGATTGGGTTGTACTCTCTGGCATGCTTTTTTCATATCTAAAAACTCATAATTTAAATGTTCAACCTCTGCTGTTTGGCTCCTTTGGTTTCAGTTACGAATGTGTAAACTATGATTTGGAAATTCACGTGGCTACTGAAAGTCAAGTCTAGCTGTATTTTGTCAACGGAGTCATACACTATTTCTGCATTGATTATTTGCAAATTGAGCTTAATGATATCAACATTCCCTGATTTGGATTGCTTAATCAAAATATTGGGAGTGTCCATCACTTAACTTTGCATGACTTAAATTCATAATAATAAGAGAATTACTTTAATCCAAATTTCTTGATATTTCTTTTTAATTTTTTAGAATATTTCCCATATTAATTTTTATGCAATAACAAAATTTTACATTACTTGATTTAGTATTCCAAGAACAGCAAATCCAGAATTAGGTTTCCAATAAGTGCAGCATCAAAGAAACAGCCAAATTTATCCCCTACAATCCCCTCGGTCTCAGTCTTTATCTCGAAGCCAATTGCAATACAGAAACCATTAGCAAATCGATATTCAGTCAAATCTTGAAAATGATCGAGGACAAATTGTTAGAACTCGAGGAACGCTTGGACAATCGGGATCAAATCAAAAATATCAATCAACAATTAAATTTCCTCAAACCTCCTGACCCTTATTTTAAGTCTAAACCCATCGACGATACATAATCCGAATATGTCAAATAAAGTAAATAAAATTTATTTTCAAAGGAAAATACAGTTAATAATCTGACATGGAAATAACATCTCCCCAAGCAAATTAACACTAAGATCAAAAGTCTATTAAATCACAAAAATCATAGAGATCTCGCTCCTAATTGGGAAGAGCTCATACTGAAATTACATAAATAGATCCAAAACTAAAATCAAATGAGGAAGGACTTATTTCCAAAATAGAATTATTTGATAAAAAACTCAAATAGGTTGTAGAATAAGTGAATAAACTTTCACAAAAAGATGATTAATTTTAGAGAAGAATAGAGTAGCAAGTTTAATCGTAATTGAAGGATAGTCAAGATAGATTGATACAAAACGATAAATTTTTCAAATAAGTTTAGTAGACTAATTAAGAAATCACAGAAAATTAAAGAGGATTTCTAAGTCGATCTGCATAATTAAGATAAGAAATGGAGTATGTTTATTTCATTCAAACATTAGTTATTTATCACAAGAACTAACTAAAATCTAGGAGGATAACAAGCTTCCCTTGTTATAACTACAAGAAAGTGTTTAGGAATTGTAAAAACAAGTAGGCCTGCATTAAAATGAGTTGATTGTATTTAAAACAATTCTTGAGTCTATAGATAACGATTTTTTGATACTGCTTAAAAAATTTAAGGACATTCAAAATGATTTAGCCAAAAAGAAATTAAACTCCAGTATGAGTAGTCATCATCAATATTTAAAATGAAGAAAGAAATTTAATTTGAAGTATATTATTATAATGAAATTTTCATATTCTTTCTTGGCAGTAATCTTATTTGATTTCAGTATTTTGAATTTATTAATAGATTAGGGAAACTTATTATTTATAGTAATGAGTTTAAATAAAGAGAATATAGAAAAATATTAAACAATAAAAAATCATCCTGCATTTGAAAAATTAAATTACGAAATAGTTAAAAGCATATCTGAATCACTCTTTGTTATAGATTACAGAAAGTATGGAATTGTCTTACGAGAAAATATGGATAAATAATCATTCATGTACCTAGTTAGAAGTGGAGAATTCAAAGTAAGTTAATATTTAACATAAGATGACAAAAAAGAAGTAATACGAATAAAAATAAATAAGAAAACTAAATATTGAAATCTGCATACTCATCAAGGGAGATTCATTTGGAATTGAACATTTTAAGGATGATGTTCAATCGCATTACAGCTATACAGTACATATAATTTATTTATGAAGAGGTTTCATGTTGCTCTATTCAAGGTTCCTTGTTTGCTTTAGATCTATCTTAGTTGAGATTCATTCTCTTTCATCATAATTATTTTTGTTCTCTAAGTCAACTATTCAAGTATCCAATCCAAATTATGAAAAACTAAATATATCTTTTAAGAGAACAGCAAACCTTGTAATAAGAAAAAAAAGAAACTATAAGAGATGAGTCTTAAATTCTACCAAGAAAAAACTCAACTAGACTCAGATCCATTAGTTCGTAACTTACGTATGCCGATAAAGTTGGTTTCATCATCCAAGGGCAAAACTCCTATTTAAATAATAAATTCATTATTAACCAAACTATAGATGAGGATAAGTACATGCATGAATCAATAATGTAGAATATACGAGCAATGAAATCTAACCTTTAGGAATCAAACAAAAATATTAGTAAAAGTATCAATGCAGTAAGTACAGCAGAAGAAAGACTCTAATTTATTAAGAATGATGATTATAGATCCAAGATGAAAATCATGAATGTATTAGGTTATAAATCAAAGTCGAAAAAATTAACTAATTATAGTAGATTTTTGCACTTTAAATCATTGCCATCTAATGGATGATAAATAGATGTTTATTAAATATTTACAGACAAATATTAAATCACCACTTCTCTATTTTTGGTTCCGCATCTAAATTAATATTCTTTACTCTCTGTTTTTATTTCTTATCAAACTACTTGTTCTTTTCTACTTTAACAATTGCACTTCTTTTTGGTTTCTTTATTATTACAGCTTCCTATTCCTGTTCTAAATCATATGGAACAACAGGTTAAGTAATCTTTTTTTGTACCTTTTCTGTTTTCTCCTTTATTTTCTAAGGAACTTTAGATTGATGTTACTCTAAGACTTTCTCAGCAGCTAAGTTATTAATAAATCTAATTCTAGGAAATTTGATTGCAATTTAAATAGCCTTATCTGAACAAGGATTACCTGCTACATTTAAATGAATTAATTTTAAATCTCTCAGAACAATCATTTATTAAGGATCTTTGATATCGTTCTTCCCAATATCAAGTCTCTTTAGTTTTGTCATTTGTGAAAAAAACTTTGGAATTTCTTGAATTTTATTGTTATTAACACTTAATTGTTCTATGTTCATACACTTGCAATTTTCTAAATCCTTTAATATATAAATCTATGATTACTTCTATTTAATTATGGGACAGCTATAATTTCTCTAATTTAGTTAAGTGTGTGATTCCCTATACATTAATTAATTGATTATTGGATAACACTAAAGTATTCAACTCTAAGCATTTTTCCAATCCTGAGATTAATTTAATTTGGTTGTTGTTTAAAATCAAAGCGCAAAGTTATTTTAAAATAATTAAACCTTCGATCTTTTGAATTTGATTGTGAGATAAATTTAATACTCTCAAATTTTGAAAAATAGAAATTCCGATCATTTATTTAATTGAATTTTTTGATGCATTAAAGTTAGTAACTTATAATGATCGACTGCATGATTGTTTATTAACACTAATCTAAGTTAAATTCTAATTTTATAATGACAATGCCTTGTCATCATCTTTGATGTCAATATCTCCCATAATTAATAAATGTATTAAAATTATAATAAATGAGTTTGTCTTTTTTTAATAATTATTGAGAATTATAATTATTTTTTTGTTACATATGCATATTAAAACTAAGATTAAATTGTATTTCAATTCGATCATCTTTATCATTCCAAACAATCATTAAAATTATTAATCTTACATAATTCAATAAATTTAAATATTCATTGTTATAGAATTACAATAGTATTTAAATTGAGCAGTACTTTTAATTTAAACGTATGGAAAAATGCTTCACATTTATATTTATCTTTATAGGATATTGGATGGTTATAAAAAGACTTCTAAGTTATTGCTATTAATACTTTTTCTTTTACGATAATTATAATAATAGTATTTAATTAAATATGAAATCCTACACCATTGTTAACTTTGATTTTACAGGAAATGATGGATTAGTCACAGTAAGGGTTAGACCTAGAGTATAAAGTTAAGAGAAAAAATACATTGCTACTGAGTTTTAGAGGCCCTCTAAAGCAACAGATCCAATCTTTTCACACCAAGATTAATCGTTATTAAAATAGAAAGACACTCTCATAAAAGTGAAATATAGATGCTCCAAAACAGAAATCGCTAGTCTGAAAAGGCTTTTAAAAAGATCATTTAATACAAAAGAATTTTAAGAATTTTACAAAATATATGGTCCCAAACTAATAGAAATCGATTTTGGAAATATAGAATTATTTAATGTGAAAGTAATCGTTATTTAATACAATAATAGGGATAAAATTAGTATAATATAAAAGAATTATAACAATATGATAGAGAAAAGCAATTTATAAGATGGGGAATAATATTTTCAATCGCCCAACTTTCAAAATTCATAGAAACCTAATCAATTTAAGATCAAATTATAGCTTTACAGTATGTGTTTAGAAAAAAATTAGATTTTATAATTTACTCGTGAGAGAAAGATTATTCACTTTGAGAATCTTGCGATACTATAAGGATGATAAAAAAAGGAAATAATTCCCTTACACATATCTGTATATTTACGATTTTGAAGATTGTGTAGAATTTAATGTATAATCCTTTTAAGAATCTTAATCTGGTTAAATTAAAGCTTAGAATATATTTCTACCTTTGCTGAAATATAAATTTTTTGAAAATTAATATGATAATTTTTAATTTGAGAACATTATTGTCCCTTTTTTTCAAAATCCTCCTGATGATAGTCAGTAAATTTAATTATTTTTTGTCCATTTCAACAAAAGTGGTTATAAATTTAGAGGAGAAAGAGTTGTTTAATCAGAAAACATTGACAAAGAAAAAAAATATTAATGCTATATATTTGTAGATTTTGATACTACTTATTATAATCAATAGAGGTTAGTGAATGGAGTTTAAGATTTTGCTAATATCCACAATTTTGAGCTTACTTTTAATGATATTCAATTTGTTAATCTTAAAAAGTAATCATAATTCTATTATTTAGTTAAGGAAAATGCTTTTTGGAAGAGTATGTGGACTACATTGAAACTGAGTTTTTCTAATAATAAAAAGGTTCAACAGAGGACAAAATGAACTATATATTTAAATAGTTACCGAAAGAGATCTCTAAGAAAAGTTTCAATGATATTTTGGATCCTAGCTTTATCATACCCTAAAATGTTGAGAGTATAATGGCATAGTTCTTTGGAAATTGATGATTAAAATATTAAAAAGTATTATTAGTAAATCTTTACAATAATTAAGAATAAAACCATAAGATTTGCATTTATAAAGAAGCTAAATCTTCTTAGTAGAAATAAATCCTTATAGTGGCATTATAATATGAAACAATATCACAACATAAAATGCAATTTAAATCAAATAGAAACTATTATACAAATAAATAAATAGGATCATTTAGTATTTTGCCTATCATTTTTTTATACCTTCTAAAACATTGTACCGATAAAGCAAAGAAGGTTCATAGTATTAGTCAACATCAACTCTTGAGTTTCTTTAAGATTTTGAGTACAAATATAAATCATTCAGATTCTTTAACTTTCTAATTTTAATTTTTGAAAGTTGTATTAAATTTTTTTAATTAGTAGAGTTGTTCATTTGATTTTATGTCTAACATTTTCTAAAATCATTCTCTATAATTTATGTAGATTATATATCGCAATCTTAAATATTTGATTACCTTATTCTTGTAATTGGGAGACTTACACTTTAAGGTTGGCGTTAAGATTGATTGACGAAGGTATTTTAGTTTTATTTCTTTTAAATAGAAACTAATTTTTCATATTGATTTAAATTTATTTCCTCCATCATTTCTATTTGAGTTGATTGGTCCTTTAGAATTTTGCTCTATTATTTTTTCTAGATTTCAATATTTTTTTCAGTAAATTTAGTATTAAATTAAATAATCTATTATTTTAATTTCTAAATTTCAAGTTTTAAGGATTAAATTAGCAATTCCTGCTGATATATCTATTTATCCTTTTAAAGTAGCTCGGTATTCTATTAATCTAATTCTAATTATAAATCACTCAACACTTTTTAGTAATGAAGAATCAGATTTAAATTAACTGAGTCCTAATTCATTAGCTATAACTATGTTCGTAGTTATATATTTTCATCATTTGTTTGTTATACCAAGATTGAGTATTCATTTAACTTTTTCTTTTGTGATTCAATTAATTATATCTGCTCCATGTTTTTGAGTAATATTTTTGACTACTATTGTTCCGTTTCACTTTTGATCAAGTTTATAAATGTTTAAACAACAGTATTGAAAATTTATTTATATCTAGATAGGTTATCTTAAATAATGTACTTCGTTTTGATGTTCATTATTTCAACTTAATTCGAATTCCTCAAAGTTTCAACCAATTTGTTTTAGTAGCTAGCATTTTAACAATTCTCAAAATTCAGTAATTAACTATCCAAAGTTTTTGAAATCACCTACTTTATATAATTATCATCCATTCTATTATTAAAAATAATTATGTAGATTTAATGCAGTTGAGATTATTAATACGAAAATTAAAATAAAAAATGGAAAAAAAGGTTGATTCGTAATTCACTTCTACTTTTTGGAGATAGATCCATTAAGAATATTTTATGATAGAAACCCCTATTACATTAGATAATATGATAAAATAACACAAAATAAGTAATAGTTATAGAATAATTTTAGATGGCAATAATTTCAATGAGCAAGCATATGAATTGATACAATAAGTGCTAAAATTGAAAAGGAAGAACAAAAGTAAGGTATAAAAATTAAATGACGCCAATCTAATGCTTCGGTTAAATTTGATTTTAATGCAAAGAGAAAAATCATCCGAGCCAATCTAATAATTAATTGAAGAAATGGTAGATTGCGTTTGTGAAGATAAACTTATTACAGAACTTGAAAAATGCTCAACATTAATTACGAATATTCATTTGCTGTCTGAAGACAAATAGATTGATATTTATTATGAAGAAGAATAATAAATTAAAAGTCTCCATTCTTAGATAGATTGGCCTGATTAGATTAATTAAGTAATTATGGAACTTGAAAGTGATTTAATCTCAATACAATAAAAAAATACATAAAGTATTTAAAAGTATTCATCTTTTTATGATTTCAGCCTGTAAACTCATGTTTTGGAAATCAACAACACTTTGAAGTTTTAATACAGTATTCAGTAATTAGGGGAATTTAAACTCAAAGTTTGCAGAAACAATGTGTAGCATCATCAAAAAGAGTTGGACAATCTTTATGATTTAATCAAAATGTACGAGGATTATTAAGTTGCTGAAAGCATTGTAAGAGCAATTAAACATTAAAATGGTATTTAATAATTAAATCAAGAATAGAACAGAAGATTACTGTTATCTTGGATAAGTATCTGAGTGTCCATCCTCTAGAGTTAACTTTATAAGAATTTGAATCTTATTAAAGATTAAGAGAAATACATATAAGTATATCAGAATAGGATTATGAATATGATTTAAGTTGTTAAAATTAGGATCCTTAGATGTGTCATTATTGTAGACAAATAATAGAAAAAAGTAATTAAAAACAGTGCACTTACAATCATCTTACTATGAACTTACATCAATACAATGATGAATTACTGACCTAATAAAGATATTGCATATCCAATTAGAAAATGTAAAGATTTTATTAAGACTTATACTCTGCAAATTATATTATTGAAGGTATTGATTTTATTGAATGCTAGATGACTAAATATAATGCTAAAAGTATTTTTGTTATAAATGCTTAAAATATGAATTTGATGATTATGATATTTCCGAAATTGATTGGATTTGTCCAATGTGTAAGGTATTAAAATTTTCTAAATTAGGGATTATGTCAATGCATTAGATGTTAACGCAATGAAGTTATTTATAAATTGAAAAGAAATCTATTAGAAATTAATGGGGATTTGGATTTGCTATATGATTAATCTCTATTTGAGATATTAGTTAGCAATAAAAGGAAGTCAATTTAAAATATTCCTTTAGATTTTATAAATAACTTAAAAGTCTATTCAGAAACTGAAGAGATATTTTCATCAAAAAATAGTAAAACTCAAAAGATACATTTAACTAAACAAATTAAAAAAAAGAAGAACTCTGATACAATTTTAGTTTTGCCAAAATACATCCAAAATGTTGACAGCTCATCATAATCAACTAAGATTAAAAAATAAACTAAATTCAGAAGACTAATTCCTAATGATCGAATAACTGAAGATATTATTTGAAGTTAATTCTTGAGTGTTCCTGAATTGATTTTAATATTATTTTTTTTAAATAACAGAATTTCAGACAGATAGATTTTAATTAGCAATGTTAGTAAAGAGTTTAATGATTCAAAAGAGATAGTCTATTTACAAATGAAAAATTTAAGCAAATCATAATAAAAAACTATCCAAATTGAATTAGTTAGTACTTTAATTTTTAATGATTATACTTAATCTTCATATTTAGTAAAATAAATATCTCAAATTCTTGCCGACAGATAATCAAATTAGTTCAATGAATTCTATCCAGCTTGTTAAAAACTTGTTCTATTTGATTGAGAATTCCTTAAATTATCATCTGGGAACACTTAGGATGGGCACGGGGCCTATAAATAAAGGGGAATTTAATTTATAGCCTTAGGTGTTGGTGGTAAATATTATGGAACATAATTTTGATAACTCCTGTAATTGCCATAAACATATGGATCAATATAATCTAAAATATCTTTCTTAAGGCTTGCCATCATCAATTCCTATTGTTTTGCCAGCTTTTCTTCTACTTTCTACATCTCATACTTTCTTTCAAGTTCTTTCACTCTCCTTTTCTCCTCCTTTTCTTTTTTTAACGATTTATTATCAATTTAATACTAAAAATAAGGCATGTAAGCATTTTAATTTGAAGAATACTAGTACTAGAGTTAAGGAGAGTAATATATTGGTTTTGGATAATATTGATTGTTTAAATATTAAGGTTCACTTACTGGTGTCTCTTAAGTCACTTATTCTTAAGGTGCTCTATAGTTTAAACTCAAAATTTTGTCTTATAAGTCCTTCAATCGACGATCAAATTAATATCGCTCGAAATCAATTCCTAAAGACATTTAATAAAATTTTTTATATTAAAATCAGTTGATTTACTTCAGTTCATTAATTTTTAAGTAGCTTACCTTATTGTAATTGATCAACAGACAAAAAATAAATGAGCTTCGAATATTTTCATGATTAATTCGCTTTACCATTTTTAAAAGAATGATTTAATTTAGTAATTTACTATTTCTAAAAATTTTTTGATTGCACGAGTAAAATCACTCCCGCCATATAGAATTTTATTCTTAGAAATTCTATTTTTAAGAAATTTCTAAATTATACTCTCAATAACTATTTGGATTGTACATTTTCTTTGAAATTTTCAATTTAAAATGTTCTGAGGAATTACCATTTTTACAATTGAAAATAAGTTGAATAGAGTATAATATTAATCTAAACATTAAACTAATTATCACATAAAGACATATATAGATAAAATTAATAAATTAATTCTAATGGAAAGATGTAAGTTTAAGTCAAGAGATTGAGCTTAAACAAGCTAAATTTCTAATTAATAATTAAGAATAATTCTGAATATTAATGATTTATGGAAAATGAGAATTAACTGTATAAAAAGTAATAGAATTCATACTCTTCTATACGGTTTCTTTTAGCTTTCTGTAAATGATAATTTCATTTTACTCAATTTTTCCTTTTGTTATTCTATCTCTTATCTCAAATCTTCGATAGTTTTATCTGCATTATCAATTTATGATATCTTCTTATTTGGAGTCTTCATCGCAGTACTAATAATCGGAGTACTAAAATTTTATTGTTTATTTGCTATATGATATATTGATGATACTTGTTAATATTGATTATTTTTGATATGGAGATTTCTGATTTACTTTATAGGGAGAGACTTATTTTGAGGGCAATTAAATGATATTCTCCAATTGATTAATTTAAAGTTGATAATCTGATTAAACTTATTCCATTTTTTTATCCTATCTTTATTTAAGATCCTGATATCTTTATTCGAAGTATTACCTTTCTCTATTCATAGTGTATTCTGAAAATTATTATTAAGAAGATCTAAATTGATTATAAATATTTACAATTCCTCTTATTGTTCCTTTATTAGTTTATTAAGACTTAATAACTCTAATTCGTGATTTTATCTTTGTTCAACTTTTAACTACTCTTATATTAACAATTATTTCTTTAATTCTTCATTTTCTTTGTGTAATGAGTGAATTTAATTTTGTAATTCAACACTATTATTCTTAGACATAATGAGTTACTCAATTTATTATTACTTTTATTTTAATTTAAATTACCCTTCCTCCTAAATTAATAGTTCAGATTATTTAAATTAGTATTTCATATTTTCAATTTTTTATTCGATTTCACAATTCATCTGCTCAATTTCATATTATTTTTCGGCTTCGATCATTAAAATTTTGTTTTCTGTTTTGATTAATTGTTGTTTATATAAGTTTTGTAATATTATTTTGCATTCACTTTCTAGTTACCTCAATTTGTTTATAAAGGTATTTTTAACTTCAAAAAGTTAAATATTCATTAATTCTCTTTGTCTATTTAAAATTTGATAGATTCGTTATTTACATGTTTTTTGTTTAAAGAGTGACTCTTCTAGTTATAATTATATTTAGTTTTTTTCATTTACGATTTGGTTAATTACTTATTTTGAATCTTCATAATTCATTTGATCTCTATTTAATAAATGATGTATTTCTTTTTATGCTTTAATTACAGATTCATTTTTTTTTTCCAAATCTTGAGCCAATTATTAATTTTAAATTTGTAAAAATTCTAATTAGTTGTTATTCTATATCTGATCCTTTTACAGCTCAATAATAATTCTGTTCTATTCATCCAATTTTTATTTGAATTCATTTTTCTACTTTCTGTTCTCGATTTGCTATTCTGAAAGAATCTTTTATATTTTATTGTTTTCATCATTAAAATTATCTTGCAGAAGCATCAACTTTTATTCTTTTTCTTAAATCTCTTAAGCATGTTATTCAATTAATTTTTTGGATTCTTTCTAATGTTTTTTAAAATCATCCCTAAATTGTTTCAATTTCAAATCAACCTTTTAGCCTATTCTTTGGTATGAAAAACTTCCTTAAATTTCTATTTCCAAATCGTCAGAAATTTATTAAAATAGTTTCAAATAGTATTGCCTTTCTTTTTCAATTTCATTAAATTAATTTTGATTTGATCTCATTGTATTTAAAGTTTATTCTGAGAAATTTTTTACATCATCAAGCTCTAATAACAAATTCTTTAACTTTAAGTCCTTTTTTGACAACTCTAATTCTCGTTCTCTATTTATCTTTTCAAGTTCTTCTTAATGTTAATTTAATTACTTTATTTCTCCCTACAACTGTTTCACTTACTATTAGGAGTGTTAATTTTGTCTTTGTAAATTATCAAATTCTAAATTCTATTAATAGATTTTATCTTTAATTAATTTGATTTCTTTGATTTAATCTTAAATCATTTTTTCTTTACTTACTAGTATTTATTCATATTGAACTTTTAAAATATCTTCTATACTTTACTTTTCGTTCATATATTATATTTCAATTTCCTAAAATTAGTTTTTATATTATTGTTCTAATTGCTTTGTAGATTATCTATGATTCTATTGCAATTAATTTAATTAATTTTCAGACTCCTTAATTAATTCCTAAAATTCTTCTAACTGTTATTACTAATGTAATTATGTATTTTAAGCTTAAGTCAGTTTGTTTTTTAGATCATTTATTTTAGCATTACTTTTTTCCTTTAATTAATCTAATAACTCCTTCTATTTTTATTAATCTTATAATTTCTTTGTCTTCAGTCTTTCATTTTCATTTTTTAATATCTCAAGTTCTTAATCTAGTTAAACATTTAGATCTATCTATTATTAAGATTTCTTTTTCAAATCTGAGAGTTCTTTAAGAACTTTTTCAAATTCAATTTTGAAATCTCTATTTTACCTATCTAATTGTTGATTTAATGAATTGAGGGCTTCATTTCTCTATCTCTATTCACATAAATCAGAACTCAATGATTTATTTCTTTGATCACTAAGTTATAGGTTTTCTTTGACTCTGATATTTTCATTTTGTAACGATACCTCTTTGTTTTGCATATCTTTGATTTAGTTTTTTAGTTTTTCATTCAATAATTGATATTTCTAATTTGATTGAAAAAAGTATTACTTAAAATTGAGATTCTTGACCTTCGAGTAGATCTTGGAGATTCTTAATTTCTCTAATTTATTCTAGTTGAAATTCTCTTTGCTTAGAATCAAATTCCTATAAGATCCTTTATTCTCTTTCCAAAAATTCCCTTCGAATTTAATCATTAAGAGCTTATTCAGTTCTAAGTTCAGCCTGCAAATGATGAATCTCATCAGTAAATTATTTGGAAAAGGCTTCGAGAGTGATTTCTTTTATTCTGCTGAAGATGATGTTTTTGGAATCCCTATTTGATTCAATAGTAGAGTCAAGTAATATTTTAGTAGAAATATCCATAAGACATTCTAAATATAAATATTATTGGGCTACATTCCAATTATGATTGACTACTAAAGAGCTTGGATGATGTTAGCATATTTAACGTATACAAAAAATATATATATATATAAAATCTGTTATATTGTATATTGAATAAATATATAATATAATATTATGAAATCTCCTACTTATATTTTAAAGAATGCTTATTAGGAGCATTTAGTAGAGCAATAATATATCAAACATGTTTCGAAGATACAAAATATTACTGCTAATCTTTAAGTGAGTCAGAGTGAACAAGATTAATTGAACAAAGTATGAGGTTATTTTAGTAAAATATAACTTTTTAGATAAAATATTATCGTTAATAGAAGGAGAGGACACGTAAATTTATGGAACATCAAACTTAATTGTTCAGACAGTAATCGGATAATGTATTAGCAAAAAAATTGATTTCAGCTGATTCGAAAAGTAGAAAAGTCCATGAACAGAAGAGTGTGAAGTCTTTAATAGCGACAGCTCAGAAATAATAATCATATGAGATAGGGTTAGAAAACATAAGATTGGGGAAAAGGATCTTGCATTTACCGTCTGTAATAAAGAAAAGGGAGTTTGATAAATCATATGCTAAACACGAATAAAATATGATGTATGCGAGTAGAATGAGAAATCAAAACAAATCCAAGACTCCTTCGAATAAGTTGATAAAAGATTGTGGACCCATATTTACAGAGGTGCCAATCGCATTCAAGTTGGTGGTATTTAACAAAGAAGTATACCTATTATTTAGAGTTTAAATAGTTACAAAATAAAGATTAAAAGACTGAATGTTTGTATTGTGTTGAAGCACATTTAAAAGATTAATTGTTGCATCGAACAGGTAATTTGATAGATGTTAATTTAGATTCTGTGGCATTTGATTAATTCTAGCAATTGAGTTTTAAAGTGCCTATGAATGAACAATAATATGAGGGATATTAGAATGAGCCTTTGATTTTGAAGATATGGAAAATAAAAAACAATAGTGAATTGTACATGGGACAAATATTTGTAGGATTTAATGATTAACTGAGTGAGAAGGATTTGATGAAGAGAGTGAATGATAGAGAAATTTGGAATGGTTTTATTTAATTATGAAAGTTATGAAGAATTGATTTTAATTAAATATTAATTTATATAAAATGCTCCAAATATAACATCAAACACCACCAGAAATAAATAGAATAAGACAATTGGTAATCATATTGATTTATATTAGATATGCAAAGCAGGGGATGATGGAGCAGATACATTCAAAAAGGATCTATAAAAAATAGTTGATGTCTTAGGCGAATATTATCAATAAAACAAATAGGATGTGAAAGATGCAATGATATAATCCTTCATTTAATGTGCAAAGTTGTTGCCACTCAAATCTGGAATATATGCTACGATATTGGCACTTTTATCAACCAAACAAGTAATCATCAATGAAGTCAATATTTTAATTAGACAACACAATCCTTGACAGACTAGATCATCCTTGGATTACTCGAACACCTTCCCTAAATAGCCTAAGAGGAAACACCTATATTGGGACAAACTATCCTCAAATTTCTAAGTGAATTGATGAATGTTGGTTTGCTTAATACTGTGAGTTTTGTGGAATGCTTGTATGATTTGGAAGGAGGAGCTGAGAATGAGCAATCCCCATTCTATCTTCAGATTTTGTTAACCACCATCCCTCACGCTATGATAAAGGCAATGGAGAAGAATTAGATTGAATTCAAAAATATCATATAGAATGTTGAAGTCTTAATGACCAAGAGAAAAACTGAAGATAGATTATTTCATCTGTGGCAATCCATACGCAACTTTTTAAATAATTAGGAGAAGGATGCCCACACCTAAATATTTTAATAATTCTTGAAAACCTCATATCCAAGGCCTTATTTGTTGTTTCCTGATGAGATGACATAGGTCAGACAATTGAGAAGAGGTTTCAAGATCCCTATAGTAAAAAGAACCTAAATCTGGAGACCTCAATAGATACTGGTTCTTAATGATGAAATTAGATCACAAAGCAACAACAAAACTGATATCCAAATAGAGATCACCAGACAATGGATCTATGAAACCATTGATCTATTCAAGACCAATAGATAGTAAATCGTATTCCAATTTTAATTGTACTAGAATTGCATTAAAATGACACCATCATAAGAGTATTTAACATTGTCAATAATAGAGCTTAATTCAGATAAACCTTAATCTTCACTTTATTAAATATGGTTATAGAAGTTGTTCCAAGAAAAGACTAATTATCTACTGCCTTCTACAGTGGTCTTCTGACTCATTTAAGCTAGAGAAATTCTGATAGCATAAAAGAATGGAATGAAACTATAGAATAGTTCATTGACTTAATTCCTTAGAATAATATCCTGATTGTAGAACAACTAAGCGATTGCTTATCCCATTACTTTTGTAATTCCAACTTTAAGTTGAATTGGGACAAGTACTTTGGGAAATACAACCCTGATGAAACAGATAGTTTCAATAATTATCTAGTTGTTATGATATTTAGAAAACTATTCCTGTTAGTGAGTGTTGAGAAGATCACAGATTTAGTACCTAAGAATATTATCGATTGGTATAATTCATTGTAGGATATTACAAAACCTTTGGATATTGAACAACTCAGTGTAGCAGAGAAGATTAATTCGTATCTGTAATAAAAATTGAATGGAATTGAGATGCTTGAGTAATTAAAATTGATTACCAATCCTGGTCCAGAAGTTGTCATTTAAACCTTTTTAGAATCTCTATTATAATCTATATCCAAGTCCATTACTCATTTGAATGTCTTAAGCAAAAGATATCTCTCCTTTTTGTTGTAGCCAAACATAATTAAACCTGAAAAATTAGGAGAAATTCTGCTTTAGACCATTTTTCGTATGTGGAATCATTCAATATTTCATCTGAAGGTATACTTAAAAGAGTTTTTGAATTTGGAAGTAATTAGTAATTTATAAATTATCAACTGGGTGGGCGAAATCATCAAATAGAAATCGGAGGTAAATCCATTAATATTATTAAGGCCTTTAAAATCTATAATGTTTTGATTGCAATCAACGATGTTTTCAGGAAGTAGACAAAACTAGATTAGGTTCAGGATTGCACCTATGAGAATGTTAAGGAAATTAATACTATTTTGACTAAGATGATTGAATAGGAACAAGGTTTTTATTGTGTTTAATATGTTTAGATATTATTATCTAATCAAGTTTAGAGACCATTTAGCTCTAAATATTGATTGCATTCAAATCAACGAATGGGGCTCAATCGGAGAAGTTATTAAAAGAAGTAAAATCAACTTATATAAAATAAATTATTATGTCATTTTGAGTTTATATTGCATTTCATAATAGATAATGTATAATTAATTATAATGAAATAAATCCTACTAATATCTTTTTATGTCTTTAATGTATTGTGTAACTTGAGATTCAAAGACAAAGAACAATTGGAGAGACATCATTCACACCCTGAAGTAGTGGATGAATTTTTAACTGTGCATGTGATCCCTCATTCTCATGACGATGTTGGATGGTTGAAGACAGTGGAACAATACTTTTACGGTTTGAGGAATGATTACCAATGGGCAAATGTGGAATACGTGATAGATTCGTATATAGAGGAATTGTAAAGAGATTAGAGCAGAAAGTTTATATAGGTGGAAACCAAGTTTTTCAAGATGTAATTTTATAATAATATAAATAACTAGGTGGTGGGATTAATAAAATGAAACAACCAGAGGTATTACAAGAGAGTTGGTTCAAAATAGATAATTGCAATTCATTTCAGGAGGATGGTGCATGAATGATGAAGCCACAACTTATTATGAAGATATAATTGATCAAATGACCTTGGGCCATAAATTCTTAAAGGATACCTTCAATTATGTACCAAATATCGGTTGGTAAATTGATCCTTTTGGCCATCAGAATTCTTAAGCAGCCTTATCCTATTAAATGGGATTCAATGCTTGGTTTTTTGCCAGAATTGATTACGAAGACAAAGAAGCAAGACTTGATAAAAAGAATATGGAAATGATCATGTTACCGCCTGCTGAGGGAGTTCAGTATCCAATCTTTACTCACATTCAATACTATCATTACGAAGCACCTCCAACATTCAATTTTGACATCCTAAGAAGATCAGATGCTATTGTTGACAATATGAAATCAGAAAGCTATAACATTAAGGAAAGATCAGAACAACTGGTCTCATATTTCAAATCTCAATCACTTCATTATAAGAGCAATCACCTGATCCACACTTTCGGTTCTGACTTCTGTTGGTCCAACTCCAAAGTGTTCTATCAGAACCTTGATAAGTTAATCAAATACATCAACGTCACTCCAGAATACAACATGAAACTGTAATATTCAACACCTGAAGAATACATTGCAGAAATTAATAAGCAGAACATTAAATTCGAAACCAAATAAGATGATTTCTTCCCTTATTCTGATGAACCACATGCCTTTTGGACTGGCTACTTCACAAGCAGAGTAGCAATTAAAGGTTATGTGAAACGACTAGGTAGATAGGCATAAACCTATAAAAAATTGATTGCCTTACTTTATCAATAAGAATTCGTTTAGGAGGACTATTAAAATATTACTAACGCCATTTATGAATTAGATAATGCTTTGGCCATTTGCCAACATCATGATGCTGTTACTGGAACAGAAAAACAACATGTCAACGATGACTACATCAAAATACTCTATAAAGGAGAATAACATATCCAAAAATTGACAAGAAAGATCTTATCCAAATTTTTATACAATACAACAACCATAGATTATGAACAATGTGAATATAACATTACTTCATAATAATGTACCAAGACTTATAGTGCTCTTAAGGCTAATAAAACTGTTATTCTTACAATTGTTGATGGAAAAGTCAAACAAGAAAACAATACTGATATCATTAGAATTAAAGTTCCAAATTTAAAACTATTAATTAAAGATTAAAATAATTAAGTAATATATGGAGATATCGATTGCACTAATGGATTTTAAGATTGCGATCTTTATTTCAAATATTAAATCGACAAAAACAATGTAATCAAGTATTTCACTATATAACCAGTCTTGTATAATGAATCTGCTTCTGAAATTTTGTTATCAGTTAACCCATTTCCTTATACTGAGGATACATTGATCACTCTTAATTCAACTAAATCTTTTAAGTTAAAATACGCCTACTATTAATCCTATTAATAAAGAGATTAAGCAGATGGTGCTTACATTTTTAGACCTTCCAACAACTCAAAAATTATGTATGGTAACATTTCATATACAGCCATTGGATATGGTAGAATTATGTCTCTCTTCAGAATTGTTAGAACTTATACAAAATCTGTTGTTAAGAACTTTTATCATTAAAAAGAAACCTTTGATATTTAAACCTATGTTGATTAAATCCCCGTCTCTGATTCAATAGGAAAGAATATCATTATGGTCATAGAAGTGCCCAATTTTAACTCCAATAAAACCTTTTACACAGACAGCAATGGATTATAATTTTAAAAAAGAATAGTAGATTACAGACCTTAATATAACTATTCAATGCACGAAAATGTATCTGGTAATTACTATCCAGTCACTAGTGCCATCTATATATAGGATGGATAGGAATGCGTGGGTCTTTTAAATGATAGATCCCAAGGAGGAAGTAGTTTAGAAAATGGACAAATTGAAATTATGATTCAAAGAAGATTACTATAAGATGATAGCAGAGGAGTTGGCGAGGCTTTGAAAGAAACTGATGAAAAAGGAAATGGCTTAGTTCAAAATATCTAACATAAACTTACTTTCTTCAATATTTAAAACAATCCAAATCAAATTAGAAAGTTATAATATTATTTGGATCTCTAGCCATTGGTATTTTTCAATTTTGATTCAAAATTACCACTTATCCCTGAAGGCTTGAATTGGTTCTTACCATTTGATGGCTTTAATATAGAACCATTACTAATTTATGGAGATAATTTATTGAAATTCAATTACCTTTTATGGAATGAAGATGAAATTTTATTGAGAATCCAAAATATGTAAGAGAAATTCTCAATGAAAATTGATAAATTGGAATTTGTTGGCCAAGCCGTAAGGACTACTTTAACGGGTAATTAGAAATGGAATGATTGGAAGAATAATTCATTAAGTAATACATATTAAATATATTATAGAATGGAATTATGATAAGTAAGTAAACTCTCTAGATGAAGATATAGATGACGTTCTTTATCCATTATAAATATAAACATACCTTATAAGGAACAGCGAAAAATCCTATTAATAATGAATTATTATTATTGATTAATCAAATATTAGTTTTAGTGGTTATCTTCTTTGAAACTCAATCTTATCAATATTTATATAATATCCAATAAATAAAATCATATATATCAAATACCTATTTTAATATGTATTATTTGATGAGAAGAAGTCAAGAGAATTCTTTAATTACAATGATAATTAATAAATATTTAATAATATTTCTTTTAATTTAAAATGTGTACAACTTCTTTTTAAGACATTAATATTAAGAAAAACTCGTGCAAAAACAATTTACTTAACATTTTATTAATAGCCATGCAATCATTATTATAAGAAATTAAATTGTTATACTCCTTTAATGAACTTCAGTAAGGACTTCCATTATTATAAGAAATACTTTTAATTTATATTATCAAAAATTAAAAAGCCATAAAAAGTATGAAATTACTTTAACTATTCTATGATTAATAAGACTCAAGAGGTTTCTGTAATTTTACTAGCAAATAATATGCTCTTATTTAATGAATTAGAGTCCATTTGACAAATTTATGATTTTAAATATTGAATAACATTTTAATGAATTTTATTAGAAATTGGATTTTCAGATTAGAGCAGTATAAATTGTAGCCCAAATATTTTGGGATATAATTATTTAATTTAATATAATTTATATAAAAAGAAATATATATTTATCAAAGTCATTAAAGAGATGAAATTGATTTTGATATTTAACATATTAAATCTAACATCTCATTTCAAAATTTTTGATGGTTATCAATTCTAAATCTTACAGATTTTTAAGCTCTGAATAAAGAATGGTTTCTTTTGTTTTTCAAAGCTGATTTGAGATTTGATCTTCTCTGTGATTCTGAGTAATATCTTTACGAGATTCCACGATGGGGTTGAAATAATTATTTTCTTCTCGAATCCATTTACGGATTAGTACTCCTTATACAAAATTCACTTTTAAAATATTTAATCTCCTTTGGAGAATCTGGAGGATCTTTAGGTTGGATCTTTAGAGGAATTTGTTGCATAGATCTGGTATTCAAGTGTTCAGTTAATAAATGCTTGTGGTTAGGCATCATCTAATATTCTACAACTTTCGAGGTCAAACTTACCTCAGTTATGCTAAAGATCACTAAGATAATACTCAGAAATGAATTTGCAATCCTCTTCCATCTATTTTATCACATCTAAGATTTCACTTTAATTCATAAAATATTCAATAAAATTATGGGGAATTACATTTGGATATGATTAAAGATTTAATGATTTTATATCATTTAATTAAAGTGGGACATTAATATCTCCTAGTGCAATTAAATTAAATACAACAAACTTAATTTTAGTTGAAAGTGGATTCCTTAAGTATTACTACTTTACAATTTTTAAAATTTGAGTACCCAACTTTAAATTTAATAACATAAATTATCGAATTTAAATCGAGTAACTTTAAAATTATATGTGTACTTTTATAAACTTGCATTATTCATTAAATATTTATATTAGATTATCTTAATTTATTTGGTATGAAGACAAAAATTATATTAAAGTGAGTTAACTGATATTTAAATACATTACCAAAAAATTATAGATGTTTTCTTTGTAAATTGATGTTGTTTATGTAAAGGATGATTTCATATGAATTTTTTTAGGGAGATAGTAAAAACGAGTTATTAGGAACATCTTAAGTTATAATAAATTAAAATTATATTATAATAACATAAATTAAAAGAAAGAGAGGATGAAGGTGTTTCAAAAAAAACCAGATTTAATAGATAGGATTAATCTATAGATTTATTTATCCTGTATTAAATGAGAATATTTATTTTTTATATAACCAAGAGCTCAATTTAAAAATATATAATAATTACATTAAAATACTAATAAGATTGTTAATTTCTATATATAAAGACTTAAGAAAGAAGTTAAGTTTTAATAGATTTAATTATCATTAATTTTGGGTAGGCACAAATTATGGCATTACAATTAAGATTTTTATAAAAACTCATTTTAAGGATTCCTCATTAACAGTACATTGAGTAGACAGATGATTTTTAATTTAAGGCTCAACATTCTAGAATATCAGTTCAAATATTTGTCGTTATAACTATAATTAACGTTCATATTTAGAATTCTGATTAAATATTTTTCCATATTTAAGTATCTGACACGTCATTTTTCTATAAAAGAAATCTTCCAATTTGTTGATGTAATGTCTAAAACTATTTAACTTTTTTATCAAAATTTCAGATTATAAATTTGATGACCTTTGTAGAAAATTAAAAAGTAGCAATTCAAGTTGAAGACATCAAAGTTGTTTTGTATTTGATTAAGTAAAACCTAAATTATGTTATTCCATAAAGTAGGTAACAAAATTTAAGAATTGAATAAATTTCTATATTATACATTAATTAAATTAATAAACAATAAATGAATATAATAGCAAAATATAAGGAATTCGAAAAAACCCTTGAAAACGTAGTTACCTATAAGGATCTTAGAAAATAAATAAGATAGAGCTTCAAATTTATATTGAAGAATAATTTTACTATATATTATCTTGATGAAGATAATGATAAAATTACAATATCAAATTAAGAAGATCTAGATGTTGTTCAAGTAAGACTTTAAATTAAAAATTAGAATACCGAGAATTTTGAAATTATGGTTGAAGAAATTGATGATGCCTCAGAATTGACAGATGATTCCTTTTAAAAACTTGATAAAAGTGTTAAAGAAACAGTTAACTACTTTAGAAAGTTAAGCAATGGTCACGGCAATAATGATTCAAATAGCCCGAAAATTATATAAAAATAAGAAATGGAGTAGGCAAAGGAGATAGTTGAGAAACCAAATAATCCATAAGAAATTTTAGATTAGAAAAGACAAAAAGCAATTAAAGAAATAACAGCCACAATTGAGCATCTTCGAGCAGAAATACTTAAAGTTGAGAATGATGATACAGAGAAAAGATTGAATGAAAAAATAGAAAAGTTATAGAAACCATAAGTGAATCCCTCATCCTTAGGCAAAGAATTAATTGAACTACCAATTATTTAATAAATTGAATAGGCAGAAAATAACATAATCAACCTTAATAAAGTTGAAAGAGAAGAATTGAAAAGGAATTATTAAAATTTGCTCAAATAAATTCAGTTAATGATCTAAAATAGATAGAAGAATTAAGTTAATTAAATTGCTTAAACTAAAGACGTAATCAAAACAGAATAGAAATTGAAGTAGCTGATTGTTAAGACCAATTAAAAAAATTAAAAGTTGTTAAAATAATATAAGGGATTATTGAGTTAATACTAAAAAAAGCTTAAGGAAGTTGAAAATAAGAAAGCCAATTTCGAAAAGGTTGAGTATATGACCAAAGATCAACTAGAAGATTTTTTAGACAAATAGATGAAGGAAGAACTAAAGGCAAAAAAAGAAAAATAAGAAGCCCTAAAATAAAAGGAGTAGATAATCAACATTGACAATCCAAAAAAGGAATAAGAGAATTAAAATCTTAGTGATAACATCTAGGATGATTTAGAATGAAAAGATATCACTACATTATGCATATATAATAATTGTCTAATAATTTTTCATATTTATAATGCAATTGCAGCTTGTAAAACTGATAAAGCCTTTTCTTTGGCTATTTGAAATTTAGGCAAATTTACTGGAGATTCTAATTGCCATCTATTTTTATAGTGAAGGTATTGTAGGACTATTTCAAGTATGTCAGCTGTAAAATCAGAAAGGATTTGGGTTTCTCCTCTCATGTCTGCATTTGCTATCTGTTTTTTGAAAATCTCACTCAATCCAGCTATTTCTTTGGCAACTATGAATTCAATTCCATTAGATGATAGAATAGTTATGTAAGCAGATGACATTTTTAATAATTTATTTAATATATTTAAGAAAAAGAGAGAATCAATTTAATAATCATTTTTCAAAACAAACTTCTGGATTATAACAATACTCGTTGAATTGTTCTTATTAATATGATGAATAATACCACAAAGGGTTTTATTTCGGAGCAATACAAAATTTTTCTCATTTTAATCCTCCATAGTATCATCCGTCTATCCTTCATAGCCTTTGAATTTCTTGGGATAATATGGAGGATCGTATTTTTTTTTAATCAAAGCATCCCAATCAAAAGCGCTGAACCATGGATGATTCTTAACATCTGAAGGGTTGTTTGATCCTAATCTATTTTCAGGTTTTCTTTGGATAAGCTAATATGTGCATTCAAAAATATACTTAATTAATAAAATCCCCAGCTTCAATTGACCAAGCTACAGGTAGTTGTGATCTTTTAATTTGGATTTGTTTAGATAAGACTTGATCCCTAATCTCTTGCCTAGATTTTCCAACATAGGGTCTTTTTCCGAGCATGCATTCATAAATAATAATTCCCAAAGCAAAAAAATCGACAGCAATACCATGATTTTGCTTGCACATCACTTCAGGTGCCATGTAACCCGGAGTTCCACTTGTATCTGAGGCATTTTCTGGTCTCCAGACTCTTGCAATTCCCATATCAGTTAATCGAAGATATCCAGATTCATCAAAAACCAAGTTTTCTGGCTTGAGATCTCGATGGATTATTCCGTGTTAATGGAGATACTCTAGACTTACGATTATACAAGCAGCAAAAAACTCTTAAAATATTGCCAAATAATTTACATGATTCTTCTTCAGAAAATCTTTTGTTTCTACAAAGATGATATCTCAAGTCCCCTCCTGATAAGAGATCAAGCACTAGGTATAAATTCTCTCTATCTTAAAATGCTGAATGCATATTCACAATAAAAGGATGATGCAATTGCTTTAACAAATTCTTTTCATTTAATACTGATGTTATGCTCTTTTTTTCAATTATCCTAAATGAATTTTAATCAATACTTGGCTTTAGACATTATTTTCATAGCAAAAAGTTAATTATTTTTTTTTCTTCTAACTTTAAAGACCTTACCATATCCACCTCTTCCGAGTATATCTAAGACTTCGTAATTTCGTATTGATTACACTACATAAGACAAAAAAGATACTTGCTTCTTGAAATTCTTCTCTTTTATCTATTACATTACAATTACCCATTTTTCTAGATTTTATAATGCTAATTATTTTAATATAGAATTTATCTCAGAATTTTCATGAATCCAAATATCTATCATACAATAAATATTAATAATCTAAAACATATGTCTTAGTTGATAAAAGAACCTCCAACGGGGTTGCCAAAGCGACAAATGAAATGATTTTATTTTAAAAATGTGGAATAAACCAATTGATATTTAAGTTTTTATATAATCCTAATATGAGTTTGTAAAAACAATAATCAACGTCCTCTTCCTCTCTTTTTTACTGGTTAATAGATCTCCTCTCCTTCCAAACTGTCATCCTCTTCAATCTTTTGCTTCTAAGTGGACCCTCTGCCTCTCCCCTTTACTTTAGAACAATCGTCACTCTCACTTTCTTCTTGTTTGCCTCTTCCTCTTCCTCTGCCTCTACCTCTTCCCCCTCCTTATCCTTTAGATCTTGAGGGCATATTAGAGCATTCCAGACTGACATTACTCATAAATAAGTTCACAATATCTCTATATTTTTCCATACCTTTAAAGTCTGGCTAAAGTAAATCTTCAGGTTCTTCGATGTTTTACTCTTACAATGCCAACCCTTGTAAATATGTGTAAAATCTATATTAATAATCTATTATTACTTCTATATTGAAGGATCTTCAAAGTTTGAGCAATCAAAATCTTGGATTGTCAGAGCATTTACTAAAATCTTAGCTGCATTCAAGGTCTATCTTGTAATCTCGGCTCCTTCTTACTTAACTGTAGACAGTCCTCTAATATCATCAGCATAAGGTAAAAATATCAGATGTAATCCTGGAGGTGTCTAAAAATGATTTTCATCATATTGTTCTGCTTAAGGAAGCAATGCACAAAATCTGACCTAAGATCCTTATTTAGGGACTAATCGAACTATTCCTATTTTCTCTTTCAATATCATTTATTGAATCAATGCATCAAAAAATTAAGAAGATCCATTTACATGTTCATCATCAGGATATAAAAAATAGGAGGCTCTATAATTGTGATAATCCTTTAATGCACTTGAAGATTTGAAACCTATTAGAGTCATCCCAGGCTTTTCAAAACCTTTTATTTTAGCCATATATTCCTTTGGGATTGCTATTTTCTCATTTCCCAATATCAAATGAGTAGATATTTATTGAGGGAAGAGTGCTTGACCTGTTTCTTCATCAATAAATTACGCTTTCTTTTTTAGTTATTAGTTGTATCTCCTATCTAAGGGTTTGCCATATGGTTTTTTTGCCTTATTCACTAAACAATATATTTTTAATCCAATTTTAATGTCATCGATATCCATAATAAGTCTATTCAAAGCTCTTTTCTTAAATTCCTTTTATTTAATTCTTTAATGCAAATCCATAATTTTAGTTGAAGTATCAAGTACAGCATTGTTAACTTCATCCAAATCAACAGTTATAATCTCACCGTAAAATCTAGCAATTTTGAATTCATTTTAACTGGGCAATGGAAACAATTCAATCTAAACATCTGCATCCTTCAATTACTTGGCGTATTTCAAAGCTGATGATCTGGCATTCAAATCTTTAAAATATGGTAAATCATCTGGAGTGAATAAAAATATACGCATATTGAATTTGTTCTTATCTCTAATAAATATTGATAATATGTTTACAATTCTTTGAATTCATGATTGCAGAGCCATAAACATTCATGAAAATGAGCATTGTTGCCTAATTGATAATCTTTCTCAAAATTTTGCTCTATTTTTAAACAATTTTTGATAATATCTGCAGATGGTCCATCTAATTTATAAATTTCTGTGATGTTATTGAATTTTAATTGATTATTGGTGGATTTCTAATTTTATAGATATTAATTACTGTGTTGTAGAATATCATACCAATGCGATCATCTGGACTTGATATGATTTTTGCCTTCATAAAGCTAGAAAAGGCAGATAATATTTTAGAAAAGACTGTGCCTTGTCCATCTTGATCCATGTCAAACAATGCTTTTTTGCAATCTACCAAAAATATGACTGCATCTTTTTTGCTCCCTGAATCGTGTACTGATATATCAGCGTCTTCACCAAATATATCTTCTCCGTCTTAGATTTCTTCAACGTCGTCTCCTCCTGCGTGCTCCTCTTCAAAATCCATTTATTTTATTAATTTAATGAACAGAAACTCTACAGAATTATTATATTAATTAATATCATTATAATTATTGGAATGATAATTTGAAAAAGTCCAAAAAAAAAGTATTAGATATTTTTGTCCTTACTAGGGTTTATATTAATTAATTAATAATCTTAATACAATATTCAATAATAATCAAAATTGATATGGCTTTGAATATGGTGGCATGGTTTGCCTGACCTATCAATTTATTTTATTTTTAATACCATTTGTTATAATTAATTATACTGAAAATTCAAATAGGAATAATTTTAACACAATTATGATTTCTCTTGTTATAATTAATTTACTCTCCCTTATAAATATTAATTCTAAATTTATTAAAAGTTCTAACCTACGCATTTATCTATTATATTATTATGGCTTAATTTCTATTATTCTCCTCCACTTATTGATAATGAATAGTCTCTATACTGTCCTATACAGTATTTTGTCTTGGCTAGCATTAATCTTCTTTTTATAATCCTGCTAAACTTATTATCTACACAAATTACCTTAAATTAATTACTCAGGATTCTTCAATTCTTCCAAAGTCTTAGTCCTCTTGATTTTTTTAGAAGTTCTACCTTCTTTTCTATAAATTTGCATAATAGCCTTTGCCGTAGAAAAATTAATGTTCAAATCTCTTGCAGCACTTTTGATTGTGCACCCTGTTGTTGTTACCTGCTTGATAAGTTTTTATCGCAGTTCATTTGATATTTTCTAGTACTTTAACCCATGCTTTCCTATTACAAAATCTTAACAAACTTTACCTTTATATCTGTAGAGAAGATCCTATTCTTCCTCTGGAGTTCTCTTTAGCGAAGACTTCTGGTTCAAATCCTTAACGAAATCATAAGAGGGGTCTGATGATTCTGAGTCTCTTGATGAAGTTGATTTCTATTACTTCTATTATTCCTTTGGTCTTTCCGCTTGAGAATGTTATTAGATAGATGTCATACAATTTGAGTATATCAATTTAAAAAAATAATTGAAAAAAATGTTGATTTTAGCACTTCTTATAGTAATTTTTATGTTCTTTTGTATTCTGGCTGGTTATATAATATTGAGAGTTGTAACTAGTTGAAAATATCCTATTCGAAATGTGATTATAATTATAATTTAAGTATTAACCTTCTCTAAAAAATTTAAATATAAATCATTCTTGGATTGAGATATTTATTTATATATAAAATATATCATCATAAATATTAAATTTATTCATTATTGGAATATCACATTTGAATTGATAAAACATTGTACAAGGTCATCGTCAATGTCCTTAAGTTCTACACAGAAGTTTCGTTTCAACCAAATTAAATTAAAAGTTGAAAAATCTCAAAGAAAAAAGTTTTGTCTTTAGATTGATTGAAAATCGCAAGTATAAGTAACAAAAATAATGATAGCTTCAATCACAAATTCTACTATGATCTTCATCAACACCTTTTATGAATGGTACTAGTCGTATTTTTTGATTCATAAATTATTATGACCTTCAATTATTTGAAATTGATACTTAGACTATATTGTAAATCAGATTTGAATTATTCCGAAAGAAATTATTTAACAATAAATACTTTGGTATTTCGAAGGGGCATTATAATTTTGAAGGAGATAATTAGATATAATTATATTAAAACAAAATTAGGATATTTCACAATACCATGTGTTCACTTTGAAATAGCTTCTGTACTACAGATAGATCTAACTAGAGATCAAGTAAGTTCTTACTAAAGACCTTCAAGTAATCCATCGATTTATTCTATTCAAGTACCAATTCTTCCTATCATAGTGTTATGGATAGTTATACTTCATCAGAATTTTTTAATTAGGTTTTGACTAGAATGAATGGGAATCTGATTTTCTCACTTTCATCCACATCTCTCATTTTGTTCAATTCTACAAGTTTCGTAAGACTCTCCTATTATTTAATATGATTTGTGGCTGAGGCTTTTTTTATTTATAATTATTCTTTTTATTTTTGCTGTTAAAATTAATTTTAATTTATACTTTTCTAATTATTAAATTCTACTTTGTTAGATTAACTTAGCTCTCAGCATTCTTTCTTATCAATTTCTTCTCTTTTACAACTATTCCAATTGAAATCATGACATTCAAAGCATCATAGACTCTTCTCCTAAGATTTTTGATTTCTTTCTGCCTATCATTTTATTATCCATTAAACTCTTAAATCATCTCCTCTGTCAATTTTTAGCAAATATCACTATAAGCCATAGCTTCATTCGATAACTCCATCATAACTCGACTGCTGATGTATTTTAGACTCCACTTCTTCTGAGATTTTATAGAATCTGATTGAATCTTTGGTTTTTCGAAGGGTTCAATCTAAACAAATAATTTCTTATTTGTGTTTGCTTGTGAATTGCAATTAGCTTCTGAATCTAAAAATATATTTTTTTGTCACAAAATTGTTGTATAAGCGCGAAAATATTCCGCCATAACATGTAATATAATATGAGAAAAGTAGATGAAAAGTTTAAACATACCTTACACTAAGCCTTTAACAGGTGTCTGGAAAATATTTATTGCCATCGAGTCCTCGTCCAATCTGAATTACCCTGTGAAATCCATATTAAAGTATTTTAATAAATTATTTATACAATTTAATTCTTCATAAAAAATGCTTATGAATAAGGGATATTCATATTCATAACCATGTAATAAATAATAAGATTTATGAAATCATAATGAACAATAATAATAAAAAAATCCTTTGAATATTTATGATTGCAGAAATAATAATATATTTCACAATTACATGTTGAGTAGAACTCACAGCCCATGGAACTTATCGAATCTCTACTCTCAAATGCATGTATCACCCTCTTTTAAACCATACTTCTTAACTAGCAAGAATCTTCTTTTTGAAGTAAACTGAGTTGTTAGAATCATAAATTACCGCGTTTTCAAAATATCCAATTTCTTAGAATAAAGACGCTCTTAAACAACAACCCTGATAATAATACGGTTCTAAACAGTGACTCTAAATGTGGTTCTAATACAAGTCATATCCCTCAATCCAACTTTTTAATTAGATATTTATCACTTAGACTAGTTCTTGTGATTGAGATATATATATGGGATTTATGATTTATTATTCATTACATTGATGGCTATCTTATCATACTAGTTAAAATATAGAGATTATGATTTAAAACGAAGAACTAATATTTTTCATATTTTCCAAATGATATTATTCATTATATAGTTTTTTCATTTATTAATATCATTAAATCTATATTCATTATATACTAATTGAATCAAATTATTGTATATGAGTTATATATGGGATATTTAAAAATTAAAATTATAATTTAAAAGATATTATGAGGATTAAAATAATATATTAAAATTGAACACAAATGACCTATTCATATAAAAATTGAATCTGAAATTATTTTAATTCAGTTTTGGTCTTTTTTTAAATCAAAATCCAAGATATCCATAGATGTTTTCAAAAATTATTCAGTTTAAATTCTATTACAACTTTTAATCTGCCATTGTTAAAAGTTATGTTAATTTAAGTTATTAACATTGAAATTTGGAGTTTTAATAGATTATCTTTTAATATCACCATAATTTGAATTTTAAATATTTGAAAATATCAATGAATTGTTACCTTCATAAACTTCTGACATTTTGAATTTGCTTCTCTGTACTTGCTCAATCATTTGTTTACTTTAACAAGAAGATTTGGGTTTTTTAACTTCGGAATCTTTGTAATTTGATAATTCCTGTTAAGATCTTATGTCTTTACTATCGAAAATAATGGATTCAACTAGTTGGTTGTTATTAAGATTGCTCAATGTTTCAGAATCAAAAGGATTTTTACTTGGAGATTGAAATACTTGCACCTATTATTATTCTTAAAAAATAAAATTATCATTATGAAAACTATCTGAACTAATTTAACTTTAAGCAGCCTATCCAAGTATCATACTTTCTGTTTAACTTTATTCTTCAATAGAAATTTCTTAATCAAAGGATTAAGCCTATAATATTCTTTATAATTTAAAATCTTAGCTATCCTTGGATATCTATATATTATATTGTGGTTATCCTAAGTGAACAGTTTATGGTTATATACTCTATGCTAAAACTAAATATTTCACTTTAGATTTAGGTTGAGAACATAATGTTCTAATGAATTAATCTTATGTACTTTGAAATCCAATATTTTGAACATCTACATTAAACGTTATTTTTCGAGTTGACCTTGCTTTTTTTGCAATCTACTTTTATTCTTCATTAATAAATTCAAAATTTTCTATTCTACCTTAATGTAAATTCATTCTGACAAAAGTGCAAATCTTCGAAAAATGAAACTAAAGCAATTTTAGTTATTTAAGCTTATCTTCAATAATAGAATGCTCAAGTTCTACTTTTGGGATATGGACTGAATTTTTCAAAGTCAAATATTGATGGATTACTGATTTATCTTTCAATTTTGTAAGATGTATCCATTTATCATTCGATATCTAATAATATTTAGAATATAAATCATCAAAAATGTATTATGAGGTAAAAATTGGAAGGTATGGATTGAATTTAAGATAATCATAAGTTTGATGAAATTGTAGGATTGATTGCTAACATAAGTCTAATAATTACTGCGTAATCAAAGCAGCCTGAGATGGAATATCTTGACACTTAACAGATGGAGATGGGGGTGGCTGTAAAGATACAAGAGATTCTGTACGAGATATTTTAAGAGTATTTTAGTTTTGATCTGATTATCGACTATCGAATTGCACATTCAAAATTGGGAGTTATCCTCCTTAGAACTTAAGTTTGATTATTAAAAATCTATGAATTGTTAATGAACCCTTCTCATCAAATTCATAAATCAAAATGGAAGGTTGGCATTAATAATGAAATTCCTTGTTATCTTTTCTCACTTTATAAAGTCCAGGTGTTGAACTCAGATTCTCTTCAAGGGGTAAAACATAATTTAAAACTGATACTCCTTTGACGATATGAGAAAACGAAGGAAGATGAATGGGATATCCCTCTTGATCATCTATTGTTCTCAGATCCTAACCACACACTTACAACACAAATCCATCCTAGATTCCATTTGGAATAATCACAATAAACTTAGCATCTGGAGTTAATATAGTAGTTATATTCCAATCGGATTCTGTGATTTTAGTTAGTAAATGATTGTATCTCACATTTTACAATAGGTCTTCAAGATGTTTCTCTTGTTTAGCTGATTTTCTTTATGGATCATAATACAAAATGTAATGTTCGAATTAATTTTAATCTAAAGTAGCAAAGGATAAGTAAAGATGGTTTTCATGTATTTATTTGATATAATATTCTTTTGAATAAACAATATCTATATCTATAGTGATCTATTCTTTGTTCTCAAGATCTTGTAAAATATATAATTGATTATCTAATATTTAAAGTAGTGCTATTTGATTATTCAATTTGAATATACAACTTGCATCATTGCTATGAGTTGTGAGTTACTATAACACATCATTTTTGTACTCATACAATACAAATTGATCAGTATAAGTTTTAATTTTGAGTAAAATGTAATCATCTACAATTGAGACTCTTTTTATTGAATTTTGGTTTAAAATCTTTTTTGTTTTCCATTAGTCATTGTGATAATTGCATAAATAAAGAGATGAATTCGTTTAGATAAGTATTTATTCTTAAAATGAATACAAACCATAAATGAGTTCACAAGGGTGAGATGTAATTTAATTCGTTTAGCAATTATGTGGCAAATCAAGTAGAATCTATTCAATAACTAATGGATTCAGAATTAAGATTTCTCTTTCATGTCCTATTACTTAGAAATGCTTATAATTTATAGCTAGATTGGCAGAAGAAATCCAATTTTAATGAAGATGAAAGATATGATCAATTTTACCACTTCCAAAAACTATTTATGAATCATCAACTTTAGTGACTAATTAAAAATTAAAAGGAGGATTTGCTAAATTCATCACTTCTCTTGGATCATTTTGTATAATTGTATATTAAATATCACCATATTAGTTAGAATAATCAGTATATAATGGTCTTCCCCATTGTGTTTCTGATTACCTTGATAGCCCATCTGAAAACTCTTATTGATTTGTAAATTCATAAGCATTTAAAAATCCCTAATCATCAATAATTATTATTATGGGATATTCATCAGTACTACTAAATGATTCTTAACTTTTTTTAATTGTATGATATTAATCTTTATTCACTAAGGCTAAACCTCTTATTCCTTAAGTGTTAAGCATCTCCACTTTGTTTTCTTTATTATTATCATAATTTAAGTATTCCAAATTCCAGAATGTTAATGTACTCAAATTAGTTCCATAGAGAATACACAGATCACCCATAAGTTACATTCCAAAATCACCATTAATGATTGTATCATTTATTAGATCAATTTTTAAATTGTCAATTTATTAATTGAAATCTTTTGATGCCAAGTTATACCATATGATTTCAGCACAATAAGATATTTTGTCTTAGCATTTGGATTGATACCCACAAATGCATAACAAGTTATTAATAATATAGATTGAGTTAATAAATAAATTGATATTTACATTTAGGTTAAATTCCTTAAGTGAGCTTTTTAAGGTTTTTGAGTTCTTTGTAATGTAATAGTAATGATTGTCTGCATAAAATCCTGCTTAAATTTATGTATCCCTGAGGATTACAGAGTTTTAATATGATATCAAATCAATAAGGACAAGCTAATCTTCTAAACATAGAAATAACTTGTTGATCTCAAAATTTAATGATAAAATATTCGCATAAGCAAATGCTTTTTATAATATAAACTAAAATTGAATTTGTGATATACATTTTACTAATTAGTTTAGAAAATTAAAATAGTCTTTTCCGTCCTTACTATTAATTAATTCCTTATATTGTGTAAGGAGACAATATTTCCATGATGCAGTGTTAATTGTTGATAAGGAAAATAATGCGAAAGGTTTTCTGGAGAGAATTAATCGAAAATACAATCATAGAATAAAATGGAATCTTTTTACGCAACTAATAATTAATCATTAAAAATAGCTAATTAAGAACTGGAGTATTGATAATTAGTTGAATGTGTGTTATTATTTGTATAAATTGCTTCTGAGTTTTGATTATGACTATTAATTTGATTTTCAATCTAATAATCGATTATGATTTGGGGTCTATATCATAAATTATGAATTTACTTGGCTTCTTCATGATTGGATTTCTTAAACCGCCTATCAATGTGATTCTGATTAAGACTTTGATGACAATGAAAGCATGCAAATTTATTAATTTTCATAATAAAAATTTATATATTTTTGATTTTTACTTCATTATTTAAAAAGCATTTTATAATTTTCAATTAAATTAGATGCAGATGTCATTATTTAAGTATTTTTATTGTCTTGCAATTTTTCAATAATAATAATACAATCTTATATTTTTAGATAGTAGCTATTATCGAAATCAAGTATTTTTTGTATAATTGTGAGTGCAGCTGACAACTTGGTAGAATCAATCATATCAGTCATCAATATATTTTTACAAAGGTTGAGTAGAATAGACAATTGTTGAGGATCAAAATTTTCTATGTTGCATACCTCCAAACCCAATAGTGTAAATTCTTAGCATTTTAAATTGTAGAAATAGTAATGTTGTGTTGAATTAAACTCCTAAGCAAATATTGAGCATTTAGGATGTTAGTGCATGACCTACATGAGTTTCAATATTTCTATTTTGGCTAAGTTCACTTCATATAACTATCCATTTCTAAACAGAATACGAAGATCATCATAGAATATATCATACAACACACTTTGATCAGTTACCTTTCTAAATATTTTGGTGATTGTTCGAATTCCTGCCACAATTCCAAGTTGTTCCTTGTCGCATAGCTTTTGTCTTAGGAAACTGGTCAAATTAGGTAGAGACATCAATGATTAGATGAATTGATCGCTCATGTCTTTGACTTAATCCAATACTTGACTGATAAAGCCATACACAAACCAAATCAAGTTCTCCTTATACTCACTGTTGTCTTAGGAAGGAATTATGAGGACGTAATTCATAATTTAGGAAAAGAGATCAATATCAATAGATTCCAGCTTACTTCTAAACCAATCGTTCATAATTCTAGCGACACTCTTTTTGATGTTCGCATCATCATACTTCTAGAGTATTTGCAAAATCAATTAATCTAATTAATTTTCTATATAGATGGTTCTTATCTTTGATTCATGAGTAATAGAATTAGCTAAACCCAACAATGAGTGACTAAGAAAAATCAGGTTTCCATGATAAAAGGAAATCTTAACCAAATCTATTAGCAACTACAAAATTCCCTATTTCAATAGCTCAGAACAGAGTTCATAATTACTATACATCATTTGAGCCAACAACAATAAAGTATCAGATCTGTATTCAAGAGAGATGTTTTCGTTATAAACTGTTTCCTTTAGTAGATAAACAACGTCATCTGCTTCCACCACCTTTTTGATTGCATAATGCGAATTATCATCTAAAATTATTTTATGAAGTACCATCATCTGTAAAGTGAATAGCAGGTTTTAATAATTCAAACCTCAATTCATCAGCCAAAGTAATGTCCTAAAACTATTTGATTAGATTATCGAATTATCTAAAATCGTAAGTGACCGCCTCCTATGTCTGTTGATTTCTTTGTCTTTGCCTATCTCTCAGAGAGTTGATTCTTGATTCCCTAAAAGTTATCTATAAAATCAAACCTATCCTGATTTCTGATCTCTGTAGAGTATTGTTGAACAGCATACTAAGATTGTGTTAGTTGATAATTCATTTTTATTAATAATGTTCAGAAAAATATACACCAATATATCCATCACACTCATAAAGCAATTGAGAGAAGCATCAGGTAAATTTCAAAAATAAGCAGGCTCCCCCATCAACGATTGTAAGAAGGCCTTAGAATCCACAGACGGCAATTTTGAGAAGGCCATTTAATATCTGAAAGAGAGAGGATTGGCTCAAGCAGAGAAGAAAATGGGTAATCAAACTAAACAGGGAGTTATAGTGGCATACACTAATAACAAAGTAGCCGCCCTTGCTGAAGTATCAGTGCATTTCCTATTAGTCTAGATAAATTGCGAAACAGACTTTGTAGCCAGAACTAGTGAATTTTTAGAATTTTCGACAAATTTTATTAAAACAATTGTTAATCAAGAATAAGATTTCAGTAGTTCTAATATTGACTCTGTTCTGAGTTAAAGCTAGAACTAAGCCTACTTTGAGACTAGCATAGATGATAAGCGTAAATAATTAGTAGGGAAATTGTAAGAGAACATAGTCATTGGTAATTTGAATGCATTTGTGGCAACTAAAAATAGTATATTAACTTACCAATATCCTAAGGTGTTTTTGGAGTGTATCAACATAATTGTTTAAAGAATACAATATGTGGGTTGGGAGGGAGTGTTGTTGAATTAATCACCGAATCAGAATTAACTGATGTAAAGACATAAATCCTAAGAGAAGGAGCCAATAATTTGGCAGTCACTTATTTAGGTTTGAAACCCAGATTCCTTTATTAACATGAGGTATCCTCAGACGTTGTTGATTAAATAAGAAAAGAAGTCGAAAAGGAGTTTGGATCTAAGACTGCTCAGTAGTAGAACTTCATTGTTAAGGGCAAACTTCAAAATTATTATTCCGATAATGTGTTTGAACATTAGGAGTACTTCTTGAATGAAGATGAACCAAAGACTATCAAGTAGTATATGGCAAAGGAGTTAGAAGAGGTCATTAAGGACAAAGTCAAAATCGGTAGATGTCTATACTTAACAATATGATTTATATCATATAATCAGAGGGAATATGATATTTTCTTGCTTTCTGAGGTCTTCGCCACTGTAGCTCATATATGGTGTGATTTCAACTAGTTCATTATCTTAAGTTCCTTCGAGCTGCAAGTATCTTTTGTGGACATTGGAGAGTTAGATCACAGCCTTTTTTGGGTCATCCACCAAAAGTGCATAATCTTCAGTCTAATATAAGATTGTGGAGTTGGCTATTTCTATTATGTCTTGGATATGTTTTTCAAATTAAATAGTTGGTCCCCTTCTGATGACATGATATCTTTAAGAAAACTTCATTGACTTTTCGTGATTCGATTTTAAATTGTTGAGAAAAGCAACAGATACATACATGTCATTTAAACACATCTTTGCTAAGTTTTCAGGATTCTCTGTCATACTTGAATCCTGGGTTTCCATCGTTTTAAAATAACCATTCTAATAAAATAATCTATCGTCTTAAGTTGAGTTAGTTTCGATTACTTTGCAAATCACATCTGTCTGAGTTTAATTCATGAGATTCAAGACGATAGGGTCCAAAGGGAGGCCTGCTAAGTTGTCAAATCCCAGCAAATGAATATATTGCATACTTGGAAATTTCCTAATTTTAAACTAAATCATATTACTTTTAAAATGTTGACAATTATAAGAAGATGCTTCCTGCTCCATTTGGGGCTTGAACAGGCAAATTGGATTCAAACATCACTTATCCATGTTTGTTGATGACTGGAAGTGACTTTTGCTGCATTATATGAATTTAAGGAAACCCGAATTCCTTTTTGCTTTTTATATACTGTTAAAAGGCTGTTGCATTTTAATCGGAAACCAATATCCCTATGGGGAAACCGCTGAAATCTGCAGCCTCTTGAGCTTATTGTTTATAAATTTTAGAGAGTACCCATAATGATAATCTTTTTTAACCGTTCCATCATAATTTAAAAAATGCATTTTTTGGATGGAAATCCAATATCGTTAAGGATTTTATTAGGCAATCGAGAACTGTTACCACCACATAATAACACCAAGCCAACTTTACGTTGCTAAGTCTCTTTTAGGTATATTTACCTTAATTAGATTGAGGTCCTTCTCCAGCAGGTTGTTACAAAATTTAACTGATCCTTTGAATATATCCATGTGATTCTGTTTGCAACAATGATAAAACAACTAAGGTATAGGGTTATTATAGATACTGAATCCACTGTCTCAAAATCCATCCATTCTATTTTAGCCATAAATTCCTTTTTTTCTTGAGTATTCATCACACTAAGTAGTTTCAATATGTGTTCTTGTTTGGCTGCAATGATCCTTTGAATTAATGAATTATAAGTAGTGTCAATTTTTTCGTCTACAGTTATTTCAATACTTACTCTAAGCGAAATCATTGGCCAATGTCTCTAGTTTCTAGTATGTTGAATAGCGATTAAAATCCAATTCATTTGCGATGTTTTCTGTCTAGACCTTGGAAGTGCATTCTCCCATTGATTACTTTTTATAATTAAAATAATTTATATTAGCATATTCAAACTCACTTTTATTATTTTCGTTTTTGTAGAGAATGAAAGTTTTCAATAATCCCCATTTCCATTCTAAAGGCAGCTCATCCAAACCTTCTTCCCTCCAATCTTCAAGAGTGGGTGGCAGCAAAATACTAGGCAGTCCCCAAGGACAAGAACAAGACCTCAATGAGATGTTACAATCCCTCAATCCTACATAAATAATAGCATAGGAGGAGGAATCCAAGTTTGATTTAATATAAGAAATGCAGCAGTTGAAAACTAAAGTATTAGGTTTACTTAAAAAATACCAAGTGATGCTGTAAAATGAGAATGCAAAATAAGTCAAGATTAAAATCAAGTCAGATGTTCAAGAAATTCAACTTGAATATGATGATATCATAGCCTAATACCAGATAGATCAGAGTCAACTAGAAATAGAGAACAACATCCCCACTCTGCAAAAAGAGAAGGTAAACTATTTATTATAATATAAAAGGAATTGAACACCTATTTCAATCTAGTGGAGGAATTCTTAGAGCGATTCTCTCATCACAAAGCCACCTTGAATTACTTTTCACTTTTGTAACAAGAGAAAATGAATCGAAATGGATTGGGCGTGTTTTCTGTTGACCAGGATGGCAGATAATCCATGTATGACTTTTAAGAGTCCTTGCCCGATTTAACTGATAGCAACAATTCAGAAAACACTCATGAAGCTCAATAGGCTAAGATAGCCTTATCAAACTCGCAAAAATTGAGAAGCCAAATTAGAAGACGTTTCTTTGACTTAGCATTGAAAGTGAAGGAAGGCTTGCCCCTTTATCATCCAGGCAGATAGATCTTGGTTTCTATTCTTTTTGAAGATGCAGAAGAGGAAGGGATTGATGAAAATGAATGGGAAGCATGGATTTTGAAATAATTAAATAAGTGATTTATAATGTTATAAGATGAGATCATGAAACCTTCTTTTAGGTTAAGCGATTTATTGAAGTTCGAAGACCAAACTCTCTTTCTAGACTCTCCAACGAAAAGAAAGTCATTGGCTCCTCCTAAACCTCTCCAAAAACACATATTTGACATTACCAATGGAGCTTTTCAGTTCACTATTACAGAATTCACTTAAAGCATTAAAAAGGAAAGAGTGCCTATATAAAAAAATCTAATCAAAAGAATTAGTGTGTATGTAGAGAATGAATGCTAGCAATTGCAAGTGCAATAATAATTGGAAAAGCGCATTTAATAGAAAATTCTTGAGGATCTTAATTTACTAGTTTTTGCATTATGCCATATTTCAAAACCAATTGTTGACTTTCTTGAAAATCATTTCATAGATTATGCAGAAGAGTTGTAAATAACCATTTGGGAAATTAATCTCTAACTTTTTCAACCCAAAATTGTTGAATTGATTAAAAAATATATAGCCACTAGTATGAACATACTTCCTGGTAGTTTATATTCTCAATTGCTCGAACAATCACATCAATTATTATGCAGTTTATCATTTGAAGTTAGCGATTAGATTTGCTTAATTTTAGAAGAATGCAGAGGCTATATAGAACCATTTATTTCTAAATTTCGAGAAAGAGTATTACTTATCAAATATTATAGAATATCCCATAAATTTTATTAAATAAATATACCATCTTAGCCTTATTTTAAGAATTAAGTTAGAATTGCTATTAGACTATATAAGACCTCTTGGAATTTACAATATTTCATTATGCTGAGCCTGACGTTGTTGAAAAATTCATGAAATATGCTATCGAAAATTATGATACCCTAATCTTGAAAAATAAAATGCTATCTAATTCAGCATAGCAAAATGAAATTATTAGCAGACAAACAGTTGACTAAGTATTAGACTGTCTATAATAATGTATCACAAATAAAACTAAGTCAATTGCTGTCTATAAAATTTAATGTAGGCAAAAGTTGCAAAAAAAATCAAGTGAAGATGATGAAGATCAATGTACTCAATCAACTGATATTAAATCTTTTAAGATGCAGAAGGATGCGAGATATTATTTAAATGGACTATACTTGGAGAGTGAGGATCCTTAATCTAAATTTATCATCTATGTAATGAATGAAGAATTTAAAGTGATATATGCTCCACTTATCAGTAGAAGGTGGGCATTTTAGAAGGTAAATTTATTGAATTTCTATTAAGACCTTTGTGATTGATTAGTAAGATAAGGATGGATTCTTTAAGAAAGATTCTAATAGAAAATCAGGTTGGGGAGTATACCCAGTAAAATATAAATCAATGAAGGAATTGGTCCACTCTAATTGGGTTCATGAGTAATTGGCTCTGATGATATTGAATTAAAATTAGGAGGATGTGTACTAATAAAGAAGGAAGGTTGAAGGAGAGATGGATACTATGTTTGGATCATTCTTAGCTAATGTTAGTAGAAATAAGTATACAAAATATCGATTAATAGAGAATTTTTGAAAAATTTCGGTGAAAATGCAGTGAATAATGGATGCATGCAACAATTGGTTGTTTATATGCCTTTGCTTAGAGATTTTTTGAATTTGGGAGGTTTTGGAGCTTAGGCATTATTGACCAGTCAAGAAATATACACTCCTTAGAGAACATTTACTTCGACTTTGGCCATCTCAACGTCATTGGTGTCAGGAGCAATAATTGGATAGGCTCTGATTCCAATTCCTTTGGTGGGAGGGATTGTTGGAGGGATAATTGGAGGATACTTGGGGAATAAGGGGATGACGAATTACACGAAGAGTAGAAATGAGAAGAAGGCTTAGGAGATGGTGTAGAAGTTATTACAAACTTAATTGCAAGATGGTCATTGGGAATGCAATAAGATCAACTTGGATATTATGGTTATAAATTTTAAAATATTAAATGATCACATGCCCAAGGTGTTAAGTGAGGATAGTGACAGACAAACGAAGTGGATGAATTTAGTAATATTTGCTGTTTTGAGTTTGTTCTTTAATTCCAACGAAATGCCAGGAGTGTGGCAGGAATGTTTAGATTGTCTACTAAAATATATACAACTTGAGAAAATATCAATGGCAGATACTCTAGATAATTTAAAATAGATAGTTGAAGTCATAGTAAAAAATCTTTGACTTTATATTAATTTAAATATGAAAATACCTCTTAATACTCTAGAGCAGCCTAAAGAAATCGACCGACGCGTAAATTCTTTCAGCTTAAATTTAGATCTTGGCCTCCATCTTAGCAAGTCCCAACTTCTTGGAAGAGTTGCTTTAATTAGTGAATGACAAGAGTAATGTTATCCACAAATTATCCTTGGGATCATTGACTTTACTAATGGATAAATTAGATGACTATATAGAGAATATGGCCTAGCAAGTGTAATAGAACTCTAGGCATGATTGTTCGTAGTTGTTAAACCTCATTAATAGTTTAATGGAGTATGAGTGTTATAGGTAATAATTTAAAAAAATATTAATAGAAAGTTGTTTAATTCATTAGAACATCTATTAAGCATAGTGGAGCATACGGATAACTTGTAAAATTATGAGACAATTATGAACATTCTGATCAAAATTTGTGATTAAGCGATAAATCTAAATAATCCTTAATAGAAAGAAACCTGCAATTAATAATTACGAGATAATATCCCTAGATTGATTTACCTAAATAGATTCCTCTTTGATCATAATAATACACTTTCATCAACTAAACTTGAACTGATTGATTACTATCATGAAGATCCAAATTATTTATCTATTACAGATAAACCCATTTAATTCCCATAACTACATTTTGAATATATAGAACCGACTATTTTAGATGAGCCTTATGCAGATTTATGTAAAAATGGTGTTCACAAGAAAGAATTATAGCATTAAACATCAATCAAAGTATATTTTGCTTATTAAGTATTTAATAGAACTTTAGCATTTACGATGACAATTCCACATCTGCCCTTCTTTTGGCCAAAAAAACATTAGGATAATAAGACATGCCTTTAAATCCCTTAGTAGAAGCAGTAAAATATCGTATTCTGATTTACAGAGGTTTGGCATAGAATAAAATTGATACTAATACATTGGTTTTAGGTATGCATATTCTATCCCTTGAGATGAATATGTTGCTCGATGCTTTCTGTTCAACTCACGACTGTGCTTTCTTGTTGGATTAAGTATTTGTGGAAAAAATTGAATATGAACAATATTTCAGCATCTATACCAAATTATTTTAATTGAAGACTGTGTAACCAAGACTACTGGTTACCATTTTATCAACCCTGGATGAAATACTAATCACTGAAAAATAGTAAGATAATGAAATAGCATTAAATACAGCCAAAAATTATGATGAAATCTTCTTATAATTGATTTACGATGTTTTATCGATGCAACCACATCAAATTGAAATCGAATCAAGTTACCCCTTAAAATACAATGGATAACTCTTAAATGAACAATGCGCTAGAGATGAAGAAGTTGCTTGTGGCATTTTCAAACTGTTCTCTTCTGAATCTGGAGTGTTATTATTAAGCCGTGGTAACATTGCACTTGGATCATCACAAGCTCTAGTTAAAACACTACTTATTTAAGATAACAAATTAATATTGCCCCCTGAAATCTTGAAAGCAGCCATTGGAATGTTAGGCAGGTTGTCCAGAAAAGAAGATCTACAAAGGGATCTTAAAATATTTAATGATCTAATTAAGGTAGTTGACAACCTTATTACCATCGGACCTAATCTAATCAAACCTACAGATTAAGGATATCAACAAGTTACCTTCGATGAAACTGATTCTATCATTTCATTCGCTATTTAGAGCATCAACGAACATTTCAAAGACGACCTTGGGAGGAGATACAATAGAGCAAATGCACCTACAATTGCCAGAAAGGTGTCAGAAACTCAGATCATCAAAAAACTATACAATTTTCTTTAAGACAACAAATACACGCTTATTATACAGCAAACACTCATTTTGATTTCACATCTTGCAAATGAGGTTCCTACTCTTATTGGCAGATTGATAGACTCTCAGTTACCCTAACAATTGAATTCTATCATACAGGGTCTAAATTTAACTTAAATCAACAGTAAAATGGTCAATGCTGTATTTTAATTCTACTTTAATGTTACACTCAAGGAAGAAGGATATGATCAATTTAATAATTGTGGCTTATAATTCATGCAACAGATACTTGAGAGCAGTTTAATTTAAACTAATGCTCCTAAAGAAATACTCACATCTGTAGGTTAGAACATAGCTAAGTATCTACAAAAGATTGACAAGGTTGGTCCATAAGTTATAAATATATTGAACTTTGTATTAGAGAGACTGCATAAAGAATTGATAAACAAGAAAAATAATTTGAAAGAGGACACATATTAATAATATTATGAGATTATTACAAAAGTGTCAAACTTATCCATATTAATTTTGAGGATGATTCACAATTTGCATCCATCTTAATAGGCTGAAATGAATACCAAAGGCTTTTTTGAAGATTTATTGTTGTTCTTTGAATTTCCTACTTTTGATTTTAAAATTGACTTAACCAAAGTATTTAGATTATTTGCTTAATTAGATGAATTTGATAATCCATTTAAAGCATTGTCTAAAGTACTTGTCTCAATTTAAAAACTGGAGAATAAGTTAGGTTGTACTCTGGAAAACTCAAACATTGTTATTGATGAATCATTCTATAGCTCTGAGAAATTCTTTCTTAATTGTCCTTTGGACTAATTGCAATAGAAATTGGAATTTGTTTCTTATTATTCTTAGATTGAGTCCCTGATGGAAGTCTTAAAGCATTATTTGATGAATGGTCTAATTAGATCTGAATAATAGGAGATAAGCAAATTATTGAGTAAGAGTTGTTCATTACTTTTAATATTGGTAAGATCCATTAAGCATGGGCAAGATTAGAAAATAGATCAAACATTCAAGAAGTCTGTCTTCTATCCATACATATAACTATTAAAGGTCATAATAATCAATTCATATAGAGTTATAAGAAGAATCAATAATGAGTTGCAACCCCTCAGCAATTTGTTTTGTTAATTAAGTGAAAATTTGAGGAATGAAAATATTCAAGTTATTTAATTGCACACTTATCTAATTAATGATCTATTAAATAACCTAGTAGAAGGTCGGAAGTATGCTGATTTCCAGAATTTGCATCCAGACTTTTTAAGTCTATTAATAAACTCTGATTTTCTAGAAAACCTCAAATCTGGAATAAGTTCATTTATTTAATTGGTGGGGTAGAAGAGTAATGTAGAATCTATAGATTTACTGGGTTGGCAGTATGCAAACATCATTAAATTAATCTATCTTAACAAAATAGATTAAAGCAAAAAATTGTAAGGTTACTTGTTGATTCCAAAACAAATTGAAGAAATATAAAATCTACTTACTATAACTCAATGTTTGTCGGATGATCCTATATATGCAATATAAGAATAGTTGCTCAATAAAGCAGTTTTCATCTTCCGTCCCTTCTTCTTACAAGAAATACTTTAGAAAGATAAAGACAACCTATTTTAAAAGGCTTATTAAGTCTTCAGAGAGGACAATGGAGGCGAAATTGATATACTCTAGTAAGATCCTAATGAAGTAAGAGTAAAACTTAGAGACATGGGTTTTCAAGATGATGTCATAACAATAGCACTTCAAAATAATGATATTTATGATGTGACAAGACTAACTGATTGGATCTATGAAAATTTTGATATGATTGAAGAATAGAGAGTCAAAATGGTTGAAATTCCAAAGAATGAACCTTCATTAGAAGTCGTTACCCAACAAATTCAAAATAAATAAAAGAATCTTAAACAATACATCTAGACAAATATGCTATATTTTAGTAAATTCGAAGAAAGCATCTTTTAACTATTGGAAGGATAGATTATGCCTTCATTATTAAAGTGTTTGAAGTAAGTTGTGTATGAGTAATTCAAATTGCAACTTAAATTTAAGGATTGCGAACCTGAAATCAAGCCTCCTTCAACTGATAATATGAAAGTCATCATTACAATTTTGCATTACATCTTCAAACAAAAAAACCTCGTTGAAGAATACGAAAGTATTGTGACAGAATTGATGAAGTTGGCATAGGAAATAATGAAATCATAGGATGATCTAAGTCTCAAAGCTATAAATCACATTTTGGCCATTTTAACTCTCTTTATAACTGATGACCAAAAAAAGAAAAAAAATCATCATGACACAGTAAATGACATTCTTTTGGGAGTGATCAATATCTTAAAAGGCAAAGTTCAAAACCATATAACTTCAAAAATTTGCATCGAAATCCTAGTGAGGGCATTTGAAGTAAACAAAGAAAATGTCTCTAAATTTGTCTCACAAATGAGAGGATTAGAACATTTGTTGAGAATTAAAGGAGACTCACAAAATCATATGTTCCCCTTGACTAAATTAGTGCTTTCGATTGTTCATGACAAGAGTTTAGTGATTGCCTAGGTTGAGGCTAAAATTAAAAAGTTACTCTACAATTAAGAATATAACAAAGAGATTGAAAACATCAATAAACAACAATAGTAGCCTTAATCATAGGTCTAATAACAACATTAACCTCATTATCCAATTTGCTTTTAACCAATTTATTATAACATTCCAATAACGAATGAAATTAAGATTGCCTCTAATCATCCATCATTATTGACAATTTAAAATCAAGCATTCTATACAGATGAAGTAAAAGAGGTCATGTCTCATTTATTTGAAGATGGAGAAACCATTGATGGAGTTAAATACTTGAATCTCAGAAAGGGCTGTTCATTGCACACTTTCGATTGTGTTTAGCCTACCAGTTTTTAGAAACACAAAGAACCTGAAACGGCAAAAAAGAGCAAATAAATTTAAAAAAAGAAGAAAAGTGAAGATAAACTCCAATTATAATCTAACTTTTAGCATACTCAAGATGCTTAGATTTTGATCAAATTGTTAATATAATAGATGATAAGTTCATTTTTCGAAAATGAATAATATCAATATCATTGGTACACTATAACTCAAGTATTGTAAATATTGATCAGACGTTATCCTGTCTTAATCCCAAAAATAGTGAGAGTAAATTGTAGTAAATTGTTGAAGCCTTATTAAAAATAGTTAAGCACAGACTACTAAGATCTAGAATTACCTAGAAAAATCTCATTTCTTACTCTTATTACCAGAATTATGACTCCTGCAAAGAATCTTCTATTTGAATTGTGTTTGGACAATGTCCTGTTGTATTAAATGGCTAATAATAACATTATTCCATTTTCAAACGAAACAAGGAGAAAGATTGTTAGTGAATTGTATGATGGCATAGAAAAACGAATTAAAACCTTTGATTCAATTGTGTGTTAATACTCATATACTTTGATACGTTTGCTATAGATAAAGTCTGTGGCTAAGATTTGTTATAGAAATATTAATGATACAACAAATTCATTTAACTTTATTAAATTATATATCGATGGAATGAAGAACTTTGAGTTGAAATCATATTACAGATATGAAAAGGAATTATAATTCATTTCAGAAACCTTAGCAGTTCTTTTCAATATGGCTATTTACCTTTTGTTTTATAAACCAACCTCAGTCATCGTCTCTAAATTATAACAAGAATAATATGGAGATCATTATCAATTATAGGGTATGATAGGATAATTGTTGCCAGAAGAGATCAACTCACAATTGGTACCAAATAAGAGTATTTTATATCAAGATTCAATTAAATATTTCTAAAAATGGCCACTTTTACCCATTTCATTCCTAGAAGAGATAAACTAAAATCAATAGCATGAAGAGTTGGAATTTTAATAATTCTTGCCTCCATTTAGAAGAAGAAATAGACTAGTGAATGTTGAATTGATTGCCAATATCGAGGAAGATGATGGCATGTTAGAATTGGAATATGACCATAATGATATGCAAAGTGAGCAGAGTGGAGACTCTCATAATTCTCATGAGTCAGCTCCTGAAGACCTTGAAGAAGAGGAAAATAGTTGGGCATCTAGTTAAAGTAGACACAATCAGATGGAGGCTGAAGAAGCTTAGAATTCTTCATCAAGTTGGACTGATGAAGAGGATGATGACGAAGATAATGATTAATAGGAGGAAGGAAGTGAATAGGATGAGTAAGAGGAATAGGAAGAAAATGCATCAAACAGTGTCAATGATGAGGACATCGATTAGGAGGATGAAGAAGAACATGAGGAAGATCAAGAAGAAGGAGCTATTGATGAAGAAAATGAAGTATTCTAATAAGAAGGAGAAAATAATGAAATTTCAGAGGAAAATATTGAAGTCACTAAATAATTTCATCATCTTACTAGCAGAGAAGATCAGGCATTTGCTAAAATGACTAAATCTATCATTCAATTAATCGGCATTTAATTCCCATAATAATTTGGGAAGGTCTTAGATAAATTAGTCCATTCTCTACCTAAAATGAATTCCCCTGATGATTCACAACCAATCAATTGGTGGACTGAACTTACCTAATACATCTAAAATCCATTCTAGATTGATGAGAGATCATATGGGTAAGAATTGAGAATGCAACCATTTTTTAGAGATAATAGATTGAACACTGAAATCTTTAGAATTGACTAAAATGATAGGGTTTTTAACAGAAATTAAATTGCTCGATATGATCAAATTGACAGATAAGAAAGAATTGAATAGCTCAGATAAGAAAGAATAGAATAACTTAGATAAGACAGAAACAGATCGATAATATTTAGAAATAGAAGAGAGGAATAACAACTAGGACTACAACTCTAATATTAAAACCAACCTTAAGATAATTTGATTTCCTAATTTTAATAACATTTATCACATTATACCAGAGAATAATAGTTTATTCGATTGTTCAATTGGAATTAAATCCCATCAAGCTAGTAATAACCACAATAATAACAAGGAAATATGGCTTCGTTACAAGAGGCATCTCATAATTTGTAAACCATATAAGATCAATTATAATAGTCATTCTTGAACTTATTAAATACTAATTAAAATTTGTAGTAATAGCAATAGTTATTGCAATAATAACATCAATAGTAAGAATAATAATAACAATAATAATAACAACAATAATAGTAATAACAATAACAATAATAATAATAATAATAATAATAATAGTAATAATAATAACAATAATAACTATAGTTACTATAATAATAGTAATTCTAATAATAATTAGATTAATAACTGTTTTAACAACAACTCTAAGTCGAAGAGGCATAAGTTTTTGTACCTCAATAAAACTCGGAAGTTATGTAATTAGAACCATAAGTTTCAGAGAATGAATAATAGGAAAAAAGATAATAATAACAATAATAATAATAATAATAACAATAAATGTAAACAGAAGAATAACCTTAAAAAATAGAATAAACAAATTTAAATAATTAATAATAATAACAATAAAATTTCGAATAACTTTATCCAAATACCTTCAATTTCTTATTAAGAGTAGGAAGAACTTTTGATGACTTAATAAGCAACAGCATTGATCCCTCAGTATTTGAAGATTTAACAGAGGAAATGATGGTTGATATTATTTCTACCATCCCAGAAAATAGAGAAATTAATCCCATCGAAGGAATAGATTAATAATTCTTACAATCATTACCTCCAGAAATTAGAAGAGAAATTTATTAATAATATGTATAGCCAATTTAACCTCAACCTTAATTGCAGTCTGATTTAGATCAGTTGATTGCCTTAATTAATTCAACTCCTTATGATGATAGAGAGGAAATGTATTTACAAATCAGTGCCGAATAAATTAGAAATCTACCTTAAGATTTAAGGCAGGAAGCTACCTAGATAAGAGATAGAGCTGACTAAAGAGCGATTGAGCAGACGGAGAGATAATTGTACTATCAGGTTGATCCCTAGTAACAACATTAACGAATTCCTAATATATAACCATAACAGCAAAGAAAAGAAAATTAAAAATCTTTGAATTTGAAGAACTTACTTCAAACACAGAGACATTTGGTTTAGAAATTGGGAAATGTGGATGATGAGTTTGCAGAATCTCTATTACGATTACTTTATGTTGAATCTCATAGTTTCGTGAATTTCCCTATTAACTTGTTCATAGCTCTGACAAACAATCCAAATGTGGAATATAAGTTAATTGATGCTCTCTTCTTCATCCTCAAGAATCATAGCAGTAGAGTAATTTAGAGTGAGTTTCCTCCATAAATATTAATAAGAAGAAATGGGTTAATTAGAGATTAAAGCAAGATATACGAAATAGTATCATTAAAGATTCTGTATTTAATTTCAAAATTGCAGGGTCCATCAATAAAGTATTTCTTTGAAACAAAGAAATAAGTATAATTGCAATCAATAGCCAAATTGTCAGAAGGCACTTAGGAGCTTCCATTACTATAGTTAATTCAACTTTTGCCTTTGTTTAAGGGTGATCATCAAGAGTTGTTGATATAAGCTATATCAAATATAACAACAAAATAGAGGGACTTTAAATAAGAGCAATTAAACTTGGATTCAAAATCAGTAGAATGTGTTTGCACAATATTATTGTAAAACATGAATAGAAGTGTTAAGAATTTCTCTCATATTATTTTAAATCTCAGTAATAATAAAGAAAACCAATAATTGATTATCAAATACATTAAGGAATTCATATAAAGAATTACAAGAGAAATAAATAATAATTTTGCCAAACAATGTTAATATGATGAAATCTTTACCGCAGACAAAGCTTTGATAAATGTATTTCAATTTGTCAGAGAAATGAATGACAAAATTGGTGAGAATAACGACTAACAAGATACAAGAAGTAATTTCAAGGAACTGTTGGAAGATCAAGGTTTAGTATAATTATGGAAAAACTTGATAAAATTATTACAAGACATTCCTTAATAGTAGTTAGCAAAACTCAGTACTAAGATATCTCCATATTTGGAATGCTTTTTCATTATTTATCAATTGGTCAATCCTATTAGAAAGAATAAAAATATTTAAAGAGAACCAACAAAGATTGCTAGTATGGAAGGATAATAGCAAGAGGTTCAAGAATAATAATTGCATGATGAATTATTCTAGTAGATTTGTGAGAGTGGCAAGGTGTTATTGAATATCATGATGAGAGAGAGATTATAAGAATTGAGAGAGAAAGGAAAATTAGTTAATGATTCTTTAGGAGTCATAATATTTAAGAATCCTAGAATAGTGGATTTTGATAATAAACAGAAGTATTTCAAAATGGAATTGAAATAATTGAAAATGTAAAACAATAGACATCATTATGGAAATGTAAATATAAGATGTAGGAGAAAGGATATATTTATGGATTCCTATCATCGTATAAGTAAATTAAAGCCAGAAGAATTGAAGGGTAAATTACATGTAGAATTTGATGGAGAAGAAGGTATTGATGCAGGAGGTGTCACTAGAGAATGGTTTTTGATGCTTTCAAAGGAGATTTTCAATCCAAATTACGCTCTCTTCACTCCTTCGTTAAATGGACAAATGTTTTAGCCAAGTAATAAATCTCATGTGAATCCAGACCATGTTAAATATTTTAAATTTATTGGTAGAATTGTCGGTAAGGCAATATATGATGGATAATTATTGGACACATACTTCACACGTTCCTTTTATAAACATATTTTGGGTTAGAAATTAACAATTCATGATATGGAGGACATAGATTTGAATGAATACAAAAGTATGAAGAAAATCTTGGAAGAAAATGTCACAGATTGGGGAATCTATTGGACATACAATGTTGATCATTTTGGTAAACTTGAAGAAAGAGAATTAATTGAAGGAGGAAAAACTAAATTAGTAACTGAAGATAACAAGTTGGAGTATGTTCAAACTTATTGTTATTAAAAAATGGCTAAGGAAATTAAAGATTAGATTGAGGCTTTTTTGAATGGATTTCATGAATTGATTCCGTAATCTTTAGTGAGCATTTTTGAATGGAAGGAGATGGAACTTATGTTATGTGGTCTACCTGATATTGATCGTAAGCTTATTTTATTTATTATTTTAGTTGAGGATATGAAGGAGAATATCGAGTATCATGGTTATGATAAAGGAGATAAAGTGATTTAATGGTTATGGGAGTTATTGGAGAGTTTCGACAAGAGTAAAAGAGCAGCATTCTTATAATTTGTTACAGGTATTCCATAAATTTATTATTTAATAGGCACATCTAAAGTTCCTTTAGGAGGATTCAAAGAATTAAAAGGAATGCATGGTCCTCAAAAAATATAAATACATAAAAAACCTTATGTCAATTTTGAATTACCTACTTCACACACATGGTAAATATTAATTCCATATCATTTAGCTTTAATTAATTAGACTTACCTGATTATCCAGCTAGATAGATTCTAAAGGAGAAATTGGAGCTGGCGATTATGGAAGGGAAAGAAGGTTTTGGTTTTGCTTGATATAAAATAATTTCACATTATTTAGAATAATTTAACTATTTTTTTATATTATTAACGATTATGATTGGAAGGCCTCCAAGAACAAGGAATGATAGATAGTAAAATCCATAAATTAGTGAGGACTAATTAAAAATGGAGCTTCAAATGTAAGCTGAAAATAAAAAGAGAGAATTGCGATTGTAGTAACTTTAAGAGAAAGAAGAAAATTTAAAATAATTAGAGTATGCAGGACAAGATGTTGAATCTTTTAGGAATAAGGTTTATGCAGAATATCAGGATGTCGTTCCATCGTAATCGAAAGCTGAGTAAGAAAGAGCTGCTCGCATTAAATTGAGAGAAGAGGAGAGATTGAGAAGAAAGAATGGCTTAGGGAGTGCTTATGAGTAGGAAAAAGAAAGGTTGCCTGTCTAGTTGGAATAAAAGCTTTTACAAAATTTGAATCAAATGAATAACAACTAAAATGGAGATTGGTTAGATAAATAATAATTGGTTTCAAATCAAAATTAGCGTAATGTAAATCATCATCATTAATAATAACCAGTTGTTAATAATTATCCTGATCAAGTCTATGGAGTAAGATAAATTTAATAGTCTTAACTTAATAATCAAATGAAAAATGAATCATAAAAATAACCAGACAAGTAAAATTATGAATAACGTTATTAACCACCCCAAATGAATAATAATAGTAATTATTAGAAAAACAAAATGAATGATGCAGCAGAATAAGAAAGAGAAAAAAAAAGAAAATATAAGGAATAATTAGATATTTAGATTAGTTAAAAAGGCTAATAAAACTAACAATAAATTTAGAATCAATAAGGATAGCAATAATATTATCAATAATAAAATAATTAGTATCAATAATAAAATTAATAATAGTAATAATAGTATAAACCAAATTCATAATAAAGTTAAAGATAACCTTAAGTTGAGGTAGATTTCTTCTCAAAGTTTGGGTAACCTCAGTCTTAATAAGGTTGGAGATAATAATAAAAAGAACCATAAAACTAAGATAATGTAGCAGCATAAAGAATGAAATATAGAGAAGAACTTGATAGATAAATTTAAGAAAAAAAAAATAGAGAAATGGAATAATAGTAATAACGAAACCAATAGGAGTTTGCAAAAAGGCCAGCTAGCAATCCAACAAATGTATTTGATTTCCCACAAGAATATGATTATAAAAATAATCCACCTCCTCAATCTCCTAATTATTATTAGCCTCCTTAATCCGCACCCACAGATGATTAGACTAAAGGAAGATTTCTGTAGAGGAGATTTACTAGTGGATAGCCTGAAGATCCATAAAAATAAGTTTAAAAGGAACAATATGCAGAGGAATTAAAGAGATAAATGGAAGAAAAAAAAAGAAAGAAAAAATAGGAAGAAGAGGAAAATAGAAGAAGGGATGAATTAGAATAATAACAATTTTAGTAACAATAATAACTTGAGAAAAAAAGACAAGAAGAATTAGTAAAATAGAAATAAGCTGAGCAATTTGAATTGCAAGCTTAAAATATGCAACAAAAAGAAGTAGGAAGAAGAGGGAAGCAAAATATATAAAATGAATAAATTCATTAAGATGTTATTAAGAAATCTGCCTTGTAAATTCTATCTCCAGAAAGTGATATCTAAAGAGATTCTATATCATAAGTTTAAGATCAAAAGCATTAATAACAGTAATAATATTTGCCACAGCAACAACCTCAATATTAATAATATTTATAACCACATTAACCTGTTTAATAAACACCCTATTAGCCTAATCCTTATCATCCTCCTATGTCACCATTACAAAATGTTTATAATCAATTTCATTTATAGGACAATTTATAACAATATTAATAAGTGCTTTTTAATGATTAAAACACGCACAATCCTTAGGCTATCATGGTTCATTAATAATATTTAATGCAACTTCAATAAAATAGATAGGAAATTGATCTTGTCAGATAAATATTGGAAGAAAAATTAAGATTACAACAAATAGAAATGTAGAATTAGCTATTAATTGATTAATACTAAAGGAAAGTAATGGATATTTAAAGGGAGTAAAAATTGTTTGAACAAGAAATAGTTAAATTGCAAGATTTTATTTAAGGGAAATAAAAACGTCCTTTGGATCCAACTGTTTTTGCATCAAGTGTTTTTTTTAATGCTCTAGGTAAAAAAGATAATTTAAATTAATCCCCACATTAATAACAGTTAGCAAATATACAACCTTTAAAAATATCTCCTTTTTAATCACCAACAGCTAATTCTTAAGCTCATTAATTTTATAAATAAATTAAGTAATCAGACATCTCTTCTTAATATTCTCATTAATACGAAGAAGTAAATTAGTTACATTCTGATAAGCATTAATAACCTTATTCTTAATAATAATAGCCTTTTTCGTAATACTAATAGTAATAATAAATTTATTCTTAGTAATAATAGTAATAATAATAATAATAATAATAATAATAATAATAATAATAATAATAATAATAATAATAATAATAATAATAATAATAATAATAATAATAATAGTAATAATAATATTAACTTTAAATCCATAAACCAAAAGGAATTACAGAATCTATGATTGATAATGATGTTGAATTACCTGGAGAATCAGAGTATGTAAATTATACTGAGGAATAATTAGGAAAGAGTTTTATGCCAGAATATAGGGAATTAAAATTAAAAACTCAGCAATCGTAAAATTTTAAATAGACTGAAAATGCAAAAACCTTGTAATCGTAATAATTCAAAACACTTTAATCATAGAATTTTTCAAATAACGATTTTTAATTAAATTAATAATAAAAATCATCAATTACAGATGAGAGTTGTGAATTACCAAATCATGTAGTTTAGAAATCTATACCTCCATAATTAAGTAGAGTTTAAGTAAGCGATAATAAATCAGGCAATTTTTAAGATGAAGAAATTGAGGAATCAAATGAAAGTGTAGATGAAGAAGAGTATGAGCAGAAGGATTTTGAACCTGAGGAGGAAGTAGTGAATGAACCTAATGATGATAACCCATTTGATCAACAAGATGAATAGGATGATGAAAATGAGGACTCAGATAAAGAACAATACGATATTGAGATACCAAACCCACAGAATTATGATTTGAATATGTTAAAGACTTAAGAATATTATGCCATGTTTGTCGAAAATATAAAGCCTTAATCAAGATAGTAAGAACTAAAATTTCCAACAAAATTACTTCAATAAAATACGTTAAAGTTGAACAATGATACAATATAATAATCAAGTATGTGTGATTAAAGTGAAATCGTAGAAAGTTAGGTAAAATTTGAAAATGAGAAATAAGGAGATGTTGAAGAGGTTCAAATGAGTCAGGCTTAGTTTTCTGTGTATTAGTAATCCATGGCAATACCAGAGGATGAAGAACCTTCCTAGCCTACTGCATCATAGAAAGCACTCAAAAATTCAAGCAGAAAATATTAAAAACCTAAAACGGTTGATATTTTTAAAAATGAGCAACCTAGAAATTCAAATCCATAATCTCAAAACTAAATTCCTCAATTTTAGGAGCAATCTAGATTCACTAATCAATAAATTCCAGATTAATCAAGATGTACTAATTTATAGATGCCTGATCAATCTCGTTGCACCAATCAAAATCCAATAGCTTCTCAAACTTTTCTGTATCAACCAAGAGTAGAATTAGTTAAATCCAGATTAGAAAATCTGTTTTAACACACGAACGAAATAATGGGTGATCTACCTAAAGTAAAAGTTGAAAAGATAGTGGCTGTTGATGATGATGAAATCAAATCTTATAAAATAGAAGAAAATTCACAGTGGCAATAACAATTAGATTTGTTTGCCTACGAACAAAGCCATAGTTGAAATTAATTAAAAATATATATATATTCGTTAATGCACAAAATTCACTATTCTCATCAATAATCTCCTTCTAATACTCCAGGTTAGAGTTCATCCCCTTCATAGAAGACATAATTAGTACTCAAATAAACAAATAGAACTATAACTTCATAAGCAGAGAATACAGTTTGTTACAAAAAGAAAAGCAAAACAACAATGAATGCAGAGATTGAATTGAAAAAACAACTACAAGTGCAGAGTCAACAATACAAGGAATTAGCTTTAAAATATGAATTATCAATTTAGGAAATTTAAAAGTACCAAATGATGATTGAACGCAACAATTAAAAGAGAAATCATGAGAAATAACAACTACTATCTGAAATTTCTATGTTAAAGAAACAATTAGAATAACGTAGTAAATCTCAAATAGATTTGCATGAGAATGGAAGTAAATAGAACTGTAATAATTTTATAGTTCTTGGACATTTAGTTAATGAGGTAAATCAAAAGGCCATTTTGATGGAATTATCTGAATATAAGGATAAGTGCAAACAACTCTTAAACGAATTGGATACTAAGAATCTTCAGTTAGATTAGTAAAATATATTTTTAAATTTAAGTGTAACAAAGAAACTAATAAATACTCCCTCTTGTTAAGAATTGATTAATTAAGTGCAGGAACTAACAAAAAAGTTGAATGAGTAAGAAAGCAAACTACTTTAATATGAGATGCAATTAGAGAAGCAGCAGTATTGATATTGTTATAAATTAGAGCAAATAATAATAAATCTAAGTTTTTATTTAGGGGAGCAGAATACTTCAATAAAAAGATTTTAGATACTGATATTTTTAGTTCTTCAAGCAATATACAATCGACAGTAAATATCAATTTAATTTAGATGTCAAATCAGAATGAAAACTCCTCTTAGGGATTGTCAAGTTATATAAAGTTATGAAAATAATCTGAATTCGTTTTATATTATTATTATTATTATCATGAGAATATTAATACTGTTGTTATTGGTGTTAGTGAATGTAAATAATCTGTATTAAGTCAGAGCATTCTTTGAGTATTTCCTTAGAACAAAATGATCTGGATGAAACTGTGCTTTTGTAAAAGGAAGAAACTCTAACACTTTTGGACATTGCAAACGAACTTGAGTAATACCATTTGTTTTAAGTATTGGGTATTATGATAAAGTTATAATAAAATAGGAATTGAGGCTTAAGATAGATAAATGAAAAGGTTGGCAGTAGCTTCAATAATATCAATTTTAACAATTGCTGCATGCTGCGGATGTTCATAGATAATATAAGCATATTCAAAATCATGCAAGTAGAAACTTCCACCTCCAAAAAATTAATATAGAAGGCTAGAACAAAATGCAGACTCTTTATGAGAATTATTGCATTAATAATTTATTTTATTATAGTGCTCTTCATTTTTAAGCCCAATTGGTTTGCTTCATATTTCAAAGCCTCAAGTTTATGGTTCATATCCCTAGAGAGTCAACTTTTTTTTATTATAATTTATATAATATATATATCATCCAGCTTAAGGATATTAATTTTTAACACCCTTTTTTTAGTAAACTCCTGTAAATTCTTATTTTCCAGGAGGAAGTGCCTTCATTGGCTAATGAGATTGTGGAACTTTGCTTTTAATTCCTGGTTATTAATTTGATTATTGCAATGCCTATCTGGTTGGATTGTTATTATAACTAGTAGAGTTTTTACCTAACATGTTTGAGGTAATTTCATCTAGAAATTATTTATTTAATTACGTTTTTGAAATGGACGATTATTAAAATCTGTGTGTTTTTATTGTTCCTGTAATGCTTTTAGACCTCCAGACAATTAATTAATTCCCATATTCTTTCCCACTCCCATCCATTAATTTTCAAATTAATCCACTTGATCCTCCTCAACATTCATATAATGGTTAGTCGTAGTTATTTAGCCAGTTCTATCTCTTTCTCTGATATGTTTTTTTCCTTTATCGTTCATCATTCTTTCATGCGCAAATCTATCTATTCCATCACTATTTTTGTAACCTTGTTGTCTTTCACTTATCTATAGAAATATAAGTATTATGTGATACTGTATGCCCATTGGCTCCTCTTGCAACAGCATTATTATCGAAGTATTTTTCTTGAATGATTTTTCCATCAGGACCTAATTTTGATGATTGAACATAGCTGGATGAATAAACTTAAAATACACCATCCTTTGCATGATTATTAACATCCATTTAATTTAAGTTTTTCATATGTTTATGGAGATTCGAGAATTCCATCATCTCATTTTCTAAATCTCCAAAGCCTCTAAAAATTGATCCAAAACCTAGACTAGCCAATTGGTTATCCATTTGTTGCATCATCCTATTAGACATCGAATCAAAATCCTAAAACATATTGAATTGTGCCATCTACTGGTTGTTCTAACGTGACTATAACTTAATTTGTAAACTTTACATATGGTTAAACTTGATTTGATCTTGATGGCTAACTATTTCCTCGATATTGTTGTAACATTGTTCGTTAAATAATTTTATTATAAAAGATTTCAAGAAATACTTAATTAATGAAACCATAACAAGACACGTCTACCGATCCCTTTGCATTTGCCTTCAATCCTCAAAATATTGAAAATACAGTCAATAAGGCCAAGAATACATTAGACAATCCCTTTATTGGGATGGCTTACGCTGGCCTTGGAAAGTAAATGAAAATAATATTTAAGAAAATTTTCTGGCATTGGAGATAAATACGATTCATTTCTGAATTCAGTATTCAGCAGTCAATATAGATTTTATTTTGACGTGGACAACATGTATGTAGTGAAGAAATCCATCATGACACTCGCCCCTTATCTTTATAGAGGAAATTGGACATTAAGTAGCAATCTCCTAATATAATTACAGACAGTGAGTTTTAGGCTATTTCACCAACAGAGAATGTTCATGCTCCTGATCTCTATTTACCATTGATGAGTTTAGTGACATTTGTTCTCCTGAGGTGTTTGAGCCTTGGAATTAATGACAAGACCTAATTCAGTCCAGGCTATATTGTAGATTCCTTCTGGAAATGCTTTGTTATATCCCTCTTGGAAGTAATAATAATAAAAATCGTTTTTTGCTTTTTGGATGGAATTAGGGTCAACACTGTTGACCTTGTTTCACATTTAAATTACAGATATTGCAGGTATTCCTCATTGTAATTTAAGTTTATGTGCCTTAATGGTATTCAACATTCTGACAAATGGCATTTTTTCATTCGTTGGCACAATATATGTACTCATTTGTTAGGCCATCTTTATTTACAAAACATTACAAAGATATAGTCCATCTCACAATTAGAGTGCCCTTGGTATAAAATTAAATAATAATTTAGAATTGAGTAGTTTTGGTTCCAATATTACATTAGTATTAGCATTTTTACAGCCAGCATGCTCTTGGGTTATATTGTCTTTTGGTTAATGAAATATATTATTATTTATGTCATAAAAATTTGGTCCACTTTAATTAAAAAAGAAAATTCAAAAGTCTAATCCCACTGAAAAAAAGCCCTAAATTCAGCAAGAAGTATCAGATAGTAAGCAATTAATTACATATTCAAAAGAGTAAGAACAAGAAAACGACAAATTTAAAAAATAATAATTCAATCCAGTTGAAATGGCTCAGCAAGGAGGAACAGGAAAGACATAAGCAGAAATTCAATATGATTTAGTTAGACTGAAGAGATTGGGCGATAAAATTGAAAAAGTAAACTTACTTTTAAATATATTTCTAGAAAATGGAATTGACATACAGATAAAAAATAGAAACTTTTAATAAAAAAATTTAAAAGATGCCAGAGCATTACGATATACCAAAGGTAGGCCCAGGTTGAGATTTATAAACTTTGTTCTATTTTAATATTTATAACTTAATCGGAAATTCTAAACATAAATTTCGAATTTATTATATTTAAAAAAGCTTCTCCATATTCTTTAAATATTATCATATATTATATGATAATTATGTATTGATATAATATAGGTTTATTTAGTCTTTTTATCTACTTTGAACACTTAAATGAAATACGCATAAAAATTTCCTCCTTATAAATTATTATGAAATTTATTACAAAAAGTGTAGGTTAGTAAAAAATAGAAATATATAGAATCTGCTGAATTTGATAAGTTCAGTTTTATTTTGAAAAACTATTTCGAAAACTAGAAATCAATTTTTTTATTATATAATATATTATGAATCCATCAAAATTGAGTCATTCAGAATTGGGGAATTTTGATAAATATATAGAAGATCTATATAATGGCTAATTATTAAGTGAAAATGATATAAAGCTAGTGTGTTAAAAAGTGTTAATATTTGCATTATTAATCAGGCCAAAGAAATACTCGTTGATGAACCAAATATTGTAGCAGTAAGAGCACCTTTAACAATATGCGGCGATATACATGGTTAATTTCACGATCTAATTGAATTGTTTCGTATCGGAGGCAGATTACCAGTATTTTTAAGAAAATTTATTAAGGAAACAAATTATCTCTTTCTTGGCGACTACGTAGACCGTGGTTCTTAAAGCGTCGAAACCTTTAGTCTGATACTTTGTCTAAAAATACGTTACAAAGACAGGTTGACTGTTTTGAGAGGTTATTAGTTAAATTAATATAGGCAATCATGAAAATAGAGAAATTAATAAGATTTATGGGTTTTATGATGAATGCTAAAGGAAGTATGGAAATGAAATAGTATGGAAGCACTTTACAGATGTTTTTGGATATTTGCCATTGGTGGCTATAGTTGAGAACAGCGTAAATTCTCGTTTCTATAATTAGATATTCTGCACACATGGAGGCCTATCACCAGCAATAGAGACAGTTGATTAGATCAAACAATTAAATAGAATTTAAGACATCCCTCATGATGGTGCAATTTGCGATTTATTATGGAGTGACCCTGAAGAAACTAAGGCGGGATGGGGTGTTTCTCCTAGAGGGGCAGGATGGACATGGGGTTAAGATATAACAGATAAATTTTTGCATCAAAATAAATTGAAATTGATTGCCAGAGCACATTAATTAGTAATGGAAGGATTTTAGCATGTTCATCAACGAAAAACAGTTACAATATTCTCAGCTCCAAATTATTGCTATAGATGTGGCAATCAAGCATGCATTGTAGAGGTTGATGATCAGCTAAAAATGAGTTTGTAAATTAATTGCCTATAAAAAAGCTCATAATATGAACCTGCTCCAAGAGATAATGAACCTTAGACCACCAGAAGAGTACCAGAGTACTTTTTATGATTTAACAATTAAATATATTTTATTCAATTATTCACTGATGGTAGCATGTCATAAGTGAATCCTCCAATCCCTAACACTATTAATATAAACATTCCAGAATAAAACACACCTGGTATTAAAAGCATAATTGCTAAAATGAAAATCGGATAGGTCTCACCCAAACCTTTCTCCTGATATTATATAATGCCTTATTCTGTAAATAATATTCCTGCACTCAAAAGAAAAAAAGATAAAACTATAGTTTTATAAGGTCTATTATATCTAATGCGAAGTGGAGGAGGAGATTCAGATCTTACTACTCTTTTCTTGTTTAAAGGACGTGTTTCGCTATAATCCTTCATTTTTATTTTATATAAACAACTTTATAATAATTTATTTTTCATCTAATTGTACGTTGAAAAATGATATAATCTAATTTCTAATTTAGATTAACCTTAATTTTGATGTGATTATTGAATTTATCTTATAATGAAATATCTTATGGAAGCAGAATCCATTCTCTGAAAATAATAACTAGATTGATATCAGAAGATAAAACTGCAAAACATCAAAATAGACTAATTCTATTATTTTTATCTTTTTTAAAAATAGACTTTTAATGACTCAAAGCTTATAAAATTTAAATTCATATTCTGTTGTCTGATCACGAATTTTAAATACTGGTTAGACCTCTTTTTCTAAACAACATTGATTGTATTCAATCGTAATTGAAAAATTAAACGTAAAGTCTTGTTTCAAAGAGGATCTGATGATGATCTCTAAGATATAACTGAGCAACAACCCTCTCATGATTATATCAATAATCGTTTTACTGTATAGCTTTTATCTATTAGTTGACCAATTAATGGTTATAGTTTTTTCGATCATCTTAATGTTTCCACAAAATGTTTCGATTGACGATATACTTCTATTCAATTCCTTATTGATTTAAGCTTCAATCTCTTGATTTTATCCTATCAAACTATAGCATGTCATTTTGAGCATTTCTATAAATTAAGGAGATGATGTAGTTAACAATATCAATTCTGAATATGCTTATTCATCATTCATATTTCTTGCGAAGCCTTGTTGATAGAATAAGATCTAGTTTCTCAGGTTTTGTTTCTTGTCTTCAGTGAACATCTTCTATCCAGGAATCACTACATCAAAGAGCATTTATTTTACGAAACAACAAACCAATTACTTGTAATTAGTTACCTAGGGAGCTGTGGCCTTATTGATTGATAAATTATCAATTGAAACTCTGCTTTCACTTTCGTTTTTCATTAATGTTAATAAAGAACATGTTTCGAATATTAATGTTGACAATTTAATAATTCCCTTTAATATTTTGAATTTGAAATGAACTAACAATAATATAATGAAATGTTTACGGCATTCTAAACCAATAAGATTTTAGTTGAACAATTCGATACATACCTCAAGTAAAAAGTATTGTTATTGATTTTTATGAAGTGTGGCCATTTTTATGATGAGCATTTGTTTCAATAATTGATTGAGGTATCTTTAAACAACGGAGTAATAGATTTAGAGAGTTTTATTAATTAATACAATGAGACAGTAGATACTTTACAATATCGTTCAGAAATATTAAACAATAAGATCAAGGAATTAAGAGTGTTGCATCAATAATTGAGTGATTAGTTAAATTCAGATGCTCTTTAACAGAACTCTTTAACCCTTTAAATTATGGATTGTCAAAACATTGAAATTAGAGATCCTAGTGTCTATTTTTAAATTTGTTGTGGAGCTAAAACACATAAAACTAGAACGATGAAAGGAATCAGTCCATAATTTTAAGAGTAATTTGAATTTCCCATAGACTCTTCTTGCTAGGATGTCATCATAACTCTTTTTGACAGTGTAAGATATTGAATTGACTTTAGATGAGTGATAATATGATTGGGTATACTCAATTTTTGATTTCTGAACTTAGAGAATAAAAACTAAAAGACATTAGTGTGAATTTGTAAAGACAGGACAACATGAAAATCAAAACTAAATTGCATGTGATCTTGAAATTTAATCATTCAAAAGTAAGTTCCCTCTAATTTAGGAAAGCCTTTACAAATAAGAGTAATAAAAATTAAACCATGAGATAAATTAGAATAACATGGAGATTAAAGAAACCTAATAGGCCTTAAATTGTTTAGCAAAGGTTTTTAGCGGTGGATGCATCAAAATCAGATAGTTACCTCCTATTCTGGAGATTAAAGAATTTGAATTAAAATGTTTAGATGCTTTAAATTAAGCATCATAAGATAGAATACAAGATTGGGTGCCTTTATTTTATAAATTAACTGGATTAGTGGTTGCATTATCCGTTTTGATAAGTTTGTATAGATGCCAATTTATGGAAGTATGAATATTTTATCAATTTTTTAGTTAACTTTGTTAGCCTTTATGATGTAACTATTAATTCTGAGAGATATTAACTAAAAATGGATGAGAGTATTCACATATCTATTTGCTGTCTTGTTTCTTTATGATCTACTGTGGATATACATATGTGGAGGAGTATTTATTTTAATAATTTTAGAGTTATGGTATAACCAAAGGAGAACAACACATTAACAAATTCGTCACAGCACTTAGTTATGTTGAACTCTTAGCTAAAATTCCATTTACTATAGTTTTGTGGAAACATTCAGTAGAGTTTGAATAATTTTTATCATATTTTATATGATCATAAATTCTTCTTAAAAAATTCCTTAAACTCCTATAATGACATTTAATCATGTAGCACTCCACAAAACTTTAAAACATCTAAACGTAGCATCATTATTACTTTGAATTTCTTCCTCATTTGTATTATCTTTAAATTTCTAAAATACTTTCCTTATTTTCTTCGAATCAATATGGCCAGATTTGTCATAATCAAAAATCGCAAATGCACTCTCTAATAGTTCATCATGTTGATCCTTATTTGACATACATTCATTAAAAAGTTCAGAAAAATCTGAAAATTGCATAGTGGTCTTATTATTTGGGAAATATCTAAGTGTGAATAATATTATACTTGAGTTCGGTTACAGATACATAAGTTGGGGATTTGGGAGAACTATCTTTTTAACCATCCTCTAAGTTGTCATTTGAATTTCCTTTTTTGGCCAATCTTCTTCCTGGTTAAAATGGCACATTGATTGTTTAGGAATCCATATTAATGGTTTCTAAATCTTTTATCAATTAATTTATTTGGGCTATATTTATATCTTCCCCTCCATCTTAAGAAAACAACTAAAAAATCTATCTTAGTTCCTATTAGTTTGTTTATTATTATTATTACATTCTAGTTAAAATTAATATTGTATAATCAAAATAAATATATAATGATATTAGATTTTACATTTAGTATTACTGAAATCGCTGTTACTATATTCTATATTGAAAAAATATTAAAAAGTAAAATTAGATATTTAAAAATAAGATTGTTCTGAAATGTATTGAGAAGCGATTAAGTTTGTCTAAGATTAACTTTATTATAATAGCTATCTATAAACATAAACTTATTATATCATCAAGGTTTCGTAGTCTAAAAATATTAAAAATTTTTATACTTTTTTATATGTAGATTATTTCCTTAATTATCCTATTTCCTGATTTTGTCGAGTTAGTCCTGCTTTGGAGAAACCATTATTTGCAGAATTAGTTGGAGTGCTTACATCAATTTATTAGACTTGCTATTATTATTATTGTTATTATTATTTTTCATTCTCTTAAATATTTGAAGGTTACTATTACTATTATTATAATTATTAGTGTTGTGTTGATAATGTTTCCTACAAAGCAATAATTTGATCAGCATGTTCATTAATATTTTTTTAAATGGCTTGAGTAAAATCAGTCATTTTTTCATTTAAATTAATAATTTCTTTAGTTTACTCTTATTTTACAAGACTAATTTAGGTTTGAAAGTGTTAGGATAAATCGTCAAGCTATTCTAGTTTGGATGAAGTTTAGGAATATATTTATATTTATTCTGTAATTTTGCCTTCAAAAAACCTTTTAAGTTATTCGAATTAAGTTTGAAGCTAATATTGTTTAATTACTGTACATCTGAGAATTATATTTAAATATTCTTTTGCTCTTATACTAGATTTTAAATTGAGAGATTGCAATTTTATTCTAGCTCCTTTAAATTATTAAACAACTAGTTGGTTTGATTTTCTTTTTCACCAACCAAATTATTTGTGTTTTCCTTATTTCCAATTAACTTGGCATTAAACTGAAATTATATAATTAATTTACTTATTCCTCAATTTCTAATTGTGAGTCATCAGAACTAACTTTTCCAAAATTATTAAATTAGCACTATGACTCATCATCTTGTCCTTGTTCTATTGTATCTAAACTAAACAATTCATATAATTACTTAGAGCCTGATAATGGGGAGATGTGATTTTAGTGGTTTATTGTTATTTCAACTTCCTAAATAATTTATCATAATCTATGAGTACATAATAACTACTGCCTAATAAACAATCCATATAAAGTTGACGATTTGAAATATTAACAAGAATGATTCAAAATTTGTTATTTGATCCATTATTTCTGTAATATAATTATAATAGTAGCATTTAATATTTCATTATTTAATCAAATCCTCAATTCTATTATTTAAAACCAAGCACTTTTCTTGTATCTTGGATTCTTCTTATTTGAACATTTTATGATACAAAAAAATAATGACAAGTTTATTACTTTTAATTGGAAAAGAAAGAAAATTTATCTTTAATTTAAGTAGAACATTATAACAATTTGTATTGATAAAACTATTTTATAGAATCGAAAAGAAAGTGATTTGATAAAAACGACATTTATTATAAAATTTATAGAAATGATATGTATTGAATTTGAGATCATAATAAATTTAATTTGCTGCTGAAAGCATCTCACTTTTGGATATGAAGGTCATTGAGGAAATCAAATATTAAGTTGAATTGGAAATGAAGAAAAAATTTGGAAAGTGTATCGAAAAACGATATGCAAAAATAACTGATGACCTAAAAGAAGAATGTATATAAAATGTAATATAGAAAGGCAAAACAATACGAGAAGTACATTATTTGTAATCTTAATAGGTATCCTAATAATTATCAATTAATTATTCATCCGCCAAATCTATCTTAGCAAATTATAGAAAATCTTAAAATGGAATAAAAGTAAAATATCACTTGGAACCAAGATAAGTGAAAGTCAACGATGAATACGATTGGAAAAAATTTAAAATTTAAACATATTGTGAAGACAGATAAGTTAATGAATATACTATGGATACATTTGCTTAGATAGTGAAACAACCCTCCATAAATAATGCTATCAACTGATATTTATTTAATATTATTTGAGATTAAAACTTTACTAATAAACATTATTTTCATAAATGTCTTTTCAATCTTATTATGATATTCTCAATTATGATAAGAGTATCGTTAGAAATATCTTGTTTAAGATGAATATATAGTTATTATTTAAAAATTATGCTCTAAAAAGATTTAATCATTATAGATATAATGATATATAAACAAATATCACTTATTTTTTTATTACTTTTGTTTGAGCCATTCATCGTATTATTCCTTAGCATCCTTTATGTTTTTTGTCATTTACTCCTATTCTTATTGATTCAATTAAGAGAATAAGGCAGCATACAATTACTGATTAGTTTATTGCAAAGTCAAGACTAATTTTTCCATTAATAAAATGGCATCGTAATCTTCCAATGGACTATCATAAAGTTCAGCATATTCATCATCACCTTCATCATAATCCTCATCATCTTCATCGTCGTCCTATTCTAGATCTTAGATTTTTTCAATAGTTTTTTTGAGATCTTCTTCTTCTTCAGCTTGATCTTCTTAATCACAAGATTCCTCTTCTTCTCTTAATTCCAATATTTTAGTAGATAGTCTCACAAATAGCTTTCCAATCTCTGATGATGTCTATAATAAATAGTTAGGTATTTATGGTAGGGAATATAATTAACAAAGAGCAAAGATCAATCTATTGATATCCTATTCATATTTATAGAATTTTTCCATTGAGAGCATAGTTTATAAGATTTGATCTGTCAATCCTTTACTATTTAAATAATTAACTGCAAGATTAGGATTATACCAGATACACATGCATAAGACTCCGATATTGACAATTTTGAATCTATTTGTTTTCTTGTCTTTCTAGTAAATAATATAAATGCATAATTACTTATAAATTAAGTAGAGTAAAGTCTATGATTTATGGAATCAGATTATCTACTTGACCAGGATAATTTTCGATTAATGCTATTAGTATAGTGGTAACTTGGTTTTAGTCTGTTTCATCACTTCCATTGTCAGCTACAGCATAGATTTTTTAGATGAATCTAAAGACCAAAGAAATGAATGAATTGCCAAAGTAATCGTTTTAAGTCAAAAATGTAGCTCCTCCTTTTTAAATGTAGTTTCTGAAGGATCCTAATATTTAGGAAACGAATTCACTTCCCCAATCTTTTTTGCATCCCTCTAGCAATACATATTAATCCTCTGATAAACCTTAGATACTATAAACATTGGTTTCCTAAGGGATTCCCAATATAATGTAACATAAGACGGGGTAATAGAACCATAAGCCTGGAGTCAATTGTTATCTTTTATAAAGCATTATATTCAAAATCTCTAATGCCTCATTAATGAAGTCACATCCAGTTTCTGTTAAGGCAAAGTTAATAATTGGAAAGATTACTGATTCCAATTATGTATAGGACTCTTATTGGAGTGGAGCATTCAAGATCCTTTTGATAGCCTCTAAACATCCAGATGCTGCCAACTCAGCTTCACCGTCATCATCAGAATCACCATCTCCTTAATTCTATTTTTTGCAATACTTTTAGAAAATAGTAGCAATATGAGCAGATAATTAATGAGCATAAGGTGTGATTTCATTTGTAAAATTCTTAACTATTTCTTCTAATGATCTTACAATCTTTTCATTATCAATCAATTCCATCAATTTAATGTATATTTCCAACACTTAACTCAATTATGGTCTTATCAAATCTTAAGCTTCCTTGTGTTAAAGAATTGAACTAAATGCTATAGCTGCAGCCACTCTGACTGGTAATTCTTTATCTAATATACATTTCGATATTCCTTAAACTGCCAATTATATATTTTATTTATTTTTGAATTCAATAGAGCCATACTCATTAAATACATGGCAGGCTCTAGCTCTCAAAAATCCAACTGGATTTTAGAACTCTTGAAGAATGAATTTCTCTAAGATTTATTCTAAACCACCTTAAATGGAACTTATTTTTGAAATTTAGTGAACCAAACTTTCAATACCCCATAATAATGCTTCTTTCTTCAGGAGATCTAAAGGTTGATTTGTTAATGGATCAATATTAGTGCTAAAGGCAGTTTAACAATAATTAAGAAATGAAATCAACATCAAATTTCCATTTATATCTTTTTATAAACAAACTTCCTAAAGAATGTCATTGGCAGGATTCTTGATATTGTAAGTTGAAAGCGAGAAATCATCTAGTCTTTTGATGTATTCTTCAGGGTCACTTTTCCATAATTAATCATCTCTTGGAGTTAATTGCATTTTTGGAATAGCAACATGATATATAAGTTTATCATAATGAGGTTTGAGCAATTCTTTAGTATTGTCTAATTTTAAGGAATAGAATAAATATTTGAGTGCAAATAGGCATGTTCTAGGTCCTTAGAATTAGGTGTTGTCTGTTAAGATCTTATAAAATATTTCCATAAATCCGATTGCATAAGTTGATTTGATATGCTCTGCAAACTCAGCCATATTTGATTCAACCATTTTTTTATTTGCAAATTTCTAAATGAATCTCAATATAATTCTGCTAGCCCATTTCTTATTTGTCCATATATAGGTTTTTTCTCTTCTCGTTTCTTCCTCAGCATCTTAAGTTAATGTTGATAACTCTGGAGGTGGAGGGGCTTATATGATTGTCTTAAAATAAAGCATCCATCTGGCTACAACATTGTAATCTCTCATATATATTGGCATCACCAAATGAGTAGCATGATGGAATATCTTCAGAATCACTTTTACGAGTTATCCACTTTGTTCGTTGTAGCCCTCTAAAAATTTTTGGATTAGAGTTTCTAAAATTGGGAAGGTTGAAGCAACTATTGGTTCCAATGGTTAACGATCATTTTCCAATAAAAATTAATGGACTTCACATGTACGTCTTAATGTAAGCAGCGCACTCCATAGGTCTTCGTATGAAGTAAAGTTTTATAATTTAATTACTAATTATTGCACTAATTATGGCCAATCATTAGGAAAATCTATAGCTACTAATTTGTAAATCAAATCTTCATACTATGATCTTAATTTCTTGATTTGGATACACCTACATTAAATTATTAAACAACCTTGCCAAAGCATCAATAATAGTTGCTTTAATCATGGTTTTTTCTTCTACACTTATAATATAATGGCCTGGTTCTTTCTTATCAGCCCAATGCTTTTCTAAAAATGTTTTCAGGTTAACAACAGCACTTTGTCTTAATAATTCTGGTTATGTTTAATCATCCACTATCCTTAATAATGAAATAGCATATCTAAAAATTTGGAGGATTTTAATTACAATGGTTATAAAGATGCTTATTTCAATAGAGCTTCTCCATTGTTGACACTCTCTTACGAGGTACCATAAGTTAATTATAAAGCATTTATAAGATATCCTAAATCCTAAGTTTGCATTCACGAACTAATTTTTTAATTTATTTTAAAATTTTCCAACTTAATTCGCGCTAAAAATAACTAGAATATTTTTTATCCAGATAATATTTTTACTTTTCATAAATTATCTAATCAAGCAAAATTTGAATTTAAAGGCATATAATCTTTATCAGATAAAATCTGAAATTAAACTCAGAATCAGCAACTTAAGAAATACTATTATTTTACTTAATTTTATGATAAATAATGCACTAAAGAATGCTTTCCTAACACAAATTTGAGATTTCTCATTAGCATACATACTTCCATATGAGTATGGATCCGGTATAGCTTTGTTTAAGAAATAGGCATTTTTAGTTATTGATAATTCCTAACAAAACCACACATATTTAAGATCATAGATAAAACTATCTATCTTTTAGTTTATAATTAATACATAAAAAGTCCTAAATTGCTAGCATGTACGAAATAATCAGAAGGAGAATTAAAGAAATTTTTAATTAAGTATTTTTTAATATTTTATTTATAATTATGATGAAAAACAAAATAAGACTCACGGCTCTCGATATTATGGCGCTTGTGACAGAACTAAAGTAAAAGTTAATAGGCACAAGGTAAGTTTTTGATTCATAAAAAGACTTTCAAATATTTACAATATTGATGCTAAGACATATGTTTTCAAATTCTCTCTTCAGGAATCAAAATCTTATTTGGTTATAGAAAATGGATTGAGATTTAATCTTTCTGATACTATAGAGAAGAATAAAGTGCCTTCAGGATTTACTATGAAATTTAGAAAGTTTTTAAGGAGTCGAAGATTAGAAAGCATAGAATAAATAGGAGTCGAAAGAGTGGTTGTATTTACCTTTGGGAGGGAAGATCATACTTACTATTTGATATTGGAATTGTACTCTTAAGGAAATATTATACTTGCTGATAAAGATTATAGAATTATCTAGTTGACAAGGCAACACGAATTTTCAGAAAATGCGAAGTATTGAATATTAAAATTATAAGGGTTGCTCCTAATGAGATTTATCCCTTCGAGTATACAGCAACAAATTATCTTGAGAAATTCGATACATCTATGGAAAGAATTTAGAAAGTGGTAAGTGAGAAGGCAGGGTAAAAGCTTAAGGAAGTTGTATTTAAACTGGTGCCTTGTTTACATTAATCATTGACAGATGATATAATATAATAGCTGTAAATGAATCAGAATGAAAAGATTGTGAATTAGTTTGAAAACGTAAAGAAAGTAGTGGATTATGCAATGGAATATATAAATAAATATCGCGCTTAAACTTAATATAAAGGTTATTTATGCGCAAAAGAAGCACCTAAAGATGCAGAATAGAAACCAAAATTCTTTGATTTTGCTGCTGATTAACCTGCTTATTATTAGGGAAAATATGTTATTGAAACACCTACTTTTAATGAAGCAGTACATCAATACTTTTTAGTGGTTGATAGATAGGAAGATAATAAATAATCGATTGAAGATATAGCTTGGAAGAAATTTGAAAATATTAAATAGGATCAGATGAGTAGAATTCAGAAATTACAGTCAGAACAGGACGAATATATCATGAAGGCAGGTCTTATTTAAGAAAATATTAATGATGTCTAAGCGATTATAGACATCATACAGAAGATGATAGAGAATGGTATTCCTTGGGATAAAATACAAAGGATGATCAATGATAGCAAAAAAGAAGGCAACCCACTTTCAAATATGATAGGAGGAATGAATTTGGTATCAATATTAAATTATTTGAATAGAAATAAAATAAAGTGACAATATTGTTAGGTAATAAGGAAGATGAGTATTCAGATTTGATTCAAATAGAAATTGATATAACTTAATCAGCTCATTAAAATGCCAGAAAGTATTATGAAAGCAAGAAGAAAAATAGAGACAAAGAGATAAAAACAAAAGAGGCTGTAGAATAGGCATTGAAATAGGCTGAGAAAACTGCTCTCAAGGAAATCGAAAGAGAGAAAAATAAGATATAGAAAGTGTAAAATTAAAGAAAAAAGTATTGGTTTGAGAAGTTCTTTTGGTTTATTTCTTCTGATGGATATTTAGTAATAAGTGGTAAGGATGTACAGTAGAATGAAATGATAGTTAAGAGATACATGAATAAAGATGATATTTATATGCATGCTGATATTTATGGATCAGCCTCTACAATAGTAAAGAATCCTAATGAGGGTCCTATTCCTGAGGCAACAATAATGTAAGCAGCCACTGCAACAATTTGCAGATCGAAATCTTGGGATGCTAAAATAGTTGTATCGGCTTGGTGGGTTCATGCATCCTAAGTTAGTAAAAGTGCACCTACAGGTATGAATATACCTGCTGGTTCTTTTATGATTTATGGAAAAAAGAATTTTATTTATCCTCCTAGATTAGAAATGGGTTGTACAATTTTATATCAATTGGATTAAGATAGTATTAAAAGACATGAAGAAGAAAGAAAGAAGAAATTAAGAGAGGAATAATCACAGGTTGATGAATCTGAATAAAATGAAAGTGAAATTACTGAAAAAAATATACTTGATTCTGACAATGATGAGAATGATGATAATAATGAAGATGATAATAAGGTAGATTTAATTGATCTAGAAAAAACTAATTCTGTTTAAACTATTTAACAAGGAGATAAAGAGTATACAATTGTTGAAGTCAATCCTAATGCAAGAATGATCTAATAAAGAAATGATAAAAAACAAAAAGAAAAGGAACAATAACAAAAACAATAAACATAATAATAATAATAATAATAAAAATAACAACCTAAATAATAATAATAATAGTAGTAATAATAATAAAATAAATAATAATAAGCACCTAAATAGTAATAATAAAAATAAAATGTTAAAGATGCGGAAAACGATAGTTCTGATGATGATAATAAAAAAAATTAGAAAAATCCAACAACTTAATAAGTAAGAGGCAAAAAAAACAAAATGAAAAAAGTGAAAGAAAAATATGCTGATTAATCTGATGAAGAGAGAGAATTAAGATAAAAGTTAATGGGAGCAACATATATGAAAAATGAAGTAAGACCAGAGAAAAAAAAGAAAGATAAAGATAAAAATGAGTTTACAAAATAAGAAAAAGAATAAACATAGCAATAGGAAGGATAATATAAGGATAAGGAATATTATAAAAAATAATAATTAAAATAAGAGTCTATTACAGTTAAATTGCTTAAATAATAGGGTATAGAAGTTACAAAGGAGGAATCTAACCCAGATCAATAAACTTAGGAAAAAATTTAATAACAAGAAGAACAATAACAACAATAATAATTACAATAACAATAAGAGCAACAATAATAATAATAATAACAATAACAAGAGGATTTATAATAAAAAGAACCAGAAAATGCAGATAATAAATAAGAAGAGATTGATAGTGATGATGAAAAATAAGAAAAATAGGTAGAATAGGAAGATGAGAATATTGAGTATACTGAAATGTAGAAACTCGTCTCCTATCTATATCCTGATGGTATTCATTTTTTATTATTATTAGATAAATATCTAAGTCTTATTCCTATGGTCGCTCCGTATACAGTTATAGGAAATTATAAATTCAAGATTAAGATTGCACCAGGATCTTTGAAAAAAGGAAAAGGTAAATTTTTAAGTTAAATTTTCAAGCTGGAAAAGAAATCCTAAATTTCTTCTAGGTCAATAAAGATATATCTAATCAGGAGAGATAACTTTTGAAAATGATAACAGATGAGGAAATTGTTTAAACTATGTTGCCAGGAGTTAAATTAACAGGAGTTGGAATGCTTCAAATGAAATAAAAAGAGAAACAATTAAAGAAATAATAACCTAAAAAAAATAAATGAGTTAAATAGAAATGTAACTAACTATGTAAATTTATAGTAAATAATTATCGTATTTATTAATTTAATATTCACTTTCTTTTCTCTTTCTCTTAATTTCTATATTTATAATAAATTATTATAATAAATGTTTATCAACTCCTAATCAAAGTGATACCTTTTACTACTTACAAGTATATATCACTATTTCACTAAGAGCAACATCACTATCTAAAATTATATACTATATATAATCATCTAATCTACTTATGAAATATTTATGAATACGGAGTTCTTGATAACATCGAGCATTTACATTTGCTGCTAGATATTCATAATAAAAACTGATATTGATTACGTAATTTGCAGAGAAAAAAGCGCTGAATAATTAAATGAAGTTTTTATTAATAATCTATCTATGAAAGTGTGTAACAACGCCTCTAACTCAAATAACTTCAAACTTAGAATTTTCTTGAAATCCTAATCTAAGGGGGAGTCATCATCTTTATATTCAATTTTAAACTCCCAGAAGTTCGTTTTTGGAGATGATGAAAAAAATCATAGAACACCTAGACCTTTAATTCTTTATGAAGATACCTCAGATAGGTATAAGTCCACTACAAGTTCATCAAGCTCTTCACATTTAAGGAAATTAACCCAAAGGATAAAATAATCAACTGACTCAGAAATAAATGCAGAAAACCCAATCTCATTTTATTAAATTCTTGATAATTATAATGACTAATATCTAAATTTACAACTTAACAAAGATAGATATTATTCTCAAGAAAAGACGACTAAAAAAATTAAAAGGTTGTATACGGAACAAACTGAAATTGAAACAATAAAATAGAAACCATTTAAATAATAGTAAATTTACTCTTAACACTAAAAGACCAAAAAGGGTTTAAGTGTAAAATAAAAATTAATTAATTCTTGCAAAAAAAATAACAAGAAATTATTTTGAATTGACTTTGTAATTTATTTATTATTTATTAAATTTAATTCTATAATTTTGGTCTTGAAAGAAATTATTTGAATTTCCTTTTTTATCTTTTTAAGATCTTTGAATTAATATAAACATATAAAAATTTCATTTTGAAATTTATAAATAGAATAAAAATAAAATATTCCCAAATTAAGAATATGATTTTATTCGAAGAATTTGAAATATCATTCAAAACACTTTTTGGATGAATAATTTGATACTAAAGTTAAATTAAATCAATAAAAAATAATCAGAAATTATACGAAAAATACTTTCACATCTAGGATTTAGAATAATATTCGAAAAGGTTAAAATCAATTAGATATAAGGAATCTTTTTGATACAAATCATTTTGCTCATATTAGTTTTTTAAGTGTCTTATTTATTATTTTTATAGTGATCAAAATATTAGATCAAATGGAATATTTGCTTCATAATTTAGATCTAAATTTAGTTGAATTCTAAAGGAAATTCTTTAAAACAGATTGTTATACTTTTTAAAATACTCCTACATTCAGATAATTGAAGTAAATGCTGCCGCAAATCTTGATAAATATATTTATTTATAATGATTTTTAAATCATAGAAATATTTTTTTATTTGATTTACACCATTTATAATAATTTATAATATATTTGAATTATCTATATCACAAATCCTCAATTTTTTGATCTTCATCTCCTTAGGTCTGATTTTCCTGTTGATCTTAGAAGTTGTCTTCTTATTGTTGTTAATTCTATGGTTGTTCTTTTTCATCTTCTTAATTAGATTGTTCTTAGCTTTCTTCTTTTTTTGAGTCTGATTCAGATCCTTTTTTGCTTTATTGTTTCTTTTCTTCCTTCTTCTTTTTCTCTTCATCCTTTTCTTCTTGAGTCTTAAATATTAAATGAAATATATACTTTTTTTGGTTTAGGAATAGCTTTTAATTTTGTGTATTCTTCACTCACTTTATCTACTTTTTTCTTCAAATCTTCAATCAAGAATACTGGATCTTAATGCAATTCTGTCTTTTCTTATTCTTCTACTTTGGATCTCAACCAATCTGTAGTATTTGTAAGATGTCCTAAGAATTTTGCTTTTTTCTCTTCAGGAATCCAAGGCATTGTTGAATTAAGAGCGTTTGCCTTCTTATGGAAATCTTTCAACTTTGTCACTGTTTCATTTATAGCTTATGGTCTAGCCTTAGCCTCATCCAATCTGACTTAAATTGGTTTTAATCTAACTAATAAGAAATAAGAATTACAAATTATTCAATTAAGTGTATTTGGTGTTGAATTTTTCAAAGTCAGCTGTCCATGCCTCATCACTATCAAGATATTCAGCATGTTCTTCTATTGTCTTTAAGATTTCAGTTCTTTCTGTTTCAGTTGATGCTTTTTAGAAATATTCAGCATCTTTGACTTCTCTGACTGTATATATAAGAGATTCCAATTTATTTTTAATTTCGCTTAGTTTTCTGCTATTTTCTTCAGCAGTTTCGAACTATTTAATAATTTTTTTTGAGTCGTCAATCTCTTATTGATTTAATCCTAAGACAACATGATGAGTAGTTGTGTAATTAATGGCGAAAGTGTGAATAATTTTTTATTTTTTAAATTTTGGTTCTTCAATGACAGGTTCTTCTGTTTTTTATGGTACTTCTGTTTATTGAGGTTCATCAATTTGCTTTTCTGTTTCTTCAGATAGATCACCTTCTTCACTTGATTCATTTTCTTTAGATTCAGTTTTATTTGAAGATTTAGCATTCTCTTATGAAGATGTTGTATTAGTAGCAGTAATGTTAGGTTTAATTTCAATTAGTTTGATTTCTTCAACTTTCATTTCAGCACTCTCTAATTTAATAAATTCATTTGAAGTAGATTTAAAAGTAAGAGAGATTTCTGGCTTACTGAAATTGAGTTCTGTGGCATTAGTAATATTATTTAAATGATATGACATTAATTTAGATTTTTAACCGTCTTTTTCCACATAGATATCTAATACTAAATTCTTATCATATGTGAATTCTAAAGAACGAGTACTTCCATACTTCTTCTTGTATCCAAACAAAGAGAATTCCTTGTGATAATCATCATCATTCACTCCTTTAATCTCAATTGAACTACTGAAACTGAAGCCATCAGTCAATTAAACTGGTCTAACTTTGAATGAATGGGACAGATTAGCAGCATGGAATGCAGCACCAAATGCCATAGATTCATCTCCATTTAAATGTGTTCCAACTTCTACACTTCCAAAGTAATTAGCTAACACCTATTAGATTTTAGGAACTCTGATGCCTCCACCTATTAATTCAACAATATTGATATCCTCTTTAGTTTTGTTGGATTTTTCTAAGACGTAGTTAATTGGTTCAGTTAATTATTAGAGTCTATCTTCAAATAAGGATTCAAATGTTGATCTCTAAATTGATGTTGTATAATCTTCTCCATCAATCAAACCTTCCAGATAAACTTAAGTCTCTTTATTTGCTGATAAAATCTCCTTATATTTATTAGATGCCTTCAATAATTTATTCATTGCTTTTGAATTTGTAAATATTGACTTCTTTCCTTTTCTAGATGGTTGATTATCGAATTCCCTTGCAAAATGATTTGCTAGTAAGAGATCTAAAGATTATCCACCTGCATTAGAGATAGAATAATCAGCTAGAACTTTTAAGGTTTCAATCTTTTTCTTTTGAGCATCAATGGCCTAGAATTCCACCAAAGACACTTAAATATTGTATGAACCTATGTTATAAAACAAAGCGGTGTGTTTATTTTCATCTTAACGTTCAAGGGCATAATACAAAGCAGCAGCTGTATTTTCATTAATGATTCCCAAAACTTCCAATTCTGCTAATTAAGCGGCTGATTTTAAAGCTCTATACAAAATATTTAATATTAAATTACGATCTCTAACTTATGTTCCATTCACTTGGTACTGTCAATACAACATCTTTAATTTAGATTTGATGGTTGAAATCTACCAACTTTGCAATAAATTTAAGAACCATTCCTGCTAATTCCTCAACCTTTACAATCATAGTATCCTTTCCTTCTACCTCTACACCATCAACTTCAAAGGCAAATGTTCCTTCTCTCTAAAATTATTTGATTTGCATCTTTACCTCTTCAATCTCTATTTTAAAATCTTCATAGGACTATTTAGAAATTTCTACTAATTTTTGGTCATTTGCTAATGCTCCTAAAAATTTGTTTAAGAATGTAAATGTATTCTTAGGTGATTTGGATTTCTTAGAAACACCATCACTCTCATACAATCGCTCCTTGTTATAGAATGCAATCTTAAGCATAGATAATTGATCATACAGCATTTTCTGTTTTACGTTTGCTTGTAGTATTCTCAATGATTGTGAAAGATTTGCCTGGACTTATCAAAACTGCCTTGATAAATTCAGATCCGAAATCAATTCCCAATACGGCTCCATTGGCAATGATAGCTAAAAGGCAAAGGAGTAAGTATTTTATCATTAATAAAAATCAATAAATATTCTAGAATAATTTTACGATCCCTAAATACACGTGTAAATTCACACTCTATCTGTTAATTTACCTTGAATCTTTTATAAATTGTTTAATCAGAATATAGAAATGATGCTATTTAATACACAATGCCTTTATTCATCAAATACCCTTTATATATATTATAATATATATAAAATATTTAACTCCTCATTTTCCTAAATGGCTAAATGGAATAAATATTGTTTTCCAACCAGGATGGTTTTTGGCTAACCTTCTAGATATCATTTCAGCTAACCAGATAATAATTCTGATTTCCTATTCCTTCAATTTCAAATATGTATAAAAAACCTTGAAATTATACAGTAAAATACTCCATATGATCTCTATCCATCAAAAGCAAGGGCATATCTTCTGCATCCATCTTCATACATAATATCATCAAGGGTTCTAATTTAATATTTGTATAATACTTAGTTCAAACATTAAACTCCTCTTTTTTTAAAGAATAAGGCTCATCCTTCAATAGATTTCTATAATTATCACAACCTTTTACTGCTTCTCTTAGAGCATCCAAGGACTTTGAATAAAAATATAACTTCTCACAATCAGGGCTCAAATTGCCTATTGTAAGACATAAATATTTTGTTGTTGTTGTAATAATCTTAGCAGCCGTATTCAGATCTCTATTCCAAATTGAATTATAAATCACTTGCACTGTTTTAAAATATGCTTCAAATTATAATAATTCTAATAATGCCTCTTAATAGGTTGGCATCAACTATTATAATATTCCCTTTCCATACTTCAGATTCACAAAAAGAGTAAAAATCTCCTAACCAAAGTTATTTATTCTATTCTGTTTTCATTTCCCTAAACAAATTCTGAATATCAATTAATGTCCTATTCTCATGCAAATTTCCAATAGATTCCTCAAAAATTTTCATAAAATACACTCCAATTGTATATCAATCAAAACATCTCTGTGTAACTGCTAGAATCATCTCCCTCTAGTACCTTGATATTTTTCATCTCAGGAAACCAACCCAATAGATCAATATTGCTTAGAAGAATCTCTTTATCAATTTTATTCTTCAATCCCTCTATTATATTTACTAAATTATTAATCATAAAACGACACCTATTATTACCTTTCTATTTCATACCTTAAAAGGAATAACTACTTAGTAAGAGTTCCCGTGAATTATACTTCTATATACTCGAATTCGTCTGCTAATTGTGTTTTCAATCTCTATCTCAATTTTGAAGTTGGCATTTAAGGGTTTGCAGCTTATAATCAATTCTAATTTCACATTTTTTAATGCTTAATAGCCAGTTTCTACTAAAAATTATTTCAATCCTGGAATAAAAGCGCAATTCTTCCTTTATTAATATTAAGCTTAACTAGCTCTTAGTCCTTTTATTATAGCTTCAGATAGCCATTATCAACCTCAAAACACTAAGATCAATAATTTTATTTTGTTAATATAATTAAGTCATATATAAAAAAATAATTTTCTTTTTGGCCTCCTTGTTCAAGGGTAATATGTCTATAGCAAAAAAATGGTTTTAATTGGTTATCCTTCTAATGCAAGGTTTAAAATAGCTATTAGAATTATTTTAGTGAAAACGTAGGATATAATGCACTCTTTATAAAACAGCAATATTTTCTATTTTATATGGCTAAGAGATATAATTTTGATAATATTATTGTTATCTTACTAGCTGATAGCTCCATTCACTTTAAAATTATAATACCTAACATTATTATTTTTTAGTTTTATAATTTATATTATTATTTAATTATAGATAAATATTAGATAATATTTTAAATCAAAAACAGATTTGAAAATCCAGAGTATAATCGTAATATTTAAATGTTGAACAGCTTGATTTTTCTAGTAGCACTTATGTCCTAACTCTCTGGGTAAATCAGATAAATTTAAAGTATAATTAAATTATAGATAATTTTAATTGAAATAAAGAAGTAAAAAATTATTAATATTTCAAATAAGTTTCTGTATATAGAAAATTATCATACATCATACCCCCTAGATATAGTGAACTGAGTTTAAATTTTAAAAGATATTAAATATCTCATTATTATTTACACATGCAGTGTCTCAAAGTTGTAAGGAACTTTTCTTTATGGTCTTCTGTCCCTCTTGGATAATTAGACCCAATTTCTGGAATAGTCGCCTAATATGAAGCTGATAATTCTCCCTAAAAGGTCAATCTAGGAGTCAATACTTATAGGGATAACAATGGAAACCCTGTTGTTCTAGAATCTGTTAAATAAGTAACATTATTATTCAACACCTAGGCTCTACGAATTGTTAGAGAAAAAAAATTAGATAACGAATATCCCCCTATAGAAGGCCTTTAGTCGTTCATTGAGGCAGCCATAAAGGTTGGATACGGGGAGGCTTACTATACACAAAATAGTAAAAACATAGCAGGTTGTTAAGTACTAAGTGGAACAGGAGCTGTTAGGCTAGGGTTCGAATTTTTAAATAAGTTCGCCCCTTCTGGAACAAAAGTTTATGTCCCCAATCCTACAAAAAATATACATCCAATCATAGCTTAGATGGCAGGATTGAAGTCCCAGGAGTATCGCTACTTTGATCCAAATACCAGACAAGTTGATTTCTAAGGGCTATCGGAAGATTTGTATTCTGCTCCCAATGGATCCATAGTATTACTACATGCTTGTTCCCATAACCCAACCGGATGTGATCTTGAGTTGTTCTAATGGAAACAAATATTAGATTTAACTAAGAAAAAATAAATTTTGCCTTTCTTTGATATGACTTACTAGGGCTTTACTAGCGGAGATCTTGAAAAAGATGCTTAAGCCATTAGATTATTTACAGAAGCAGGAGTTCCCATCATATTAGGCCAGTCATTTGATAAAAACATGGGGTTGTCTGGTTAGAGAACAGGATGCCTAAGTTTAGTTTGTTCCAATGAAAAAGAGAAGCAAATCGTTGTCTCATAGCTTAATTTGATTGCTAGATCTCTTTGGTCTTGTCCCCCTGTTCATGGAGCTCGAATTGCAGAAACTATACTTAACAACCCAGAAATATATCAATTATGGTTAGGTGAAGTAAGAATAATGGCACAAAGAATTAAAAATATGAGAGTAAGCTTTATAAAGGCCTTAAATGACTTGGGTTCCCCTCATGATTGGTCTTACATCTCCAAATAATTTGGAATGTACTCATTAACTGTATATATATATATAAATTTTAATAGGGAATTGGACCTTAGTAAATAAAGGAGCTGGTGGAGAAATATCATATTTATTTGTTGAGTAATGGAGGTATCTCTATTGCTGGATTGAATGACAGTAATATCAAGTATGTAGCCAAGGCCTTCCATGAAGTGACAAAACACACTTTAATATGAAAATAATTATTATTTGTTAATTTAATAATAAATTATATATTATTGTATTTATTATTAAATTACAATCAGAATTTCCCCCAGTTCTAAAATGGATCAAAATTAATGTTAATACTCATTTATTTCTCCTAATTTACATTACTTATTTATTCCTATTATTATTATTATTATTATTATTATTATTATTAATCAAATTATTATTATGCTTGCATGTCATTAATTAGTGATGGTTGTTATTATATTTAAGGAGCTTATTCATCTAAAATATTGATATTATCAAATTCTTTATATTTATTAGCATTTCCTTTTGGTTGTTGATCTTGATTTTGTTGAAATGGATTATCAAAGTTGATGAATTAATTGTTTGATTAGACAGGATTATTGAAGTCCTATCTTAATTAATCTTTCTATTTTATATCATCTTAATTAAATAAATTTATGGTTGATTGAATACTAGCCTATTTAGGAATAGATTATTCAAATGGAATTTAAAAATCAAAGTTTAAAGGTTATTATTGATAATTAAATTATGGTATTCCAATTGAAGAAGGAGGATAGTTTGCAGGGTAAGGGGATATTTATGACTAAACTTACCCGATTTATATTGGATTCAGCTAAATATTTAATTAAGATATTTCATTTATTCCATTTTAAGGTATGCCTGTTACAATAGGAGAAAGACTGCTATTTGATTTATTTTACTATTATGAAACAGGTTAAAGTTGATCTAAATTCAATTCACTACTTTAAAAATGATTTGATTTTTCCAAAGAACTTTATCTTTAGAAAAATAAACTTGATGATGAGGATTATTATTATTGTTATTATTATTATTATTATTATTATTATTATTATTATTATTATTATTATTATTATTATTATTATTATTATTATTATTATTACTATTACTATTATTATTGTTACTATTATTATTACTATTACTACTATTATTATTACTATTATTACTATTACTACTATTATTATTATTCATCTGTATCCTCAGGTAAACATGACATTCTCTCAACTGCAATTTTCTAAATTAAACTTTAGAGCAATTCTGAATATTTCTAAATCAATGATTTCCCAATATTCAATTCAATTATATAAGGCAACAATTAAGGAAGCAATCTTGTTACAATTTACTAATTTTTTACTAATATTTACTTCGTAGTTTAGGTGTTATAAAAATGATTTATAGATTTCTAAAAGTAATTATGCTTAAATTTTGGTAGGGGCTGTCATTTTTCTAAACTTTTCTAATGTTGGTAAAATATTATCTGAAATAGAAACTTTATCAAATATGTGCTATGTTTTGCTCAATACTTATAATGCCAATAGATTAACCTCCTTATTGGATGAATCCAAGCATAATTGAAGTAATCTAGGAAGAATCTTAAATTTAATATTTTAGATACCTTATTTTTTGTGTATTAATATTCTATCTTTTCCATTATCATTTAGGTTTGACTTAGAGCAACTTCTTATAGTTTTGCCACGTCAGATTCAAAACATTTAACATACAGTGGAACTAGATGTGCTTATATTTCACTGTCAGGTAGTTTTATCTCATAAAATTGTTTGATATTTTAAACCAAACAATAAAGGGCTTGAGCAGGCATACTTGGAAGTCCAGAGACCTTTTTAATATTATTCCAACACAAACCAATATATTTCTCTTAAATTGCTTAATCAGGCATTTTAGAAACATCAATAGCGATGAATATTACGTGTTGCATCAATTTTTCATTCGTTATCAAAGGCATTATATTTGGTAATATATTTTTCACAATTACTTACCTTTCAAACTCATAAATATTTCAAATATATACTTTATAAATGCTTTTTGATATTTATTTGAGTAAAGCAGCCTACTACTCAGCATCGAATTATTGAAATTATCTAAGTGAATGCATCAACCTAATCAAAGGGTCTAAAAAGAATTCATGATGATAGATATCTATAATCGCAGGTCTTTAACTTAATTCTTTACTAAGCATCTTAATGATAAGGTCTTTTAATGATTGATCTTGAATCTAAGAAAAAAAGGGGCTTTTTTATATAAATGGCAATAGGCACTCAAAACTAGATGAATATTAGGTGATGTGTGATATCTGGAATAAAATCAAATCTTTCATTCCTGTTAATTGTAACCTAATTAAACCTGATAATCTACGATAGTTTATATAATATTTACATCAATCCTAATGAAAAGATATCTGATTAATACGATCCTAATGATGGATTCAAAGTTAATTCTGGTGCCATATATGCTAAATCTGGATATAGTTATAATTATTTATCGTAAGGTTTAGGGATTAAATCTATATCCACATTGATGGAATTCCCCATCGGGTTGGGTTAACTGAAAATGAATCCTCCTATCTAAATTTGAAGTCTAAAATTACTTTGACTTTTCCTTCTGTAGTCACATAGATA